ACTCTTACATTTGGCTTCACATTCACTCATTCACCTATTTGTTCATCCACTTAACCACCAACACTTGCCTCTTCGCTTTGTGTAGCACAAGCAAAGAAAGGTTAGCATTTGGACCGATCAGTTTCGAAATAAAAAAATAAAAAAGTGGGGACACAATAATAACCGTGACTTGATCTATTGAATAGTGCTTTGAAAAGGATCAGCCATGGATTCCAGAATGTCAAGGCATTGGATCCATTCCTTTCACCGAATGACACTATACCCGCATCTATACCAACCCATAAGACACTCGGGACGGCTCTCGCGCCACTATCACCGTACAGCAAAAGCTCGAAGTCAAAGTCTAGCTTTGGAAAGCACCAGTGTCGCAGAGTCAACATCAAGTTATAGTCAACGGCCGTCTGTGGCTACACCCACTAGGGCTGCAACAGCGAGCTACAACAATGTAAAGAAAACAGGAGCAACGCAGGGCTCATCACTTTTGCGATCCAAATCAACTGATGTTCTAGACTCACCCTTGTTTAGTCACCGTCGATCATCAAGAGGGAGAAGATGGCCCTTTGGAGAATCTGTCAACGATCCTCCAAAGTATCGTATCAAGCCAGGAAATGAAAGACCTCCAAGCCTCAATAGCCTTGATTTCAACCCTTTCAATAAATATACGCCAGAAGACAAGCGCTTAGGCAACTCTCTCTCAGAATCTGTGACAACCTCTTCCATTTGGACTATCAATGCGCTCCCTCGGACATCAGCAGCACAGAATCGACTGGATATATTGAGATCAGGAGAGCGTATAGACCGAAACGCCCAACATTCAATTGCATCGGAGGGGGATTGGGGAAATCGTGAGGTCTCTTCAATAAACGATACATTAAAGTGGGTTGGCTCGTCATCGCATACTGAAAAGCCTTTGCAAGTCCCGCCACAGTTATTTGATAACTACAGGCTAGACTCAGTGCAGGACCAGCTGGTCAACGAACTCATTATTAAAATCAATGATTCGGAGAATGCTGTAAGTAAGCAGGACTTTATGAGTAGTCTGCAGAGGTTAGGACGAGCCACGATGTTGCGGTGGCGCCTACCCATCGCTTTCGTGGACTCAGCAGCAAATCAGAAAGATGTCATAAGCACAGGCATACACACATTGCTTTCAGCACTTACTCAGTTAACTGACAATCATTGGGGTGGGAAACTGATCGACATCCTTGAGGAGCACGCTATGTTGAAGTTCGTTGATAACAAAGGGCTCTCCATTCTTCTTCATCATGTCAACAACACAATCCCTAAGGGTCAAACAAAAGAAGAACGACGATGTAGGAAGCAGAGGATCGAGGCCTTGAAAGCAGCATTACAGTTGAGGAATGCACGAATGATCGATCACGAAGAGTGGGAAATTCGGACAAGACAGTTCCGTCTTCAGTTAGCATCAGCACGTGAGACAGGGGCCGCACCAGATGAAAACGACTATCTATTATTCATGAAGAACTGTCAACATGCAGGGAAATTTCGAGAGTTGGAGCTGGTTTTTTATCATTTCCTGGATTTTCATCCAACTGCACGTGAATTGGAGCAGCAACAACAGCTGCAGCTGCAATTGCAGAACCAACGTGAAGATCAGCTATCTCAGATGGAGCCAGAAAAAGCTCAACAGATATGTGAGCGTGTCTACCGTAGATTCATCAAGGCTCTAGTACGTCAGGATAGAATGGAGCATGCTCAGGAGGCATTTAATGATATGAAATCCAAAGGCATCGTACCGTCTGCTATCACCTTTGGAGCCTTACTTGATGGTTACGGTCGCAAAGGGGATTTGAAGCAGTTGAGGCTGACCCTCAGGTCCTTATACAACGCAGGGCTCAAACCCACAATTAAGATTTACACATCATTAATGGCCAATTTCATCAGAGCAGGAGAACTGGCGAGAGCTGAAGAAGTGTACCGACAATTACAGGCAAGATCCGATCTCACCATGGACCCACAATGCGAGAATGTAGTAGCAAACTTGTTGAGATTGAAAGGAGAGAATAAGACCGACCAAAGGGTTTTGGAAGGTACTGCCATCGATGAGAGGAGAGAGGAAGGAGAAAAAGTCGATGAAGCCCTAGGTCTTTTCAACTCCATGATTTCTTACAACCACAAACTCAAGCGATACGCAGATGCTTCCAACATTCCCCGGTTTATCAAGCTCTTCCAGCGAATCCAGGATAGAGCATTAACCCCTAACACAACCACATACAATATTTTGCTTGACGTCTTCTTGAATGCTGGTCATTTGGAGGACGGACTTCAAGTTCTAGAGCATATGAAAACGACGAATCAAGGAAAACCCGACGTGGTTACATACTCAATGTTGATTGCTGGAGCAGTAGCGCAGGAGAAAGTTGACTTGGGCTGGGAGCTCTATAGTGAAATGAGAGGACGATCAATCTTGCCATCTGTGTATACTTATGTTTCTCTAATCGAACTGGCGGGCCTAGATCCAAGCAGTAAAATTGGCCGTACTATTATTAAACGATATGCTGCTCCAGGGCGTCCACGAGTTATGTTTTCAGTCAAGCCATCGATTGAGGAGCAAATTGGGCTAAATTTTGCAGGCTCTATCTACAGCCAACTCTGTGCCCAAGGATTGAAGCCGAACGAGTATGTCTTTAGTACTCTTTTAAATCTAGCGGCCAGTGGAGGTCATATTGATTTGGCGCCGCAGATTTATGAGGAGATGATCCGGCAATCCGTTGAACCCAATACTGCAATCATGACAGCATTGATTAAGGGCTTCGCTATCCGTATGGATTTCGATTCCGGTTGGAGAGTGTGGAGACACATGGTCCAGTCCAAGATTCCTAGGAATGCGGTTACTTACCAACATCTTATTCGACTTTGTAAACGATCACTACGGGGTCCGAACAAGGCGACTGAAGACTCGGTTAATGGCTCTACATTGGACCGACCAAAGAGACAACAAGAAGAAGGAAACTGCTATGAAGAAGAAGATGTCGGGAAGAATGAGTGTGCTGAAGCAAGCCTAGAGTCCATATCCTCCGAGATTCCTCCGGAGATCATGGCTGAAATTCTGGAACAGATGAAGCTAGACCATGTTGATTGGTCCCGTGTACAGCAGTTCAAGCACAAGAAAGTAGATTATCGTATTTGGGACCCTGTTGTACGCGAAGTTGGACCCGTGACATCGGCTGCAGCAGCGAAGGAGACTGCCGCAGCAGCAGCTTCTTTTACCTCAGAAGATGAATCTGGAGTACCCTTACGAGAGCGCCAAATCCGTCCAGAAGTGGCATTAAATGGCCCTGACCTTGGAACAAGCTTCGCTATGACAACAAATATAAATGCAGATGGGTCAAGCTCCTTCATGATCAAGGAGATATTCAGTGGTGGTGGCGATGGATATGTCCCCATGCGGCGTCCTCATCCTGCGCTGATCTTTACCTGGGACACAACATTATGCGCCCCAGTTCTAGGACCTGATGCTGATATCAAGGCAGAAAAGGGTGGTCTCGATCTTAATGGTCGTTGTAATGAGTCAAATAGTACAAAGAGCAATGTCAAGAATTAGAACCTGTGTGATTATATTTCAGCATGAATAGATCCATTACCAGTTGCAATCAATAACTTGTATATATAAATGTAGAGTAGCATTACCAAAATAAATTTTTAGAAATAGACTATTTGCAATAGCATTTTCCTACACATCCTTGCAAGCTCTCAAAGCTAGTCAATAGGTCTGTGCTTGAATTGAATCAAATTTCAAGAATGAAGTCATGATCTGAACCCCAGTCGTAGAAGTCATCAACTCGAGCATCATGCTTTCTTAACAGTCTTTTTCCTGCATTTTTTACAATTTATTTTTGAGTTCTATACATCAGACTACTTTAGATTCTACTAATCAGATTTTTTTTTTTTTTTTTTACCGGATGCGACCTTCCTTCAAGGACTTGAGCGTAACTGGGCCAGCCTTCGTGCTGAACTGCAAATCCTTGTAAAGAGCAATGCCCTCAGGGCTGATCTTGAAATCTTCCGATACCTTCTCAAAGATCAAGTGCTTTGGATTCAATTTCTCTTGAGAAGTACGGTCTGCCTGTGCAAACCCTTCAAACTCAATTACATCGCCAGCCTCCAATCCAGCTGGAGGTTGGAGCAGTTCCACTACAGAATCGTCTGCAGACGATCCAGCCAACAACATGGCACCCGAGAGTACGCCCTGGAACTTGCCAGGCTTCAAGTTGCAAACTGCGCAAACAAGACGGTTCTGCATCTCCTCCAAGGGGATGTACTTGGCCAATCCTGAAACTACCGTGCGGATGTCGCCGCCTCCACAATCAACAGTCGAGACAAATGAGTTGGGATTTGCCTCATGGATCTTAGCCTCAAGAATACGGGCCACACGGATATCGAGGCGAGAGATATCGACCTCCAGGGCGGCATTGGCGACAGGCTATTACACAGCAAAGATTAAAATGTTTTAATTTTACATGCTCTGCTTTCAATAAAGACAGAAAATCTCAGTCTTTGTAAAGACATCATTCTCTCACCTTATTTGACTTGACGGGCTTGGCTTTGGGCTCGGGCTTGGGAGTGGGGTAAGCATCTTCTGTCAACTTGCGAAGCTCATCGTTATCAAACCACTTGCGGATAGGTGCCAAGAGCTCGTTGATGGCGTCTGTAACTGCCTTCTTCAAATCGCCAGGGTGAACTCTCTTCTCCTTAAAATCATTCTCCAAATCTTCGTAGCTAGTATAAATGACATCACCTCCGAACTTCTCGGGCCTAAGGATGCTGAAACTAGGAGTCTTGCCATTCATGGATCGAAGAGGGAAGAGCACAGTCTTGACAAAGGCCAAGATACCGTTTTCAGCGACGTTACCCTCCTCGCAGAAAGCCTTGGCCAATTTGCGCTTCACATTCTCGGGAGCCTCCAACAGATCAATCTTGGTATCAGGGTCTGAAGATGACATCTTGGGCCCAGCAAGACCAGGAACCATGGTGTTCATCAAGTGTGCGCGCTTCTTGTATCCAATTGCAGGCAGGATCTTCTCTGCAAAGACAAAAATCTTGCGCTGATCAATACCACCGAACTGTGCATCAACTCCCAAGAATTCCTCGTCCAAAGCCTGCATTCCTGGGTAAATCAATCCTGAGAGAAGCGGTGAATCGACCTGCTTCACGACCTCAGCACCTGCCTTCTTAGCATCATGTACTGTTGTCTTGGAGCAAAGCTTCATGTTGGCAAGCGAGTATTCGGGAGTCAATTGGAACGAAGATCCTAACACGAACTTGAGCCTCTCTGTTGGGACGCCCATTGAAGTCAATGTAGCCTTGATCAGCTGGGTATAGTACTCTGCGCGCTTGCCAACAAGCTCCATAGGCGCCTTCATGTTGTCAAGGAAAGCATGGATATCGGCAACGAGGACAGTGATGTGGCATCCAGCTTCGAGGAAATCAGCGATCTTTGTCATAGGCACAAAGTATCCCAAGTGAGGCTTTCCAGTGGGTGCTACATGATTATTCAATTTGGAGGTGATGGCAAAAGAATCATTAGTTGTTAATGGTATATATGTGAATGTGAATATTTGTAGCATTCCTTTGGGTGAATAGTCATATGTCCAAGCGATAGTCGGTATTGTAATGGCTGCTGAACATGGGCTGTATGCATATATCCTCCGAAGCACTTGTTCCTGATATCGTTCAATTTGATGAGTCACTAGACAATCGAAGATCAATTGGGTTTTCCTATCCTGCGGCCCTGTCACTTACCAGTACCCCAATAGACATTGAGATCACGCTCAGCAAGGATGGACTCGATCTGCTCCTTGCCCAAAACCTCCTGTAATCCTCTGGAGATGAGGTTATACTTTTCGGTGGGAGTTAATGAAGCCATGAGGGGATTAAGTTTCGTTCTTTTAATGAGGAACAAGTGCGAAGGAGGGGAAAAAAAAAAAAAAAAAAAAAAAAAAAAAAAAGCAATAGCATCCATACAAAAAAAAGGCCAATAAAAAGGTTTCTTGTAAGGTGGCTTAGTCGATTAAGCTTTTCTTTGTATTCACTCAAGGACTCCTAAAACTATGACTATTCGAATGTTTGTGAATGAGTGAGTCAATCTTGAAGCTGATATGAAGATAACGAGGAGTGTTAAAAGAAGAATAGCCCTTCCTTATTGACATTGTCTAAGAGTCAGAGTAACAGCGCACTTATTTTGCTTCGCCTTCAACTAACCACAGGAGTCATCAACTAAAATATCTTGTTTTAAATAAAGGACAATTATGCTTTTAAGGCTGAATAGTTTCAGAGTCAGCTGATTGCTGACCACCAACAGTTTGGTCGATGGTTGATGATTGATAGAGGAGAGTGTACTTGGCCAAAAGAAACATATTACCAAGGGACCCATTGAAGAATGCTCAATAACCGCATTGCTTTTTATTTGCGATCGATTAAAAAAAAAGAATAGTGTTACACAGAGTAATAGCTTAGGACGTGATTTATTCACGGCGAAGGTTATCAAGACGAGCCTGCAGTGCGGCATCATCTGCCGACATGCCCTCAGCTTGAGCCACACGCTCTTTGTTGGATGCTCCCGGTGCCTTGATGGATGTGCCAGGGGCCGATGCAAGCTACGAAAAAGAAAATAAAGATATGAAAAAAAAGGTTAGTAAACCATCGCTGAATATCGTCTTGGCTGCGAGTTGGAAAGAAGGAAGCAAAAGATCCTGTCACTCACCGTTTCATCCAGATTGATGCCAATTTCATCCAATACTTGATTTACGATAGCCTCCTGCTCCTCCTCATCCTCTTCTTCTTCCATAGCCTCGTCAATAGTTTCTGACATCATCTCTTCCTTCATGTCCATGATTTCGCTCTCCTTTTCAAACTCATTCATGATATGTTGAATCTGAGGCAGATTCATATTCCTGTTCATTGCGCCCATAGCCTATAATTGTTCAATCAGGAAAAAAAAAATCAATATGATGCATCAAGTTATCCAAGTTGCAGAATTCAAGTAATCCCATAAGATCTTGTCGACAAAGATCCCTGCAATGACATTTTACCTTTGTCGCGCCTTTCATTGCCTCGGCCATTTGTTGATTTGAACGGAGACCCTAGAAGTAAAAAAAAAAAAAAAAAAAAAAAAAAAAAGTCAGTATAGTAATACAAGTCCATTGGTTGGAATCATTTATAATATATACCCATGTACCTGAATACGGAGACCAACAGCCTGCAGTTGTGTTTTCATCTGATAAAACTTCTGGATATATCGCCGAGTTCGTACAAGATCTTTAGCCATCACCTTGGCAGCATTCTATATATGGTCCATATAAAAATAAAAATAAAAATAAAGAAAATAATTAGGGAGCTGTACATAAAAGAAAAAGAAAAAACAAAATGCAATTTACACCTTACCATTTGGCCCGCTTTAGCAGTCTTTTTAATGTCCTGGATAATCTTCTTTTCCTGTTGCTCTAACTTGATTCTCTCACGATCGAGCTCTCGCTGCGCCTTGTTAAGTGCTCTTTGATGTTGTCTGAGGGCTTCCGCCGGGGACTTACGCCCAAACAAAAAGTTCTACATGTTGTGGGGGGTTAAAGGTTTCTTATTAAACCTATCTAGTCAAAACCTCGCTATATCATGGTATCCCGCGTCCAAAAAGCCTTCAGATACTTTGTTCCTGCATACCATCATCTTCTTTACTACTTTTTTTTTATCTTTAGGTGAAAGAGTGTCGTGAATTGATCGCTGTGCAGCCTTATAGTATGAGAGGGGTATATAAAATGGTTGATGAGATGTAGCTTTTGAAAGGTCTTGGCAGATGGAAGAATGACTGAAGGCGAAGTTCGTTGAAGAGTGAAGGAAAAAGAATGTAATTGCCCACGTCACATATTCGTTTAAAATTTTATTTTTCAGATCTTTTTTTTTTTATAGCAAGAATTCATTCATTGCAAGTTGCTTTGACAAACTAACCATTAAGAATGACTTCAGTTGCAGACGCAGTCGTACCCGGTCAACGACTTGGACATATTCAGGAATACAATGCTGGAGAAGGAACATATGCACACCAGGACTTCTTGTATGCCAGCGTTGTTGGCATTAAGAAGGTCACAATAGCAGACAACGAGGTGCGAATATTACTGGGGAGAATTATGGAGGCAGGCTGATAGTCACTTGTTTTCATTAATTATCAACTGATCTATGGATAACTTCTCTTTACGTCTCCATATACTGAATTAGATACCCACAATGAGTGTACAACGGGAAAACACACAATCAGCTATTCCGGATATCAACGCCATTGTCACTTGTAAAGTCGTGCGCGTTAATCCTCGATTTGCAGCTGTCAACATTATGGTAGTCGATGGAAAACCATGCACAGATGACTTTCAAGGCATCATCCGTGTACAAGATGTTAGAGCCACTGAGAAAGATAAAGTGAAGATCTACAACTCATTTCGACCTGGCGATATTGTTCGTGCACAGGTGGTAAGCTCCGGGATCACATTCAGCTTAAATTTTCAAGTGCTAGGGGGGCTTTTGCATGAGAGCTCTAGACGTATTAAATTGGAGGACCTTGATTGATTGTATTCTAACTCATTTTTGTTTTTTCTCTTTATCATGTATCGGTCATTCAATAGATATCGCTGGGAGATGCAAGAAGTTACTACTTGTCAACGGCTGCAAATGAATTGGGTGTGATCTTTGGAACAAGCGTAGCAGGAGGATCGCTCATCCCAATTTCATGGCAGGAGATGCAGTGCACCAAGACCAAAGTTATCGAACTACGAAAGTGTGCCAAACCTATGTAGAATTAGTTTTTACATGTCACAAGAGTTCCCATCATCACACCATAATACAGCACTCCCATTTCATATTTTTTTTTTTTTTCCTTTACTAAAAAGCTATCGCTGAGAACATAAAAAGCATTAAATTGTATTCATTATAACTATTTTGAGGGCTACGAGGACTGCCTACTTTTCTTTTTGTTCTTTCTCAGCAACCTCTTCTTCTTCCTCTTCTTCCTCTTCTTCCTCATTCTCCGATTCGCCCCCTTGCTCAGATGATAATTCGTCTTGAACATCTTCGAGAGAAACGATTTCACGCTGATCTATCAGTTTTGCTGTTCTTTCCCATGCTCTTCTCCTGGTGTATAATCCACGACTTCTCTTTCCGGTCCAATTTTTCCAATGGTTGTTCGCATACTCCCACCCGTCTGCATCACAATCAGTACCGAGCTTTAGACGCCAATGTGGGTCTAACCAACGCCATTCCTGTGACTTTCGGAGGACCTTGTTGGGCTGGCCCGGGATAGCCTCATGAGCAATGTGGGGTGGGGGTAGCTGAAATGAAGACTTGCTCTGTGTCGGCTCTAGATGATCATCCGTCCTAGATAACAATAGGAACAAGAAAAAATAAAATTTGAATACTACTGCATCGTACTTGCTGCATGCATCATTACTAAGTCATTGCTCTTACCAAGGGGAGCGATCGTTAGGAAGCATCATGGGCGTCCATTCAAGCCCCAACCACCATCGCTGATTCTCATACAGTACAAATTTGTAGTACATGGTGGCATGATCCTCTTCAATATCGTATCCAGTACTGGTCTTGAAAGACTTGTATCCCTCAGAGTCACTCTTCTTACGCTGTCCAATGGCTCTAGAGATGATGTCTTTAACTGAGACACGTCTCTTTTTTCGATAAGTTGCTGTAACTTCAGGACGATATGGCCAGTACGGAATCAATTGCAGCAAAGGTGAGAACGCCTGCAGTTTCATCAACACTGCCCAAATAATTGCAAACCAAGGAGCGCACCAACAGATAGCCACGCTTCCAACTACGGCCGCAATGAAACGCATTGGGATAAAATAGTTTAGAATCAACCATGGAACGTAGGTCACTACCAATGAGAAAAGCACCAAACGCGTCCTGCTTCTATCTGACCAGTTCAGATATGTCTCCACCTTATCCAGTGTCCGATGCCAAGCCGCCCAGTGATCGAGAATCTCTTGGATTTCTCGCAGAGTCGCTGCCTGCTCCAGCTGTGTTGTTGTTGGTTGGCGAACAAACTTTGAAGAGAGCAAAGAAGCGTTACTTTTGTTTGAAATCTTGCTATTTGGAGGCGTGGCTGGACTCTGTGGAATATCTGAACCAATCTTGGTTGCCTTGCGCGAGTTGATCCATAAATGTCCAATGTAGAGGATTAACGCGCCATGAAGTCCATAGATGAGGAAAGTCTCTGTGCCGAGGCAAATACCCCACCAAGCAAAGAGAAGTAGGAAACTCTTCACTGATCGATCTGAAGTCCAAGTCAAAAGTTGGAGCAACCGATGGAAGACATGAATAGCAGGACTGGTATAGCTCAGTAATAATGTTACGGATGCGGGCACAGGAGTTGATGCAGAGAAAAACTCGGTGAGAGGGGGTGAGGGCTGTATTTTGTTTGCTGGTGAAATAAGTACGTTACGTCGTGAAGACGCAGAGGAAACGGTTACTGAATCCCCTGCACTCACCGTAGCGGCCATGGTATGGTTTCGGATATGACTCTTTGAGGAAGACGAAGGCTCTGTTGGAAGGTTAGCCAGGAATGAAGAGTGGTAGTCGAAGCTCGACATTCAAGCTTGATTCCTGAATGAGAATCTCGGGTACAGAGCTCAGTTTCAAAAGTTGGATGGGGTTGAAAGGAAAGAGCGGAGAGAGTCTGAAAATTGGATTGCCTGATAAAAAGGTATATTAAAGAAGAAGAAAAAAAAAAAAAAAAAAAAAAAAAATAAAGAAAAAGAGCCGTGTTCTTCACAGTTTGAATCTCTGTGGGTAATGAGTACAGAAAAGAAAGGATTCGCGAGCCGGAGGAGTGGACGAGAGGGCCCTCCACATTATTGTTTGTTTGCTTCTTGCAATATGACAATGTAACCTAACTTTCAAACGCATGTGCATTTTTTAAAGTTGTTTCCACGTGATAATACCCAATTATATTAATCTTGCATGTGTTGTGGTGATCGTGAGTGAATATTGCGTTGTTGTGCCAAGAACGCCTAGATTAATTGGAAGCCTTTAGTGAATATTAAGCAATAGGCGACCAGCCCGCCATCGCGATACTTGGCAAAGTTTTTTTTTTTTATCTTTACACGTTTTACAGAGAATATAGATCTCGTTGTCTGCACTTGGTTGGAAGCGCGACACCGGAGCTACCTTTGACTTTGGTGGCTTTAATTATTATCATTGCGGAGGTGGACCGAGCAATTTCATTAGGATCATAGCCAATCTGGAAAGTCCTGTTAACTCTTTCGACCAAGGTTCATGTGATATTTATTGATTCTATTAGATGCACATGTGCCAGCATGAAGAGAATCATAGTTGATATCAGCATCAACTATGCATGAAGACGTCCTTGCCCTGCGAAAGATTTTTTTTTTTTTTTTTTTTTTTTTTTTCATCAAGAAGTCTACATGAGTAGAAGTAGACACCAAAAGGTAAGTTGACTCTGGTTATCCCTTGTAAATCCAGCAGCGGCAACAGTTAATTACAGGCTTAACTGGTAGCGTTAGCGAACTTATCACTTAGACAAAGGGATATAGAGGATTATTAATATTGGAGCCTACAGAACGAATGGCGATAGGAAGTCATTGCTAGCTCATGAATAAAAGATATCGAGTCTTATCACAGGGATAAATGACGAACAAGGACAAATCCTATATGCAGTAGCTGACGCGACTTTACCTGCAAGGTTAATATATACAACCGCGACTTTGCCTGTGAGATTAATATAGATGATCACCATCTATTTTTAAAATAGATGCCGTATGCTTTTTCGGCATGACATCAAGGAAGCTGGGAAATACCACGGACACAAATACCACAAAAGAGCAGCAGTAACGCCTAAAACGGCCAAGATGTCTGCGGTCATTGGGCACACGGACTATTTACACAGTTGAGGACCATTTACGTGTCAAAAATTTTTATAGATTCTGAATTACGGATCCCTCATTCCCTCCTAGCCGAGTCAATAAGTTTGCTCTCTTTTAGTGCCCATGACTCTCTGATAGCACCGTTGGTGATGAGAAACTTTGTATATACAATCCTTTGTTCTTTCTAAACAAGCCTCTAACTCTATCTGTGGGCCACTTTATCCCTCATGGTATAGCTGGTAGAGAGGTTAGCATCGCTAGCGACGTCTTAGCGACTGAAAGAGCTCTGCATATCCATGATGGACCTTTGACTTCTTCTGGCGAGATGTGGCCATTAGCTTAATGGTAGTGACTGTTAGTGAATGAGAGCTCTGCATTTCTAGGTTACATGAAAAAACCTCCTGAGGAGGTAAAAAGCGGTTTGTGCACCGCTCTTCTGTCAGGATGGTCGGTGTGCTCAATACCACTTTAATTTTGTTTGGAGACAATGAAGATGACGATATTAGAAGACACGCGAGATTCTTTCTTTTTCAAGAATGATCCTTTATTGCATTTGCAACTGAAGGTTTCGTTGATACCTCAACACCATTTTTTTTTTTTTTTTTTTTTTTTTTATTGAAGGGCTTTTTAAGAAAGCTACACGTAGAATGAGTGGAATGCTCAGACTAATGTTTACTTTTTTTCAGTTTATTGATTCTCCAGGAAAGGAGGGTTAGTCTTTAGTCTAATAATTTTCTCCACATTAAATAAGAGAAAGAGAGCAAGGATTGATCACCCCACCACTTCCGCTTTTGCAGCCTCTTCACTGCAGATGAGATGGTCATTAATGGCAAAAAAAAAAAAAAAAAAAAAAAAAAAGCTTTTTTGAAGTGCGGCGTGTGTTTGTAAAAGATAGGGAGCAGTTGCTGATAGAATGAACAAGCCTGCTAAAGCACATGGACTCGTGGAAAAAGATCATTCATTTATTTATTTCAAAGACGAGATTGTGGACGAACATCCCTTTCTTCTTCCATTTTCTTTTCCCTCCCTCCTTCCTTCGTTTAATAAAGCTTTAATACCACATATCCAATGTCGCTTCCATCCATTGTTGCCTCGCCTAAAGGGGCCAGGCCAGTTCATATTTCCTCACTCTCAAATAGCCAGGTCGAAGATCTCATCTCTCAGTCACTTGAAGCCCGCAATAATTCATATTCGCCCTATTCACAATTCCGAGTCGGGGCTGCCCTCCTGACCATGGACGGCAGAGTGTTTCAAGGATGCAATGTCGAAAATGCTTCCTATGGTGGAGCTATCTGTGCAGAACGGACTGCATTCGTTAAAGCCGTCTCTGAGGGTTACCGTCGGTTTGTTGCCATCGCTGTTGCCTGTGATTACAACCGTTTTATTACTCCTTGCGGAATTTGTCGGCAATTCATGAACGAGTTTGGAAAAAAACTCGAAATCTTCTTTGTAAACGATGATCGGACCTACAGACAAGCTGTTCTTGAGGATCTATTACCATACGCTTTTGGACCAGAAGACCTTCATGACAAATAAATATTTTTTATTTTATTTTTTTTTAATTAAGCTACACAGTGTTCCGCAGCTTTTTTTTTTTTTTTTTTTTTTTTTTTTTCCACATTTCATATTCCTGTAAAAAATTCAATTGCCAATAAACATTCCAATCTCCATTAACCTATTTTTCTTAATCCATTGTCTTGGTAACACGGGGTGGGTAAATGGGCATTTAGTAATGATACGCACAGCCTCTTTAACATTCCTTCGTTTCTACACCCCACTTTTTTTGAAAGTAAAAAAAAAAAAGACATTGTCATGGATCGGCAAGAACCTTTTTTTTTTTTTTTTACCTTACAAAAAGTACAAAACAAGAACCATCACAAAAATCCTAAAACTCCATAAACAAAAAGCTCTTTGCTTATGCATTGTGTTCCTCAATTGCATCAGAGCTTTCGCCGTCAAAAGACTACAGGAGGAAGGCACGCCGTCTGATTTTGGTGTAGTCCGGCGCGCACGAAGTTTAAAAAAAAAAAAAAAAAAAAAAAAAAAGCGGCGGCAATATATTAGTCCAATCACGTGCACAACAGCCCAATTCGCCCACCGCAAAAGAAACTTTTTTTTTTATTGCATGGAAATTCTCAAGGTGGCATCAGATCAAGACATAGGAAGATTGTAGATTATAACAAATCCGATGAACACGCCATTTCCACAGACAGAAGTCAACATTGAGGCGCTGGAAAATGTCAAGACACGCTTATTTCAGCTTCAAGAGTCAATCCTCTTCTTTCTGAGGTCCATCAACCCTGAAACGACTCCTGGCACAGTCTCTTGGTATACGCGACTTTCATTGCTGCTTAACAGTAATTTAAAAAAAAAAAAAAAAAAAAAAAATACAAGGAACGCTCTGAAGACTGATTCGGTTTTTTTTATATATATATTGTTTTGACATTGGGTTATGCTGGTGGACTGAAGGACAGAATTGCATTCAAAGTTTAATGTGTTGATTGCAAAATACCTACATCTCACAAACCTCGTCAACGACCCACACAACACGCTTCTGCAATCTTATACCGTATTTCCAAATGAAGCGCCTGCTACAGATCAGCATGTTCAGAACTTGAGTGTCCTACTCCGTACAAAGTTGTTACCCGAGCTGGAACAGGAGGCTGAAGATCGCATCAAGGAAGGTACCATTCCAGGGTTAAATAGTCAAGGAGGTGGTGTTGCTGAGGATCGAAAGGTTCTACAAGCACTAAAGGTTTGTCCTTTTTTTTTTTTTTTTTTTTTTTTTTTTGCTGAATATACGACCCAGTTGTGTTTTTATTTCTAGTGAAAAACAGGTGGTAAAATCTAACATAAATTTATCTATTTTATTGTTTTGACATAATAATAGCTCAAAGTAACAATGCATGATGCGCTTTGCCAAGCGGCAGACGAAATATTCGAGAATCAAAGAGATATGATCAATACCAGAGTGCGCTATGAATCAGATGATGAAGGACAGGGCGATATAAATAGCAAAACAACACAAAGATCAGGTGACAAGATGAAAGAGCCATCCAGCAATAGCAATACTGTTCCTCCGGTAGATGATTTCGCCATTGGTATGGTAGATAACGCGACATCTATTCGTTATATGAGCGAATGGGGTGGGACTTTACATGACGTAGATGGTTATACTTCAGATGAATCTGCCGATGAGGCTGCTATTACCGGAATTCCCAAAAATGGAATAGATCTGGATGATAGCTATTTTGAGGCGCGGAGGCAGGACTTCAGCAGTGGTGACGAAGAATCAAGTCAAAGTGACATGGAGTCTGTACAAGATGATCAAGGAAGCGAGGATATACAAGAAGACGAGGACAAGGATGAGGAGGAAGAGGAAGAGGAAGAAGAAGAAGAGGATGATGAGGATACGTTTATGGAAGTCAGGACAGGGAGCCAACCGATAGATGTAGATTCCGGCCCAAGTAGCATGCAAATGGCGGAGGATGTGTTCCACGAGGATGCTGGCAATTCTGGTGATGAAGAAGAAATGGAGGAGGTCATGTAACTAAAGATCTAGCACTTTCTCTTGTACACTTCTACAAGGCTGTTCAATAATGATAAAAAATAAAGCTTAAAATTAAAAATATAAAACTACATGTATATAGGCTTTCTATATATTACCCCCAGAGTGGTGCATCCAATTGTATCCGTAATATTTCTAGCATGTGCACGAATCGTTTATGCTGATGAATGCTCGTGTATGCTAGCGTATGTTGTTCTTATCACTAATTTATCGACCGCTCTCTAACAGGCGATATAGCTCGGTCCAAAGACTTTTATAGTCTGTAGTGTATATACCGTACCGATCTCCGAATTAGGAGAGGGGGGGGAAGGGATAGGGAATCTTTCGGTATGAAGGGCTTTATCATAGTTTCTGTTCAAAGTCAACAAGCGTCGTGTTACCATATAGAGATCTGTTTCATTGAGATTCCTGTCCCTGAAATATTTCGATATCGCATTAAAAGTCCGTGCGGAGCCAAAGTAGACGTTATATGCAAACGGCATGAAAAGATTTCTTATCTAAAGATGTAACATAAGCAAGTTCTACTAAATACTTGACTATTGTGGAAAAAGAACCGCTGCGGAAGCTGAAAATTACATGTCACTCAGACTGATAATGATTTAAAATCCTACGTTTATTCCATCCAATTCTCTTGCACTATTCAAAGATACTGGAAAAAATAAAAATAAAAGCGCATCTAGTTAATTCTTCGGTGATTAAGAAGAGATAAGGCAAACCACTGATGCACAGAGGGTCCATGCGCAATAAGAACAATAACAAAAAGGTATAAAAACCATGTCTACATACTTTTTTTTTTTTTTATTCTTCAGATCAAAAGCATCTTTCATACACACAAATCAACTCCTTCTTCTTCATATTATAAATACAAAAGCACTTCTTTTTAAACAATGGATACAAACGTTTCTTCCATGGCCTTCTTCAGAAACATGAAGTGCAATAACGCTGCTCCATTCCCATCGCCTTCGAACACTCGTCCATCTTCCGGCGGTCGCTTTTCCTTCTTCAAAAAGAGCAACAAGGCTTCACGTGCAGCCCAGTTCAATTCTCTGAATCCTGGGTTTGAGAAGATCATGTCCTCGAACAATAGCTCTTCCAGCTCTTTGTGTCATCACGCCTAAAAAAAACTGCAAAATATATACAAGACAAACCAAGAAACGCCTGATGGTATCCCGCGCGACGAGCTTTTGAGTCGAGTCTTTTTTTTTTTTTTTTTTTTGAATCGAGACGAAACAAGACAAGACGAATCCTGGACCAGAACGAAAACAACCTTTTTTCTTTTTTTTTTTCTCAGGTGCATGCTTAGACTAAAGCAAATACCCCTCCTTTCTCTTTCACTCTACATTAACAAAGCAGCTATGGGGTTTTATTCAAACAAAAAGACATGCCTCTAAACTCCTCATTATTTCCTACACTCATAAACCCTTTGCATTCACCTGTACCATATCACCTGCATTTCATAAATAAATAATAAAATAATAATAGTTTAATAAACCCAATTAACGTGATTTATCTATACATGTACAGATTTAAACGTTTTCGAAGCATTAAATGTTGATAAACAAGAAGGATTAAATATGTCTGCTTTATTCATAATAGCAAGTCTCTTCTTTTTTTCTTTTCTTTTCTTTTCTTTTCTTTTCTTTTCCTTTTTAAATCTTCATATTCTATCTTTTTTTAGCACTAAGCTGTTCCATGGAAAAAGATAGGGCTGATCTGGTATCACGTGACACATGACGTACGTACTAACAGCAAGTGTGCGTAACCCCCCACTGTCGCACTGTCGCGCCATTTCATTAAAAGCATTTCATATTTTCTTTTTTTTTTTTTTTTAGTTCTCATTATTCTTTTGGTCTCCTCCCAACAAAGCAACAGTTTACCAATTCAGTAATACAACCCATATAGAAAGTCTCATCATAAAAAGTCTCTTCATATATATAAAAAAAAAGAAAAAAGTAAACCGAAATGACGACCCTTGAAGATAAATCGCTTTGGGAAACTACTCCTGAGGAAGAGGTTTTGGGAGCTGACATTCTGAAGGCGAACACGGAAGAGATTATTAACCGGACACGACTGTTGGACAATGACATCAAGGTACGATAAAGAAAAAAAAAAAAAAAAAAAAAAACGCGGATTACACATCCATACATGTACACAAAAAAAGCACACTCTCTTGAAGTATATATATATTGACAGATATACAGACATATATACTTAAGCTGGCTTTATGAACGTGTTTATTAACACCCTCTGGAAAAATAAAATAAAATAGGTTATGAAGAGCGAAAATAAACGTCTTCAATATGAGCAGGCAGCTATGAAAGAAAGGATCAAAGACAACAAAGATAAGATCAAGATGAACAAGCAGCTTCCATACTTGGTTGGTAATGTGGTTGAGGTATGTTACAAGAAAAATGGATCAAGTACTTTAAGGCTTGATCTGCCAATATCAAAGGATAAAAGATAATATATACAAACATAAAAGCGGATATGAGCTTTTTTTTTTTTTTTTTTTTTTTTTTTAAAAAAAAAAAGCACTTGGAACTAACATTCTTTTTTTTATTTTTTTTTTATTTTTTTTTTTTAACTACCTTATTTCTATTTCCATTTCCATTTTTTTTTCTTTTTTTTTTTCTTTTTTTCTTTTTTTTAATTGCTGGCATTATTATTGTTCTCATCAAGTTGCTTGATATCGATCCTGAGGATGAAGAGGATGAGGATGGTGCAGCGATGGATTTGGATGCAAACAGGAAAGGCAAATGCGCTGTCATTAAGACTTCAACTAGACAGGTATGGAGATAAAAGGAAAATGTCTGGACTGCTATGTTTTTTCTTACAAATCAAGTTAAAAACAGTGATGCTTTGTCAATTCCTAAAAAAGAATCTCAGTGTCATTCAATATCCTTCATTCTTTATTGACTTTTTTTAAAAAATTAAAAAACTTTTTTTTGACCCTGTAGACAATCTTCTTGCCTCTGATCGGATTGGTGGACCCTGCAACCTTGAAGCCCGGCGATCTCATTGGAGTCAACAAGGACAGCTTTCTGGTCCTTGATACACTTCCTACAGAGTATGTTTTTATCATTCAAAGACTTTATCCTGATTATGAATCAGTTCATTATGGCCCAAAGTACAGAAGAAGTGATTTTTAATGAATCTATTCATTTTTGTTTTATATTATATTTTTCTTTTGTCCTATCGTGTAGATATGACTCGCGTGTCAAGGCAATGGAAGTGGATGAGAAGCCTACTGAACATTATAGTGATATTGGAGGTCTGGAGAAACAGATTGAGGAATTGGTTGAGGCTATTGTACTTCCAATGACTCATGCTGAACGTTTCAAGAATCTTGGTATCAAGCCACCTAAGGGAGTGTTGATGTATGGTCCTCCTGGAACAGGAAAGACATTATTGGCTCGTGCCTGTGCTGCACAGACGAATGCTACATATCTTAAGCTGGCAGCCACGTCACTTGTGCAGATGTTTATCGGAGATGGAGCAAAGATGGTTCGTGATGCATTTGAATTGGCCAAAGACAAGAAGCCGACTATTATCTTCATTGATGAATTGGATGCTATTGGAACAAAGCGTTTCGACAGCGACAAGACAGGAGATCGTGAAGTACAAAGAACCATGTTGGAGCTATTGAACCAGCTGGACGGTTTCAGTAGTGATGAGGGTATTAAGGTAACAACAGTATACAATATGGATGTTTTTTTTTTTTTTTTTTTTTTTTTTGTATTATGGTTATAGACCATTGCTCAAGACCAAAGTAATTTCCGTTGACTGACAAGGCTTTTTTTACAAAAAAAAATAATAGGTTATTGCAGCAACAAATCGCGTTGATATTTTGGATCCAGCTTTGCTGCGCTCCGGACGCATTGATCGTAAGATTGAATTTCCAGCACCTAATGAGGAGGCCCGCGCACAGATTTTGCGGATCCATAGCCGAAAGATGAATGTCTCTGATGAAGTCAACTGGGCTGAACTTGCACGCAGCTGTGATGAATTCAATGGAGCTCAATGCAAAGCTGTCTGTGTTGAGGCAGGAATGTTGGCACTGCGTCGTGGAGCCAACCAACTGACCCATGACGATTTCTTGATGGGTATTGCTGAGGTCCAGGCCAAGAAGAAGACTCGTCTAGTGTACTATGCATAAGCAAGAATGGTACGGAGGTCAGAAGGGAAAGGAGGAAAAAAAAAAGAAAAAGAGTGAAATATTAAAAATATACACATAAAAAAATATTAAAATATGTAAAGTGATCATAAAGATGTTAAGCCCATGCTAGCAGTCACGAGGCCTTAGTTTAAGATGAATCAGCGCGATCAAAGCATACACATCTTGCCTCACTGCAATGTCGAATTCAGGGATCTCCGCTGGCGCTGGCGCCCCGGGATCAGGACAGCAACCTCTATATCCGCAGCCAATTGGTACATTCTCGTCCAACACCAATGCCACCACGTCTGCCACAGCAGGCATGTCATTAGCAAACAACAGTAATAGTGGTCCATCGACATCAGCACCCCTATCGACCACAACATTTGGACCCCAGCCAACGGCACCACTCACTACAGCGCCTGCAGGCACCGCGCCACGAAAGCAACTAGCAGCCGCAGCCGCAGCAGGCGCTGCAGCCAGTGCAAATAAATCAGGGCGTGGTAACAAAGGAACCTATGGTAAAAAGGGCGGTGGCGGTGGAGGAGGTGGTGGAAGGCGAGGGGGTCGAGGAGGAGGAGGAGGAGGAGGTCGTGGAGGCGGAAGATCAGGCGCAGGAGGAGTCTCTGGAGGAGGAGATGACGATGATGGGGCTAGGGCTGGCGCAAAGGACTCTGATGACGAAAATGAAGACGAGCCAGAAGTCAGTATAGAAGAACAATTCATCCTGCGATTACCACCAGGAGAAATGTGTGACCGGTTCAGAGAGAAGGTGATTGCCCGTGAAATAGATGAAGATGTCAAACTTCGATTTGCAGGTATTGTGGGAGAAAAAAAAAAAAAAAAAAAAAAAGAAAATGAAGAGTCTATTGTGATCTGTCTCATACTGTATTGGCCCATAGTGAGTTTCAACATCAGCCAAAGCATCAGAGCTGACGGAAACCTCTTTTATACATATAAATGCATATATTTGTTTGGCTAGATGCAAGGCGTGGAACATTTACGTTTGAAGGTGTCGAGTTCCCAACAAAGCTAGTGGATCTGCCAACGATCACTGAGGCCCAAAAGACACTTAATGGGAAGCAGATGTACAAGATTGCGGATATTTCTCAGATGCTTATTGTGGACCCGACTCCAATCGAAAAGACTCCTCAGATAAAAGCAGAACCAGGAGTAGATTCATCAGCAACAGCAACAGCAGCAGCAGGGACAGGAGCAGCAGGAGCTACAACTGGGACAAACGGATCTATGCCAGCCCCATCTTCATTGCCACCGCTTAAATTGAGCGATTATATCTGGCCTGATGGCCTGACAAACCCATTGAAGAACGTGCGCAAGAGGCGTTTCAGGAAACGTGTATCCAAAGTGGTATGTTGATCGATCTTTATTGGAGAAGACTCGATCCACATGGAAATATATGGCACTAGGCAAAAATTTTAGTTGTTGGAATTGATATAAGATTCTTAACATCTCTCATTTTTATCTTCCTCATCATATATCCTAAATTATAATATAGGCGGTGGAAGGCGTCGAAAATGAAGTAGAGCGACTACTCAAGGAAGATTCCGCCGCAGAAGAAGTTGTATATGAAATCCGAGAACAGATTGATGGCATGGATCGATTCGACTCCGACGATGGAGCCACGCCGGCGCCAGAAGGTGCGCATAGTGACATGGACATGGATGGCGAAATGATGGATATGGATGAGGATGAAGATGAGGATGATGACGATCTCTTGGCAGAGATTGAAAGAGAAATCGGTGGAGGCGAAAATTCATCCGACGAGGGCGATGATACTGGTGGTACACCTCAACCTCAGGAAAAAACGTCTGTTGGACAGCTTGGTAATGGAATTAGAAATATCAGTGGCGCTGAAGCTGGTACTGGTGGAGGTGGTACGGCAGTCAAGAATGTTGCGGGCAACAAACTGGGAGCTGCTTCTGACTTTATGACTGGAGTTACTGCGCCTTCTCGCTCAATATCATCTTCTACTGGCGGTGCCAATTCATCCTCCACAGTCAAGGGTGACAAGGGCAAAGTCAAAATTGCAGGTGATGACAACGAAGATGAGGACGAGGACGGCGATGAAGATGATGAGGAAGAAGAGGATGAGGAGGACGAGGATGAGGATAGTGGTTCTGACGAGGATGATGAGGACGAAGATGAAGATGATAAAGAAAATGCACAGATGGAGAAGCTACTCAAGGACGAGATCAAGGAATTGAACGGTAGGATCAGAGACCATGAAGAGAGACTTCAGTCAGCGCCTAACGATATTCTCAGGGTAATGAACTACGTATTTTAACCAAAAAAAGAAACCCCAGTTTGTTGATTTCTCAGGCTGTATGTTTTCTAACGCATTCATATGTTTTATACCATACGATAGAGACGTTTCGGCTCTATTTTGGACAATCTTCGCAGGGAACTGGAGCTCAAAACGATGCAATTGGAAGAGGCGAAGGGACCATCCAAACCAAAAGCTTAGTATATATAATGTAATGATAGTAATTAATAAAAAAAAAAAAAAAAGAAAAAAAAAAAAGAAAAACATTCGTCTAGTCGTCATTGTGCATGCTCTTTGTAATTGAGATTGTGAAGTAGGCAAATAGATAAATAAATTATTGAATTATATCATATTTTAATTCAAATCTAAGGAAAGGAAATGCAAAAATAAAAATTGTAAAAAATAGAACACATACACAGCCACATCCTAAAAATACTTATTTTCGACCTAACAAGCTGTGCCTAAGCATTTCGCATGATTAACCAAAAAAAAGAAATGGTATACCCTTTGGTTGTAGCGCACTTTTTTTTTTTTTTTTTTTTTTTTTTTTTCTAGACAACAACCTCGGTGTCACCAATCTTTGTTGGCGTGTAAATAGCGCCCTCTTTCTCAGTATCCGAAGGTAGTCCAAAATCTTTGAGCTCCTCCATATAATACTTCTTCAATGCATCGGCATTGGCTCTGAACTCGGCCATCTTGATTGATGATCCAAAACCCTCACCAATCTTTTCTGTGCCCGAGTAAACACCGACGATGAAAATAGGAGCCTTCGAGGTACGACCTGTCTCAGCCAACATTCGTGCTACCGGACGCTCACGACCTAAACGCTTCATCAACACAGACAAGTAATGCTTGGGCTCATCAATCTGGAGCAATGACTCGATCTTGAAATCACGCGACAAAAAGTGAGCGTGAACGAATTCTCGGGCTTTGAGGAAACCTTGATCGATGTAGATGGCCCCGACTATAGCGCGTACCACTGAGGCCTTGACAGTTTTTAATGACAATTGGTGTCCTGCATCAGGCTAATTGAAAACAAATAATAATAATAGTAGTAGTAGTAATAATAATAATAATAAAACATTAGAATCCGATAGTCAGGAACATAACCGTGTCAGTCATACGATTTCTAGTTAGCGTATTGCCAAGTGAAAAAAATGTTGAATTCCTGTTACCTTTGAACGAACCCAACGAGCAACATCTTCAACACCAAATTCCTTGGCCATGAGCTCCAAAGTACTCGTCCGAGTGTATACCTCCACAGCCTCCTTCAACACATTTGTAGGAAGTTTAGGATATTTCACATGGAGATACTCCATGACAAACATATGCAAAGCCTTGTCACCTTAAAAATATATAAAGACCATGCGAAAATGATTTTAGTTTCATCTTGCATTTCACACTAAGAAAGTTTGATCTGCATAAAAAAAAATAAAAAAAAAAATAAAAAAAAAAATGCTGCCTTCAAGTGCTCTTCTACGATGAGAAACATTGTTGATCTACTTTTAGCGTCGCGCAGACTCGGGAATACTTACCAAGGGTATCAAGTCTTGCATTAGTCTGGATGCCGACCCTCTCATAACTAGGATGTGTGACAATGCGCATCAAAAGTGTCTGATCCTTGAGTTTGTTCAATTTTAGACGGTGAGCGAATGCAACGACTGCTGGTGAAGGTGTCTCTATCCTATATTTCGAATCCTGTGCTGCTGTTGCTGCCTCTGCTCCTGTTTCTGATATTGGTGATGATGACTTTTCTTCCTGTTGCTGTTGTACTTTTGACTTCTTGGCGGACTTGACATTGATAAGGAATGTACGGTTGAGAGTAGGTGTGGAAGCTATATCCCATACCCAAAAATTAAAATATATAAAGGAAACAAGGAAACAAAGCGATCAGAATTCGTCATAAAAAAAAAAAAATAAAGATCAGTTTTTGGAGTGATCGCTCATGGTTGCAATGGCTGGATGAATAGGGTTGTCATTCATTCCACAATACTATGTGATAATTAATCTCTTTGTTTCAACAAGGACGGTCGGGTGGCGGTCAAAGGTTGTTCCTGGAATATAGTATAGACACACACCTCGGATAATATTGGATGCACGCATAGTGTTCCTGGCAAGAACCAGGGGTGAGCGAATGAGTCCAGTCATGGTAAAAAAGAAGAGAGCAAATTGGTGTCCAAGCGAGGTAGTCAATCGATAGAGAAAATAAACTAGATAAAGGGCAACCTGTCGGGCGCTCGGGCAGAAAGGCAGAAAGTTGGAATGACAATGTTGCGCCACGCGTGTGAGAGTGCTCAATGAGAGGGAAAGAGGAGGGAGAGAGCCAAGGCTCGAAATGAGGGTTCTCCTCTTTTAGGAGTAAACAAAGCAAAGCCACCGGCGAAATTATTTTGGACTGCTGTCTCTCGTACAATGAATGTTGCATGTATAGAGTGTAAATGTGTTAAATATCGATGTGTGAACAAAACAGTGAGCAATTGCACATGAACAACATTTTTACTTTTATACATTTATACACCAGATTTGTGCATGTCATGCTCATGCACTCTCCCGCCAAACAAAAACAAAGAAAACGATCCACGCGTAATAATAATTTCTTCAAATGTCCCATTATATCCATATTGTCCTAATGAACTGAGAAACAGACAGCCTGCAGAATGTTGCTCAGATGCTCTTTCGAGTCTAAATTTTGACATACAACCGACTGGTTATTGCTGACTGGGTATTGTTTGAATAAATGTTGCTTCTTTTTCTCCTTGACATTTCCTCCTTTTCCTCACTTTTTTTTCACATTCATCATTCAACTCTCATTCTTCCCCCCATCCCCCCTTTTCAAGAAACACAGCAAGACCTCTCGTTCCTTTGTCCCTTTGTGTTTCTTTGTTCCTTTCTCTCTCTCTTTCTCTCTTTCTCTCTTTCTTTCTTTCTCTCTCTCTTTCTTTCTCTCTCTCTTTCTCACACACTCTCTTATTCTCTCTTACTCACACTCTCTCTTTTTCACACTTCCTCTGTCTCCTACACCCATACCTGCTTATGAAACTAAGCCCTCTCAGCAACCAAGTCGGTGGCCACGACGGCGTCCTCTCAATGGGTGAAGAAAATGAGATTATTGTTAAACCAGCTCTCCCACAGGAACTGCGTTTTTATGAGGAAGCTGTATTGCACCCAGAACTTCAGACTTGGATGCCTGCCTACTACGGTACCCTTACTCTGACACATCAACAACCCCAGCAGAGTCAGACCAATGGCCCCACACCAACTATCAAGGCCATGAACGGCTACCCCGTCTCAGATATGCTGTCGTTTAAACAACAACCAGACCTAGCAGCAAATGAACAAAGCCAGGAGCTACTTCATCATCTGACACGCGAAGAAGGTGCAGAGGCATTCACAAAGGGCGACAAAGAGGATGCTGAATGTCTTTGTCTCGAAAATGTCTCACATGGCTTTCATAAACCATGTGTCTTGGATCTCAAGTTGGGCACGCAGCTGTATGATGATGATGCCACCGAGGAGAAAAAGCAACGGCTGGCTAAAGTGTCCGCTGAGACGACCAGTGCTTCCTTGGGTTTTCGTTTGACAGGCTTTCAGGTAATAAAAAATATCCCTCATGTTTATTTTTCATTATTGTTCTTTTGTGGTTATTTTTGTCCCAAAAAAAACATTCCATGATCCGAACATTGTTATTTTTTTTTTTATCCACCTGGACTTGATTATGGTACACAAGGAAAATGACTAATGAGTTTGATGATCTAATGATGAAAAAAAAAAAAAAAAAAAAAAAAAAATTATTTATTTCTTTCTTTCTACAAGATTTATGACAATGATAAGAAAGAGTTCATCAAGTACTCAAAACATTATGGCAAAGGTCTAACCAATGACACAGTCCTGGATGGGTTCCGAAACTTTTTCGCTGCCAAGCTTGGGCCTCAGAGGATGCGATTGGTCATCGAACGCTTTATCAGCGATCTAACCGACATTCTGGCCACGTTAGAAACTCAAGAGGTCAGGATGCGATCCAGCTCATTGCTATTGATGTATGAAGGGGAGCCTGATGCCTTTGATGAAGGCCTGATGATGGAACAGGAAAAAATCGCGAATGTAGTAGCAAAAGCAAAAGTTCATCTGGATCAAACAACTAATGGCTCAGACAATGGTCAACACGATAATGGTTATCAAGAAATGGATATCGATGAAGATTCAGAGTATGATGAAGATGATGAGCTGGCTCAGAAGGTAACAGATTTGAGATTGATCGATTTTGCTCACAGCACTTGGACACCCGGTCATGGCCCCGATGAAGGTGTTCTCCTAGGTGTCAGGTCCACGCTCGCACAATTTGAAAAGCTCTTAACGGTGGACTATCCTGCTGAAAATTAATCAGGCACCACTGAGGTACAATCCCTTCCTCTTTTTAATCATATCGCAAGTAATATCAAGTCCTGTAATAGATTACCATTCCATTCATACTTAATAAACGTAATAATAATCATCATGGCACATATCCTATTTGTAAATGTATTATTTTTTTCTTGTTTTTTTATTTTTTTTTTTATTTTTTTTTAGAGCTCTATGAGTGCATGGATATTTTAATGGATTATGCATTGATATTACAAATACATAAATCAGTCTAATCGTCTTTGCTATCTGCTCTTTTTTTTTTTTTTTTTTTTTTAATCGCAACGGCCGTCTGCAGGGCCGTCTCTCCATCGCTCATCAAGCTTGTTGCAATCAAATATTTCTTTTCCAAGCATCTCATTGACTTTGTTGTGCATACCACACATCCACCAGGCCAACTCCATTCGGCTCTCGACCTTGGGAGGATCGACTTTCATCTCCTCACGCAGGTGCTCAGCACAATAGCCACATGGATAAAATTGAGAAAACGAGCTCAACAACGACTTCATAGTTGATTGCTCCTGGGCATTGGGCTTGTCTGGATAATAGGCTGCCATCGTATGTAGGAAAGTCCATGTTGCACGACCTAGGACCTCTTTATCGGGCGGACATTCTGCTTCGTAATCGAATGTTGAAGTAGAAGAAGAAGAAGAATCCCTTCCGTCTGCCGCCGTCGCTGCTGTCACTGCCGCTGCTGATGTCATCGTTGATCCGTCAGAAGAAGAAGAAGATGATGATGAATCGCCCTTCTTACTTTTGGCTTTCTTTCCAATCTTGGACCAGCTCTTCCAATCTGTGCAAGTACGACATGGTTTCCCATCCGGTCCCAGAACCATACCCGGAGGCAAGGAAGCTGTGCTATCCTGGATCGTATCGGAAGGCATTGAATGGTCAGGCGCAGGCATATTTGTCCCTTTTTTGTTGATTAATTAATAAGGCGATCGGAATGGAATAAAAGAGAAAAAAAAAAAAAAAAGTCACCCAATTTTTTTTTTTTTTTTTTTTTTTCTTAAGAATGGATGTGTATCAGGTGACAATAAGGAGTAACAAATTCGATTTATCAAGGTTTCTTTCTGGTGAAGGAAAAAGGAAAGACAAACGCGTATTTAAAAGACAACATTCTTTCTTTGCATTATGAAAGGTATCTTTTTAGTCTCAGTTTAAAGAGGATTGATGTTCGTTTTTTATTTTGCTTTATTTTATTTTATTTTTTTTTTTTTTCCCTCCGAATTCTAATCTCACGAGCATTGTTGGAATATAGCTTCTTGTAGACTCCCAATAACAATACATGACAAGAGCTTTCCATCATTATCAATGCCTGACTTTTGCGCCTGTGTCACTCCGTGCCATAAGTCTCATATAACTAGAGACAGGAGAGGAATAACCGAGTACGGGAGGAAAGAATGACAGAAGAAACTGTTTGTAAGATCAATTGACAATTGGTGAGTGAGGAACCATTCAGGCCTTGTTTAGTAAAATATGATCTTTATACTTTTTTATTATTTGCATCACGATGCCATACTACAATAGAGAATAGTAAAAGATATGGGAGCGTGCGGAGGCTGTGCATCATAAGGTTGTGTAAGTCTTATGAAGAGAAGCAACAGAGAGAAAGAGAGAAAGAGAGAAAAGGAGGAAGGAGGAATAGAGGAAGAGGAGAAGGGGGGTATACAAACAGCACAATAAAAACTACAACAACAACTAGAAGGTATTTACAGAGGTTGATCCAGTTCAAAAAGAAACAAGAGGTGAGGAAAAAAAAAAAAAAAAAACGAAGAGCAAGGGAGAGAGACGCGAAATAGGGACAGCATTGAAAGTCTGTGAGGCATTTTGTAAGCCTGGGATGTTAAGGTTGAGTAACTGTCAAAGCCTCGTCTCTTGGAAAGAGCCTAGGATGTACGGCGAAACCTTTTCCATTCACGCGCTCAGAAAAGCCAGGATTCAGAAAAGAGGCGCTGAAAAGGACTGGCCTCGTCTTCATCCCTGAGAGCACTATTGATCAATGATTCACGGTCACGGGGGCGTTGAGAGCCCATGACCATAGCTGACAATGGCTTCTCGCTCTTGGGCTTTGGTAGATGGTTGATTAGGTCTTCATTATCATCAACCCAGTCCATGAGCTCGTCCATATCACCTTCAAGCTCTTCTTCCCACTCGTCGACCATCCAAACCTGATCATGACGCTCTTCATCCTCATCGTGGATGCTGCCTGTGAGTGAGATATTGATGCGGTTACGGCGATGACGCTCATCTTCATCCCCATTCTCAACCTCATCACCATCACCATCACCACGGGTAACCGCACGCAAGATACCATCCTCACCCAGTTCAAACAACTCTTCGTCCTCGGCATCAAACAAATCGATGGATGGATAATGTGCATCAACCAAGGTTCGTTCTTCATCTTGGCCCCAAAAATCTAAATCTTCCTCCAATGGGGTCTTCTCATTAATTTCGGGCTCACCAATCGACGCAACCGTACCTGAGGGAGATACATGATGGTCTTCTTTTTCAGAACTTGGTTGCTGCTGGTTCGTCAATTGCTGTTTGAGTTCCACAATCATATCGTAGTTGATATGAGGGAACAAACTTCTACGTTTGTATGCAGAACCAACGGCAGGAGAAGCAGGATCAGTGCCACTTGCATCGCCACTATCATTCTGAAACTGTTCATCGCTGGAAGGAGGGATATTGGGCTCGGTGTAAGGGGAATGGGGGCGACGTGCCTGTGGTTCTTGAGGTGAACGTTTCCAGTATGGAGAGGCGCTGTTATAGCGGTTGTTATTGTCATTGTTAAAACCAAAGGCCGAGGAAGAAAAAGAGAGGATTATCAAAGTCAACAGAGCAGAGCCCAACAATGACCTGGAAAAGAAGCAACTGAACTTTGTATGCCGCATGGAATTTTTATCGATGTTGGTTACTTTTTTTTTACTGTTGTTGTTGTTGTTGTTGCAATTGGATGTGTAGCGAATGAAAGCTGTTGTTTCTGCCGTGCAAATTTTATTGGATGTTTCCAACGATTAAGTAGGATAGCATGCAGTTGTGAAAAAGGAAAAGAAAGAAAGAAAGAAAAGGGATGAAAGACAAGATGGTCGGGCGAGGGCGTGGGTAACTATGGAAGTCTAGAAAGAGATGAAGAGAGAGGGCGCAATATTTTTTTTCCGACTGTTGACAGTTTCAAGAAGGATTTAAGGAGAGTGCAAAGACTGAGGATACGGTTTTATTATGACTGATGACAAGAAAAGATACAAGTGAAGCAGACAATGAGGGGTAGAAAGGACAAATGTATCCGGCAAAGTATTTGGAGGGAAAAGAGAGAGAACGAGAAAGGGTATGAAAGAGAGGGGTCAATGAGAGGGACTGAGAGAGGTTGAGAGAGGTTGAGAGAGGTTGAAAGAGGTTGAGAGAGGTTGAGAGAGGTTGAGAGAGAGGAGATGAGAGAGAGGGGGTAGAAAGAGAAAGTGTGAGGATGCGTGAGACTCTGACAAGAGCAAGGAGCGGGTTTGCAGGTGCAGTGCAATGCAGACAGGCAGGCAAAGGGAAAGAGAGAAGCACAAGCAGGCAAACAAGAGAAGAAAAAAAAAAAAAAAAAAAAAAAAGAAAGAGACGAATGGCATGAAAGTGAACGTTTATATATTCTTTCAGTTGAACTCAAAAGAGCGTCTGTCTTTTTTTTTTATTTTTTTTATTTTTTCCTCTGACTCTCTTTCTGGTAAAAAAAAAAAAAAAAAAAAAAAAGAAATCTTAGGCTGTGTTGAGCCTGCGCTTACTTGCTTTGCCCTTCCTTGCTCTCTCTTCTCATGAGATATCTTTTTTACATGATACGACAGAAATAGAACTGGAAAGTCAAAAAGGTCCAGCTAAGGTCCAGCTACACCTCCAACGTCGGCATTCTTCTTTATGCACTCTACATAAGACTCAAACTCAAACAGCTGTTACTGTGTTCCCGTTTCTTCTTGAATGCAGTCCAAGAACTTTGTAACAGTAATAATACGCTGAAGATTCTCAGACACGCAAGGCAATGGACATGGCAGAGGAAAAGATTACTCTCTATTCCACTGCCACATCGAAAGGGCGGGAGCCAAAGACATAGCCGAAAACTGGGTTTGTAAGTTTTTTTTTTTTTTTTTTTTTCCTTTATTTTATTTTATTTTTTTTTAACGATAGGAAAATACCGACATCCAGTTTACAAATCTCGGCACTAGAGAATCCAAGACTTGCTCGCCAGGCAAAAAAAAAAAAAAAAAAAAAAAAAAGTTTGGCTCTCTTTTTTCTCTTTTTTTAGTTGTTTTTAGACAGCGGCTCTTTCGCGTTCACTCCTTTCTGGTTATACAGGACGTTTGTTTGTCTCGAATGCGTATAAAGTATACGAAGGAATCTTACAACCATTTAATCTGACGACGGCCGAGAGCTTTTTTTTTTTTTTTTTTTTTTTTTTTTTTTTGCTGTCTGACAAAGGCATGTTGCCTCCTTGTGGACCGTAAAGGAAGCACCATACCATCATGCAGTTGGTCGTTGTCAATTGGGAGCACTTTGCTTGATAATCAGGCTAGCAACCATTAACTGTGTGCGACCTTTTTGGCAGCATCTTTTCACTGAAAAAGTATTCCATGTGGGATTCAAACAAGCTTTAGGCATTTAAAGCATTAAAATTACTGTCCATTTCCTTTAATAAAATATATTTATTCTAAGATGTGCGGTACGCGTGGAATCTTTGTTGAAGTCTGAACGTCTGGTTCAGTTGTAGTCTAACCTGTACATGTACCTTTTTTTTTTTTTTTTTTTTTTTTTAAAAAAAAAAAAAAAAAAAAAAAGCTCTCAATGCTCGGGTAAATGTCATGGTTGTTGGACTAAACCCAAATGAGAATTGGCTTCATCAGCTGCAAAAAAAAAAAAAAAAAAAAAAAAAAAAAAAAACCAGCACGGAATAAAAATATAACGGTCTGGAATGCTGAATGCAACTCTTGAAGAAATGAGGAATGGGTATCATCCAAAAGAGGATAAGCTGATTTTTTTCGTCTGTGCAGAAAGGATAAATTGCTTTCTCCTATCCACAATCGTGATCGCCTACTGTTGGAAACCCTCAACAGCCTTTTTTTTATATATATATGTAGAACTTATTATTGGACTCTTATCGACCTAGATGCCAACTTTGGTCCCATCATCCTTATTCGGGACGTTGTATCAGTGTTCAGTATACGAATGAGGGATCATTAAAGAGGGTGGAGCCAAAATGACATGCATACATAGAGTAAGGGGAAAAGCACGATCAGTCATGTGTGATGTACATTCCCCGTGGCGTATCGCTGACCCATACTACCCACCGAACCATGTAACGTAGTATACTGTTGTCCTCTCCAAATCCATGAGAAGGAACAAAGCAAGGCGGGAGTTGTGCCTGGTTTTGTCATCTCAAAACTTCAATACCATCTCATAGGTAGCTCTAATAACAGATATCAAAGCCTGACCTTTGTTTACTCAATCTATCTGCATGCGTGAATAAACTTCCTTTGTTCGAAGGTGCATTAGTCACTATAGCGTAGGAAATGGAGCCTTAGCTGGACCTTGACTGCCTTGGCTGATGGAGTACACGTCATTTAATACTATGAGTGCCCTTCAAAACTAAATACGTTACAAATAAATAATCTAGTGGCAACCCATATGAGAGAAAAAGCGAACTTAAGAGAGAAAAGGTGTGTGTGGGTATGAAAGAAGAGTGATGAAAGCAAGCTTAGTTAATACTTACCATGAACGTTAACGGGCAGAAAAAGAAAGAGGACGTGCGCTGAGCTCAGCCACGGTACTTAAAGGGCGCATACCATCTGTGGCTGAGTTCCATTAATCAAATAGAAACAACCATCCATCTTTAAAGGACCTTTCATAAACATCTTCTTCAGAGCACAATACCATTTTGACTGTAGTCATTCAAAAGACTATGAGGGTCATGTTGCCTTTAGGAGTTAAAACTGTGTCATGGATATGATCCACCTTTGGACAAATTTGGTCGAGATGTTTATCTTGAGCGGGACTTTCTGATGGACCAAAGAGTTAAGGAACATATTTCTCCTGCCGTCCAGGTCGTTTTGTCTGCGATCATTGCTTGCTTTTTTTTTTTTTTGTGTGTATTTTCACCTGAACATGGATCTCGGTCCTAGATTATAGTAACTCTCTCATTTGCTTGCGAAGTTGATTTTTTAGTTTTTTTTTTTTTTTAGTAGATCACCCTTCAAAGTTGCAGCCAAACACGCACGTAATATTTTGTAATTGATACACATTGACTCAACCCAAATTAAATCCGTTGCACAAAATCAACAAATAATGCAGGCTTGCATTGCTGTATTACAGAACAGCTCTTCTCTTCACAACGTTTTTTTTTTTTTTACGATTCCACATTGCTCTTCACATTCTTCATTCCATTTATTTTTCTTTCCAACACATTATTACAAGTACATTCTATCTCTCCTCATTTTTTTCTTCAGCATGTACGCCTCCCGCGCAAAAACAACATTCTCCACCCTCACTTCTACTATTATAAAGCGTCCCTTTTACACGAGGAGGCTGCTTTCCTCGAGCCGCAATGCTCAAAAGGACAAGATTGTACCTGAAGTCACTCAGCCATCCGCCCACAATGTACTCTCAAAAACAACTTCCCCTTCTAATGCCCCAACGGCCTCATTGCTCAACAAGGAGTCAATCGAGAAGTCTCAAAAGGATCTCTCCGATCAACTTGGAAGCAGTCAGGCGGGCAAAATTCTTGCAACATTGAGTAAGTTGGATCCGATCTTCTCCCTTTGTTCCGGATATCCATACTTTTTTTTTTTTTTTTTTTTTTTTTTTAGTATTTTTTCATTCTAGCTCATTGAAATGATTGCATGATCTCTTAAGTCAGGGTGATGTTCTTCTGGTCTTTACTTTCTGTTCTTTTGAATGTTCGGATCAGGTTTTTTTATTTTACACTTTAACGCTCGCTCGAATCCCAAAAAAGGAAACCCCGCATGCTCGCTCTTGCATGCTAGTGGAAGAAGAGTGTGGGAACTAATTTTATCATGCACGTTTACTCACATCATGATGGATAGATTAAACTGACCCTCACTCCTGTTCTATTGTATTCCATTTGTCTCTTACCCCTCCTTTTCCTCAATAGACTCCTCCAATCTAACAGGTCCTAATGGTAAAGTCTTTACTGTAAGGCCATTAACCTCATGGATTGACAAGCTTGCAAGTGAGCATGGGTCTCCCGGTGCCCACTTTGTACCCAACAATAACTTGGATTCATCTCAACAGCCAAAAAAGTATCAGAAACGCGAACTGGTTCTCAAGTCTATGGAGGATTCTTACACAGAGATCATCCTACCCTTCAAGTCTGATAAGGCACTTCTGGAGGAGTACATCAACGTGGGTGGAACACTGAGGTACCGTTCTTTTTTTTTTTTTTTTTTTTTTTTCCTCTTGAACGCCATGAGTTGTGGGCGGAGTCCAAAAGTTGTTGAATAAGCGAGATCTGCGTGAATAGAACAAATGTTTTTTTTTTTTATCATCCTAACAATTATCAACCTCCGACTTTTTTTTTTTTTTTTTTAACTATGGTTTGTGGACCTTAGGCACGGAAAGATTATGGAAGATCTAGATGCATTGGCTGGGGCTATTGCCTACAAGCATGCGGATGATGGTAAACCCGATAGCTCGCCCATCACTATCGTAACCGCCTCTGTTGACAGGATTGATTTGTTGAAGCCTTTGGGTGTTAGTGACATTCGTCTCTCCGGTCACGTTACATATGTTGGATACAGTTCTATGGAGAGTATGTAGCGCTTAGCATTTATTATGTCCGCACCTTGTCTTGACAGCTGACCTGAATTTGCCCTTTTATTAATTCCTGTCATATTCCAATTTTTTTTTTCCTTAGTTTTTATGAAGATGGAAGAAATCTCGGCAGAAAAGCCAGAAGAACGAGGTGATACTATCTTGGTCGCAAGATTCACCATGGTTGCTAGGGATTCACTCACCGGCAAGGCTGCTCAAATAAATCCGATGTTGCTCAGCAATGACACTGAGAAAAAGTTGTACCAGATGGGAGAAGGTAGACATTCGCAAACACTTTACCTCATAATGTGGCCTAGAAAAAAAAAAAAAAAAAAAATCAGCCCACTTACGATTTTATATTAACATGAATTTAGATCACAAGGCTAAGAAGCGCTTGGCAGCAGATGCTGCACTGACAAAGCGTCCCCCAACAGAGGAAGAGCGTTTCTTGATCCATGACCTCTACCTAGAGTATTCGGAATATGAAAACCCACATTCCAAGACCAAAAAGCCGGATAATGTTGAATGGATGTCTGATACGAAGATGAGTGCCATCCATATTATGCAGCCCCAAGACCGTAATATTCATGACAAGGTATATATATGATTTATTAGATTTATTTAATTTGGAAATGTAAACAATGCAGACAATTCCCACCTGAATGTGTCATATTGACTCTTTATTTTTTTTTTTTTTTTTTTTTTTTTTTTTTTCGCTTTCCAGGTTTTCGGTGGGTACCTGATGCGTTTGGCCTACGAACTTGCGTTTTGTAATGCCTCGAAGTTTATTTCATCTCGCCCAACATTCTTGGCTCTGGATGAGATTTCATTCCGCAAGCCTGTTCCGATCGGAACGTTCTTGGAGCTAGACTCCCAGATTGCATACGCAGAAGGCGGGGACCATCATTCATTTCAAGTCATGGTCAAAGCTGATGTGTTGAACGTTAGTAAGAAAACCAGGGAGACGACCAACACATTCTGGTTCACGTTCACGGATCCAGTCAAGGGCACTCCCAAGATCATGCCCAAGACCTATGCAGAGTCAATGTTGTACCTTGAAGGCAAGCGTAGGAGGATGATTGGAAGCAAGCTGGCCGGTGTTAGTAGGAAAAACCTAGGTCTGCGGGACTAGGAAGAGGAAACGGTCAGGATATATATAAAAAACCTCTTTAGACTTTTATTTTAATATCTCTTATAATAAATAGACAATAGGTTATGACATTCATAGGACAGTTCACATTTAGAAGGCAATCATTTGATACAGCCTATTCTTCTCTCATAAATATGGAGTTTATTTGTTTATGCAAAAGGGTAGGATTTTTTTTTTTTTTTCTTCATCTGATAATACAAAAAATTACAATAAATGAACATGATGCTAAATATGATGAAGACATGATGGTACTGATGTAGTAAGAAGAAAAAAAGAATAAGGAAATGGTATATGATAGTTGAAATGATTATATTGGAGCGAAAAAAATAAAAAAAAAAGCGGATACTTGAATGCTTGGCACCATTTTTTTTTTTTTTTTTTTTTTACCGACGACCCAATTGACCCAAGGGCAAGGTATAAAACGAGTTTTGAGAATTACTAAGGTCTGCCATTGCACAATACCACGCAATACTGGCAGTAATAACACCGATGCCACCACCGGCCTTTTGAACCAGATTACCGGGGGCCAAATGAGCTAGACTAGAGATCGTGCTGAACAAATAGGTCATACCGAGGCAAAAGAACAAGGCCGAAGAAGCCAGATTGGAACGCCAAGTGAGGGTCCACATCAAGAAGGTGAAAATGGTCCAACCCAGAAGATAGATCCCCACAGCCGTCATGTAGTCCTCAGGGTAGTCCGCATAGGCTGCAGCCACACCAAAGGAAGGGATCAACAGTGTTGCATAAGAAATCCAATAGAGTCCTAGATGGAATGAAAAAGAACGAAAGAAAAGAGTAGTTAGTAGACAAATATTAAAAAAGTAAAAAATAAAAAAATAAAAATAAAAATAAAAATAACTTTGGCTTGCTGTAACATAGTTTGTAGATGATTTAACAATACCATATGAGCAAAAAGTCGTTCCTCCGAATGTGTTGCCGTTACGATATTCAAGCAATCCAGCAATGACCTATGACAGGGTTAAAGAAGAAGAAGAAGAAAAAGGAGAAAAAACAAAAGGAGCCAGGTATAATGTTTATACGGATATGTTAGTTGGGCCTTGTTATTGTGTTATTGTGCATAGACCATGCGTTTCCGAGATAATGGAGAGTAAATACGTGTAATGTAAACAGTAATATAAAAAAAAAAAAAAAAAAAAAAAAAAAAACACGCTAGTAGACGCGTTTCTGCACACAACATTAAAGACCTTTTCTCTAATGAACCAACTTTAATTGTTTCTCTGTCAATTGAACCCTGAAACGTCTTTCTGTTGTACTTTTAATTGTTGTGATGAGTTTGTGTAGATTTTAGCTCACCAACGTTAAAACGTCGGTGGAGCATTTTGTAGAAGCGGGGAAGCACATAAAATTGGGCATTTACGTGTACGGGGACCAATTAGATCTGCAATAAATAGATTAATAAATAATACATAGTCTACAAGGTCGGAAAAAGGAGGAAAGCAAAATGTGATCGCCACAGCAAATTTTTTTTTTTTTTTGCTAATTGTATTGGGCTTATGTTAAAGGAAAAAAAAAAAAAAAAAAAAAAAAAAAGGCGGGGAACTCAAAATTGATATTCTGATCGAATGTTCGCGTATTCTTTTTTCTAAACATGAAAATGCAATGCGGACATGTAAAAAAATAAAAAGAAAGCAATATGAAAAAGGACCAATCATCCAACCAAAAGCATCTTGCTCTCAATACAAAATTACAAAAAATGTCCAAAACAAAAGCAAGATCGTATGAAGACATAAGGAATAGAAAGGAAAAAAAGAACAAAGTGCCGATGATGAATGTGCATAAAGTCTGGAGGTATGGTGAAAAAGAAAAGAAGGAGAATTGGTTTATGCGCGAGAAAGGGATTGGGTGACGACTATTACCTGTCCAAGACCACCGTAGAACATGGCTGTTCCTGTAATAAAGTTGCCAGGTGCGTTGGGATGAACACCTGCACGCAGGTTGTAAAGACCCATGCAGAACGCAGTTAATGCGAAGGCACAGAGACCGAAGGGCCCAGGATTGGGGGGTGAGACACTGGGCTGCAAAACCGCGTTTAAGGAAGGATTCATGTTCATATCCATCTGGAAAGGTGATACTCGGACATCTTCTGGTTCCAAGTGAGCATGAAGAGGAAGCTGTGCTTGCTGCTGTTGAAGTTGCTGCTGCTGTTGCTGTTGCTGCTGCTGTTGTGTGATGATGTGGTGGATTGGATGATCGACAAGCTGGTGCGGTTGCTTTGAAAGATCAAAGATTGTATCCTTGGATGAAGACATGTGTTTAGTGCTTTGACTGTTGTGGGGTAAAAATTCTTTTTGGAAAAATGTGTTTTTATATAAGAATTGACAGGAGAACGAAGGAAGAAGGTCGAGTGAAGGTATGAAACCTTTCGTGGCAGGAGAAGATTGACAATCAAAGTAAAGGGAAAGAAAGAGAAAAGAGAAAAGAGAAAAAAAAAAAAAAAAAAGAATAAAGAGAAAAGAGACAGGTGGAGCAAATAGAAAAAAAAAAAAAAAAAAAAAAAAAAAAGCGAGGTGTTCTTGTAGCTCTTTTTTTATATAAATATTTATTAGTTGAGCTGTCCATTCTCTTCATCATTAGATTCCTATTCCTTCCATAATGTGTATGAAATAGAGTATCTATTCCTCTTTTTGATCTTGCCAATGGGTTCGTCGGGGCTGTAATTATTGTCAAAGAGGCCGACAGAATCCGGGGATATGCATAAACATCATTAAGGACTTTGCCACTCTCCTATCATTGGACCAGTGTCTGAGGAGAAATGTGACACCTCCCCATCTGCCTCATTTGCTTCATCTGCCTGCCTGGGAGGAAAGAAATAAAAAGAAAAAAGAACCGACTAAAATGTAACCAACCACAGCACACCACTCAGGGTCATTTTAATTTTAAACTTTGGTTCAAAGTTGTCCCGTCCTATGCATATGCGTTTCTATGAAGCAATTAATAGGATCTCTTCTTGCTTGCTAGTCTAGTCTATCATAGAAAAAGGTATATAGTGTGGGAAGTCAAGGCATGTCGCATATATATATTTATATATATATCAAGGTTATATGTATATATATATATATATATTTGTATAAATAACAATGATGATGATGAATGGTCGTAATCATCGTTATTGTCCGCTACTCATACCAGTCTTTTTGACTCCCAAGTTGAGTGTGTCATTAAAAGCGCGTTTGTGCGGTTGAAATCAATTTATTCCCACGTGACACGTTGACTCAAGAAGAACCGAATTCCCTTTTATTTTTCCCACTTCAAACGAGAGGGTAATATTTTGAACAGAAGAGAAAACATGCGCCGTCTACATGTAGTCCGTAGGCGTAGTGCGCAAATAGAGTTCAGAGAAGCCTTTACAAAAAAAGAGTGAAAGCAATGAAAAAAAAAAAAAAAAAAAAAAAAAAAGAGAGAGAGATCTGGTAATGACTCTTTCTCCTCAACCCCTTGAATCCTTCTTTTATTTCACTTTCAGCCACCCAACAAAAAAAAAACCCCCCTTCTTTAACATCACTGTTGCAAAATAAAAACACGTCTTTCTTTTCAACTGTGCACAAAGCTTTCAGGAACACACACACACAATACCCCCACAGATATATTACTCATAACATTATTCGACTATATCAATCTTTAGACTTTGCCCTACCAGCACAATTATCACTTACAGACCATACACATAACACGCAATATCTCCTCTCTCTCTTTTTACTGTCTCTCACACTTTGCGAGAGAGGGTCGTTAAAGTTTCTCTTACGATTCAGCATTCTGTCGCTGCGCTAGTTTATTTATTTATTTTTCTTCATTCAGCTCATCTCTACAAGGCGACTTCACATCAACGGACTGGCTTGTGCATGTCATGACCACTGCTTCGCCTCCAACTCTTAATCTCTTAATAGGCACACTAAGGGCCAGGTAATAGCGAAAACCAAATTAGGAAACATACAAGTGTGTACGGATGTAATAATGTTATTATATGAAATATATGAAATAAATGAAAATAATATTAATAAAATATTGTAATTGATTATCTCTGGGTCCAAACACCATTGCATTTTTTTAAAAAAAATCTTCATATACAGCCTACATAATGAGAAAGCCAGGGACCAGGCTTGTCAGAACCTAAAGGACTATGTAAGTAGCTTTCTCCTATCTGTAGATCTCTTTGACTCTTTACTTTATAGCAAGAAACTAATTGCTTTTTTTTTTTTTTTTTTTTTTTTTTTTCTTTTTTTTAAATACTAGGTTTCAACAACTTCCAAAGATCTCTCAGAAGAAGATTCGACGCGATTTTATGGCAGGGTCAATAGCAACATTAGGACACTTTTGCAGAGCGCCGAAGCTGATGATAAGCTCTGTGGAGCTCTTATTATAGGTGGGTATCCGATAGCCTTTTTTTTTTTTTTTTTTTTTTTTTTTTTTGGCTGTTATCATGAAATGGCGTAGATTTATAAGGAACAATACCAGATGTCGAATTTGATCTAGACAATCTGATCTTGTGAGGGTGATGACTAGTTCAATATCTATTTTTTCTCAAAAAATTTGACTTTTTTTTTTTTTCTTTTTTTCTTTGTCTTTCTGTCTTTCTTGTGGATAGATAGCTTGATCGGGATCGATGATGACAACAATCCGGCTCAGGAGACGCGCTTCGCTAACTATCTGCGTCAGCTTTACCCATCAGATGTTCCGACTATGACAGTAGCAGCACGGGCATTGGGTATGATACTTTTGGAAGGATTCTGAAGACTGATTTTTTTTTTTTTATTTTTATTTTTTATTATCAATGTAGTTACTCCATTATTTACAACATATAATGGGAAAACAGACCAAAACTGAAATTAGCATTGCTCTGTTTTATTCATTAACAACAAATAGGAAAACTGGCGCAGCAGGGAGGGCCATTTACGGCAGATTTCGTAGAGTTTGAGTTGACACGAGCAATTGAATGGCTAGCAGGTAAACGATAGATCATGAGGATGAGAAGAGTTGACAGCAGATTCGAAGAAAAGGAAGAAAAGGGTCAATCATGTCAACACTTCAAATCCTTAGTAAACTTTTCAACTTCATCCCATCATGTCATCTTTTAGGCGATAAACAGGAAGCTCGTCGGCATGCAAGTGTATTAATCCTAGCAGAGCTTGCAAGGCACGCCAATGTCACTGTCTTTCCCTATGTGGGGACGATCCTAGATAATATCTGGGGAGCTATACGGGAGCCCAAAGTAAGTTGATCCCTTCTTTCAATACTCTCTTTCTATCTTCTTTTTTGTTTTCGTTATATTGACTTCATCTTCTCATGGTACTGTAATGGGTCCATTCGCCTATCTGAAAAAAGTAAAACGTTTTCCTTATTAATCCTAATTAGCAATCAATACGGGAAGCCGCAGCAGATACTCTCAGTGCCGTTTTAGTACTCATTGCGGATCGCGTCGCTTCTCAGAGTCAGGAAAACACACGCTGGTACAATAGGATTCATGATGAAGCACAGCTGGGACTACAGATAGCAACTGTGGAAAGCATTCATGGATCTCTCTTAATCTTTAGAGAACTAATTCTTCATGCAAACATGGTACTATAATATCTTGGATCATTTAAAAAGTCAGCTGGTTGCTTTCTTTTTTTTTTTTTTTTTTTTTTTTGTATATCGCTACTGAAACTCGTTATCCTGCATGCTGTGTCTCATTTGGGATTATCTCTTAGTTTATGTACGAGAGATTCAGGGAGACCTGCGAGACAGTCCTAGGACTGAAAGATCATCGGGAGAACTTGATTCGGAGGACTGTGGTCAATTTATTGCCTGTACTTGCAGAATACGATCCACCAGATTTCATTAATTACTACCTGGATAGGTCTATGAATCATCTTCTAGGGCAGGCTCAGTTTGATAAAGAAAGGAGAATTGTGAGCGACGTGGATAAGGCAATGGCATTCAATGCGATTGGCAAGCTGGCACTGGTATCCAAACGAAATATGGAAATATATTTGAGCGACATCGTGCAGTGCATCATGGATGGACTTCGATCAAAGAAGTAAGCTCACTTAGTCCATATCTCATTGATTTGGGAAGCTTCTTTTTTTTTTTTTTTTTTTTTTTTTCCGCACAAAATGCTACATTATGATAGCTAATTTATAGATTCTATCCCACCAATTTTTAGCCGATCTCGTGCCACATTAGATAAACCTTTATTCAACTGCATTAGTATGTTAGCGCAGGCTGTGGGCCCATTTATGGACTATCATGTTGCGAAGCTCTTGGATCTTATGTTTGCAACGGGGCTCAGTGAGCCTTTGATTCAATCATTAACGGACATTTCAACATACATCCCATATTCACTTTCTGGTATTCAAGGTATATATGATTTGTCAAGAAGAAAAAATTTAGCGAATTAATCAATTAATAGCTGATTAAAATAATCGTTTTTTTTTTTTTTTTTTGTTATTATTAATATTATTATTAGAGAGACTCCTTGATATGATCTCTTTGTTGTTGAGCAGAACACCGTATCGAGCTCCAGGAGCACCTCAGCTCAGAAAGGACCATGCAAGAGGCGGAACATTCATTACCGAGGGTCGAAATTTGGAGACGGTTAATTTAGCATTACAGACATTAGGATCATTCAACTTTTCAGGACATATGCTGAATGAGCTTGTGCGGGACTCATGCATCAATTATTTGGAAGACGGCAACGCAGGGATCCGGCGTTCCGCCGCACAGACATGTTGCCATCTGTTTGCACGGGATCCCATCATGTTCCAGAAGAGTACACATGCAGTCCAGGTGGTCAATGAAGTTCTTGAAAAATTGCTTTTGGTAGGAATAGCAGATCCGGATGCGACTATCCGACAAACTATTCTCAGCTCTTTGGATGAACGTTTCGACCGACATCTTGCCAAGACTGAGAATATCCGATCGCTATTTATTGCTCTCAACGACGAGATGTTTGTAATTCGAGAACTTGCAATTACGATCCTAGGGCGACTCAGCCATCACAACCCTGCCTATGTGGTTCCGCCCCTGCGCAGGATTTTGATCGAACTGTTGACAGAAATCGAGTTTGCTGGAACTACCCGAAATAAGGAGGAGAGCGCTCGACTGTTGACACTTTTGATGGCAGCATCCGAACAGATGATCAAACCCTATATTGAGACGATTCTCAACGTGCTTTTGCCGAATATTCGAGACAATAGCCCAGGCCTTGTGTCAAGCGTCCTTCAGGCGCTAGGTGAGATTGCTCGCGTTGGGGGTGAAGATTTGTTACGGTACATGGACCAATTGATGCCAGTATTCATTGAGATCCTGCATGATCAGAGTTCGCCCACAAAACGTAGCGCGGCTTTGACAGCGTTGGGCAACCTTGCCAGCAGTACAGGGTATGTGATTGATCCATATCTCAAATACCCAGTCCTGTTGGATATCCTGATGTCCATTCTTAAGACTGAGCAATCAGTCAGGATCCGACAGGAGACAATGAAGCTTATAGGCGTCCTTGGAGCACTGGATCCCTATCGATACAAAGTATGGAAAACAACACACGCTTCCTTTTTAATATCTCTTTTGTCTATATGTTTTTATTCAGAATGATATGATGATGCGAAATATGCAGCAAAAAAAAAAAAAAAAAAAAAAAAAAAAAAAGAAAGAAAACTAATGATTGTTCGTGTATGACCCGTAATAGCAAATTATCATGGAATCAGGCGATTCAAACAAGACGGAGAAATCCGACAATTCGGATGTGACGTTACTGATGTCGGGTGTGGAGCCTTCTTCTGATGAATATTATCCAACAGTTGTGATCAATACACTTCTTAAAATATTGAAGGATCCATCACTCAGTCAACAGTATCAACCAGCAACACAAGCAATTCTCAATATTTTCCGATCTTTGCAGCTCAAAATGGTGCTATTTTTGCCGCAAGTATGAGGAAACCTCTATTGCCACATGCATGGCGGTACACATGAGTGATTTGCAATGATGGCTTAACTATTTTTTTTTTTTTTTTTTTTTTTTTGTCGTTGATGTCCATCGTAGATCATGCCGGTGTATTTGGCCATCATGCAGTCAGGGACGGTACTTAACTTGGATTTTTATTTTGAAAAGATGGGTGCCTTAGTGCAAATTGTGGGTCTTCACATCCGGCCATTCATTCCTGATCTTATGCGCTTGATCGAGGACAACTGGAATCACACTCGTCTGCAGGAGCGGATTATTATATTAATTGAGAGTATCGCGATAGCGCTTGATGGCGACTTTAAATCCTATATGCCTAAACTTCTACGGTCCATGCTGGCTGTCTTGGATTCGGATATGACGGAAAAACATGGTGCTTCCTTACGTGCCCTCCAAGCATTTGTGCGTCTGGGGTCTGTTGTGGAAGAATATATGCATCTGATCGTGCCAGCACTAGTCAAAACGTTTGAGCGACAGGATGCCCCCATGAATCTCCGACGATCAGCTATCAGCACCATTGGAGCGCTTTCAAGGCGGATTGATTTCTCAGATTATGCATCTAGGATCATCATTCCGCTATCGAGGGTATTGTCACTTCCTGGAACGGAGCTGCGGACTGTTATCATGGATGTACTTTGTTTGCTTGTGGTGCAATTGAAAGAGAATTATGTCGGATTTGTTCCATTGATCAATAAGATTATAACTCAGGAACGGATTGAGCATACAAATTACCAGCTTGTAGTGACAAAATTGATGAACCGGGAGCCGCTTCCATCAACGTCTGAATTGACAGGGATGGGGGATGATCGTTTTGTAGTGACGACAGATGTACCCCAGGCAAGACCCGACAGTCGAAAGTTGCCCGTAAATGCGATAGCACTTAAACGTGCATGGGATACGACATCGCGTTCGACAAAAGAAGACTGGGTCGACTGGATTCGTCGTTTGACTCTGGAGATGCTTAAAGAGACACCATCTCACTCTCTTCGTGCTTGTGCAGACATGGCCAACTCATTCCAACCCTTGGCAAGAGAGCTTTTCAACTCAGCATTTATGTCGTGCTGGACATCATTATGTGAACAAGACCAGGTAATTGAATTTTTTCAAGACGAATGAAAGGAAAAGAGAAGTCAAATGGTTTCAAGCAGCCGGCCTTGCCCCCAATTAACTGTTATATTTATCCATCGTTTTTAAACACAAACACACCCACAGGAAGAATTTGCGGCCGCCATCAAGACAGCATTGGTGGCGAAATATATATCACCTGAAGTCATTCAGACGTTGTTAAACGTAGCAGAATATATGGAGCACGATGATAAACCACTTCCAATTGAGATCAGCACGCTTGGGAAATATGCGCTTAGTTGTCATGCATATGCTAAAGCTTTGCATTACAGTGAACTTCAGTTCATGGCGGACCATTCTACAGCCAGCATAGAAAGCTTGATCAGTATCAATAACCATCTTCAACAGCCTGATGCAGCAGCAGGCATTCTCACATATGCGCAACATCATCACGACATTGAGCTGAAAGAGTCATGGTATGAACGCCTACACAGATGGGAGGATGCCTTAGCGGCATATGAGAAGAAGCAGCTCGAGCAACCCGACGATCTATTGCTGTCACTTAAACGTATGCGTTGTTTACATGCTATTGGCGAATGGGATGCACTCTCGTCATTGGCGCAGGAAAAGTGGGGTTTGGCTCCACCGGATTTCAGACGTGGGATGGCGCCCTATGTAGCTGCAGCGGCCTGGGGGCTGGGCCAGTGGGAGCAGCTAGATGAGTACATCTCGGCCATGCAGGACGAATCTCCCGATCGGGCATTCTTTAAAGCTATTATTGCTCTGCACCGAAATCAGTTTGGGCAAGCGGAGGAGCAAATCCAGCATACGCGGACATTACTAGATACAGAGTTAACAGCATTGGTTAGTGAGAGTTATAGTCGAGCCTATAACACTGTGGTAAGGGTCCAGATGATGGCTGAGCTAGAGGAAATCATCTCGTATAAGCGGTACGAAAACCAGCCTGAACGACAGGCGACCATTCGCAAGACTTGGATGAAGCGATTGTTAGGATGCGAACGAAATATTGAGATCTGGCAAAGAGTAATCAAGGTTCACGCCATGGCTTTGACTCCGGCAGAGGATATGGTCATGCGAATCAAATTCATGAACCTGTGTCGCAAGGCAGGTCGTTTGAGGTTAGCAGAACAGGCCATGGTTTCACTGATGGGTCGTGAGACCACAGACATGGAGTTTGTCAAAATGATCCAGGTGACTCCACCTCAGGTCGTGTATGCGAAACTGAAATATATGTGGGCAACAGGAGTGCATGAGCAAACGCTGAAGTGCTTGAGACAGTTTACAGATCGATTGGCGTCAGACTTGGAGCACAGACAAGGAACAGGGACTGAGCCAAATGGTATAGCGTTGACAGCTGCAAATCCCACGCATGGAAGCGATGAGGATTTTTGGCGGCTGTTGGCTCGGTGCTATCTAAAGCAAGGGGAGTGGCAATTTGCGTTGCAGGACGGATGGACTCCGGCAAGTGTTTTCAGTGCTAAAAATTTTAGCATATTGGCTTTATTTTCATTGCTTGTTATCTTTCGCCAACAAGTATCGCATGTTTCCTAAATTTCATCCTTCTTTAAACTTTGTGTTTTATCGATTAGGATTCAATCGATTATATTTTGTTGCATTATTCGAATGCAAAGGACCTTGACAAGAATTGGTACAAAGCGTGGCATACATGGGCCTTGGCGAACTTTGATGTGATTTCGTATTATGAGCGTAACACTGCTACAGCAAGTGTCAATGCTGGTGCCGGAGCCAGCCGTGGTATTCCTTATGTGATCCCATCGGTCACTGGTTTTTTCAGGTCCATCGCACTCTCAGCTGGGAACTCTTTGCAGGATACACTTCGATTATTGACATTGTGGTTCAAATTTGGTCATCGGCCAGATGTGAGTGCAGCTCTTGCTAAGGGATTCCCAACCGTCAATATTGACACTTGGTTGCAGGTGATCCCACAGTTGATCGCCCGTATTCATGCGCCCAGCCCGAATGTTCATCGATTGATCCACAAGCTGTTAGCGGATGTCGGAAAAGCTCATCCGCAAGCAATGGTATACTCATTGACAGTGGCTTCAAAGTCTCCAAGTGTGTTCCGCAAGAACGCGGCGTTGGCGATTATGGATAATATGCGAGCACACAGCCCTGTGTTGGTAGATCAGGCATCCATGGTCAGTCAAGAGTTACTTCGAGTCGCTATCCTCTGGCATGAGATGTGGTTTGATGGTCTAGAAGAAGCCCTGTCACTGAGTGCTCAGGGTGGTGAGAATCACATTGAGGCTATTCTGAATGTCTTGGAGCCCCTCCATATAATGACTTTAAAGGTAAAAGCAAAAAAGCGAAGCTATTTTTGCATATTTGCACGGTTATAGCCCGCTACAAATTCCTTACTTTTTTTTTTTTTTTTTTTTTTTTTTTTTTATTTATTTTTTATTGTTTTCTGTCCGTCGCATGTGATAGAGACCTGAGACTCATCATGAAGCATCGTTCGCAAAAGCATTTGGACGAGACTTGAAGGAAGCATATGATCGTTGCTTACGCTTTCGCCAAACTCGTGACTTTAATGAGTTGAATCAAGCCTGGGGCATTTACCTCCAAATCCATAAGCGGCTCAAAGGCTTGCCAAGACTCAACACACTAGAGTTGCCTTATGTATCCCCTCAATTGCAAAATGCCAGGGACTTGGAGCTAGCGATCCCCGGTACATATAAAAGTGGTAGTCCTGTGATACGGATTGCTTCGTTTAACCATGTATTGCAAGTTATGAGTTCTAAACAAAAGCCTCGGCGATTAGTAATGCGAGGAAGTGATGGCCGAGAATATGAGTTCTTATTGAAAGGACATGAGGATTTGAGGCAGGATGAGCGTGCAATGCAATTATTTGGGCTGATCAACACCTTACTGGCAGCGGACCCAGAGACGTTCAAGCGACATCTAGGTATCATTCAGTACTCAGTAATCCCGTTATCACCTAATTCAGGCTTAATCGGATGGGTCCCCGAGACGGATACGTTGCACAAGTTAATCGAGGAATATCGTCGAAGTCGCGATCTGTCATTATATATCGAGCATCAATTGTTAAACCAGACAGGCTCGGACAAGACGTATGATCAGCTTCCGTTGAAGCAAAAGATAAAGCTGTTTGACAATATGTTGAAAAAGACACCTGGAGATGATTTATACAAGATTTTATGGCTCAAGAGCCGGAACTCTGAGGTCTGGTTCGAAAGGAGGACCAATTACACCAGGAGTCTGGCAGTTATGTCGATGGTTGGACATATCTTGGGTTTGGGAGACAGACATCCTTTAAATATCATGATGGAAAGGAATACAGGGCATATAGTTCATATTGATTTCGGAGACTGTTTCGAGGTAAAGTATCTCCAACATTCTGTTTTTCTACGATTCCAGACATTCTTCTTCGCAGTCAATGATCACTCACTTATATATATATATATTGACTAGGTTGCGATGCATAGACCTCAACTCCCAGAAAAAATCCCGTTCCGCTTGACAAGGATGTTGGTGAAAGCCATGGAAGTGAGTGGTATTGAGGGCAGCTTCAGAAATACAAGTGAGAATGTAATGCGAGTGTTGCGTGAGAATAAGGAGAGTGTGATGGCTGTGCTAGAAGCCTTTGTGCATGATCCATTGATCAACTGGAGAATCTTACATACCAGCCCTGGACCACAGCCCGCGAAAACACCAGCAACAACTTCAAAGTCTGCTGCATCTGCCCAACAGCAGCCACAACAGCAACAGCAGCAGCAACAGCTACAACATCAGCAACAGTCTGTACAGCCTGTACGTCATCCAAGTGTTGTCCAGGGCTCGTACAAGGACCAAGCGCGCAGTATGCGCAGACCACTTCCAAGTGAACAGGAGTTGGTCAGTGAGAACACGGAACGTAAGTCTAGTGTTAAGAGAAAAGTGCTTTATATATTTATTCATACTGAAAGGCGACGCAAACTAATTTCTCTTACTTTCATCCCTGATACCTAGTTGAAATTCTTCCAGAGCAATTGAATGCCCGTGCGTTGACCATTTTGAACAGGGTTACTAATAAGTTAACAGGACGGGACTTCAATCCAGACGAAACCTTAGATGTTCCTTCACAAGTAGAGAAATTGATCCAGCAAGCGACATCAACTGAGAATCTATGCCAGTGCTTCGTGGGTTATTGTGCATTCTGGTAGCATACTTTTTATCCTTTTCTTTTTTTATGCCATATTATCTATACGTTCATGTTAGCTCCTCTATTTCAATACCGTGTACAGATAGACTTTATTGGGAAACCATGTATCATACTCGTTTTTTTCTTTGTTTCTATAGTAACCATGAAATGCTACCAAGATGCATACATAATTAAAGATATTAAATTTATTTAATCGTAACTCTTTAGTATATACAAAGCTGCATAGTAGGAATAGAATAGATCAGATAAATAGTCCTTATTAATTTTCTTGCATCAAAGTAAGCGGTTCCGACAGATTATTCAAATCCCTTAGATGTATGCTCTATGGATCATAATACTTGGATAGAGCTGGGACCTTGGCCACATGAGTCATATTTAGACGTTGTTGCTATTTTTCTCTTACATACGAATAATCCTTCATGTGAAAAAGGTCAAGCATCCGGTGGAGGTGGAGGTTTTCTTTCGTAACTGGTAAATCATTTGTGTTTTAATGCTTGTTTTAGTGACAAAGAGAAAGGACGCCCTTGGCTATGGTGACTGCTGATGGTTCAATTAGAAATGGGTGGTCAAAGATCTCACTTTAAAGTTCCTTTCTTTTAATTTTTTTTTTTACTTGTTCTTCATCCCTCTTCTCTTTCCCCGGATTCATCTATTCAAGACGCAATTCGCCATGACCCAGAAGATTGGTAATGGAAGACCCATAACAGCAGGACCTTCATGCATGATGTCAAGCAATGTCTTTTTTTTTTTTAATCGCGTCAGATTCTAATACTTTTACACCATACACTTGTATATATATATATATATATATATATTTTTTTTTTTTTTTTTTTTTTTAAAAAAAATTTATGAACAGCCATCCTTTCCGTCTATGACAAGACTGGCCTTATTGACTTTGCTAAAGAGCTTGTCGCCTTGAATGTTCGCATTCTCGCTTCAGGCGGCACCTCCAAGGCCATTGCTGCCGCTGGTTTGCCTGTTGAGTAAGGATAAATAAAATGTTTTTGATGTGAGCAGATAGAGGATCAACATTCTTTTATTTTTTTCCCAGGATCTCTTTACTTATCAACGTACGATAAACACCACCATCATTCCCATTATACTTCAAATAGGGATGTCTCTGCCATCACCAAAGCACCTGAGATCTTGGGTGGTCGTGTCAAGACTCTTCACCCTGCCGTTCACGGAGGTATCTTGGCTCGTGACATCTCTTCGGATGAGGCTGATCTTGCTGCTCAGGCTATCCAGAAGATCGACATTGTCGCCTGCAACCTTTATCCCTTCAAGGAGACTGTTGCTAAGGAGGGCGTCACCATCCCTGAAGCTGTTGAAGAGATCGACATTGGTGAGTGTCTTGATTTTGTTTTCGTTATGGATTGTCTTCCTCTAATCATAGTCAACTTATTTATTTATTTGCTTATTTGTTTGGACCAGGCGGTGTCACTCTTCTACGTGCTGCTGCCAAGAACCACATCCGTGTCAGCATTCTCTCAGATCCCAAGGACTATGCCACCGTGATTGCTGAGCTCAAGCAACACAACAAGGTCTCAGATGAGACTCGTCAGAAGCTTGCACTTAAGGCTTTCAACCAAACCTCTGAGTACGATGAGGCTATCTCTAATTACCTGCGTCAGCAATATGCTGCTGGTTCTCAACAACTCACTCTCCGTTATGGTGCTAACCCTCACCAGAAGCCCGCCCAGGTCTTTACTAAGAACGGAGATCTTCCTATCAAGGGTAAGTTTTAAAAAGTTTTTTTTTTTTTTTTTTTTTTTTTTTCCTCTCTGAGTGCGGAAGACGCGGGCGAACGGGCTTTGAAAAAAAAAAAAAAAAAAAAAAAAAAAAAAAAAAAACAATTGTTTGTCTTTCTTCCTCATGATGTTACCCCACTGTTTTCCTTTTTGAGGAAAAAAAACTCTAATCTAAGCCCAACTCTTTACTGTTATCATTTTTATTGTTATTGGATCTCCAAACAAACAGTCTTGTCGGGATCTCCTGGATATATCAACTTACTTGATGCACTTAATGCCTGGCCCTTGGTCAAGGAGCTTACTCAGGCCCTTGGTCTCCCCGCTGCTGCTTCGTTCAAGCACGTTTCTCCCGCTGGCGCAGCCGTTGCTGTTCCTTTGTCGGATATTGAGAAGAAGGTGTACCATGTGGACGACCTTAAGCTCCCTCTTTCACCCGTGGCTTCTGCTTATGCTCGTGCCCGAGGTGCTGACCGTATGAGCTCATTTGGTGACTGGATTGCGGTCTCCTCGACTGTGGACTTGATTACCGCCAAGATCATCTCGCGTGAAGTGTCAGATGGTATCATTGCGCCTGGATATGATGATGATGCTTTGGAACTGTTGAGGAAAAAGAAGAACGGCAAGTACACGGTCTTGCAGATGGACCCCAACTATGAACCTCAGGAGCTCGAGTCCCGTCAGGTCTATGGTCTGACTCTTCAGCAGAAGCGCAATGATGCCAAGATCGATGCCTCATTGTTCAACAACCTTGTCACCAAGAACAAGAACGTAAGTGTCTATTCACTCATTTCAATGTTCCCTTTCGAAATGGAGAAGAAGGATAACTATAAGCGACATGGGTGCATAAATATCTAACTATCTTATTTGAATTTTAATCCTTAGCTCCCAGAGAGTGCTGTCCGTGACTTGATCGTCGCCACTATTGCTTTGAAGTATACCCAGTCCAATTCTGTCTGCTATGCCAAGGACGGTATGGTTGTTGGTCTCGGCGCTGGCCAGCAGTCTCGTATCCATTGCACGCGTCTTGCTGGAGACAAAGCTGACAACTGGTGGCTCCGTCACCATCCCAAGATCCTTGCCTTCAACTTCAAGAAGGAGACCAAGCGCGCCGACAAATCGAACGCGATTGATCTGTATGTCTTGGACAAGATTGGCGAGGGCGAGGAGCGTGCTGCTTGGGAGAGCCAGTTCGAGACTGTTCCTACACCATTGACGGCTGAGGAACGTGCTGCACACATGAAGGAGCTCAAGGATGTGGTTGTTTCTTCGGATGCTTTCTTCCCCTTTACGGACAATATCCAGAGGGCTCACAAGTCCGGAGTCAAGTACATTGCTGCCCCTAGCGGATCCATTCAGGATGACCAGGTGATTGCTGCTGCTGACTCACACGACATGGTTCTCGCTCACACCAGCCTTCGTCTCTTCCACCACTAAAAAAAAAAAAAAAAAAAAAAAAAGCAAAATAGGCATGTTAGGAGAAGATAAACTCCTCATACTCCTTTGCCATGATGCTCCCTTTCTATTTTGTTTTGATATCACTTGTATATTTCGCATTTTTACCCTTCCTTGCCATTTTCATTTTTTACCTCCTTTCGCATCAAATAAAAAAAAGGCCAGAAAAAATAATGATGCCCACTAAAGAAAAAATGTATAAACCGATCGATTAATTGAGCACTGAGGAGCTTTTGTGTATTTGAGTACAGTCGAAAGTGGTTTTTATAGATGGATTGTCCACAAAAATGTATTTTAAATCTTGTTTGGGTACACTCGAGCTGGTGCTGGAGGGAAGAATATTGTCTACCGTTTCCTGAAATAAAGATCTGTCCCCCTTCACTAAAGCCCGCTCACCCATATACCCTGCATGGCCACGTTATCCATATCATCCTCTCCTCACGATAACACAGAGTTAAAAAAGACGAAGCCAAATCACCAAGGCATCCACGACCACATCAAATCTCGTGCTTGAGAAGCAAATTGTCGCTGCCCATAAAAGGCAACAAAATTTGGCTTGCAGCTTCCCTCTCTGACTGGATTCGAGCCTATAGTCTTTCTCTCCCTTTTTGATCCCCGGATTGTGAACTCTCTAAGGCAAAGTTTTCTTTTTACACTTCTCAGTAATAAAAGGCTAATGGCGGAGCCAAGGACACCGAGCCGGATCAGCAAACGAGCCCGTTATGATGCCGATTATAACCCTTTTAATCCTCCAGTCGACAATGAGCTTGGACAACGGCTTTTAAATGATGGAGAGAATGAACATGGCCATGAACAACAACAAGTATTGAATACTATAGAAAGTTCAACAGCATTACGAACGACTGAAGAGGAGCCTAGTATTCAGTCAGAACTTGAAGAAACAAAACGATTAGTTAAAGTGTTTGATGTCATTGACTTGAGTATGACTGAGACAAGAGAAAAGCTCAAGGTAATAAATATCCTCTGTATACATCTGCATTATATGTAAAAAGATATATTCTACGCGTACTTTGAAGCGTTTTATTATTCTTTTTCAACTGCAACTTGTTAATCATTGTAATTATTATTGTTACTATTGTTATTATTATTATTATTATTTTTTTTAAAAAAAAAAAAAAAAAAAAAAAAAAAAGACTTTTTATAAGACTGCAGATGAGACGAATACACTCTTGGATATGTGGATTCGTGTGTTATCACAAACTGAACATACTCAAAAAATCCTTGAGGATCCAGCATGGGAGGGCCAATATATGGTAATGATATATATATATATATTTTTAACGGAAAGGAAATGCCTTGTATATACGCTATAGGTTGTTCTCGACGGTATCCTGACTTGATCTTTTTTTTTTTTTTTTTTTTTTTTGGTTTTATTTTCTATGGCTAATGCTTCGTGGAATCAGGACGAAGCACGCGACCGAGAGTATCAAGATCGTCGAGCCGCTTATCAACAAGCAATGGAGGAAGCCAATGGCAATTATCATCATTATTCACAACAACAACAACAACACCAACAACAACAAGGGCAACCAAAGCGACGACACTCCGCTCTCTTAAGTCCCCATTTGTTAACACCACAATCTATTTCGCCAATGGCCACTGGATCAAATCTGACTCCAGGATTAATCTCAGGCTCTGGAGGAGAAGGAGGGAGTAGCAGTGCTGCCGCACGTGAATCTTCCTCTTCTTCATCCTTATATAATCCATCTTCATCACTGTACAGTATACACGAACAGCCCCAAGCTCAACATCAGCAACAGCAACAGCAACAACAGTCTAAACCCCTCAAAAGATCTCCAGCTCTCGTTGCCGCAGCACATGCTCATGCCTCTGCAATTGCTGCCAACAGAAAACGAACTGCTGCAGGCAGCAGTGCATTACCAATACCAACAAGGACTACAGCTTCATCATCATCTTTGTCCTTTAAATAAGAAAATAATAGTAATGATAACAATAATGATAGTAATAGACGACCGCTGTACAATATTAGTCTAATTATTTTATTATTTTTTTGTCTCTTGTCTACAGTTAGCTATATTGGACTTGGTCAATGATTTCCCAGTATTTTACATTAAAAAAATCGGTTGTAGAAATGGCCATCTGGAATTCTGACTGCAAGACTTTATCCTTGACCTTCTTGTACATCTCACGCTATAAAACAATATAAAGTGTAATAATAAAGGCAGAAAATGAGCTTTTTTTTTTTTTTTTTTTTTTTTTTGAAAAAGAAAAGATAAAAAAAAAAAAAAGGGGGGGGGGAGAAACTTACCAATGGATATGCGATCATGCCAACAACTGACATGAAACATAAAGCTTTTGTCCAGTTGCTTCTCATTAAATTCGCGAGTGGTGAGGAGGAATGGACTACAACACGGTTATTCATTATGGGGTATGAGATCTCGATTGTATATCGGTAGTTGATGGATCGAATCGCTTGGGTGATTGTCCTTGTCAAATGTTCGTAATCCCAAATGACTTTCTAAAAATTTGGTCCGCAGGTCGAAGTAAGAATATAAGGCTCTTATCAGGACGGATGTCTCTTTTTTCTCTTTTTTTTTTTTTTTTTTTTTTTTTTTTTTCCTGCAGTCAGCTATCTTTTTTTACCTTTTCCATATGTAATTCCTTAAAAGGATTCTCTTCTTCAACGTGTTCCTCCATGACATCGCGAAGTGTCGGTTGTATCCCAGTCTTGGGATCCGGTAGTGTCATGAGGGTACCAGTGGGTAAAATATAAGGTGTTAAATCAAAATCTATCTTGAAGTCAGTCACCTTATGCTTTTGATGAATAACTTTTGTTGTTCCATCTGCCATTCGTTCTTCTGACGAGCGCTTCTCCACATGGGAACCTACAAGGGTACAAAACATTAGTGTAAGCTTTTTTTTTTTGTTTTGTTTTTTTTTTTTCTTTAAAAAAAAAAAAAAAAAGGATAAACTTACCGGTTATCAAGATATGCATAGATGGGCGATCATTGTGTGCAACAAAAAACCTATAAAGTTGATACGGATCATCAAATATAGGGTCGACTGTTTCTACTCCGCGTTTGGATCGGGTATAAGTTGCTATGGAGATATCCTGAGATGATATCAAACCCGCAGTAGAGGTTGCTTCATTTAGTAAAGGTATAGATGCAGGCGGACGGAAAAAAGGAAAGTGAGACTCTAAATCATCGTCTGCTGCTGCTGTAGAAGTTCGAGCATCTATTGTAGGAGCTGACATTGATCCTATCCCTCCCTCCATTGCTGCTGCTGCTGCAGTAGTTGCCATAGAAGTCCTATCCAAGGTTTCTATTGCATTAGCTGCTGTTGATAGTGATGTTGTTGTTATGGGTATTTGAGGTGCGGAGGGAGTGACTACAGGTGCTGAAATAGATGCTGGTGGTGGTTGTAGTACAGGGTGTAGCCTTTCTTTTTCCGAATGTGATGTGGAGTCTGACCATGGCCCGCTTCGGGGCTGTGACTCCAGCGAATCACCCTCTGATGCCGTTGCTATTGGTACGCTCAACGGCGATGCAGTTGATATCGATGGTGATGCTGATGATGCTGATGGCTCTGATGGTAGTACTGGTGGTACTAGTGGTGCTGGCGGTGCTAGTGGCGCTAATGGAGGACGAGGAGGTCGTTCCATAAATGGAAACATAGAAGTTGGTGTCTGATAAGCTGACTCATGCTGGAGATTTAATCCAAAACTTCCAGATATACCTCCATTAAATGGTACTCCCGGTCCATGAGGCATATTTAGATGTGAGGGCGGTCGTCCAAACATCCCTAGCCCATCAAATGGAGGTTGGCCCGGAGGATACGGGGGTGCATAGTAGTAAGGAAAAGAAGGAGGTCCTGGGAATGAAGCTTGCTTTGAGGGGATGCCTCCTGAACTAGGATCCGATGAAATTGGCTCAGTTTGAGCTTCAGGTGACGGTACTGCTACCCCATCTGGCATTCGAGGATGATCAGGTCGGTTATATTGTGGGTGTAAGTGGTGGCGCTGATGAGGATGTCCATAGTGAAGCCCATATGGCCTATGGTGTTGATGCAGAGGACGTTGATGCCCAACATCCCTGAAAGCGTTGTGATGGTGGCGGCGATGATGATGGGGATCACCATGGTTGTTGGCGCCGCTACTATTGCTATTACCAACGCCCATTGGACTTGGGTTGGAGGAAGATGCAGCGGGTTGAATGAATGGTCGATGTAGGTGGGTGTCCGGTATCTGGTCTCGATTTAGAGGTGTGGTTTCAACCACGCCATCATCTACATCATGCCTCTCGTCATCACTATTTTGGATCTCACCATTGATATTAAATGACTGGGAAGCAACACCTCCACTACTACTGCTGCTAGATCTGATATCCCGCTGATGGGCTGCGGTGGCGGTGACAGGCAAATCATCGTTCGCGATATGACCAATAGCCTCTTCGTATGAAGGAGGAAAAGCCTCGCCGAGTCCTTGCGCAAGGTCTTCGGTCTGGTCGCTGTGTTGGTCTTGACTCATATGTTGATTGATTGCTTGTTTTTTAAGCACAGATGCAATTGTTAAGACGAAATGAAGTGGAATGAATGAGAAGAAAAATAAAAAATAAAAGAGCAATGTTTGCGTGTGCCAAGATTTGTTTCCCCCCTCTCCCAGAGTGAAGTTTCATTGGCGGGGCCAATATCTACTGCGAACGAATGTAACAGCCGTTGGAAAACATTTTCTTTCAAAATACCCCTCACATTAGGATCGGAGCCATGCAACACCAATTAGCAACAATCAAAAAGGTCGTTATAAGCAGGCTTTCATTTATTTTATTTTTTTAAAGTAATAACGACAACTATGATACATATAAAAAACTGAAGTCTTTTTTTTTTTTTTTTTTTTTTTTTCCGGCATTTTAACCTCGTCGAACTGGAAAGGTCTTCTCCTTAAGTCGTGAGTACAGACCAATATCCTCATGACAATTGGGGCAAGAATGCATCATGTCCTTCATCGAGGTTATACATAGAGGCAAGAGGCAGCATCCACATGATGTGACGCCAGCGAGCAGAAGACCAAGGATACCAAGATACGTGCAAGAACCTAATAGTATTTGTTATGGATAAATACAAGATAGATATAAGCAAATTAGAAACGCTATCATTGAAGGAATAAAATTAAAGCATGTAGAAAAGAAGAAAAAAAATCCAGTGATGCTGCTTACCACTTTCGGGAGCTGTCTCAGTCAAGACCAAGTGATGACAATGCTGACAAACAACAACACCAGGCTGAGACTTTAGGTCCTCAATCCTACCCGGAGATTTCATCAAGATCAATGGTGAGCCCATACTATGAGCTTGTTGTCCCTGGTGTTGGTGTGGTGGAGCAGGAGCATAGAAAGGAGTCATTGGTGGTGGAGGTTTTGAGGTATCATTAAGCTTGGGATATGTCGGTTGATAAGGGTGCTGAGGTACAGGACTATGGAGCTGAGGATAAAGATTGTTGGGAACGGTAGACGATCCAGGCGCGGAGGGAACATTGTTTGGCTGAATAAATGGTGAGGACGGTGCTGTAGAAGGTGTGTATGGAGGAGGCTGGAAGCCTTGAGTGAGTAGACTATTGTCCTGCAGTTGGTTGCGTTCTTCCTCTTCTGAAGGAATGGGAGCGTAATGACCTTTCTTGTCAGACATGTTTATTCTAGTTGAAGTAGGAATTAAGAATGAAGAAGTATGTTTGGTGGTGATGACCTTTTTATATGATGCAAGTCTTGGCACTGACCAAGAGTCGAAAACTGGACCGTGGCTTTGCAAGCCCTTCATTTCCAAAATTGGAAAATTTGGACTCTTGGCGGAATCTGCGGAGTACAAATCTTATTTATCATCCTGTCTCTGTTTAATCTACTGCACTGGTGATCGATCATCCACACTTGAAAGCCAACAACTGAAGCAGAGTGTGATGCTAAGTGAAAGAGCGACTCAGCCACACATAAAATATACACCCTTTAAGTACCGTAGCTACGCACGTCCCTTTATTCCTTGGCCTCTTTTCTCCACACCTGTCCTGTCACTGACGTTTGAGATAGACAATTAACTAAGCTTGCGGAAACTATTCTCTCGACATTTTCCTGAGGGCACAAATCAGTTGGAAGAGGCTCAATTCCATTGACACTGGCCATATATAATGTACTTGTATATGCTGCGAAGAGACATTCAACTAGTCTTCGGCTTGCGGTTACCTCAGGTACAGGGCCATCTAGAATTAGGACCATATAACAAGCCCACCAGCGGCGATGAAAGGCCGCTTTTAGAACGTATTCAACAGACCATCAGCATGGTCTCGGCTCCTGTACCGACTGCTTCAGAGACATCATCTACTTTGCCTCGCTTTAGAATCCCATAGACCCAACTTAGGAGGGCCCATTTAGCTTTTTCAGAGTTTCTGTCGGAGATATAAATTTCTCATTTCTAGAAAGGCTCAAGGTTGGCGGCATACAATTTGACTTCGCTATCATTGAAGGCTTCGATCTACGGTGATGAATCAGCACTAGTATTGAAGCAGCTTTAATGTAAAACGGAGCCTACAACGATCGAGGAGCTCGGTGGAGCAGCAGAAATTAGCAGCGTTGTTTACGAGACATGTCATATTGAAGATTGGCTGCTTTTTTTTGCCAATAAGCTGTTTAGAGACATAAATCAAATCAATTCTGATTGTTCGAAAAGCAAGATTATCATGATCATAACCTGAACAGATAAACAAAGCAATGAATTGTTTTATTAAAGACATGTTAATTATTCTGTTGGTGATGAGAGATGAAGACTAAGTGATTGGTACGCATAAGACTAAAACCTTGGAATATGAAAGCGATAAAAATTCTAGTTATGATAGTTATGAAAAAGAAGATAAAAATATTAATAATGCGAGTATAGGTGTCGCGTCGCGTCGCAGTCGAGTTATCTATCCTCCACGTGATGGTATCCAGTACCCATGCATGGATCACGAGGATGGCCACGCCTGCAGGAACGGTGGAAGGCGTGGAAAAAAGAGAGCTTTGAGGACCAAAGTTAATTCCAGAAGATGAATATCTCTCCTCATCTCATCTTCAACTTATTCATTTATAACCACATTCATTCATCACATCCGATGACACGCCAACTGACTTTGGGCCTTGTTGGGCTCATTGCACTGTCCTCAGCTGTGAGCATGGTGCATGCGACAAAAGAGGCGACCCCTGACAGCGCCATTGACGATGTGGAGATTCCAACCTTCAAGGTAGTTATTTCATTATTATTTTATTTAATATAAATAACATTGTTCGGACAGTAGAGCATTAGAACGGATCCAAAATGTTTACCAACAACTGTATTTCGATCATAGTCCACCAAAATCGAAGCGCCATTTCTAGAGCAATTTACCTACGGTTGGCCCCAAAACTGGCACACGAGCAATGCAACCAAGGAGTCCTCTGATAACGGCGAAATCTTTAGCTATGTTGGGCAATGGTCCGTCGAAGCACCTCATGTGTTTTCTGGAATGAAAGACGATCTGGGATTGGTCGCCAAGACACCTGCTGCTCATCATGCTGTCTCTGCTTCGATCTCTAAACCGATCGACAACACAGAAAAAACTCTCGTAGTGCAGTAAGTGCAAATTGGATCATACTTGCTTTTTCCTTCTCCCTCTTTTTTTTTTTTTTTTTTTTTTACTTTTTAACAGGTACATGTCAATATTCACACATCACTCTCTCGAAGCATGGATTAATGCTGAATCTACTAAGCACTAAATGCTAACGATGTCTTTTTTTTTTCTTTTTTCTTTTTTTCAGGTATGAGGTCAAGGCTCAAAACGACCTCGTCTGCGGTGGTGCTTATATGAAGCTTTTGACAGATTCAAATGATGGCATCAAGTTTAAAGAATTCTCCAATGAAACGCCTTACACCATTATGTTCGGCCCTGATAAATGTGGTACAACCGACAAAGTGCATTTTATCTTTCGTCACAAGAACCCAATCACAGGCGTCTATGAAGAAAAGCATTTAGAATCTGCTCCGCAATCAAAAGTGGGTCGGATCACGAGTCTCTACACGTTGGTCGTTAGGTATGTTTCTAGTAAACAATAGATACTTAAAAAGAAAGCAAAAGCTTTAGAAACCTCTAACAGAGAAGTTTAATTTGAAAAAAAAAAAAAAAAATATATATATATATATATATATAGGCCTGATCAAACATTTGAAATCAAGATTAACAACCAGGTTATGTCGTCAGGTTCTCTGTTGGAGGATTTCAAGCCTCCGGTGAACCCTCCTAAGATTATTGACGACCCCAAGGACAGTAAACCTACAGACTGGGTCGATGAAGCCAAAATTCCTGACCCTAATGCACGTAAGCCAGATGATTGGGATGAGAACGCTCCTCCTAAAATCCCTGATGAAAAGGCTACAAAGCCTGATGATTGGCTTGAAAGCGAGGAAACCGAGATCCCCGACCCAGAAGCTGTCAAGCCAGAGGATTGGGACGATGATGAGGATGGTGATTGGGTCGCACCTTTGATCTCCAACCCAAAATGTCAAGGTCGAGGTTGTGGTCCATGGATTCGTCCTCTGATCTCTAACCCGAACTATAAAGGCAAATGGTCGCCACCAATGATCGATAATCCAGCCTATAAGGGTGTTTGGGCACCTCGCAAGATCCCCAATCCCAACTTCTTTGAGGACCTGCAACCTTCCAGATTTGAGAAGATTGGTGCTGTCGGATTTGAGATCTGGACAATTCAAAATGACTTGTTGTTTGATAATATCTATATTGGACATTCAGTAAAGGATGCGGAAACCCTAGCAGCGGAAACATGGGAGGTCAAGTATGCTGTGGAGAAGCAATTGGAGGAACTGGCCAACCCAACAAAAAAGAATGAAGATTCAAAGGAAAAGAGCAAGGATAAAGAGCTAACTTTAGAAGAGAATCCGGTCGCTTTTATTTTGCAAGATCTGCGCGAGTTCTTCGCGATGCTGCGAAAAGATCCTTCGAACGCGGTCAACACTAATCCCTTGTCGGTCTTTGTACTGTCAGGCATCGTTGGTGTCGGGTTTGGGTTAATGTTGATTATTCTCGGTCTGAAGAGCGGTGTTTCCAACGAGTCAGCGACTGCCCAAACCAAGAAATCGGATATGCCTACTGCAGACGATAAGAAGCAGGGAGGGGAAGACGAAGATGCAAGTGCAAGTGGCTCAGCAATTAGCGCTAACACCACAGATGAACAGCCTGTGCGCCGGAGGACCAATGTAGCAGGAGATGCTGAATAAGAGTAGTATTATGCTGCTTATAAAAAAAAAAGAACCCGTGATCCGCATTCTTCCTTTTCTTTTTCTTTATTCACTCACAGTAAATGTAAAAAAAATAAATTAATAAAAAATGGCTTTATTATATTGTCGGACGCCAAAAAAAAAAAAAAAAAAAAAAAAAAAACTTTTATTTTTTGTTTTGCTTTGATTTGTTCTTGTAGGCTCAGACTCGAAGTAGATTGGAGGAATTTGCAATTTTTTCTTGTCGTTGATGGATAGCTTCGAATGCTAGTGGAAGGAATTCGTCGCCATCGAAAGAAAAAGCAGCTACAGGATGGTATTCTGTAGCCATGGGCGTGTCTGTGCCACCTGGCAAAGGATGCACAATCTGGAAATCAACTGTGTCACCATAAAATAAAATATAAACTTTAGAGCATGCACAGACATGTTTCTCATAGGCCTTCTCTTTTGTGCACAGACTGCCTGAGACAGATTTTTTTTTTTGTACTTACGCCGAATTTCCACATCCTCGGCTTGTTTGTCTTTTTCACCACTGGTTCGAACCTTGAGCACAATTATCAGTTGATGTGTGATATCATAGTATTTGGACCGAAGACTTTGTGTCAATAGCGATCGCTGCTGCTGTTGTTGCTGCTGCCGGAACTCCGCAGTCGTCGTTGGGGACTTTGGCATCTTGGGTGATTTGGGCAATTGGAACGAGGATCTGTGGGACTTGTTGCTACTTGGCCCTTTAGGCATCAGTAATGACATGGTTGGGGACCTTGGTCGATGACCATTGTCATGACCATTTCCACCATCACAATCATAGCCGTGTTTATTACTGTTATTACTCTTGGATATCCAGGGCCACAAAGGAGACAAGGATCCGTTTGGAGGATGAAGGCCTGATTGGCTATTGTCGTTGTTGTTCTCACTAGTATTACTGTTGCTACTACTGCTGCTATTACGACGTCCAGAATCAAGCATGCTTGTGGGCATCTTGATGTTCACAGTTCGAGTCCACCCGTTTCGACTCTGAGGCCAACTACCCACACAGGTGTTTGGAACAAAGAGATCTACTCGCTCCCTCACTACTTTATCCTTCATGGTTGAGGAATTGGCCGAGCGAGCATGCCTGGTCTCCAAAACTCCAAAGTGAGCATCCATGATTACAACTTCTTGGCCCGAAAACATGGTCCCTTCCATAAAAGGATGCACAGTTATGGTCACAGGTACTGTCTGACCAAAATGTAAAGTCTCCGAGGGAATAGCCACTTCGATAGGAACTAGTTTCTTGGGACTCAGGATGGTTGTGAAATGAGAATGAGGTGTAGGTACAAGACCTAAACCGCCGACATTGATACTATGACCACCTGCACTTAAACCAGGATGCACAGGGCTGAGACAAGGGCTCAGCCGTGGGCTGATGTTTGGATTGAAATATGAGGATGGATTGTTGAATGAGGAGCGCGAAAGAGCTCGTGAGTGTAAAGTGTTGGTAGAACAAGGATGGATGTAGCTAAGGCTTTTTGGGCTGCCGCTACTACTACCGGAGAAGCTGACGCTACTTGCAGCGCTGGTGGTGGAAGTTCTGTGGCTGTTGATGGAGCTGCTGCCATGGAGACTATTGCTGTTGCTGCTGCAGCTGGAGAAACTAGCGCGAGGGGGCATTGGGCCGATGCCAATGCCACCAAAAGCACTAGAGCCTGACATGTCGTAACTAAGGCTGTCATAACTATAGTTCATTACCATAAACTCCTTTGTGGCGGACAAAATGGATGCGGGGCCTTTGTTGCTGCTGCTGTTATTGCTGTTGTTGTAGCTGTTGGAGCTGTAGTTGCTGTGGATGGTTGTGGCGAAACTGGGGGGTTTATTCATTCTTAAGATCTGAGCATGGAAGGAATATTGGACAAAACCCTCAGGATGTTGAGTGCAGGACGAGGGCCAAAAGGGCTCGATCACAGTCACCACTTGATGTGTATATTGTCCTGCAGCAATCGTGTGAGGGCCAGCTTTGACAAGATTGGGAAAAACCCATTGTTTGCGTTGAAGAACCTGCTCTGACTGTGAGACTGCAAAGGCGCCTCCACCTCTTGCAAGGCCTGCTCCGCTCACTGGTATAAAAGAAATGTAAAAGAGAGCAATTATGGTTAATGGTTTTTCTTATAATAAATAAAGGCGAAGCAGAAAACCAAAAGTGACTAAAAAAAAAAAAATATTCGTGAATTGTCAGGGGGGCCTCCTTGTCGAACATCCCTCATTCCTATCCAATTGCAACTTATCTCCATTTCCGTCCCCACCTCCCCTTCCCTTTCTTCCCCATCCCTCCCTCTCCCATCCCACCCCTTCCCTTATGTCCTCATTAGTGGCTTTCCCACTTTTTTTTTTTTTTTTTTTTTTTTTTCTTAGTTACCTGAAACTCTTGACCCGACAATGGCTGTAAACTCGATCTCGACTTCATCTCCTTCACAAGCGGCCTCCAAGTCAAGGGTTACAGTGGCTTGGACAAAACCCGGACACTCTTTGGTGCCAGTGATGAGTACAGGGGATTGTGGATCGTTATTATTTTTATAGGTTTTGTTATTAATAGTATTATTCAGATGGTGGCTCGCGTTATAAGGGTAACGGCCGCCATAGTGTTGGTTATTGAAATCGTTGTCTAATCCTCCTACTCCTCCTGATAATTCGGAAAAAGCTGGTTCAATGTGAATAGTTAATGACTTTCTCTTCTTTTTAGTTGTGCCATCTAACCGAAGGAATTTCTTGAGCATGATTAAGAGTAGGAGGAAAGTGAAAGATGTGAATATGAGGGAGTGATTTTTATAAAGGATGGGAGGGAAGGAGGATGGAAGTGGCAAAAAAAAAAAAAAAAAAAAAAAAAAAAAAAAAAGAAAGAAAGAGAGAGAGAGATGAATGAAAGTAGTATATACAGATCACTGACTGAGTGGTCGAGTGGATTGACTGGTTGGCTGGCTGACAACAGGGGATAGGAAGAGTGTTAAAAGATAAGGTGGTGGGATTGCGGTGGTAGAGTGTGGAGGATGGTAGAGGCAACGTGAAGTTGACCAGAGATGAAGAGGAAGAAGAGGAAGAAAGGAAAGAAAATGACGAGATGAAAAACGAAAAATGTAAGTAGAAAATACAAGGGTTACTGATAACAAAGACAAGGAAGAACAGACTTTTTTTAAAAAATAAAAAATAAAAAATAAAAAATAAAAAATAAAAAATAAAAAATAAAAAATAAAAAGCACTACAGAACGCTTGAGCGGCAAGGGGAGAGAAAAAGTAAAAAGAAAAAGAAAAAAAATAAGGGTTTGATGGGATATTTATACATGCTTCATAGGCCAAAGGACCTCGTCAATGCAATGCAATGCAATGCAATTTATATTGTGTAGTATAGTAAGATAAAAAAAATAACCAGAGCAATTGCTCCCTTTTTTATCCTCTGCAATTGACTCCTTTTTACAACCAACTGCACCTTAAAAAAAAAACAAAAACAAAAACAAAAAAACACAAAAAAAAGGCCCGAGCATGGACGCTGTGCGACCACGTTTGTGTTAAACACAGCGAATGTATGCAGTGTTGTGTGTGATGTGTGTGATGCGGGTTGTAAATCAAAGACAGATCTTGTTCCAGGTACAAAACACTAAAATGTCAATGCACGCGTCATAGCCCCCGCAGTCATGCCCCATTCGAAGGTCCAAGTCCTTTGATTGTCCATCATGTCATTCGTATCCTACATGTACAGTATATACAGTATACATATCATCCTTGTACCGTCTTTATTTTCTTAATGCTCATCAGTCCATGTGGCGACAGAGCCACCTTTCGGTATCCTTGCATGTTCCACTTTTTTTTTTTTTTTTTTTTTTTTTTTTTTCTTTGTATCCGGTGGAATGAGTGGTTATGGACAATTCAATCCATGTGTTTTTTTTTTTTAAAAAAAAAAAAAAAGAAGAAGAAAGCGCTTTTTATTCACAACAAAGAGAGTTGAACAAAGTAAAAAGCATATACATGGACATGTTTTGTGCTCAAGTATCAACAATAGAGTTACTGTCTAGTGTCCATAGCATACAAAGAACAGGGGGAACTATTTGTCTATAACATTCAAAGAACAGGGGGGACAAACAGGTTCATGTATTTTATGCACATACCTTGAAGGCTCTGATGTAAGACCTTGTTTTATGTTTTGACCCCTTGGACATTTGAAAACCCGTTGACCCACTTCTTCCCCTGGCTCTTTCATCTATCCATCCTATTCATCCTATCCGTCTAATCTCTTCATTAATTCTCATGGACCTAGTCTTCCTTGCTATGCATAGATTACGAAACCAAATGTTTGTCTATGCTCCCTTGTCTGTTTTGTATTTTCTGCCTGCGAGGAAGTTACAAAATAAACCAAACCAAACCAAAAAAAAAAAAAAAAAAAAAAAAAAAAAAACGCGCCAATGTTAATCAATCAAAGCAGGATTGAACAAGTTTGATATCCTCCCTAGAAAAAAAAAACCTCGTTTCGTATTAATTCCCTTGAGATTGTAAAGCTCGTCTTAATTATAATAAAAAAGTATTTGAAATATTTTCAAACGGAACTATTTGTGAACAATATGAAAAAAAGTTTAAAGAATGCAAAGGATAAAGAAGTCTGTGCGTGGAAAGATGTAGCTTGAAGGGCCGTTGTGATTGGTTAGCTGGTCTATCCTTCTTCGTCCTTCAAGTTGACCAGCGTCATAACCGTCATCATCACTAGGATGGAAAGATCGATATTCTATTGTTGTAGGCTTTATTCCCCTCTACATCGCCATACTATAATTTGTAGACAATTACCAAGTACATCTATATCTGCTGAGCATAAAAAAAAAAAAAAAAAAAAAAAAAAAAAATGGATACTGAGCCCATGCAACAAAAAAAAAAAAAAAAAAAAAAAAAAAAAGTCGCCGATTTTGTTTTTGTTGCTGGGTTCTTCCGTATCCAAATGAAGATATTCCATGACCTCTTTTATCTTTGCATCTTTGCGCATTGTTTTAATTGCTACTATTACTGGAGAGTCAAAGTTGTTTGCGCTCTGTGACATCGCATGTGATCCGGCAGGAAGGTGATTAAAATAAACGGAGGGGTGAATCTATTTGACAACCCGGGTTGTCACTCTTATTTGACAACCCCCCCCTTAATTATTTTTCTCAATTTTTTTTCTTTGCGTGACAACCCGGGTTGCCAAATAGTAAAATATCTAATTTGACAACCCCAAGCTCACTGTTATTTGACAACCCTTTTTTTATTGGCAAGATTATTATGTGAAAATCGTTTCTATTGCTATCCCTCAGCAACACGAAATCCCTCCAGCAATCTAAAAGCTTCCTTCAAATAACAAACTTTTTTTTTTGGTTACGAGGTGTTGTTTTTATTACAACTGATTTCTAAAACAAGGGTTTGCTTTATAGAAAATGTGCCTATACGGGTAACATGCACTAAGCATACATAAATTCGGAGTGGTTATGCGACGCTTGATGGCGCATGCGTAAGACGCGGAAAGGAAAAAAAGAGAGACAGAAGAAGCTATAACCACAGTCATGATAACGGAGTGTTGCCACCATTTTAGAAATCCAGCTGAGAAAGGCCCTCCATAAGTGCAAGAGGGTGAAGACTTGTCATGTGACAGGTTGAAAAAGACAATTTTTCTTCTTTTTTTGACAACCCGGGTTGTCAAATTACAAAAAAGTGAAAATTGAAGACCTGGGTTGCCAAATAAGCCGGCGTGACTGCTAAATTAGGAGAGTGACAACCCGGGTTGTCAAATAGATTAATTCTAAACGGAGTGTCCGCTGTTGGGCTGTCCCTCCCCACGTGTTCTCCTTTTTTTCTCAATCCGAAAAATTTCTCTATTTGAATGAAGCGAGAATTCGCCCATCCGATATTTGCATTTCTATTGGCTGCAAAATGTCACAGCATTGCAAAGTGGGGGAAAAACACAAAAACCAAAAAGTGTATTTTCTTGCTATCTATCCGGAAGAACTAACTGAAAGAGGGAAGAAAGAGCCAAAGGACCCTTGCATGAAGAAGAAGAGGTGGTCATTTGAACATCTTTCCGACGTCTCTTTCCCTCGTGATGCCTTAATGTAGCTTATTCGAAAGAAATGACAAAGCAATATTCATAAAAAAAGTGGGGTTTCCAGATCAATATCGATCAAAGCTGTGGGAAATCTGTTATTGTCAGTCAAACACCAAAGCGTAGTCAGACCTTTGTTTCTTTTTATTCTTGTAGAATGAGGAAAAAAAAGCCATAAATCAAACATGTGCTTGGTCTACATCCATATCGACAAGTAAGCCCCTTTTTACGTCAACGCCATCAAGACTCCTAAAAAATAGAAAATAGGGTTACGATATGGACTAAAAAAAAAAAAAAAAAAAAGAAAAAACAAGATGATGGAACGAATTCACACAAGATACAAACAAGACTATTGGATGTTCCGATTCGACAGGCTTTTTAGCTCCTTATGTCCCCATTTGTCATAACCTTCCCACGCATCGTTGTAATCGTCAATCTCCTTCTAGTCCATGTATTGCAAAGAAAAAAGAAGAGAGAAAAAAAAAATTTTTTTTTTTGAAGTGATAACATAAAAATATTGAAAGCAAACGCATTTACTTTTTTAATCCCAGCCCTTTGGAGAAACTATAACCGTGCCGCTCTCGGATCAAGTCGTGAAAGAGGCGCCACTTTTTTTTTTTTTTTTTTTTTTTCTTGATTTGCTTGTTTTGCTTGCCAATGATAATGAGTGTTATGTGTTTATAAACAGTTTTGTTTTTCTCTTCTTCCTTTTTTTTTTTGTTCCATCAAACCATTTCTCTCATTTCAAACTGATTCTTTTTTTTTTTTTTTTTTTTTTTGCGTATTCCTGTAGTTACTGCATTTTAAAAGTTATACGTTTGTCCAAAAAAAGAAATTTGCGCACATATTATACCGCAAACCTAAACGACGACATGGAGGTTCAAACTACTACATTGATCATGCCTTCAGCCTCTTCCCCTTCTTCTTCTCCTTCTTCTCCTCCTACTAATTCACATACCAATACTGCTTCCTTATCTTTACACATGTCCTCGCCCACACAGACCGATACCATCACCTCCACTACATGTTCATCAGAGACCCTCAAACAATGGTCGTCATCCTCTCCAGATGTATCCTTGGCGATTACTCCTGAGAATGATCCCAACCCATCTTGGACATTTTATCCTTCTGCAGCAACCTATATCTCTAGTAATACGTCTGCTGCTTCAGATGCAGGCTCAGCTTCACCGCTAGAGCCTACTTTGCCATCTTCACCTTCAAGATCGCCTCGTTCATCTTCACCTCCATTATCTAATAGTAGTGATTCGAATCATACTCAGCTCAATGGAACGTCCCCTTCTGCATCCTCAACACCTACAACACATCATCGAATTCTGGACCATTGCTTTCATTTGTCAATTGAGACCCGTTTGAAACAAGCAGAGGCACAGTATTTAGCCTCGACACAAGAACAAGCAGTTGAAGATCATGGCTCTGAAGGATCTGAAGAACAGCGATCGGTTGGCCAGAGTCAACCAGACGACTGGCGGAGACGACAACAAGTCCTTGTAGATGAAGCTGTAGTTCTGGGTCGAAAAGGGTCAAATGTAGAAGCCATTGTGGATGGTGAGTAACAAAAAAAAAAAAAAAAAAAAAAAAAAAGAGACTTAGTCCAATAGGGTCTCAATGATGCCATTATAGTTTTTACTTTTCACTATTTTTGAGTGCAAAATGTTTCTCCTGGGTGTAACAAATTGTTTTCTATCGGTCTTACGACAATTTCCTTCGGATACAACCCAAAAAAGATTTGACAGCGGGGGGAAGAGGGAACATGTGTGGCTCTCTAAACAGAAGAGCTGGTCACATCCAGCTTTAAAAAAAAAAAAAAAGCAGCAACAACAAACGACGGATCTGACATGTGCTTTCTCTACTTTCTTGGTCCTGTATTAGGTATTCTTATGTCGCATCGATCTAGTGGGCCACTGCAAACACTCCCCAGACATCTGAAGCATCGTTTGCATCTCTGTCAGCTGACATCAATGGTATTTGGGCGCTTTGATGTTGCCTCTTCAACCAACAGCTCAGCCGGACTCAACATTTACTCCGCATTCCACTCAAGACGACACGGAGCATCGCGCGCAGCCATCAAATACCGTTTTTCTCACAGCGAAAGGGGCAAGCAGCTTCAGTCCGCATTCTCCCAGCCTATTCCGACTTCTGCATATTGTCGTCGCCATCATCGCCTGGACTGTAAACGGACATGCTGTGCTCTTGCAAAGTTGCAGCAGGAACAGCAACAAGCACTCGAACTTAAAAAGAAGATGGCCAATAATTACTTTATGAGTAATAGTGTCCGCATGACCAACCATAGCAAACAGGATACTCATAACCATGCACGCGTGACAGGATTGGTGGATGCTATCCCTGCATTCTTGAAGTGTTCAGCAATGAGCTACCGAGACATCGCCAAGGCAATGGTTGACAAGGGGGAGATCAAGGACATGAAGGATATGAAGGTCCTTGGGGGCTGGTACAGATTGCTTTTGGAGATGATGACCCAGGCAGTGATCGAGTCCTATCTGTGCGATGAAGATACTGGATTCGACACCATTTTGGATGTGTTTTCATATGGCGATGATCCCGAGGATACAGAGGCAACCTTAAAGAATTTCACAACTGAAGAAGACATTGTGAATCCATCTACTACACCCTCGTCCCCTTCGTCTTGTCACAGCCCATCAACTCCAGGAGTAGAGGGACTGCATTTCCCAAACATTAGTACATCGATGCCGTCAATTCAAAATCACTATCGTCAACACCCAACGCCACCATTGCATGATGTTACTACACAGGACCGTCAAGACGATATCCTTTTCGCAAAGACACCTGAGTATATGACCTTTAAAATCGCCAAAGACGAGCGTTTACATGAGGTAAAAAAAAAAAAAAAAAAAAAAAAAAAGTTTGTTTGTGCTGATTAATACACATTTGTAATTTACAGCTAAAACTTTTTTTTTATTTTTTCCCTCCTCCTAGTTCTTGACACTGAATGGCACAAATATGGAACAACATTTTGCAGGGCTCGCAAAGAAATATCCATTGATTGTGTTTGAGCGTCAGATGACTCACTTCATAGCACGATCCCAAAAACTGTTAGTTGATCCAAAGCTTTCTCAGGATGCTGGGGAATATCAGCCTATGGAAGTCTTGATTCCACCGACGACGTCAGCTTATGCCGATGGATCGTTGTCGATGCCAGTCAGCGAAGATGAAGATGAAGAGGATGCTAATGAGGACATGGAGAGTGGACGTGTTAAACTAGAGGAGATCAAGGAAGAGGATGAAGGTGAAGACGATGAAACCAAAGCCAAGACTACAACCTTGAGGCAACCTTTATCTGTGGTTGTGACTAAGGAAGAAAAGAAATCAGATGGATTGGACTCCCAGGCTATGGATGAGGATGATAACTCGACAGCTGCTAGAGTTGTGCAAGTGTCCAAGAAGAATAGGCATCATATCTCTACCACTATCACAAACACTCCTGATGATGCTGGACATGTAGCCAAAAAGATCAAAGTTTGAACCAGCTCCAGCCCTCTCATTTTTGTTAATATTTTCGCTTACTCCATCTTGATAGAAAATGGAGAGTTTTTTTTGTTGGTTTTTTTTTTTTTTTTTTTCATTTCTTGCTTGACTAGCTTTGTATTTCATAATCAATATGTATTTTAGATAGATGAATCAATTTTTCGTTTTTTTTTTTGTGAGCGTAGTAATATGACATGAACGTTTAATCATGAACGAACGTTAGTATTTCCATGATTGGTATTGACCGGCGATTACCGTGATGCGGTCGGAAGTCAATTGTGTATCCATGATCCGCAAAGTCATCTGTTTCAACTGTGTTGCACAGCAACCAACTAACCAACCAACCAATCAACCAAAAAAAAAAAAAAAAAAGGATTGGAATGAGCAATGTCATTTATGACAATGAAGATGTCATACAGTTATAAAAATATTGACAAAGAGGAGCTCTCCTCCGTTTTGCTGTCCATAATTAGTTTTTTTATATTGGCCGGAATATGCACGGCGTGAACGCGCTTCTTCCACATTGGTTACTTGCGTACAACATTAGCATTTTCTGTGTTTGTAATCCTGTATTTTTTTTTTTATTTTTTTTTTTTGATCAGGCAACACAAACACACAGATACTGGACACAACACAATGCTTGTCCATGTTTGGTCCATGCAAACATGCAAGGGAGGGAAGGGAAAGATCTGAATGTTTCATAGGTTGTGAAATAACCCGCCTTTTTTTATTTTTTATTTTCGCGCCTAATTGTTCACCTTTGACCTTCATCTTTTCACTTCTCACTCCACTCATTACGATTCCTCCTTCAACGCAATCTCTTTCTCTCTTTTCTCCAGCTTTGTATTCTATCCTGCTCAACAACTCACACTCCTACACTCTTTACTTTCGAGTCTTCCATTTGCAAAAACAAGAACTCGTTCCATCATCTCTTCATTCCTTTTACTTCATTCATTGTTCATCTTGCTATCCGCCTCATTCACTTGCCTCTTTGTTCTCACACATCTCAATTTGTCCCTCCCTATTCCCACTCTAAAGACCATAGCACCATAATATAGCAGCAACCTTTAAAAGCTAAACACAAAGCTACCAAGCATAACAACACATTCTACCTCCACTCCAAACTTGAATCTATCCATATCCATTATCTCGGTATTTGCTTTTTCAAATCTCTGTTCTTGTACCATCATTAATATACCCCTCATTGATACTCTGCGAGATATTCTCTTGATAGTAAATCTAAGTCTCTATAGACTCACGTAGATAGCTTATACCCATAACTTTTTCATACCTCCCAAGACCCTACTCTTCTCTCTCTCTCTCTCTCTCTCATTCATTTTATCTTCTTTCAAAGGAACAACTTTACTCTCTCCCTTACTTGCCAAAAGCAAAAACAAAGCAAAAAATGTCAACCAGTATCGCATCTTCTGCGATGATTTCACCTCAATCTTCTGCGTTACATCAAACCACATCTGCCACGACAACGACAACGGCAACCACAACGAATTCTAATAACGGAGATCACAGCAGTAACAGTAGCAGCAATAGTAATAGCAATGGTAGCAGTAGCGGTGCTCATCCAAACAACTATTTTCAACATTATCCAGTACCAAATTTTCAAGTGCAACAGGATTCAATCCCAAGCTTGGTCTCGAAACGAAGTGCTACATGGCGGTATATGCAACGGGTTCATCAAGGTGGGATGGTCCTCTATAATACAGCCATGTTATCAGAAATGGATTTAAGACGCGGATATGCTGATGAGAAGAATCATAGGAGGTATATTTATAAAAAAAGGAATTGTATTCAAATATTAATGTTTTATCATTCTTTTTTTTTTTTTTTTTTTTTTTTTTTTTGCTAAAGCAACAAACACAAAACACAATACTAATCTGTTCTGTCATGGATAAATATTAGGGCATTACAATACTTTTTACTTGGAACATCTTTAGCAACAGTTCTGGAAATCCCTAATGTAGGCGACTGTCTCAGGGCACTTCAAGTGGTGATTCAAGAATATGAGTATTTCACAGCATCCGAGTCACGGTCAAAAATGGTAAAAAAAAAAAAAAAGCGCAATTTTGGTGGCGTTGGAAGCTTTTTTTTTAAAAAAAAAAAAAAAAAAAAAAAAAAAAAAACTCGTACTTACTTATCTCTGCATATCATATATTTATTATACTCAATATATATATATATAAAGATGTTCCTAAAAGCAACAGGTCGGAAAGTATTATCGGACGTAAAGTCTTTTGAAGAGACAGGCGAGTATTCATTACTAGAAGTCCGTCAACTGGTAAGCATTGCCTGATGAAGCTTAAAGGGGCTTTCTTTTCTTTTCTTCCTTTTTTTGTTTGTGTGAGCAAAAAAAGGGAAAGATGCCCGCTAACAGATTTTTTTTTCTTTTTTTTCAACCCCTAAATGCATATAATGGCCACAGCCGTTCAGTCTAGACTATGTAATAACATTCGCGTCGCTGTGTGATATGATCGCGCAAGTCTATGAGAAACTAGGCACAGAAGATCGTCCCTGGACATTGACAAATGCTGAAATCTTTCAAAAAATTGATAACCGCTTCAAGGTAAAAAAAAAAGAGAGAGAAAGGTGGTAACTTTCAAGACTTTCATCAACAATCAGGTTTTTTTTTTTTTCTTTTTTCTTTTTTACTAACCTCAACTTCTTCTCACCTGCTATTTTTTTTTTTTTTTTTTTATTTTTTTAGAAAATATTGACGGTTGTATCAAAGGAACTAGAAACGATGGCCAAGGAGATTATGGTGGGTGAGTTGAACGCAATGGATCCACTTGGCACATCAACCAATGATCATGACTGGGATCTTTGAACGAAGATAAAATAAAATAAAATAACTTTTATCCACATCAAGTTTATCTGAACAAGTTGTTGAATAAAATCAAAATGATAATGGAAAAGTAGATGAGATGATCAGCCTTATACATGAACAGTTTTTTTTTTTTTTTTTTTTTTTTTTTTTTTCTAAAACAGTGGAAGGATTTATATGATCTAATCTAGTTGATTTTATTCTATGTTTTTTTTTTTTTTTTTTTTTTTTTTTTGGTTTTCGAATGTCTTTTCTTTTCTCCTTCACTACTTCAATGATGTGCCTGGTGCTATGGCTTTGGGGAGGGCGAATGAGCCAAGATAGGAGATGCAAAAGGGTTATGGGTAGGTGCTGGTATAGTGGTTGTACTTATGTCATTACTAGATGAAGAAGGTGCGAGAGCATTATTCACAGGCGTTGTTGTTGCTGTTGTTGTTGTTGTTGCATTTGGTGCTACAGATGAAGTTGAAGTGGGTGGCGCAATATATCCAGCTACTTCTGTCCCTGCTTCCGCTCCTGCTCCTCTTGTTCCAGACCCTGAAGTAGACGTAGCAGCATTAAAAGGGTGAAGTTGTCCTAACGAAGAGTTCAAGAACCCTCCAAGGCTGCTCGTCTCAGAGTAGACTACGTTGGGAGAAGTTTGAATCGGTATAGATCGATGGTCAAAATAAACAGGTTGAACAGCAATGGTACCATCGGGTAGTTGCTGCATCAGATATTGCGCGCCGCCAGATGTCTCTTCAGGTGGCATACTATATTGAAGATGATCGTCCTGTGCTCCTCCCGTACCCGATGTTGGAGCTTCGATCCCAGAAAGATCATTGTGTCCCATTCCTGGTGCATTGGCAGCCGAGGTGCTGTTACGGCCACGACTACCTCCAATACTACCGCCGTTTAATCGTCTCGTGGATGTAGAATGAGGTGAGGCTCCATAGAGGTTTTTATTGCGGTGAGTCTTATGTCGTCGATGACTAGCACTGCTGCCACTAACACTGTTTCTGTTACCGTTACCATGGCCTTCACCATCGTAGCCCAGGGACGCCATATATGCCTGTTTTTCCATTTCAGCTTCCCGGATCGCAATCCTCTTTTGTCGTCTCTTATAAATGAATAAGCCCAATAGAGATCCAATGACAGCTAGGACTGCTGCAACTATACCGACAATAGCCCCAGTTGATAATCCACGGCCATCCGTTTTGTTCCCATTGGGTCCAGCTTCATGGTGAGGTTTCGAGATCGGGGTCGTATCCTCTTTAGGCGAATAGGTCGTCATCCAAAGGGATTGGACTATATCAAAGACCTGGGTGTCTTTGACATATGCAATATTAGGCCCCTCACCATTGGGAGGACTGGACTGACCTCCGTAGACGATCATGTTGGCACCGACAATGTTGCAGGTGTGATCGTATCGAGGTGCGATGTTGTTCACTGGTATGATTTGTTGCCAGGTGAACGTGTCCAGGTCAAGAGACCAGATATCGGATAAAGTTGTCTTTGAGTTGGCGTCGCGTCCTCCAAAGATGATTACTTTATTCCTGTCGGCTGTCATATTAAAAAAAAAAAAAAAAAAAAAAAAAAAAAAGAAGAAAAGAAAAGAAAAGAAAAGAAATGGTTTTCATTAATAACGCGTTCTTATCACTTTACAATATAGACGTGTTTTTTTCTATTATTTCATTTTTTTACCAATGCATTTTCAGTCATTTTCTTTACTTAGAACACTACAATGCGCATCTCGTCCACTCGGAACTGAGCCGAGCGTTAGCTAACAAAGAGATAAAGAAGAAAAAGAAAAAAAAAAAATAGGAAAAAGATTGTTTAGAAGTTACGGTTTTATTTTCATGGTATTTTTTTTTTTTTTTTTTTTTTAGTGGTGTGTTTTGTTTATGTAAATATAAATATTTATATTTATTTATTTTTTTACCTGAGATCCAATGGTAGGCGGTGAAGTCGAGATATTAATCCAGGGTATGTTTTGAAAGCTCTGGTAACTTCGTGGCCCATTTCCGGATGTGATTCCTCCAAAAATATAGATGCGATTTCCAAAGAGATGAGCAGTGCTTGAGCTGTACTTGTTCATGGTGATGGTTGACTTGGGTCCATCAGTAGTACTTGGAAGGACAACAGGGATGTTGGCATTCCAGGCCCCGTTCAGGAATCTGTCAATCTCGTTGGTATCAATAGTATCAGCGATCCTACCCCCTATATACCAGATGGCTCCCGTTTTGGGATCCGTTAAGAATTGAGCCTCTTTCCGGCGTGTCCATGTAATAGCTTGTCTAATTATACATATCAAATGTATATAAATATATCCATATATTAATACACACATATTTTTATTCGCATTCATATTTATGGCTAGCACGTTGGTATTATAAGCGGGAATATTTGAACGCTGGTATTTTTTTTTTTTTTTTTTTTTTTTGAAACAACATTCGATAGAGCGAGTAAGATTGACAAGAAAAAAAAAAAAAAAAAAAAAAAAAAAGTATGGTAGAACTGACAAAGGAACATCTTTTTTTCAAAGACGTTAGATAATGCAACCTTTATAGAACATATTTTATTTTTAAAAAGAAAAAAGGGATAGACATAATCATGTTGCGGGATTAAAAAAATAATAATAATAATAATAATCGTCCAACCGTTGTGCACTTGCTCGAGGGATTCTGTCTGCATGGGACTCGTATTTTCTCCGAGTGAGGAACTCGATAGTAACTTTAAAATGAGTGCAGTAACGAGAAGAAGAACAGGTACCATTGCGCTTACCTATTTACCTGTCTACCTGCTTACTTACCCTTCTTACCTGCTTATCTGCTTACTGCCTTTCCTGCTTACCGGCTTACTGGCTTCGATGAGTAGGCGAGTCAAGTGGAGCAGGAGCAGGGGCAGGAGCAGGAGCAGGAGCAGGAGCAGGAGAACAGGACGAGTTGGTAGGGGAAGGTTAGGGAGAAGTACAAATCGGGACGGAGAAACTTAATTTACGTTCAATAAAAAAATCACTTATTATCCTAATTATCATTTTTATCAATAATTTCAAAGTTCTTCCGGATCCTTTTTTTTTTTTTTTAGTTGTAAGACTAGAACCAAGTTTCCATGGCTCACAAACCAAAGTGAGTACAAAGTGAATTGAAACCTGAACTTTGTGTTAAAGGGTTGAGGGAAAGGACAAGACGTTAATAACGTCAATAATATGGAAGTGTGGATTTGTCAATATGTAGGGGATGTGCGTGTTTCAAATGTGAAGAATTGTATAGGAAAATAGCGAAGATGTGGAAAGCCTTGGCTGATAACCACACGCACACACACAAAAAGAAAAATAAAGAGAAAAAAAAAGAAAAGAAAAGAAAAGAAAAGAATAAGACTTATTGTTATCAAGACACTTACGCAGCTGGCGCATGACTGGATGACCATGTCCCTGTCTTGACATTGTATTGATATAGAAATGGGGCTGATGTATCATTTACTGGCGCAGTAAGGAAAAGAGTGGACAGATCTTTGGACATTGTGGCAGAATGACCCGAGGCTGCAAATCCTGGGCTGGATGTCGGAATTGTCAAGTTTATCCATGCAGGACTAGAAGTATCCCAGGATCTGGTTACATCCAATGCTATGAATTCTTTTGAATATTCGGTTTTATCTTTGTTGATCTGTCCTCCGTGATAATATACAAAGCCATTACCAGTGGCAGAAGCTACGCCGATGAAGGCAGTCGGTGCGCTGACACCAGTGTTTTTGACGGGAGAGGGTTGATTGGGAGAAGGAGGAGCGTTGGTAGGTGCTGTTGTCCCGGGTGGAGTTGATGATTGTTGGGCTTCAGCAACATGTGGCATGAAGATCAATGCAAGTACGAGCCCTACTGCTGCAGTTGTAGCAGCAAGGGCTTGTTTAGGTTTTGATGATTTTTTTGACATGTTGGAAAATGTTGTATGTGTTGTGTATGCTGTTAGTGATGACGGATGGGGTATTTACATTAATAAGGAGCACAATGATTTGTAATAAAAACAAAAAACAAAAAAAAAAAAGGAGGAATGGATGATGGAGGATAGGGGGGGAAGAGTAGTTCTAGAATGATGATGGATCAATAGTCCAATAGGGGTTAAGGTGAAAGAGAAAGAGCAAAGATGGAGGATGAGTGGGTGTATGGATTTTGAATGATGGGTTATGGATTTGGATGTTGAAGAAAGTGGAAGAAGAGAGAAGAGTGAAGAGAAGAGAGAATGAGAAAATAAATCAAATACGGTTTTCTTGTTCCTGAAAATCCATGACATCCTATTACACTCTCAACCCTATTTTTTCCCTTCCACATTGCCTGTTTCAATGACCCTCATCCTCTCATTCAAATGAATGCTCTTATTACAACATTCTTACTCGCCCATTCATTTACTATGCCAACAAGTAACAAGACAACAAGACGTAACACCAACAAAAAGAAAAGAAAAAAATAATGCAATTGGGATGATCATAATTGAGGATTAAAATCCCTCTTTTGGTGTTTCCTTCTTTCTTTTGTGCTTCCCAATGACCATATTAATCCCTACACTCACTCGACAAAGACAATGATGGCCAATTAATGGCTCAAATAGAAGGTTTTCCATTTTTTTTTTTTTTTTTTTTTTTTTGTACTGTTGTTGGGACATTGTTGGACATTGGATAGAAAGACGCTTCTCTCTTCACATCTTCAAGATCTTGAACTTTCTTCTTTCTGCTCTGGATCGCCAATGATATCCAATTGTTCTTATGAACGGAAAAACAGTGGACGCATGTATTGCCAAATACGGCAAAACAAACAAATAAACAAACAAATAAACAAACAAAAACAAAAACCCGCATTCTCCGTAGAAAGAGACACGCGGCTGAAAAATAAAAAATAAAGAATAAAAAGAATAAAAAAAAAAAAAAAAAAAAAAAGAGCTCTGCAGGTCATCATCAAGAGCGCCAACATCTAAAATGCGTTAGCCTTGTTCTACAAAACGAGAGATATCTCTCAACTCAATCTCACAATAACAAAAAACACATAGTCCTATACAACAACAACCTCTTCATGAGATATGGTCGGCATAGAATTTATTTGCACAACCCCCTTTCCTCCGATGAACGTCTATCGGTAGTTTAGTCGTTAACAAAATTATTCCCAGTTCTTTATGCCCAATTTTAGCACAGGTAAGGATGCGGGGATCATATTATGACAAAAAAGGTACGTCCAGAGATTATCGGGCAACACACACCTGTTGATATTTTTAAGTATTTTTAAATGAAACTAGGACAGATATGAAAAATCAGCCATTTTTATAAACGCAAACATATAAAAATATAATTTTTTTTTTTTTTTTTTTGCAATTATATTTTATGCACATTTTATGCAGTGACACCAAGAGTTGCCAAGTGCACTGCACCTTCTTCAGAAGCACAGGCAAAGTGACGAGAAAAAACGTGCGTGGCATGGAAGCACAAAGAGCTCTCATCAAATGCATTGTGAATGAATCATTGGAGAGCGCGTTTTTGTTTTTTTTTTTTTTGCATGGAGTATAAGATGTCAGGAATCTGCACAGGCAAAAAGTAAATTGATGCCGAATGAAGTCATGGAAATCTAAAGATCATGCTGGGGTATATTTTTACATGCTTGGACTGGGTCTATCTTCTCAACTGACTAAACTGGACTATAGAGGGCTAACTGCATCAGACAGAGTAAAGAAGAACTAGGTGAATATTTGAATATATTCTAATATTTTACGTACAAATATATATATCCCACATACGCCTCAGTCATTACTCGTGAGAATATAAGAAATTATCTCGTTAAATGACAAAATGGCAAATGACAAATGACAGCCCTTTTTTTTTTGTGCAACGTTGTCTTTGCTGTACATGTACATAATCGCCCTTTCGATCAATTGCTTCGTCTCTGTTATAGTGTTATTGAAGTAAAAGTTATCTCTGAGCTGGACGTGCAATTAGACCACCGATTGGACATGCATGTGGGAAAAAAAAAAAAAGAATGACAACATTTTTAAACAAAATAGCAATTGAGATTCCGAGGAATTCATCTTCCACTATCTTTCGCTTTTGCTTTCTTTCTTTCTTCCTTTTAGTACAGTACATGTATACATGTGTCTTATAAACTTACATTCCAATTAACATCTCAAACAACGAAGAATGACCTCCCGTCTGCTCTTTTTTAAAAGAGCATTAATAAAGTGCCGGAGGTAACAATCGGATTTTTTTCTTTAATTATTATTCTGGTAGTTTTGATATAACAAAAAGCCGTCATTATATTTAAAGATTATCAAGTTATTTTTCCGGTAACATTAATTATATATATAGTTTTGTATGTTCATATTGCTCATTATTTTTTTTTTTTTTTCTTTTTTTGTACTTCCTTCCTTTCATTTCCCATCCAGCGTGATGTTAGTATTAAAAAAAAAAAAAAAAAAAAAAAAATGGTTTGATACACATCTGAATTTGCGTGCGTTTGGAACAACGATGGATCGCAAAGCCTACAGAGACAAGCAGAGTTATGAGCCTAACTGAGAAAAAAAACATAAGAAAATAAGCCGCCCTAGGACAGCTCGCGTCAGATAACAGTAGGAAATCTATAGCTTTTTTTTTTTTTTTTTTTTTTTGTTAACGGATTGTCGTCATTTTATGAAAATGGTGTATTCCATATATATGTTTCTAATGACTTTTACCCAAAACGGGTGGGGAAATCTGGTGTTTTTCACACAGGTAAGGAAATAAATAAATAAATATATATAATATAAATAGCATTTGGGTTGAATATAAATACACACTGCTGCTGATAAAGAAAGGTAAAAAAAAAACTGGAGACGATGTTCCGTAGATTCCCAGGTCGATGATGTCGGTCGAAGGTTTCATTGGGCTGAGCATTTTCGGAATATTGTGAAGATAATATGTAAATCAATGTGCCTATGCTATCTACGATATTTCTAGCCTGGGCTGGCCTGAACGCAAAAAAGAACATTTGAAGTCCCTCTGCTCATTTTTTTTTTTCAAATGCAAAAAAAAAAAAAAAAAAAAAAAAAAAAAAAAAAAAAAGATAGTACACCCTATTGTATTTCGCCTCCTTGGCCATTTGGAGCTCCAGAAAGTACCAAAAAAAAAAAAAGGGGGGGAAGGGAGAGGGAGTGGCACGACTTGGCGGTCGAAGCGCTTTGTTGTCCAAGGTTAAAATAGCACATGCGAGCAGAGTCGCGGGTGAAATTTTAAATCTCCTCTGTCTTTTTTACACTTCACGTAGACCGAAAGCAAACTCATCCACTATATCTTTTTTTTGGTTTTCCTCTCTTCCTCTCTTTCTTTCTTTTCTTTCCTTTCCCACCCCTTTCTCTCTCTTTCTCTTTCTCTCGCTCTTCTACTCTTGTTTTCACTTTTGCTTGCCTGACTTTCAAGATAATTAAGGATCTATTAAAATAAAAAACATGGGTATCATATCCCTTGTTCGATCTACATGGACCTGGTCCTATGCAGCCTTGTCCATCTCGGTCTTGCTACTGATAGGAACCGCTATCAAAGGAATACCGACTAAGAACAGGAAAGCTAATGCGATCTTGTCGATTCTGAACAACCAGCTTTCCGAGTTGCCTCTGACCATCTTGGCATTAGACATTGCTTTCTATCTCTGGTTGTCAATCACAGGCACAGCTCGTAAGAATGAAAAAAAAAAGAAAAAAGAATAGAAAAAAAAAAATGCGAATTGAGAATGATGGGCACTCATTTTTTTTTTTTTTTTTTACATTTATTTTTGATTACTGTGGGAGAAATAGGAGTATCAGGGTTAGTGCGATTCTTCAACTATATCAACGTCATTTCAGCAATGGGGCTGTTGTTCCTGTTGAAGCGATCGTATGACACCAAGCACGCTGTTGAAGAGTTTTTGAGAAATCTTTCAAAGGAAAAGAAAGTTCTTACTGAACTTCCAGGATTTGACTCGTAAGAAAAGTAGACAGATCTTATTCTTTTATTCATATCTATTATGGTCATTAATGTAGTTTTCATTCCTCTGGACAAGGTTCGCTTGTTCTACGGCGTCTCATTATCAGAGTGAAACTTTTATATATTTATATTTATATTTATTATTATTATTATTACTGGCTATCATTCAATCGCTAAAATATTTTATTTTCACTTCTAGACCACGATTCTGGCGTCAGATCTTGAGTCCTATTCATGCGCCTCAGAACTGCCTCATTCATGAAAATAGTAAAGTGAAAAAAAAAAAAAAAAAAAAAAAAAAAAGGCGATGAATCGCGAGAGGATAGCAATGATTTGCCTAACTCATCTTTCTCTCTCTCTCTCTCTCTCTTTGTATATAGTTTATTATTGGACCCCAAATGAACAGGGCAGGGTAATGTCTGATGATGGCTGGGAAACAGCTCTTGAAATGGCTCTGGACATCTACAGACCCAAAACTATCGAAGGAGGTGATAATAGACCTGTCTTTGTACGTAAATCAAACGAAAAGAAAAACCCTTCGAAATCTACAGACAGATAGTTCTGCTTTGTGATCTGCGATACACAATTTGTGAGAGCTAAAACTCAATGCTTTTTCTTTTTCTTTTCTTTTTTTCCTATATAAATACAAAAATATTGAATAGGTTTACATCCATGGAGGTGGATGGACATCAGGAAACAAGCTGCAGACAGGGCCTCTGTTGACAGAACTTATTTCGCGTCAATGGGTTGTAGTCTCGGTCGGTTACCGTGTGACCTCGAAATCACCCTATCCTGTCCAATTGATCGACTGCAAACGCGCACTTCGCTGGATCAAGGATGAGATTAATATCTATGGCGGCGACCCAACCAATATCATTGTAGGCGGTGACTCTTCGGGCGGACATTTGGCAGCACTCTTGGCTCTGACACCAAATAGACCTGAGTACCAACCTGGATTCGAGCACGTGGACACGACTATTCAGGGATGTGTCCCTCAAAGCGGTTCATTGGATTTACCAGATTTGAAAAACTATAGTCATCATGATGGCAGGACAAGATTCATCAAGGAGGTTGCCCGTCGTGAAGGATCCGCGGAGTCTGAGGACAGTAAGTTATTAAAAATAATATACACAAAAAAGAGAGAAGAGGAAGGAACTTTGAATCCTTGGTGTTTGATGTAATGTCGTATTGGTCGTAATTCGAACAATCTAACAAAAAAAAAAAAAAAAAAAAAAACGCTTCTCATAGATCTTCGATTCTTGACAGAGCACTCGCCCCTCCACAATGTGCAGCAGGCCAATGTCCCATTCATGATCATTCAGTAAGCACATTGAATCAAAAATAATACCTTGATATTTTCCATGCTTGTCTTATCGTTTGTAAACTATTAATTTCTAAAACCCAATTGTTCATTGGATGGCCCTTTTTAGCGGAGACCTTGATAACATGACACCAGTCCAATCTGCTCGCGACTTCGTACAAGAGTTTAAGAGTAGTAAGTCAAAAGAAATCGATAGTTAATCCTTTGAGCTACGAGTGATCAGATTTTGTTGCTTTGCTCGATAAAAGGCGTACCATTTTCTAATTTTTTTTTTTTTTTTTTTTTTTTTTTTTTTTCAAATAGAATCCAAGGCATCAATTGATTACTTGGAGATCCCTGGTGGTCATCACTGCTTTCATGTTTTCCCATCGCCCAGGACATGGTACACCGTGATTGCAACAGCTGAGTGGCTTGAAGCCAACTTTGACCACAACAAAGATATGGCAAAGCCGTCAGTAGCTGGGAAAAACCAAGGACAAGATCTAGTGGAGTGGTAGTCATCATGAAAAAGTTGTGTAAAAAATTGACACATGTCATTTAGTGTTAGTGAAAGTTTCTTTAAATGATTAAAAACTCTAAAAGTCGGACATTTCACTGTAAATGAGGCACGGTGAACTGTAATGGATAAATGCACTTTTATTAATACCCCTTTTTTTTATTATTGCTGCTGTTGTTGCTGCTGTTGCTGTTGCTGTTGTCATTATGGCTATTAGTTCGATTGGCGCATGTCAATGATATAGAGAGCGGCGAAACCTTTGTACGAAAGAAGTGAGACATGCCGCTCAATCATCCTATGGAAGGTAAAGTAGCCGCTGGGAAATACTCCAGGACTCAACCTGGGCTTTCCTCTAGCAGCTTGGCCCCTAATAGTCAAGACCATGGGTAGATCGAATACACTTTTGAGGCAATCTTTTCGAAGCAGCTCATGGGGGTTTCATCATCCATCGTCAAGAACTCCATTGATATCTAAGAATAATATCGGCTGCCTCAGCGGTGACACTCCTATTATGATGAAGGCCCTATGGAAAGATAATTCGCTCCCTGTATCTCTATCATTGCCTTCACAAGTCGCAGTGATGGGAACAGCCTTACCTTACCAGTGACGATCAGTTCGGGTTCATTTACAGGCAAGGGATATGAAGGACAAGCGGCCCATGCCTTGAGTGCTCAATGTAATATTCGAGAAAAGATCGATGGTCGTGCTGACGGGGTTCATGAGAAGGCCATCCCGATAAAAGAAGTATGGTCTCAATTGATAGGGCCTTGGGCCAAGACCGTTCATTTGACGATCCCCAAGGCACCCGAAGTGACAGCAAGTGCAAAGACACGATATATGGACGTGGATTTTTCCGTTATCTTGACGATGAAAATCAAAGCAGAAGGAGAGAATGTCTTCCAAGCAAAAAAAGGAAAAAAATATATGATTGAAGGTAAAAAGTAAAAAATACCGTGTCACTTCTGTGCTCGGTCGTGAAGCATATCATGGCAAACCCCAACCGTATAAACATAACAATACGAACTTTTTTTTTTTTTTTTTCCGTCAAATTGGGAATTCAGCTAGCAGCACCAAGAGAAGTGCAAGGAGAGTTCACACAACAAGGAAGGGTTGATTGCTTCAACTGTGAACTTCATAAAGGAGACTGGATCTATCATACATAAATACACCCATGTCCGTTTTTTTATTAAAAGTAAAATAATTAAATGTTATAGTGGTATAAAACAAAGACAAACATTATCTCTTTACGAGTAGTGGATATACTAATATACGTATGGAATTGAATAATTAACGGACCAATTCGCCGGAGTGGTACGGCCCAGAACATACCCCCAAACTTATTCAAAGGCTGGCGCGTCAGGAGCAGGACTTTAGACCTGACAAAATCAATCAAATCTAGACGTTGGAAAAAGCCTAGTACAGGACCCTTGCTTTATCAGCGAGTATTCGAGCTATTGGTTGCACATGAACGTCCTCAGGATGAGAGCAGGTTTAGGATGGTTTTCAGGCGACTAACTCATCCGCAAGGATCCTTTCAGCACACCAAGTACACCCCAGTAGGGCATCAGAGCTTATTGCGCGTGTCGTTGAGCGTCATCGGGTCATCGAGCACGAACATTGTCAACATAAACTCAACCCTGGCCAGCGGTTTCAATGACATGTCCCAGACGCCCTTTTCTTTTATCAAAGGTTGATCATAATTTCTATGAGACTAAGTTAACCGCTACTGGATCAGGATCTTAGAGATTTATAAACACGTTATTCGAGCTCAAGCAAAATAATAAAGGCATTTAAACTAATTACAAAGGATCAGTTGTAGGATTCGAAATGCGCGGGGGTCCATTGACAGATGCTTGTAGAAGACTGAGCCGTGATTAGTGCTCGAATTAACGCTCCAGGCCTCATCTTACTCCTGTAAACATGTCCTACGCATCTCTTGTGGTTTTTTTCTTTTCATTGATATCTTAATGTAGTTGACTCGAAAAGTAAAGCCTTTGCCGTGTGATGAATACTTAAGCATCATCCATTGCCCATCTCCCTATTTCCTCCACCTCCACCTCCCATTCCCTTTTCCCCTCCTATGTTGCCTTGGTTGCACAAAAGAAAGGAGATCTCCTATCCTGACGAATCAATCAACGAGCCTTGCGCTCGGTTCCTCACTCACCACACATAAAACCCGTCTATCCCTTTTTTGTACTATCATTATTTTGTTTTAGATGGTAGTTGCGTCTCCTTTGTACGTAGTCCAAACGCGGTTTTTATGATATTCACCGACTTATTTGTTTATTTTTATGGTGTAAATTTGCCGGTTAGTCATCAACTTGGCCTAACTCCTAGACCCAAGGGTGGTTCCAGCTCTTATTGGGATACAACTAAAAAAGAAAGAATGATACCTTTGATTTTGATTTTCAAACGCTTCTTTTTTTTTTTTACTGCAAATGGTCGATGTCATCACTCTCTCTTTCTTAAGCGAACAGAAACCTCTACCTTCATTACTATCATTATTAGCGTTATTAAACACTAGGAATGATGTTTTTTTTTTTTTTTTTTTTTTTACTATTTGATTTGAAACGTTCTTGACTTCATTTAGCTTATTTGTATCAGTATGAGGGTGAACATGTATTCAACTTACCAACCAAGTTAGCAGCGGTGTATAGGTGACTCCACCCGTTCATGTTTGTTGACAACGGAACATTGCGTCAAGCCAGGTCAAAAGCATGTAAAGCATCATCACCATGTATACTTTTTGGCTTCCCCTGATGATTACTTTACTGACTTTGTGCAAGCATTCATGTCAAGTAAAAAAAAAAGTTAAAGACTCTTTTTTCTCGTTATTTCTGTTCGTCATCGTGCACAGCACCGACGTTATGATCTCCATGTTTGTGAGAGTTTAGCTGCTGAGCGATTACTCGAAAAAGGAAGCGAAAAAAAAAAAAAAAAAAAAAAAGCGGTTTGGGCCAACACGAAGGAAGATTGATTGGTGAAGAGTAAAGCTTTGTTTTCATTAAGATGTAAGTATGACAAAAATCAATAAAATAAAATAAAGCGTAGACATCAATATTCTGCGCCTCGAACAACGTAATAAAAACAGGCTATTACTAATTTTATTGTCAAATGTTAAGCAGGTACACTCCCCAACTACCAACTCCTTCAGTATTTACTATTGCCGTGCATCGCAGCGTCATTCCCAGTAAATGCTAGACTTGGCTGACTGATTTGGCTGTCTAAGGGCTTTTGTTTTATTTTTTACGTGTTTATATATAGATGAGTATTTAATTATTTTACAAATACATATGCTGATTTTAGCCTTCACTCTCTTCCGTGGATATAAATGCAGATACTGGAGACATATACTTATCAATGATCTTGTATATATATAATATATATAATATATATTTGTTGTTGTTGTTGTTGTTTTTTTTTTTTACTTTATTGCTGTGGAATGATTAACATAACAGTTTATAGAGATTATAAAAGTGTACTTGTTGGTATATATATATATATAAATATACATATTCGCGTGGATGTCCATACATGGGCTCTCTTTCAACTTTAGTTAAACAGAAAAAAATCTTATAATGGTTGGAAGAAAGAGCCCTTGTTTTTTGTTCTCTCTTAGTCAATAGAAGATGAATAGTAAGTAGGTCCTTGAAAGTTATTAGTGCTCGAGACTAACGTTTTTTTTTTTTTTTTTTTTTTTTTTTTTAATTTTTTTTTAAAGATCATGGAACTTCGTTCAAAAAAGAAGGAAATGAAAAAAAAAAAAAAAAAAAAAAAAAAAAAACTGTTGCGCGTTGTGATGGCGATATCATTAAGGAATGATTCACCTCACCCACACACAGCCCATTCCTGCGCCCTGATTATTGCCTTTGCCACATGCTTAAAAAAAGAATTGGTATTCTGTAAAATGTATTGGTGTTAGTGATATTGGTCTATAAGTAAGGATGGTCAATAGGATGTATACATGTACATTTCCAACAAAAAAAAAATGTCCGCGGTGTGCGCGGTTTCACCGTGGAAAAAAAGGAAAGAAAGGGAGTTCACGTCATCGCCCCCTTTCTCAAAAAGTCCCCATTGCCACTTTGTTGTTTATTTGCAAATCATCTCATTAATATGCAATTATCGATCTTTTTTACAAAAAAGTTAAAGTCTTGAAAGCAGTGGCCTAGGGGGCCCCCGTTTGAAGAAACCTTCTTTCTTTTCTTTTTTATCGGAAGCAAGGACCCTTGACGACCTTAGGAAAAAAGCATTTTCACTGAGGACTGAAATATTAGATTTTTTTTTTTATTAAAAAAAAAACAGAGTCAATTAAATTTAATTCCACAATGTAAGGGTCATATTACTGATATAATACACATCAAAGCCAAATAGTTTACATTCGTTGCGCCTACCCGAGAAAAAAATGACATCCCAGATGCGGTTACATCTTATATTATTATTATTATTTCTCAGAAATTGAAGGGTAGGATTACAACGAAATCATTCTTCGTTAACTTTTCCGAAACATATATTAACTTGTGTGTTTTTTTAGGAATAGTAAAGGCTCTGGATCCTTCAGATGATAATGCATCCAACAGCAATGAGCGGCTATGTGTTTCTAATGGTGACAATGGCCTTTCAGCTCTGATAGGAACAAGAGAAGCCAATCTAGGGATAATGGTATACACTTCACTTATTTTTTTTTTTTATTTTTTATTTTTTTTTTTGCAGGTTTTGGGGGAGTTTTTTTTCCCGAGATTAAATTTGCAACGTAAGCGGCGCAGGCTTCAAGCTTGGTTGGCCTTTGTAGGGCTTTTGTTGCTTCCGAAGACAAAAAAAAACTTTTCACCACGTTTGTAGATCAACGAGATCGAGTTAAGTTCAAGGATCACTGGGTGAACATTTTTTCAAAGTCTCATTTTCACAGGACCAGGCGGCGTCTAACATTGCACCCTTTTTTCTTTTTTTCTTTTTTTTTTTTTTTGAGATAGCTTGAGCTTGAGAGACTTGAGTTTGGTAATGATATAATGCTAAAGGATAGGGCAAGGAGAAAAAAATGAATTAAAGCCATGTTTTGAAAGAGTGGAGGAAAAAAAAGACAATATTGAAGGAAATGAGGAAAGGACTAGACAAGTTGACAGAGATAGAAGACCAATGAACTCCTCAAAGACCGTAGTCGCGTGTAAATAGCATTGCTTCGGGAGGCAGGGTCTGCCAGGCGGAATAAGGACCATATTCCGACGGTAAAAGAGTTAAAAAAGATAACGGATGGTGATCAGCGAGATAGTAGAGGACATAGCCAAATGTCGTTGTGGATATGAGTGGATGTGTGTAGGTATATCGAAGAAAGAGTGATGATGATGAAAGCAATAAAGGCCAAAGAGTAGGAAGTAAAGAAAGTAAAGTAGACCATAGTAAAGCCTATAGGAATAAAGCACAAACTTTGTATTTGTGTCAATGTATGAAGAGCGATGTATTTGTTTTCCACGGGCAAGTATAAAAACGCAGCACAATTCAATTGCTTTTCTCTTCCTTCTCTTCTCTTTTCTTAAATGTCCCTTTTTTTTTTCTTTCCTCTGCTTCCCCTCTTCACTGCATTAATATCCTCACCCTTTTTTTTCAATTCATTGCATTTGGCCTATTTCCTTGACAGGACAAGTTAAACAAGTGACATCTTTTTTTTACTTTCTTGCTCTTCGCTGTTATTTGCTCTGTACCTCCCATCCATCCATTTCAGTTACAGAACTATCAGGACTTTTGTAAAAAAAAAAAAAAAAAAAAAAGTTCACTGCTCATTGCACATTTTCGTGATTTGTCCGTTGTGGATGGATATACACAAATAAGTAAAAAGGTAACAAAAAAATCAAATAAACAAAATGTTCTATCGGATTAGAACCCGCATGATAAAAACTATATATTTATTGCTGCTGACTCTTCATTGTAATAACCGTTATCGAGTGACATTGTGCTTTCTTCTTGGTGCATTTTTTTTTAATAGCTCCTTACTCCTGCTGCTTTTATTTTCATCTGATAAAGTAAGAAGCAGAAACAAGTATTCGTGTAAACTCTCAACTAAGTGTATGCGAGGATCATCTACTAGGAGGAAGCAAAAGAGTCTGCTGTATAAATCCATACTGAGATCATTATGTTACAGGGACGGGATGGAAGACAAAAGTGGTGGCGTTATTTGTCATCCTAATGGAACCACAAGGAGTGCCCTTGGATGACATTTCAGGTCAGATACAGGGATAATACGAGGGTTAGAAATCATTTACTGTGAACAATAGTAGTGGTTTTATACCAGAAACATGGACCAATGCAGGAAGGGAAAAAAAGGCAGATTGACTGCGCTTTTTTTCGTTAAGCCAGATTCATACGACTCTACACTGGAGAGCTTCCTTAGTGTTTAAAATAGAGGGTATTCTTCAGCAAACGGGATCGTCGGTTTCTGGACATTAATGTTGCAAAATACGACAGGCACGGGTCGTAGTGAAAACGCGAGCTTCATCGTTTGAGGCTTTATGGTCGTTTTTTTTGTTATTTAATCACGATGAATAACTGGATGTGGATGAACAAATTTTTAGAGTCCTTTGAGTATTTCCTGATGCCGCATTGTCGGTTAATTGGTCAACAGAACCACCATAAAGATACATGTATTTTAAGTACTAACCAATCTTTTTTGTTGTTTTTATATCTCTTCTAGGAACAAATCAGTCTCTTTCTTTTTTCTCCTGTATTTTGGAAAAGTGAAGGTAAATCATGAAGGCGTGGAACGACATTTTACTTTTTTCTTTATTTGGTCAAAATACTTCATCTGACCATGCAACAGAGAGCCTTCGTATCAGGCTGAGGCTGTGATGATTAATGAAAGTTATTGGCTCTTAATGTAACGAGTGGGAACTGGGCACGGAGCGTGGGTATCAATATGATCAAAGGAGGTGCTCGGATATTGTTTGAGGCCTCTCTAATGCCCACTACGAGGACAAATAGGCGAAAAATGTCAATGCTCTCTTTACTTTGCCACTCTTTTTTAACAAATGGAGGAGTTCAGAATTTCTTTATTTCTCTTTATCATGGGTAACATGGGCTGAAGTCATGTTGGATGGTTGGATGAGCAGTAGATGGCTTATCTTGCTGTATATCATAGGCATGTTGTTTTTACTGCTGTATCATCTTATCACCTTATCACGCGTATATGTACTTTATGCGTGACCCCCATGCCTTTTTTAAATCAGACATTTCTATGACCCTGTTATTATTATTTTTATTTTTATTTGGCCTGCCTTAACATCAAGTGTCCGAACAGGCTTATGTAAAAGAGATAAAATGATAAAACTAAACTAAGCAAAACAAGAATGCAATACTTACACACCTGAATCCTGGGTTGAATAGTTCATAGTCAAATACTAGGGTGATGAAATGATAGTGGAGGCGCGTACTGTAGACGCTGGCGCTCTGTTTTTAGCAACGTCTTTTTTTTCTTTTCTCTACACTCCGGCCGTTGGCCATCTCTTTATGTGAACTTCATCATCAGACACCACGCAAGTGATGGATAGAGCATTGAGCTAGAGGATGAGCGATAATTGAAAAGAAAGCGTGGGCTCTCAGCTGTCGTAGTGTGGGGATACCATGAGTCAAATGCTCCATTTAAGCAATGGTCCATGACCATAGTCTCTCCTTGCCCCAAAAGTAAGCTGGGCATATTGAACAGACTAACTATATATCAAGGTTGTTTCCTAGGTCTTTGCCCTTTATTTATTTATTTATTTTTCTTGTTCCTTTATCTCTCTCTTACCTTTCATGAAGCGCTTGCTCTGTTTCCTCTTTCCCCTCCATTACATCTACTTCTACCCCCATACTTTGTATGGCAGTACCCTTTGTGTGCAATCGTTACGCACGGCCATTTGTGGTTGTGTATTGTCCGTTTAATGAATATTTTGTAATGTAATAGATGCATTTACTGAACTGAATTTGTATCGACATGAATTGCATTTTAATAATGCATCCTGAAAAGGTGCGACTACAATCGGTGCATTTTCTTCATTTTGGACAAATCATTCGAGGCACTAGCGCGCTTGATCATTTCCCTTGGCCTTGGCATCAACCATCGTCATTTTTATTTTTATTTTTTATTATTTTTTTTTAATCTGTGATTGTATACCACTAGAAAATAATGATGAAGAGTCCCAGAGCCTTGACCATTGTTACATGTAGCGTATGTAGCATACAGTAAATACTCTAAAAAAGAAGAGAAGAGGATCACTAATGTGCGCTATGGGTGCATCTGTGTGTTGATGTGGGTTGTTGTGTATTTGGGATGATGTGATTTAGGGCAGAGTGCTATTCCAGATGCTTAATGCCTGAGCGCCACGCGGCACAAAAGAAGGAGAGCATGTTCCACCGACTTTTTTTTTAATCAACTTTACTCTTTTTTTCTTTCCTTCTTTTTCCACTGTTTCTCATCCACTCATACATTCCACAAAACTATTTTCCTTTCCACTTAGACGTTTGTTTTATTGTTTAGTTGCTTTCTAATCTTATTACCATCCATCCATTTGTCTGTGTGTCTGTATGCGCGCCCCTCTTTCACATCCCTAACTGACGTTTTATTAATTGCCTTCACTCCTATCATATCCCTGTCTACATCATCCCACATTTGCCCCCATTTACAAATATAATTCGACGCACAGCAGTGCCTCAAACCCCTATTGAATTAGAGTATTATAGAGACATGCAGTCCGATCATGCCTATCAGCTGCCTGTCAGCAACATCGCTTACCATGTTTACAACCCAGAGGAAGATGGCACCCGCACTCAAGCTGTGTCACAGCAAGCCTTCAAGCGCACCATGGACAACTATCATGAACATGAGCGTCTTGCTGATCTATTCCAGGTTGAACTCGATAAGCGTGAGCGTGAGGCCCAGGAGCGTAAAGAGCGTGAAAAGCCAGCCAAGATGCAAAAAAAGAGTTCCAAGCGATCTCATCAGAGCCAGGGACAAGACCGCCCACAACATCCGCTCCCAGAGCGCCATTCACTCCGCCGCCATCTTCGCAACCTGAGCAATAACCCAAGCAACAGTAGTCTTTTAGAAGGAAACGGTCCCAACAGTAAAGATTCTGCAGCCATTCTGGTCAATAAGTCTTCAGGCAACCATAGGCGCTCACGGCGAAACTCGGACATCAGCACCAGCGACATCAGTGGATATGGCGATGATGACGTGCGGATATTGCCACCTTTGTCCAAGTCCACTCATCTCCAGTCAAGCTCATCATCTCATGTCAATCGTGACATTCATCTCGCCACTCCTTTGAACGAACAACGATCGCTGTCTAGCTCACCTGCTCTTCCACTAACGCCATCACCTCGACTTACTCCCATGTACTCGGGTCATGAGGAACGAAATGGTACTGATTCAGGGACGGACATTCCTCAACAATCTTCGAATCACCTTATAAATAATTCTTCGTTCTCAAGTTTAGCTAGCTCGACATCCTCTACATCATCACCACTGGTCTCCTCAGCACTTTCTTTGCCGGGACACATGGTACCTGGACGCAAGAAACGAAAGCAAGCCATTCCAGTCCACCCCTCAGTTGTCGATCGGATCCCAGGCATTACCCTCAGGATCCAGCGCGAGAAACAAAGCGATCAGCTTCAAGTGGAGATCCTCAAAAATCTAGATGACTACACGATACGACGGGACGCTGATCATAGTCCGGAATTGAAGCTTCAAGCAACACAGGATTTGCGCAAAGTAAGAGAGTCCATCGAATCTGGACGTCCAGGATACGCCTTCTTTCCCGCACCATCATCAGTCGCTCAGTCGCAACATCTGAATTCAACGGAAGTCAGCGAATCTGTAACAGTCTCTGGTATGTTATTAATACGATATCGAAGCAGAAGGGTTCAAATTTATATCACAGAGGATTATAGAAAAGGAGTGGGTGTATTGATGTGTTAAGAGCAACACTATGTCTACTTTTCATCTCTGACTCGGGAGGGAGCTTTTTTTATTTTTAAAAAAGCAGGTTTCTCAGTCGATGCGTTAGTTAATATGACGGACATGTTTGACGCCCGGTCATTACCTTTATCATGGGAAAATTTTTCCACGCGGGAATGTGTGGTTAATAAAGTGATTGGAAAACATGACAAGGATCTAGATGTTCTGGAGGAGGCTGTCCAAGACGCAATCGCAAGGCAGCATTATACCCATCAACAAACCACTCAATCGCAACATGAGCGAGAGCGAGATCATGAGGGCAGTCCAGTATCAAATACTATTCAAAAGAGAAATCCAAGTGTACCAGTAAACTCCAGCACAATTGCTGCACTTTCAACTTCACCATCAGCAACGATGACAGCAGGTCCGCGAACTACTAAGCCTGCGGTAACGGTTTCACCTGCTGCAGGACGCCCAGCGCCAACGCGAGCCACACGTAGTAGGATGCATGTGTCAGACCGAGGTGGCAAAGATGATTTGATAGCACACGATGATATCGAGTTTGTGTTGAAACAAAAACGTAAAAAGAAATTAGAGGAACGGAGACGACTTGGAAGTAAAGCCAGCTCCAAGGATGAAGACGATGAGGACGATGAACGACGTGCTCAGATGGAGGATGAAAGAGGTGAATATGGCGACGACGAAACCATGGTCATTCCACCTAGAGAAAATATCGAAGGGCGCTCTAAAATGGATATAGTACAAGGAGTTTACTCAGATGAGGATCATGACAGGAAGAGAGCTCGCGTAGAGCATACTAAACTGAAGCAGGAAGATGCAGACGGCGATGTGTCAATGGCACACCATGGCAAAGTACGAGGCCAACAGCGAAATACTTCTATGGAGAGTAATACTTCCTCGACACGGTTTAGTGCGCAAGACGCTCTCTCAGGCCAACGTCGCGCATCCGATGAAGACAACTCTGCAGGGACATCTTCATCTAGTGAAGAGGACGATGATGAGGACGAAGATTACCACGATACCCACTACAAACCAAAGGGACCCCTTTCATCATTATCACAAAATGCATCTCGCCGCCGGAGAACGCTTTCAGAGTCAAAAGCCTCTGTTCCTCACTCCACCAAGAAGGCAGTGGATACGATCATTACATCTAAGGGCCCCACTGAAAAATCAAAGAAAGCATCAGATGTAACCGCCATGTCACCATCCTTATTAAAGAGATCGATGGATACGAAGCCTACAGCGCTTATGCCCACTGAAGCGCAGTCTGCAAAGAATCGAGGCGACATTGAGAGATCCCGATCAAATCGTTCTCGGTCACCGATCTCTACATCCGGAATGATAAACGAAGGCATTCGACGTAACAAAAAAATATGGTCTCGAGGCAGAAACTCGAGAAAGGAGGATGAAGTTGTGGACACGACAAGCGACGACGACGAGGATAGAGCTTTGGAAAATGGGATTGTGGACGTAGGGGATATCGATAGCGATGCAATGCCTTTGACCAGGCACGTTCGATCAGATTCGACCGCGTCTTCGTCTTTGAATGTCTCCGACATTATTACAAACAGGAATGAGACTCAACCTGAGGTCAGAAAGGTATCAGCGGCAATATCGACACCAGCAGCATCTTTATCTAGCCCCAACACTGATCTCAGGGACAGCAGTAGTACTAATAACAGCAATGTCAATGGAAAACAAACTCAAGAGTCTGGTGGACGAACACGTGCACGGGCCAGATCATTTTCAACCACAATTGAGACTGCTGACAAGACAAAGTTCTTTGAATCTGCACTGGATGTGATTGAGCAAAAACGTCGGGAGAGTCTTGCCAAAAAGAAAGCAGCACGTGCAGAGGCAGAAGAGCGAGAACGACAAGAACGTGAGGAGCGCGAGCGACGTCAAAAGGAGGAGAGAGAGGAGTTGGAACGCCAGAAGGCTGTAGCGCGCTTACAAGAGCAAGGGAAAGCCCAAAAGATTGAATCAACTAATTTACCAAAGTCATCAAAGTCACTCCCAGGGCGCGTCCTGCGGCGAACGAAAGCAGATGCATCAGCAGATGAAGGATCTGTTGACCCGGATTGTACATCTTGTCGATTGGAGCTTTCTGCAGAGGATAAAGCATTATGGAAGAGTGCTGTGGATGCTGGTGAGATCCGACTACCAAAGACGTGGGGTACACACGCTATTCTTTGTACGACGTGTCGATTGCAGTATCTGGAGCACCATTTCCGATGCACTGCATGTTTTTACGTACCCGTTAAGGAAGAAATGGTAGCCTCTGGCTCTTCGTGCAGCCGGTGTAAGGCTGGAACGTGGTTAATGGAGGTCGTTCGGACACCATTTGTGGCGGAAAAGCGTGATGCGCGTCGTAAAACCATGTCGGACGCGTCTTCTTAATTGAAATGTCGTAGGTGATGGATGCGATCTGTAGTCCAGTCTGCAAGCTCCACTCTCCCTCTTGAAACGTTTCACAGGTTCTGAAGAAAATAAAAAAAAGCTTATCGTTTACACGTCACATGGTTTGTGTAACATTCACAGCACTGGCGATTAATGTCTTCCGTCAGTCGCACTCTTGCCAACAAGATTGGTTGGTTGCTTTATGTATTTACTATCAACTGTGATATGATCTTTGTCCTGAATCGAAGATAGATGTCATATTCAATAACGCATTATTATGTAGATACAGTTGAATGGTCGAATGTATCTTTTGCAGAAATTCTGAGGACGGTGTTCCCTGTGAGTATACCACAGAGACATAACCTTCCTTCAAAAGACAGCTAAAACGGACAAGAGTATAATAAAAAATATATGCAGGCAAAAGCCCCCAGCTTATTATTTATTTATATCTTAGGTTATCCAGCTTGTGAAAAGCACAAATATAGAGATAGAAATTTTACTAGCGTTATCCCTTTCTTTGTTTGAACATCCTTTCAGTCTCGTCTTATCGTCAATTATCCATTACTGAGATACATTTATACATGTGTTTTATTTTACTTTATTTTATTCTTAATAAAGAGCGGTAACTATTACATTTCCCTTGCGTCAGTGCTTACCAAAGGGGTAAAGCATAGCGAGGTGTGATACCCTAGTAGTGGCCCTTGGGTTTTGTCTCAGTATTAGTCTCCGAGCTCTCGGAGCAGGCATGGCGAGGTACGTTAAATGAGAGACATAGATATGGGCCTATCAGCGTACAGTACATTGTCATCATAACGGTTGAGAGGCCAATCTAGCAGATACACTTTTTTAGTTTCAGGGTTAACAGTTGGTATAATGCGAGGAGAACCATTGCTTTGCCTTACAATAAAAATGGATAAACAAACAAGTAAAGCTCTGCCTCAAATTAAATCACGCTTTGGTGTTGATTTCTTTGAAAAGGCGACGAATCTAGTTCGCTTTCAGATTCCAGTATAGTAAGCTGGCACCATCAATGGTGTTGGACACCCGCTTTTGTACTACACAGCGTTTAGATGTGGCTCTATTACAGAAATAGAGCCAAGCTTTTTTCTTTGTGTATCGACGACGCGGCACTTCGTCAAGAACAGAACGTGCCATTCATGCACTATGGCGTAATTTTATTTTATTTTTTTTGGTATAGTGAAAACCAGCAGTGATATCTTTTCATTACTTTGTGGTGTACCTTTAGTTTGCCTGTGATATATTGTACCACTGTAGTAAAATAAAAAAGTTCCCCATGTTCAATCTCTTTTCTTTCTGGTAATGTCTGAAGGAAGGCAGTCAACCTCATCTTCACATCTCGAGACCAGCTCGTCTTCGAGCCAGCGAATTGTTTATTTAAATAGAGACTTGATAGCCTGATCCATTCCTTTCAGTTCTACGATCCTCCTGATGTATCTTTCAAAGAATCCGCTCTATCAGCCGTGGGCCTTGAATTCTCTGTGAGTCAACTAGTAAACTCACCAGTAGGCGTGACGTCCGCAATCCTAGGTACTTTAGTACTCCTTATTTTTATTTCCTTTATTTTTAAAAACGCATTGCGTTCGTGTGTTTTTGCCTTATTGTTACCACAGGCTTGTGGAGAAGCTGCATAGTGACCCAGCTCGTTCTACATATAGGAGAGGGGTCGTGGCGATCCCAATGCCTTGAGAGTGGATGTCGTGTAAACTATCCTACCAAAAACTCACCCACAACTTTAATGAATTTTCAGCAGGCGACCCTCCAGTCTTACGCGAGTTCGTCAAAGCTTGTAATCTTCAAATGCAATTACCATGCACTGCTTCCTCTAGAAGCCTTTTACCGACTTTTGAGAAGAGTTGACAAAAATGATAGTGAGTGCCATGGATCGCTCACTCCTGTATGGTGCTATTACTGTTGGCAGTTGAACAAACCCAACAGACGAGCTTTACTTAGGGGTGACACTACATTGGATTGACGGCAGCTTCAGTCCTTTTGAATGCTGCATGGATTTTATTTTGCACTCATACTCTCATACGTCTACCGCGACTGCAAAGCTGGTCTGTAAGCCAAATACCGTTGCTAAAAGCAAACCTCCTACTTCGAGCAACTTTGTAGCACTATACTTGTCAAAAGGTCCGATGTTTGGAGGACTGACTCAACATTCGATAGTAAGCACTACATTGAGTAGTGCTCCCGTGATGGCGGAACCCTCCCAAGTGTTGGAGATGCCTCATTTCGCTTGCATCGCGCACAACCTACATAAGTGTGAGGGAAGTACATTTGGAAGCTCTTTAGGATAGCATACTTTGAAATACAAGTGTCATGACTTGGTGATGTCTTTCTATTTCAATCTCAAGGTAACGCGAGTCTTAGAGAGAAGACAAGGGGAAATCCATCCGATGTGCACGCCATTAGCCGTTGTCTTAGATACCTTTACAAAGCAGAGCGGCGCTCTGGCAATGCACAAAAGGCTCCTTGAGCTCATGCCAGTCATAGGAAGCTTAGTACTTAACGCGGCTACAGAACCAAAGCAAGAAGAGAGAGTCAATCGCGTGAAGGTGAAGAGATTGTGGTCGAAGTGTAAAGCGTGGAATTAAGTTGAAGAGCTAGTAAAGACACCGAAGCCCATTGATCCCATGACTCTTGTTTTTAATCCATCTAGTGGCCACGTTGCAGCTGTCGTCTCTTGAATTATGCTTAGCTTATTGAAGCAAATCAAGGAACGGTGTCCGAATTGACTACTGAGCTCAGACATCATCTCATCAAGCAACTAGAGAAGCGCATTAAAATCACAGGCGAGCGCCTCGTGGCTGCGACAGTCCACCCATCATTCAATGCCCTCTGCTTTCTGGCTGATAAAGATAAACTCAAACTAATCAAAAATAGAGTCAAAGGCGAATTCACTGAGGTCGCAAGCTGTCCTCCGAAATCTTGCCGGGGCTGCCTGTCACTGACAAATCAACAAACAGACGCTGTGAGGGGCTGTGATGCCTGCGCCCCGTAAGTAATCGCTTGAGCAGAACGGTATAAGTGAGTCGTCTACTGAGAAACAGGGTGATGAATTTTACCAGTATTTCCAGGCTACCATAAAAAACAAGATGATCGGTCCTCTGGATTGGTGGAAAGCAACTCATCATTATATTCAAGCATGTCAATGCGGTTCGCAAATAACTCTGTATCCCAGCGACCTTACTCGCTCCTGAGCAAATGTTCGGCGTGTTCGACAATGTGGTCAGTGACATATGCACAAGGCTCTCTGACGGAGGACTCCATGACCTTATATTCTGCAACTATGCCAAAATGTAGCTCTCCCTATTAAATATTTACCAACCCTTTTACCATTATGGTATGTCAATGTGTAACTGGAGCCATTACATATTTTAATATGGCCCACAGAGCATCGTTGGCTATGCACCACACCGTTACTGGTGCCCGGCGGCACTTTGTCCAATTAAAATCACTAGTAATTTTTTTTTTTTTTGAGCTTTGATCCTCCAGTGAAAACCATTTATCCATAGCCTCCACACGAGCTTATTTCAATCATGATTAGAATGTATTGCTATAGTAATAAATAGTCTACATGAGTATGGCATTATCTTCGATCATTTCTTTTATTTATTCTTTTTCACATCATGTACACATTTGTTCAGAAAGGTATATTATAAACATAGAAGTCGCAGGACTATCTAGGCCAGTAATCTTAAACATTATCAAGGCATTTTAAACAAAAGGGTATGTTCTTCTTACATCTCGACTTTAGGGCGACTTCAAGGCGGTAGACGGAAAGATATTTCAAGGTGAAGAGGAAGGCCATTCTTAAGAACATTACTGGTTTTTTTATATATAAAAAAAAACTTTGACGTTTACATGTTATAAAGCACAAAGATAGACTCGAGCAATTTTTCTTTTGGCAGATTATTATTTTTCTTTATTGTTAATTGAATGACAAAAAAAAGGAAAAAAATACCTGTCTACAAATTGTTAATTATCAATAACCTCTTTCCCTTTGATCCCAGCTTCATTGCCCTATCAGGCCAAAAGACAATAGAAGGCAGGAAACATTGAGTGAAGGAGGGGAAATGAGGATATTGAAAAGAACAAGTTATTAAGGAGAAGTATAATAAAATTTATCATGTAGTTAAAGGAAAAGAGAAAATTAGAATAGGGAATTATGGGATATAGGGAAGGTATTAAGTGAGAGGCCATTGAAAAAGAAAAATAAAGCCTTTCTATCTAAGTCCCATATTCCATGTTGATCGTTCCGATATTTCTTTTTTGCTTGGTTTTTAAAGACCAGCAGCCAAGGCGAAACCGAGACCGGCGACGGCGACGATCGAATTGGCGACAAGAGTGCCAGCGCCGCTAGTGGTGGTGGGGGAGGGAGCTGGGGAAGTGGCACTGGAGCCTGGGGGCTGGGAGTAGGTCTTGGTGTTAGAGGCGGAGCTGGAGCCGGGGGCAGAGCTGGGGGCAGAGCTGGGGGCAGAGCTGGGGGCAGTGGTGGTAGGATCAGCAGCCATGGCAGTGGCAGCCAAAGCGAAGACAGTGAGGAGAGCGACGGAGAACTTCATGTTGATGGTTGTTAGTTTTAAGAGAGTGGAGCTTCTAGAGAAGATTTGGGTTTTGGATTTTGCTTGTTGTTGAGTTGTTGGATGATGATGAGAAAAAAAAAAGAAAGCAGGAGGAGATCCAGGTTTTTATAGGTTTGACAAATGGGTTGATCGTCTTCTAAAAAAAAAATAAAAGGTTCAGCTCGGGAATAGAGATGGGTATTGCAGTAGCTTCCTAGATGTGATAGTGTTGCATTATCGAACCGTTAGTTAGTATGTGCTACCCTACTTTCAAAGAATGAAAAGTAAGGTAGGGTTTCTGTTGAGATTCGTAAAATTATTCGCCTTCGCAACAGCCATAATGAAAATGAACTCTGTTTTAAAGGAACAACGCGTGTCATTAATGTGACGTTTTGTAAATTTTTTGCCTGACGCCCAAAATGATTTTTTTATGGATCTTCGCCCTCACACCTACTCATGCTCACATCCTCAAAATCTTGTTTTCCTTATCCCACACGCGTCGGGAAACTTTAATTTGATAGATTCTGGAGTTGGCTGTAGTGTAGTAGGCTGTTGTGTGTTTCACAGCGAAAAAAAAAAAAAAAATAGTCGTTTGCATTCCTTTCCGACATCCAACACAGACATTGTATGCTGTGTGAATATTTTATATAGGAAATTGACAGCATGTGGGCCCTTAAGGCCCTGGATCCACATTTTTTTATTGGTCACTTCTTTTCTTATTTATCTTCTTTGCCGGCTATACACATACATACATGCTCTATCGGCGCTCTATCTAGCACTGCTAGACCTAATTTCATTAGAGTCCTTGAAAAGAAGGTAAAAAATAATAATCGATATTTGCATTTCTTGGCATAATTATGCTATTCGTGATTACCCTCTTTCTCTCTTTTCTACTCTTATGGCTACAGGATAGTGCAGCTCCCAGCCCCCAGGCCTTGAGTTGAAGCCATGAAGCCTGGATCATTGTCAATAAAATAATGACAATAACAGGAAACTGAGCGAAGCTAAATTGATCCTCTTTATGCATTGTATGGCAAAAGCCTACTCTAACATCTTTCCATCGCTTTCTTGCACCAGCCCCCTCTTTTGAATTCCGGGGTGTTCAACTTGAGGCCTGTTGAAGTTGTCATGTATTCTTTTTTTATTTTTTTTTATTTTAGTTTTCAAATCTCCCAGCTATTAGTTGTGATAGTTGTTTATGCGCAATTAAACTAGGATCACTACATGTCACAAGCGGTAGGCTCAGGCTATGGTGGGGATGTATTGAGTTGGATATTGAATGAGAGTGTTTATAATACAATCACTCAGGGCTGTTTCTTTTCTGTACTTTTCCATTCATCTAATTATTCCTCATTCTATCGCTCCATCTCTACATATCTTATTAACCTCACACTTTTTTGTTGTTGTTGTTGTTGTTGTTGTCTTTTAAATTAAAAAACGGAAATGAGCAAAACCAATAATAGAAAGAAAGGAAAAATGAGAATAATGTAGCATTAGATGGCGTTTTTGATCCTTGGCAAGTCGATCATTATATCTTTGCCTATACACCCTAAATATAGTTTGAATATTCGACCAGGGGTTGGTGGAAGTGATCGAAGGGTGATGGTAGGAGAAGTGCAGCTGTCAGGATTAAAACAGAGTAACGTTACGCCAAGCTAAGGCCAGCAAACTTACCATTCCCGCTCCATCTTATTTTATTGTTATTTTGTTTTGGTCCACTCCTTGCCATCAGATGCGACATATGTTTGAATGGGGTTTTAAGCCATAAATGTTTCCTTATTTTTAGTGTCCATAAATGCCTCTACTGTTACCATTTAAATAACATTAAATCAAATCAAATAAAAAGGATTGGTCTACAAATGCCGGATTTCCTAACCAAGGCAAATAAATGCTGTTGCTTGTATTGGTATAGTGTTTAAAAGCTCAACCGAAATGAGTAAAGCGTAATTCCCACAGCTTTCTCGTTTTGGAGAGCACACTCCAGCAGTGTACAAGGCTATTTATTCTACTTTATTTTATCTCAGAGTCATTATTCGATATCACTTTTGCCAATTTTATTATCCTTTATGCCCTTAGCATCGAGAAAGTGGCATGGCGCGAGCGATAAATATAATGACAAATCGAAACAACAATGCTCTTTACTTAATTTTGAGATTTTTTTTTTTTTTTTTTTTTTTTTTTCGGAGTGCGGAGTAAATTAAATGATGTTTCCCACTATTATCTCCTTTCTCCAAAGCAAGCACAAATGATAAAGTCCCTTCTTATTTGCTGGGTGGGGCTTTTTGCCCACATCAGTTAGATTATGGAACGCTACAAGGATTGACTTCAAGGAACATCGATCAAATGAGTATGTTTTTTATTGTAATGTTTGATATAACGTAAAACTGAGCATAGCTTGCTTCCAAGGCTTATTAGGAGCACAGGCAATGTACAAAGCCCTTTGGCTCCACAGGGCCCTATGTCTGTGAAGGACTATTTACTCAAGCAAAACAGTGCCCATACCCATAGGGATAATGCAAACTGCCAAAAAAAAAAAAAAAAAAAAAATAGTGCTTTTGCTTGGAGAATGCAAGAATCACCCAGCCTTTTTCATTGTCGCTCCCTCAGTCAGATATCTACTCGGTGCAGAGCGCAAGCCGCAAAAGTTCGCTCTAAAGTATGACCCACACTGGCCTGCATAGTCGTGACAGTGATCGTCCACCGCCTGTAGCCCTCTCCTCCGATTTGTCTACGTGTTGTGATTTTACTATTAGTATTTCTGCATTCTCTGCGTTAAATGCGAGGGGAAAGCCTGGTTAATAAAAATAGCCTCGCATACGAGCCATATATGACCTGAAGAGACAAACCCTTTTTTCATTCTTCTACAAGCAGTCTCCATCTCCCAATTGACCGACTCTAAGTGAAACAGCCGTGAAATTCAAAAAATATGGACCTGAACACGTTGCTCTAATTTAGACTGGGATCCTTGTGCCAGCCATAGAGCTCTCTAATATAGTTGCGTTTAGATAAAGACCTTCTATCGTTAATCAAAGTTGAAAAAAGAATGAGTATAAACAATTTAAGTAGGAGTTATAGGATGAAAGGTAGTATCGCCTAAATTAAAGATCTCAGAGACGATAGAGCAACTGACTACCGCATCGACACAATCGAGCTTGGTACGATAGCCGAGGAAAGAGAGTTGTAAGCATAATTGGGTATCCACGATCAAGTATTCTAAACCCTAATCTTGAACTTTTAGATTACAGGGCCTGTACTCCCGTTCAGTTCGATGCTTTTGTTACAGCTTCTCTATTCTATATCAACACTGTTGAAAAAAGGCAGTTGCCTTCAACAGAGCGAGTATTTCATGCCCAGGGTGCGAAGAGTCAGTGCATTTAATGTGAGCTGCATCTTTTTATCCATGAGGAACATGGCCACGATATCAACGCCGCAATCAACTGGGCACAGATGGCGCTCTCTTATCAGTAGGATTGGTCAATTGAGTCCGAGCATGTTAACTAAACTTGTGGAGCTTTGTAGTACTTTTCTAGTCTACAAGCTTTATTATGCTTTTGTCTGTCCATGTGTTAGAGTAATAAGAAATTATTTAATGATAAAGACAACAATAAAAGGAGTGGTGATTCTATGGTTTTGGTCGTTTGCGGAATGTATCATCATTATCATCAACTCGATAGTCATAATCGTCTCCAAACACAACACCATGGTCATCGTCTAGTCCACCACTGAAACCACCGCCGCCACTGCTCACGCCCTCACTAGCGTAGCTTCCTTCTTCGGAACGAGGGGTTGACACCTTACGCTTGCCATTTTGGCTTGATGATGATAATTTTAAGCTTGTTACATTCCTCGCTACAGTGGACATTGGGGATGCTGAGGCAGATGCTGCAGCATAATAGGGGTCTACAGATCCGTCATAGTGATGGTTACGAGGCCGTTGCTTGGATATAGATGATGGCGCTGAATGGTGATCACGCTGGCGATGGGGATGCCTGTCTCTATCTCTATTGTGATCACGATGACCAGAAGAATGCGCACGCTTCCTAGAGCGATCTCTTGATGATGATGATGAAGACCGGCTTCTGTGTCTATACTTACGCTCCCGATTGCGGCGGTGGCGAATCTCTGACTCCGAATCGGATCCTGAAGATGAACCAGATCCTGAGGAGGAGCCTGAAGATGATCCAGAGCCAGATGATGATGATCCGGAACGGGAAGATGAAGACGTAGAAGATCCTGAAGATGATGAAGAGGGAGACCTATCGCGTCTGCGTCGCTTCACTGAGGAAGAGGAAGAAGATTTACGGTGATGGCTGATATGATCTTGGTGATGGCTGGGTGAGGAGAAAGACCGCGGTGAGGCTTTAGAACTGCTTTCATGGCTGCCTGGAATGGATCTGGACGAGGAGCCCTTCGATTTTTTCTTTTCCATGATCTTACGTTGCAGATACTCTACCTGCTTGCTAGCAAGTGCCATCATCTCATCTGTATCACTGCCACTTGAGCTCATAGCTTCTTCATGCGCAACTCTGCGCTCCTTGCCCTCTGTTGGTCTGCGACCTCTCTTTTCCTTGCCCTCCTTGCTGGACATTTTGCCTAACTTGATTGTCAGCTTTAGCCCTGACTTTTTAACAGAGACAGAAGACCGATCATCATCGCCCTCGATTGTCACCATCTTCTTATCCTCCTTAGCCGATGGTCTGTTTCGCTTTTTACTGGCAGGACTTGCTGGTACGGGTGAATTAGCCATAGGACTGTCTCGCGAGTCATCATAATGCTCTTGGTCGCTCCTGTCAGAATCGCTATCTTCATCCTCCTCACCACCTTTCTTCCTGCTCTTGCTTGCGATCAGCGAGTTGTTCAATGCCAGTTGAGCTGCATGATGACGTCGCTTCTTCTTCGAAACAGGTTTGGGATGAAGAACAATATCCATAAGGTGATCCATGCGCCGGAGAACAACGGCCTCCTTAAGCCAAACAAACTCTTCAGGTTCCGCAGGTGTGGAGGATGTAGCCTTAGAAGTGGTCGTGACGACAGCAGGGTCATCTTCCATTTTGTTCTCTGTATCATCCATAGACATGCCCTTAGTCTTGATGCTCTCATCTGATATTTCAGTTTTAAGTTCAAAGCCAGGTTCGGTCTTTGGGCCTATAGATTCTCCTTCAGTTTTTGGAGCTTCAGCGCCGTTAACCAGATTCTGACCGCCATGTTCATTAATGTTGTCAATAGCCATGGTTTCAGTATATTTGTGCTCAGCTGGTCCCTGTAATGTAATAGTAGAATGTGTAGACTCAGGATGATCACTGATAGGTGTTTCCAAAAGCAACTCAGCCTTGTCAACTGATTCATTTTTGATAGCTGTGTTCACGATGATTCCCTCCATGGGCTTAAAATCATCATGTACTGACATAGATGGTGTCTCGATCTGCTCGCTTTCCTCTTTCTTTGTAAAAGCCAAATCAATATCCATCTCTCCATGTTCTGGAGCTGCGGCTATCCCTACAGCCTGCATCTCTTTTCGTTCCCGCTGCATTTCTGAAAAGTGCCTGCTAATTTCAGCAAAAGGGAGCTCTGGATCCTCAACGATCAAATCTTGACGATGGATACCATGCTTGGCAAGACCCTCTAAAAATGGCTTGTCGTGGATGCCGACTTTCCACCAGCTAGGCAGCCCAGGGGAACGGCGCGAGGCTGCAAGTAGCTCGTCCAACTGATATTGTGGGACATAAAAGTAAAAATATAATTATAAATAAAAATAATATAAAAACAGCAGCACATAAACACCTAGGATTTCTACATGAGTTTTCTTGCAATAGCTTACCATTGGATTTGCAAGGACGTCATCACGAAGAACATTCATAAGTTCGACTCTCTTCAAGACGCGTCTGGCCCTGTCCAAAGGTGGAACATCGCCTCCGGAATCGTCCCTGTCATCCTCTTCCTTCTCCTCCTTCTCTTCATCCTTGATAGCCTCGTCGCCTTCGTTTCTATTGTTCGCAGCTAAACTTGATTCACGTGAATTATGACCAGGGAGTGCGTTGTTCTTATCCACAACCTGCTGGCACATCTTCATTACGTGCTGGTAATATTCCTCCATTACCTCATCAGGCTTCTTGGTCAACCCTGCTAATTCCTTGAACCGTGTCCAGTCATGCTCCACGATGGCAGCAGCTGGAGGCGGGTTGTGGCGAGAATGACGTCTGCTGTGTGAGTTAGATGAATGGCTTGGATGGTACCCTGATGCCGCTGATGATCGCGAACGACCCTGAATTGGCCCATTTCTCAAACGTACAACACCGAAGGAGGTGATCGTCTTGTAAAACTCATTCTTATCCTTCTTTGTCCATCTCGAGGCTACTTCGAGCTCTTTCTGCAATTTCTTTTCTTGCGCAGCTTCTTCACGCTGACGTTGGCGATCCTGACGCTGTCTCTCCTTGTTTCTGTCCTTCTCCGCTAATGTTGATTTGCGAAGTTCGACTTGATTCTGGCGTTGCAACGCCGAGATGATACGTCTCAGCCGGAGGCCAATATCAGATTTAGAAGGCCAAGGCAAGGCCTCACCATCATCGTGATCAGCGCTGTAGCTTGACTGACGAGAACGACGGCTACTGGTGCCTTCACCATCATCGTCATCATTGCCATCACCGCTAGCGCGAAAATCGTATTTGCGACCATAGAAACAGAACTCTGGGTCATTGCGAACAGCTTCGTATTGGGGCTCTGTGACAAGGTATCCATACTTGATAATCGCTAACATCAAATCGCGATCCTCTTCTTCCCCCCACCATTTAGCCGGAGGAACGCCAGACACATGCGGGATTACCATCTCCTTCGCTCGATTCCAATCCTTAGGAATCAGATTGCGGATAGTGTGAATCAGTTGCACTCTAAGTACTAGATTGCGTCCTTTCTTTTTGATGTGGTCAATGTACTCCTGAGTCGCATTCAGTAAGAAGGATCGGAATTCGATTGTCGATTTCTTGCTAGCCTTCTCAAAGGGAATATCTCCGGAGGCAGGGGCTTCATACCCACTTGCTGCATCACACTCAGCGAGGACCGTCTCCAAGTCGCTGATGAGCTTCTTGTCATCATCTGAGGTAGCGGTCATGTCCTTCATGATTTGACGCACCATACAATGTGCTACTGCATTCAAATCTTTTTCAGTTCGGCGAGCAAAGAAGACACGCATTTGGTCCCAGCGTCCATAGCCATAGATCATCAGCTTACGCTCAAACATGAGTTTTTCGGCCATGCTCCACGAACGAGGCGCCTCACGCTTCCTGGACCCTGAATCCTTGATATCCTTATCTCCGTGTGCATCTTCGAAATCTGGATCAGATACATAGTCTTTATCATCAGAATCAGAACCATCCTGCTCCTTACCAAACCGTTGCACCTGTCGACGGCTGCGCGGCGCATTGATGATGAGCTGGTCTTTGGTGGTGATGTCTTGGATATCTACTTTAGCCTTTTCAGCCCACTTGTCCCAGAACTGTGGGTCATTTACGTCAACTTCTTCGCCGCTGGGGGTAGAAGAAAACGTCGCTTTGGAAAAAACAGACCCTTTCTCATTTCCCGTATGCTTGATAACAGTAGTTCGGCGCTCCAAAATCTGGTCAATATCTTCCTCGCAAAATTTGGCACTTGTCTCGTCATCGTCCAGAAGAGCCCCATAGGCTCCTTTCTTCAATAGCTCTTCGACTTCCTTCTTGCTCAAAGATGAAGGCGGCTTGGGCATATCCGAAAGATCATCGGGATGGGGCATAACATCCATTTTTTGAAGAACAGCTTTATCCAAACCCAGCTTGATGCTTGCACGATCAAACATCTCTTTCTCGTATGTATTGCGCGTTACAAGGCGGTAAATCTGAACTGGCTTGGTCTGCCCGATACGATGGCAGCGCGCTGTAGCTTGAAGATCATTCTGAGGATTCCAATCGCTATCAAAAATAACCACTGTATCTGCTGCTGTCAGATTAATACCAACACCTCCTGCACGAGTACAAAGTAGGAAGACAAATGAGTCGGGTGTAGTTGAGAAGCGGTCGATGGCTGCCTGGCGCATATCTCCTCGAATGGATCCATCGATGCGTTCGTAAGGGTATCCACGACCTCGGAGATAGTCTTGCAGTAAATCCAAACAACGAGTCATCTGCGAGAAGATTAGCACCTTGTGGCCGCCTTCTTTGAGCTTTCTAAGTAGCTTATCAATCAGAACCAATTTTCCAGATGCTTCAATCAAGCACTGATATTGAGTCTCTGGAGTAACGGCATTCTTTTCAGCGACGATACGGTCTTCAGCTCCTTGAATCAAATAAGGGTGAATACAACACTTGCGCAGTTCCATCATGATATTAATTAAGCTTGGTCCTGCTGATCCACCTTTCTTTAGGAACCCGAAGTTCTTTTCCAGAATGGCGCGGTAAAAAGCTTTTTGAGTTGTAGTAAGTTCGACTTCAATAATTGTCTCCTCCTTGACAGGAATTGACTTTTCTACGTCTTCCTTGAAACGACGTAACATCAAGGGCTTCAACAACTGCTGCAGCTTATCTACCTCCGCTGCTGTTTTGAGGTTTCCATATTCTGCCAAAAACGCCTTCTCATTTCTGGTTGGAGAAATGTACAAATAAATAAATTAATTCTTTAACTCTAGCGGCAATAGCTTTTTACCTCATATTATATACGATAGTGATCAAGCAGTATAACATAAATAGGACTTACGAGAAACGAGTTGGCTCCAAAAAGTTAAGCAAAGCAAACAGCTCATCTAGAGAGTTTTGGAGGGGAGTTCCTGTCAGTAAGACACGATGCTCCAGGTTGTATGTCTTTAAAATCTCTGTGACTTTAGATGCCTAAGACAAGCAATAGCAACAAAGCATTTCAGTGTTGTTAGCCAATATACACAATTTTGTAATAGCGTGCCATTGGACATTGGCGATAATTCTTTTCATTAATATCATACAGAGTTCTTAAGCCTGTGAGCTTCGTCGACAACAATGGCTCTCCAGGCAATGGGCTTGAGCTGAGCAGATGCAGCCACAATCTATTGCAAAGAAATATGAATATAAATTAATACGATGAGACAAAAAGCCAATAATGAGTTAAAATCTCTAAGTGTTTTTACCATCTCATATGTAGTGATCAGAACATCAAACTTGTATAGACCTGGGACAATTTGGCCCTTAGGAAGAAAAAAAACGATCAAAAGCAGAATGTTAGTGCCATTTCTGGGCTACGACAATAAATTCCAGAAATACGAAATCGGAATAAAGTAATGACCCCCTTCAAAAAAAGTTAAAAAAAATACCTGTGCATCCTTATAATAAAACTCCGTATCTACAATTAAATTTCTTGATGGTTGATTTCCATGAAACACGATAACGTTCATGTTTGTCCAAGCTTCAAACTCTCGATGCCAATGTGGGATTGTTGACAGTGGCGCAATGACTAGGAAGGGACCACGGATACGATACGTTGTATGAATCTCGTTTAAGAATGTGACTGATTGTACCGTCTTTCCAAGTCCCATCTCATCTGCCATGATGCAAGCCTGCTCATTAAACCAGCAATCTAATAGCCAGTTCAAACCTTCCATCTGATACTGTCGTAGCTGGTTTCCATGCTTGAACGCTGGAGACTCCTTCATTCTACGGAACGCACCACGAGGTGGGCGAGGAAGCTGACGAGCCTCTTCTGGCGTTGGAATAATCTTTCGTGAATAGAATTCGTGTACCTTGGGGGCGTCAAGGTTCAAGATAGTATCACGCAGTTCCCAAGTCGAGCCATCATATGGGGTATTACACCACTTGACTAGAAAGTAGATTTGAACTTCACCGGTTGGAGTCGCCAACTCGCCTTCGTCGATGATGCGGTCAATCTATGTAATAAAAAGACATTATAAGTTGCTCATCCTCTCTAGCTCTCAAAATTATAACACATATCTGAAAATAAGCGTAGGCACAGTTCCTCACCTTAACAAATGACGGGTTAAAATGCTCATAGTCTGAATATTGTCCATGCTTTTCCATAAATTTCTTGACTCGGTTCTTGCCTAGATGCTCGCCTTCTTCAATCTTTTTCCTAGGGACCCACTCGACATGAAGGTAGCTTGCAAACTACATCAGGCAAATATAATTAAAAATTGAGTCAAAATCTAGTTTGACAACACCACTACTTTCTTAACTGATCCGATCGTTAAAGTGTACTACCTTGTGCTTAATCAGAAGCTCCTCCCTTCCTTCATGCATCCTCCAAGCCAAAATCTTTTCCAATGTCTTGCTGGCCATAGGCACAAGAACTGGATCATAAGGGACAGCCCAATGGGAAGCATTGCCTCCGGTTCTTGTGACTTTCTTTTTCCTATTGCCAGCCTTTTTAGTCGGTGGTGGCGTTTTGCCTTTGAATTCTTGATCCGATTCTTCAGACTCAGACTCAGATCCAGCCGATGAGTCGCCACCTGCAGAGCTTGATGAACCAGATCCCGAGTCTGAGTCATCTTCACTCCCGAATGATTGATGAATAGCTTTGTTTTGGAGAGCAGCGGCCCTAGCAGCCTGCTTTCGTGTCGCTCCAACAGCCTTGCCCCCTCCTCGCCCTCGAGCGGCAGACTGTTTACCAGATTTTGCCGCACCGATCCGCGCAGGTGCAGGTGTCGCTGTTGAAGCAATGGCTGGGGCAACAGCAACAACTGTAGATCCATTGACAGCAAATTGCTGGTTAAGATGAGCAGGTAGCTGACTGTATGTATTCTGATGTATGGCAGTCTGAGCTTGATGTTTAAACACTTGTTGCTGCTGCTGTTGTTGTTGAATCATTCTTTGCTGCTGTTGCTGTTGCTGTTGTTGCTGTTGTTGGATGGATTGATGAGTTGACATGGGTTGTGTGCGAGCCACAGTATGTGCTTGATTCTGGGCCTGAGTTTGTGCATGAGCTTGGGCCTGGACTTGGGCTTGAGCCTGTGCTTGTGCTTGTGCCTGTGCCCTTGCTTGAGCTTGCTGACGAGCTAGTTCCTGTTGCTGCTGTTGCTGCCGAGCCAATTCTTGTTGAGCTTGTTGAGCCAGTGCTAAAGCCTGTGCCTGCTGTAGCTGGGCAGAAGCCAATGGCGGCGACGTCAGCGGTGATGCCAGATGTGACTGATCCATAGCATACGACGTGGAAGGCTCGTATTGCATAGCTTGGCTGTATGTGACCGTAGCATTAGCATACTGCACTGGCGAAGTATATCCAAAGTGCTGCTGCTGTTGAGGTTGCTGCTGTTGAGAATGCTGCTGCTGAGAATGTTGTTGTTGTTGTTGCTGTAGGTATAGCTGTTGTTGTTGATATTGATACTGTTGTTGCTGCAAGAGATACTGCTGTTGCTGAGGTATGAGGTTGCTCGATTGAATATCCATTTGAGGCGACAACTGATGAGAAAGATGTTGGGTGTGATGGACTTGTTGCTGTTGCTGCTGTGGATGATGCTGGCTAGCATGCATATGGTGAAGCTGAGGTGATACGACCTGTGGATGCATGGCCATATGATGTGAGTATCCTTGCGGTAGCTGCATCTGTTGTTGTTGCTGTTGTTGTTGTTGCTGTTGTTGCTGGATCAATAGTTGATTTGACGGCAGATGTGCCTAGAGTTGTGGAAAAAGTATATATATATTTTTGATAAGTCACTTTGTGAAGCATCACTCCCGCCAAAATAAAAATATTTTTTGTGGTGCTAAACAAGCGGCAGGAACAAGGACCCAGTGGACCGGATCGATCAACAGCAAGAGTGGTCCTCGTCTCACAGGGCAACAGAGGCATGCCATCATCACTTTTCCCTTCGTTGCACAAAGACAAAAAAGGGGGAAAGAAGCGTTGTCATGTTCTATCATAATGCCGGATCCTCTCCCTTATTTCGCTCTGTTTAACTTTTTTAGTGTGGTTGCATTGTTGGTAGCTTGGTATAATTGGTATTGTTGAACGATGACCCCACTCCCGATCAATCTGATGGCTGCGCTCATATGAAATTGAAATCAATCCTAAGGAAAGGGTAGGTATGACTGAATTACATAAGATGATGAACTTGCCTGGTAGTTGTAATTAGGATCCATGATCGTGACACTAATGCCGTGGCTGGTCTGTCTGGCGACAGTGCAAGTATTCAGACCAAACTATCTCGACTGCTGACTGAGTTACACGATTAGGGGACTAGGTAGACGAAGGTCAGAGACAGAGTGGCTGAAGTAGATAACGTGAGAGAGAGGAGGAGAGAGAGGGAGAGAATGTCGAAGAGGGGGAGAGAGAATGTCAAAAAGGAGGGAAAGAGGATGACGAGGAGTGGAGTGAAGTTTGAGTGAGTGAATGACAGTAGGATCAGTAAAACGTGGAATCAATCTTAATTAATCATTCAGCTCAGATCTGACAGGCAGGGAAAAAGACAAAAAAAAAGAGAGGGAAGAGAAAAGAAAAAAGAAAGAGCAGCAAACCATATGCCCCCTTCCCATCGGACTAAATCACACCCACACATTTTACATCACATCACATTTAACACATATCAAACAGAGATGGATTCCAGTCCAAAGCAAGTGAGAGCCAGACATTGACAGTTAGTGAGAGCATCTGGGATTGGACCGTTAGCGAATCAAGTCCATCTCTGTCTCTGTTGACAACAGTTTCAATGGCACCGCCACTGCTGTTCTGTGCTGCCTATTCATTTTCAATCTGCCCTGCAGTCAAAATATACACACATTGTGTCTCTTATTCTTGTCAACATGTATGCGATACTTCTTTGATCAGACTCCTTGACTTCTTTTTTCTGTTCTTCTATTTCAATCCCTTCCCTCTTGCTCAAAACACTTTCTCAATGTTGCTTCTTTCATCCTCTTCCCTTCTTCTCTTTTTTTTTATTCTCCAACCACATGGTCACAGATTCATTCATCCTGCAACAGATTCTTCATCAGAAACAATTCACAAATTTATCTATCTTCTTCCTGATCCTTGACTCACCCTTTGCAGGTAGGATTCTTAAACCAGGAAAGAATGGTACTTACCAGGACAACAACAACTACTGTTGATGTCAGTAGCTCGAAGTTTTTGTCTTACTTGTCCGGCTTCTGCTTTGAATAAATAATTCAAATTTATAAATATGATAAATACAGACAAAACTGACGTGGAATCTCATCCATCGACAGAATGGTCTGGAATGCGTAGAGATGAGCAAAAAAAAAAGGCAACTGAATATGTTCTAACAAAACAAAAATAAAAACAACGATGTAGCAAATGCGACTGTCAAAATTCTTTTATTTGTCAGACTTTGGAACTACGGATGATCAAGAATGGCAAATTAACAAACGAAGGATGAGAGAAACTGAAATGAAAGTCAATAAAGAAGAAAGAGAAGAGCGCAGGAGAGGCATTATTTCTTTCTATTTTCCTTCCTGGATAGAAGAGGTAGAGGAGCAAAAAACTGCTAACATATCGGAACGAGAAGTGATTGAGACACGTATGAATATCGCTTAGAAGAGATGCTCGTCAATATTTACAATAGTTGTCTTATTTTATTATTTGATAGTGAATAGGCTTTTGCGAGGTAAAAACAAAAAAAAAAAAAAAAAAAAAAAAAAGACAAGGATAAAGACAAACACAACGAAATTGAATAGGATTGATGTACAAAAACAACAAAGTGCTTTTCTTTTTTTTTTTTTTTTCAACTTTTGGTTTTCTACAGATAATGGGGTATAATGAACAATTATTAGGATAAATATAAATATGGGTTGAATTTCATCACGAAAGGTAACAAAATAAAAATTATAAAGATAAATAGTAATAAAATGACATAATAATGGAAGGGTTAAAAATCTTTTCAGACTTGTTCTTTCTTCATCGAAGCTGCCATCCTGGCGCGGTCACGATCGACAGCAGCCATCAACGACTCAAGCTCCACTTGGAATCGGTGGATCTCTGCATTTTTGCGTTGTACCACTTGGACCCATTTGGCTTTCCAGGCTTCCAATCGCTGATCTGTCTGACGTTTGGCCTCTAACACGACCTCCTGAAGTTCTTGATCACGCCTTTCAAGTCGCTGCTCAAGTCGCAGTACCACTTGGTCCAGTTCCTCTAAAGTATGATGCCGACCACTTGCTGATGATGCACTTATTGCAGAATCACTATCTCGAGTTGAAGTCCTTTCCAGAGTCAATCCAGTTGGTTCAGGCTTGTCCTTAATCATACGAATACGTTCTACCACCTTCTCAAGGGCAATTGCACGATCCTTCCAAACACTCAGCTCTGAGGACTTCTCCTCTAAGGCCTTCTCAAGCCTCTTGAAATCGTCAACGGACCACTCTGGTACTCCGCCGGCTGAGCGGTCCTGCATTGTCAGCTGGATATCAAAGGCTTCCTGGAGCTGCTCACGTAGCTGATCACGTTGCCTTGTCAACGAAAGCATTCGCGTGCGCATTATGGCCATCGATTCAGCACTGGAGCTATTGCTTCCACCATCTAGGCTATCTCCACTTTGTGAAAGTCGGTGCTGTTGTTGCTGGTCTTTAACGCCTTGTTGACGTAAGGCTGTATTCTCGTCCTGAAGTTTTGCTTTGGCGATTTCAGCTGCGCTGAGCTTCGACTGGAGTTGATCGACTTGATCTTCCAACAACCGTGCTAATGTCAGCTTTTCACGTATCAATGTTGTATTCTCGATCTCTGCCGCCTGCGCTCGTCTTTGCTCTGCTGCCAGGCGGAACGCTGTCTCCTTATTCAGTCTCTCTAATTCCTTCACACGAGCCTCGAGAGCCTCAATGGCATTATTGGCTGAAGGAGCAGCAATAGAGAGGCCATCTACCACAGCTTGTGACTGATCTTCCTCATGAATGCTCTCCATAATATGGCTCTTGCCATTAGCAAGCGCCATTTGATCAAGCTCTAAAACTTTGTCCAAGTATGCATTATGATAGAACTCTGCCTCAGCCTCTTTGGTTCGTATCCTGATCAGCAAACCCTGGATCACCTTGCGAATTCTAGTCTGACCTTCATCCGTGTTAGAGTCATCCAGCTTTTGATTCGCCATATTCTCGTGCATATCTAAAAGCTCCTCCAGTTGAGCAACTCGGCGTTGTCTTTCTGCTTGCTGCTGACGCATAGCTAGTGAGAGCGAGGATAATTCCGTGTGAAGGCGCTTGTTTTCAACGTTCAGAGCGTTGATACGATCCCGAAGTTTATTTGCAAGCTTGTGCTCTTCACTGAGCGCAGATAGTCGTAAATCTTCGCGAGAACTTCCGTTATGATGCTGGTGATGGCTTTTAGCATTAGTATGGGATGACACCGGAATGACTGTCCCTGTAGAAGATCGGACACTGATAAAACTTTCGATGGAAGTAGTACGCTGTAGGCTTTGGCGAACATCCGATTCAAATTTACTGATTCTTTGTTCCAAATCCATCTTATCTAGCTCATTGCTGTCTGCCATGTTGGCTGTTGTTAAAGTCTCTGTTGAAGTTAATTTTTGGTCCAAAAGCTTATGTTTGGGGGTCTTCTGCTGTTGAGTGTCCGAAAGTGGGGGAGACGGCGTGGTTGACTTTGTTGCCACAGAAGGCTTTGTGAGGTCCTTCATCAAGGTAGTCGTGATAAGGCTAATGTCTTTGTCCAACTCCATGTCAACAGTGGTATCCGCTTGGCCATCTGCAGATGATGAGGACGATCTGTGCTTGGAATGGGAGGATCCACGATGGTGGGGTCCAAGTGATTCTAACTGAGCAAGCATACCGCCATACCCAGCACGGAAATCCTGGATCTCGCGTTCGAGTTTCTGCATATCTTCGATTTTTGCTTTCCGTTCCTCTTCTAGAACTCGTTCTGTCATCTTTAGTCGTTCCTTTATATCATTAATTTCAGCATTAAATTCCTCCTCCTTGTCCTTCATATTCTTTTTGGTTCTCTCGTGACTTTCCTGCGATTGTTTGAGCAGCAATCTTAAGTCTGCATTACCATACTTTTCCTGATCAGAATTATCTAGTTCGGATCTAAGCTGAGCCATCTCACTCTTAAGTCTTTCAACGGTCTGCAGGTGCCGCTTCTCCGCCTCTTGACGGAGTTCAACCGAAGACTTCAGTTGAGCAGTCAACTTTTCATTTTCTTGCTGATATCCCTGTAAAAGGGCCTCCTGTTGCGTCATTTCGTGGCCAATCTGATCTAACGTTTGGTGGTAACTCTCGTATGGTTTAGCAGCTGCTGTGTGCATTGCCATCAAATCGTCCTCATACTCATGCATGATTTTGAGCGTATGTTGAAGTTCCTGCTGTAGTGTTTGAATCTCCTCATCCCGGATGCTGAGAATTCTCAACAATTCTGTGTTCCTATTCATAATGTACTCGGCCTCAGTGGTCAGTTGATCCTGGAGGTCCTCAGAAAGGCCTAGTGAATGAGAAGACGACGAAGCTGGATGTCCATTGGCAGTGGATGATTCCATAGGGACAGATCTTCCATTCATATGATTCTCCTGCATACGCTGCTTTTGAAGCGACTTCTTGGATGGCTTTTGCTGCTTGTCAGAGTAGCTTTGAGAATCTGAATCCAAAGATGATCTATAACGACGAGGATTGATGTATTCCCGGCGGAGATTCGAGATTTCTCCTAAACGATGAGACCCCTCAGCAGTTTCGACGTAGTCTTGGCTTGGTACGGACTCTTGATCCAAACCTCTTCCTGGGAAAGCGAACCTTGAGTAGATATCTCCATCTTGATGTTGTACAGAGCTACTGGAATCGTAGGAGGTCCCGAGGTGACTTGGTTCTCTGTAATGCTGAGAGGCTGGATGTCGCGACTGTTGCTGGTAATCATCTGAAAACCTGGATACAGTGGATGATACGCTGGGTCCAACAGCACGGTTTCCATTACTAGTATATTTAGCTGGTCCTGAGGGGCTTTGCTGATTTGAGCGACTGCCATGGATATTCGGGCGTGGAGTCCCATAAGAACCAGAATGACTATCTGTTTGTGATTCAGCCAGCTCTGGATTGGATGACGTTGGGGAGAGTGTGAAAGATGTCCGGCGGGTGTAAAGCAACCCATCTGGATTCCTTCCTAGCTCCTGTGGGCGGCCAGCATGGGAAGAAGAATATCCACGCAAGGAAGGTGAGAGATCCGGGACAGGGATCCTGATTTGATTTCCTGGAGAATGTCCACTTGCACCTGAATTAGCGGAGTGTGCCTGCTTTTTTATATTCTCATTTAAGTTATTGCTTTGTTGTTGAGCCTTGGCCTTGCCTTCAGCTTTAGATCTGGCCGCGATAAGAGCCTCGGCTAAGGCCATACTGGGATTGCTCAGATCCGCTGGCCCGCGATCAGGTTCAGTTGGGCGAACTGTCTGAGGCTTTTGCTGGATGAATGGTGGAATTGCAGACGAAGTAGAGGATGATTTTAAAGATGCTGCTATGGGCACAGCCCTTGCTGGAGGGGATGGAAATGGATGAAAAGACCGATTTGAAGACTGGTCGGTCAGGCTAGACGAATTAAGTTCCATTCCACAAAAAAAACGGGACGAGACGTCAGTATCTAACCAATTTATATGTCAATGCAAGTGTCTGTCAATGCAGCATGTACGGAAAAGGCGGGAAAATTTTAGGGATCGGCGGGAAAAACAAAAAAATAAAAAAAGGTCTCGCAATTATGGACCACCCCAATGGGATGAACCACCACACGAAAAAATGCATATTGGCATGCGTGCAGTGCTAAGAAGTAAACGAGGGTTCTAACAAGCCTGCATGCAGATAAAAGAAAAAAAAAAAATCGCAGCCATTAAAGGTGTAATGGTAAAATATACCAGCGGAAGTGGGGTAGCAATCAGTCTGTTGACGGTAATTCATGCATTCTAGACTGAAAATACTCGCCGGGAGTGAAAACCCATCATCTCTTTCCGGATAGGACAAAAAAAAGGCACCAATGCCTGAATGCCTGGATCAGCTTATTTTGCTTATTTTGTGTTGATATTATTGTTGTCGTCGTCGCTCTGTCATCAATGCTGTTTTTGATTGATTGTCTCTCCCCATGCCTGCCATAACCCCTGCCCGCGTTTTAGATGTTCACTCTTGATGATAATAATGATGCATTTTTTTTTTAACTGTTGTGGTTCAGCTGGGATGGAATGGACAGCTGACTATAGACAAGAGCCATCTTTCTTTTGAGAGATAACACATAACACCTCCATGCCACCCAATGCTCGCCTGCCGATAGAGTGCTCATGGATGACATGACCGATCATGAGGTAAACAATAGAAGCAATGGTAAACAAATACCAATGGTATCTCACCTTTGTTTTGACATGGTCCTCGACACATTGCTCAAGTGCCTAGTGTCCAAATTCCGATCTCGCATCTGCATGGACTGTTGCCTGTCGTCATGGAGCGGTATGCTCTCGCCCCCGCCCTCGTGATTGAGGCTACTAAACTCTCTCCCATGCTCGCCCTGGCTATCTTCATCTCCCTCTTCCTCCTCTTCTACGATCTGGGACTCTGCTGGAATGGATGACAAATTCGCATTGAATGGAGGAAGCCTCTTGGCAGCTGTCATTTTGATGGGCGGCAATCCAGAATCCCGTCGAACACGATACGCGCTTGAATGTGGTAGATCATCTAGCGATGTAGACTCGTATGACATATATGGTTCATGACCCTCCTCGCTTCCACTACTATACTGATATGAATTAGAATCATTGTCATTGCGCCGGTGGTTGCTACCCAGGGACAAAGGTGAACTTTGTGGCGTGGCGAAGCCGGACAGGGGTTGGCTTGAGTTGGAAAAAGAGTGTTGCTGTTGTTGTAGATGATGTGGCTGATGCATGTGTGATGGTGATGTTTGAAGCTGATGTACGGCAGCGTCATGTGGGTATCCAAGAGATGAGGAAGAGTCGTTCTTATAGCCTGCAACGTCCTGGTTATCCATGAAAGAGGTAGGGCTCTCTTCGTCCACTTCGCAGTCGATTGAGGTTAAAGTTCCTCCAGATGAGTGCCGGTAATGAGGCGTATCCGTGTATGAGGTGGTATTCATGAACACGGATCAGAGAGAGCGCACTGAAACTAATGAATGCTACTCAAAACTGCTACAAAAGATGAAGGATAAGATGAAAGTAATAGCCACAACGCAGCTGTGAAGAGAGAAGCACGATAAGCAATATTAGTGGATGATGGGATGCGGAAAAGTAATGCAGACCGTTTAACTATTATAAAAATAAAAAGAGAGTTGATGATGTCTTGATTTTCTCGATTCTCGCTCTCTTTCTATGTCTGTCTAGGAATAACCCCTTTTCTAGCCTTCCAATTGGACGCGTTAAGCACAGGCAGAATTAATGTCGCAGGGAAGAAGCAAGAGACAGAAGGAGAGGAGCAAAAGATGGAGAGAAGAAAGAGGCTGGCTTGACATGTTCCTGTCATAATGCCTTTTCCTTGATTTTCTTTTCTTGTTGATGTCCTTGTTTTTTTTTTTTTTTTTTTTACAGCTCGTATATGATTATAAGCATCACCACAAACTTACAATTGAACAAGAAGATATCGGGTAGGAGACGATGCACAGGTTAGAGTGGTTATTATCACAGAATTGAAAGGAAGGTCCGTGTGTGAGAATGAATGTGTATGTGAATAGCGTGAGTATCCGTAGATGTGTATGAAAGGGTGAAAACGTTTGCGTGTGAGAGAGAGGGTACGAATCAGAAGGTGCTCATGGAGATCGATGTAATGAACAAACCGATGAGTGTGTGGGATCGGTATGGACGTTGGCGATGAAGAAGGCGCGAGTGTATGAATGAATAATGTGTTTAAAAAATGTATGCGTGAAAGAGATTAAAATGACAGAGAGAAAGTAAGAAACAAAAAAAAAAAAAAAAAAAAAAAAAGAGAGAGAAAGAGAGGGTATTGCTTGTTCTTTGCCATTAACCATGTCTAAAAACCATTTATACTTGAGGACTCAACTTAGTCTTTAAATCTCTATTAAATCATTTGTTTACCATTAACCTTTGCGTGCAGCGGCACCGGAATTGGATTGGAAGCCAGTTTGAGCAGTGTTCATATTGCTATAGGGGAATGAGAGAGGATAGTCCAACGAAACGGTAATCTTTTTGTTCATGGCTACCTATATCCGTGCTGGCAATCGTTTCCAACTCCTTTTCTGTTTGTTGTTATTGTTGCGGTTATATTTGTAGATATTGAATACTTTGAATGAATATGGAACCTCAAATGCTGTCCATGCATGCTCTCTCTTTTTTTATCATTTTATGAGAGCAATCTGTTTTATTATACATGTATATACAGAACAACTTCGTCAGAAGACCATGCTGCCCAAACAAAAAAAAAAAAAAAAAATAGCCAGGAGACCATGCTGGAGTGCTTCAGATGATCAAGAGAAATGTACATCCCCTTTCTTTATTCTCATACTTTCTGGTAGATTTAGTTATCTCAATATTTGTTATTAGAAACGAGCCGGTTGATGTCACGCTGGACTCGATACCTCAATTTATCTTTATTCACCATGCTCAGTATCATGCTTAGCAGTAAAACCGAGTGCAATTAATAGCCGAGAAAATATAAAAGAAGTAGGGATAAAGGCTGCGTAATATCATATCGTAAGCCTAACATGATCCATGAGCATAGCAAGCTAATTTCTTCAGACTTTTTACTATTAAGAACCGATACATCAGTAGAGCATATTGTAAAAAAAAACGTTTAGTAGATTACGATTGGGTTGAATGTCGTTTTCTTACAAAGGAAGGTGAATAATAATTGGCATAGAGAGCGTACTTGATACTTTGTAATGCTATATTTATATATAATTAGGATGATTCTCTTACTCTGCCTCCATCATCGCTGTCGTATGTGTGCGAATCTTTCAAAATCCTTTTGTTCATTTTGTTAGGTTGGAGTATACGAGACGCCATATAATAATATACTTGACAACTTAGTCCACGGCTTTGTTTCCATGATTATCCTTGCCACTAATTTCGTCGTGTCTTGCTGTCGCTGTCACGAACCCTTTGACCAGATGGTCTACGTTAATAAATGAGAACTAAGAAATGTTCTCTTTTTATGGATGGGCTTTCACGCCAGAGCACTGAGCAATTCTTTGATTAACTTTTCCGCCTATTCCTACTGATCACTGTCACTAACACTTTTCTAGGAGTTCATAGCCGCCACATCAGACGTCTCATATGCTTAGGAACTAGTTCATTGGAAGATGGTTTTGGTTAAAAAACTCAAGTACACATTTTATTTACGGAAACTCGCTTCGACCATGTTTTTTATATCATCATGCATTTGTTTACAACAAAACATAATTTGCCGCCAAATTACCTCGTGTCAATTACTTTTTGGGTAATTGTTCGCGAAAAGAGGAACATGCAAAGATGGATCTAATATACCTCAAACAAATAGGGGCCAGTGCTCGGCGGCTTACTGCTATATACACGTAACGCTTTTTCGGACCCAAGCATTGAAGAACATAACGGAAGCTGCTGTTCATTTCTTCCATGGTTTTAAATAATGTTTACTCGAAATAATCAATTGAAATTAGGAAGATCTATCATTCCCTTTCGTCAAGGTTTCTGTATATTGAGAACACTTTGAAAACGCCTATTTTCTTCGCCATCTCGCGGTTAGATGTAATTAGCAACAAATTGACAATATATATAATTCCTTGGTAGTTGCTCGTTGTTTGTGCAGTGTGGCTAATGATCATCAACATAATTGAATGTACTTAGTTAATTTGTTTCCAAGGCCTTTGACCAACCACATCCTCAATTGCACCCAAGCAATTAACTCTATTACTCGAAGCTTGTAGGTCAAACAAACAAAAAAGTGCTTTTTCTATCTTAATTGCTTTCATCTTTCCTGACTCATCTCGTCAACAACATCTCGAGGTCGAAACACTGATGTGTTCTAGCACTGGAACATGCAGAATAATAAAAAAAAGTATCGCGCAAAATTTCAGCTTGCTAGTTATGACCAAAAGGTTATTCTGTTGCTCTTTCTTCAATATTAATACTTGTTTTGTCCACAAACAGTCTACTCGTCTATTTATTTTCAAAAAAAAAAAAAAAAAAAAAAAAAAAAACAGCTTGATACTTTTATGTCACGTGATCAAACAGCTTTCTCCGCCCTATCCACAGCGGAATTCCCGGTTTGCATAGCGACACATGATCATGGCATTCAATTGAGTGTCGGAGTATCTTTTGTAACACAAAATATTTCCTTTTTGTAACACAAATACATCAGTGACATCTTTAGTTCTTGAATCATGGAGGACTCGATGGTGCTAGGGCCTATGCTGAGCTTCTTCAGCTTTTGTATGAAAGTCTAGCAGTCTACTTAATAGTAAAAAAGAGGATAGCATTTTGCTAGATTTCTGACTTGGGGATTCTTGCGGCAGAATGTATTCTCAATTGTGCCTTAAGATACAACTAAGCACCACTAGAACCTGTCTCACTCCGTTGAAACGTGAAGGCTCTGTGAATACTATTTGCAAGGGGAGAGAAATAACACAGCACATGAAAAAATTGAAGACGGAGAATGAGCTTCATAATATCTTTTTTTTTTGTAATGGTCGGTCAGTTAACCCCTTTTGGCCTGGACAAGTAGAGCTCCCATGGCTTGGATACCACAGCTTAGTAACGTAGCACATTAAAGCCGTCACATTGATACAATTCAACTTTGCTTTCTGTTTGACCAGTCATCGTTCATTACCGCCTCCTTGGACAACAACAAGATTTTACTTAGCTTATTGACAAGCGAAGAAATAGCGAACGAGAGAGATCAATAAGGTCCGCTAACACGATCCAGCCACTCGCCGCATCTAAAACAAAGAAAAAAAAAAAAAAAAAAAAAAAAAAAAGAATTAGTTCACAATAATATTAAAAAAAGATAATGATGTACAGCACAAACGGCTTCATTGATCCCACGAACACCACTGATTCTTCCCCTACTGCAAGCAATTTACGCATTGTGGAGCTATCAAGCGGCAGTCCACTTACAGCGACACTTGACAGCAGTACTAGCGCCAATAACATTATCGACGGTCAGCAACAGCCCATTGTCACCACTCCAGACTCGAGTGCATTGTCATATTTGTCTCCGTCAGGAAATAGCAGCATTAACAACAGTGGCAACCTGAGTGCTACTATCAGTCGTCCTTCCATGGCGTTAATCAACAATAGTCAGCAACAGCAGCAAAAAGCATCGGATGCAGCTTTGGCTTTGCTCTCCAACCTAGGGTCCTCGAACACAATTTCGCCTACTTCTATTCAAGCCAACGCAGGTCGCAGTACAGGTAATGGTCGGTCGCGGTCGACCATAGCTTCCGGTAGGAACAATAGTCAAGTAGCTTCAGTTAATTCTGGTATAGAAAGTAGCTCCTCTGCCTCTACAACGTCTTCCAGTTTGCAATCATTACAACCACTGACTCGCCCTTCTAACGGCACCAGAGGCAATGTTGCAGCTTTCCTCTCTAAGCTTTACAAGTAGGTGCTTCTTTATTGGGCTGATAAGCTCCGCTTAGCATCAGTCGTCTTGACAATTGTAATCAACTCACATCTGACTCTGTATTTTGATTATTTAGTATGGTCGGCGAAGAAACATCGAACAGCCTTATCAGGTGGTCGGACGATGGGCAATCATTTATTGGTATATACTATCGTGCATGTATTCAATGCAAAAGAATGCTTTTCGTAACTTCGAGGATAAGCATCTAATGCATATACTCTCGACCTTTTCTGCTCTATCTATATTCCCAATGCTCATAGTCATCAACCATGTTGAGTTCGCAAAAGAGGTCCTTCCTAAGTTCTTCAAACACAACAACTTTTCATCATTTGTGCGTCAATTGAACATGTATGGGTTCCATAAGGTGCCTCATCTTCAACAAGGAGTCCTCATGCCAGACTCTGATTCTGAACAATGGGAGTTTAGCAACCCACATTTCCAACGGAATCAGCCTGATCTCTTGTATTTGGTCTCGCGTAAGAAAGCCTCTAATGCCAATGAAGACAAAGATGCGCTCACTATGGATCTAGGACATATTCTTCAAGAAGTCACAGCGATCAAGAGGCATCAGGTCGCTATTTCGACTGATTTGAAGAATATCGAAAGAGATCATCAGGCGCTCTGGCAAGAATCTGTCGCGGCACGAGAGCGACACCAGAGGCAACAAGAGACCATTGATAAGATTCTTAGGTTCTTGGCGAGCGTGTTTTCTGGAGAAAAGAAGAGAGCTATCGTACCCAACAAGAAGGTGCGACTTACAATTACAGACGGAGATCATCTAGATGGTATGGTGGGATCGACAACAGTGGATGACGGTCGGAAACTTGTTGAACAGGAGGACGAGGAAGAGGTTGAGGAAGAGGAAGAAACAGCGTCCACAACTGTTGCAGGATCCAAGAGGAAACGAAGTGAAGCGGATAATGGAGCCGGAACTGTGGAAGCTGTTCTCAACCACAGCAAGCCGTCATTGAACATTAGCGAGATAACACCAGGTACTGAGATATTTCAGCTCTTCTATTTTAATTTATTTATTTCTTTTTTACCTTAGTGATATGGGATGTAACCATCTTACTTCTGAACAACGCACTCTTGTTTAGCTACACTGGCAATGCTCGCTAACGCCAATGGTAATATAAACCAAAAACATACTTCGGACGTAGGGTTGAGCGTGCCGTCATCGACAAGCGCTGCTGCAACAGCTACCACCAACTTGCCTACGGTTCCTGTATCGGCACCCGCTAATATCAATAACCTGAGCTTCCCCGATTATCTGACTTCTCTGCCAGCCTTAAATTACGCTAACCTCAACAACAATAGCAACGGAATTCTTAATAACCTCACGTTGCCTGCTGGATTCAAATTTGACCCTTCAAACCTAACCATCCCTTCATCACTTTTGCCCAATGGTTTGTCTCCAGTTCATCACGATATGCTCCGTCAGATCTCGATGGCGAATGCACAGGACATGAACCAAGCCAGTGCGACACCGCTAGCTCCTTTACCCCCATCATTTTCACAGACGCCAGCGGGCGCCAATGTGACCAAGAGCGTGGATCAGATCACACACGAAGTGGAACAGTTGCAAAGGAGTATTGAAGCCCTAAGTCAGCACGGTTTGAACGTTGATACATTTGATTTCGATGACGATGCATATTTGTCGCTAGCAGACTCTTTTGGTAAATTTTGAATGTTCTTGGAAAATGACAATGCTCTTAAGTTATTTTATACCTCTAACAAATTCTTTTAATGATGATAATAACGGTGACTTTAGATCCAAATGGATTAACAAGTCTAGATCAAGGAGTCATAGGAAACCCCGATACATTAAATACGACAGCTGCACCATCAACCGCTGGCGTTAACCCTAGAATATCCACTGTTGGTGGTGAAGAAGAGTATCTGGAAGACCTTCTGGATTTGGAGCCTGTCTAGAATCCACGAAGAAAGCAATGAAGTAAAACAGGGTACACTTTTGTATTTTACGTTTGTTCCTCAATGTCGCACTTGTAATACCATTACTATGCTTTTATGTGTATATATTTTCTTTAATAATGAGTATCTAAATGAGGTGCTGCATGCTGGAAATAAGAAAAGTGATGAGATATTTAAAACAAACAAAAGAAAAAAAAAAAAAAAGACAGTGACATTATTTTTTTTTCTTATCGTGCAAATTGACGAGAACCATCGCCATTGGGTCGACGACCACTATTAGGATGGTTGTGTGTCTTCTTCTCTCCAACGACATAAGCCTTCTTGTTGGTTGTTTGACCCTTGACTGATCCAACCGAGATATTAACCTTGGGAGGAACAGAAAAGCCAAATGCCTTGGCGACCTTGACGAGATCCAGCTTGTTGACATCAAAGATCGCCTTTTGTGCGTATGAGGCATAGCTCTGAAGATAACTCCTATATCCATCACGGGCTGACTTATTAAGGTAATAGTTCTTCTCCACAAGTTTCTCGAGCTGGCTCTGGACATTTGAAATCTTGGACGCAGGGAACTGGTACTCGTTCAGAGGTACCTTCGCATGCTTTAAGTACCGAAGGAATCCAACTTCAGATGGCAATAGGAACAGTAAAGACTTGCCCGATGTACCTGCACGGGCTGTACGGCCGACGCGATGAATATAGTCACGAGGATCATCTGGAGGGTCAAATTGAATGATCCAGTCGACAGCTGGGATATCAAGGCCACGGGCAGCAACGTCTGTACAGAGCAAGATGCCAGTGGGGGCATTAATAAATTCAAAAAAGGTTGTTGTCCGCTTCTGTTGCTTTTGGCGCCCATGAAGGTCTAGGACTGGAATATCGATGTAGTTTAGGAGCTCTGCATGGTATTTGACGGAGTTGCAGGATGAAAAGAAGACAATAACCTTTTTCTTAAGATTTTTCTTCAAGAACGTAAACAAGAGCAAGAAACGCTTATCACTCTCACAGATGACGTATCCTTGCTCCAATCCGTCTGCTGTTGCTGTCTCCTTCTTCTCGTCCACATTGATGTACAACGGTCCAGCTTTAAGTGAGATACGGGCCAAATCTGTAACCTTGGTAGTTTGTGTGGCAGAAAAAAGCATTGACTGACGGCCCTCCTTGGGAATAATCTTTATGATCTGCTTCATTTCGTCCTCGAAACCGCACTCCAGAATACGATCTGCCTCATCGATAACCAAAGCTTTTAAATTTTTGAATACAAAGCCTTTAGTGTTCTATTTTTTTTTTTTAAAGAAAAGTATTAGTCTCTACATTATTTAGTCTAGAATAAAAAGTCTAGTTTTATATGTGTCCTTCGTATTTCTTTTACCTGAAGATGATCAAGAAGTCGACCAGGTGTGGCGACAAGAAGGTTGACACCCTTGGCAAGTTTGTCGGCTTCTGCCTTGCGGTTAGCGCCTCCAATGACAATTCCGAAAGTTTGATTATGGTACTTGAGCAAATCCTTGGCAACTCCAAAGATCTGAAGAGCCAACTCACGAGTTGGTGAGATGATGATGACACCAGTTCCTTTTGGTTTTGGATAGTCAAATGATTGTGAAGAAATTAATTAGCGCCAAAGGTAAACAATAGTTGCCCAACATCTGTTAATTTCGGTGAAAATTTTTTTTAAGTTCTTACCATTGCGAGGCTTGAACTTGAGCTTGTAAAGCAATTCAACAGCAGGAACCAGAAATGCAATGGTTTTTCCTGACCCTGTTTTAGCAGCACCAAGGACATCACGACCAGCCAACAAGGGAGGTATTGTACGTGCCTGGACCTCTGTCATCTTTGTAAATCCGATGTCAACAATGGCCTTTTTGGTAGGCTCGCAGAGGTCAAGAGATGAAAATTCATAATTGATCTTCTTCCCACCAGCTATGTATTTATAAAGATGTATTGAAAAGAGTACAGATTAGCATCCCATAGATAGCATTTTTCAACTGAGAAGGATTGGTAGCATATCTTTGAAGATGCTTAAAGGGAGAAATGCAATAGGTGTTACGCATTGTTTTGAAATTACAAATGATATAGGTTTATTATTCAAAGAAAAGAAATATATGATCGAGGTTCTCCTTACCAGCAGTGGCAATAGCCTCATTGGCCGAGAAATCGATTGAAGGCAAGTCATCCTGCTTCTCTTTGGCCTCTTTCTTTGCGTTCACGTCTTCATCCTCGTCTTTTTCATCCTCGTCTTCTTCATCCTCGTCTTCATCGTCCTCTTCTTCTCCTTCGTCCTCGTCTTCTTGCTCATCGTCACTATCCTCTTTAACCTCATGCTCATCTTCGCTTTCTTCCTCGCTCTCATTTCCTGACTCTTCTTTGATAATTTTTTCCTTTTTATTTGTTTTTTCTAGAAGCTTCTCTTCTCTCTTGCGTTTGTTGCTAATTCCATTGGCTACTGTGGAAACAGCAGCTACAGGCTTAGCTGTGTTAGCAGCTTTAGCGCTGTTCTTTGCCATTGCGTGTGGTTATATGGCGTTGAGTAAAGAGAGAGTGGGGAAAGAGGACCGGAGTGCTGATGAACGAATGGAAATGGAAAAGAAAGCTTCTAGTGAAATCATATCTTGAAGAAAAAAAAAAAAAAAAAAAAAAGTGCAGTCACATGTAAACAGCTCAATTTACTAATTTCCAACGTGACTTTTAGGATTTCTATATGTCGGACGTCTAAATTTTATAATTTCCAAAACTTATCACCATTACCAGCATTCACAATGGTCTGCACGAAATGTAAGCATTAACACCCAGACACTTCTTGGGTTATCCTTAACACTTCTTTCCCTTTTTAACTTTCTTTTATACAGCATTGAAAGGACTGACTAAACATCATTTGATTTTTTGCAGGTGAAAAGAAGTTGTCCAAGGTTATTTGCCCAGACAAATGGAAAGATGGCGCACGCAATACTACCATTGGAACTTCAGCAGCGGCAGGACGCAAGCTTGGCGAAAACAAACTCCTTAGTAAAAAGCGAGCGTATGTTTTATATCCCCGCACTCATCAGCAGTGACATCTTTATCGCTTTGCACGATTAAGAATTCACAGTATGAGGAACTAACTAGTCTTCCCTTCACTAAAATGACTTATTATTTAGAACCGCAAAATTCAATCCATATGCAGTATCAAAGTGTAAGACATGTAAATCAGCGGTACATCAGGATGGTGCCATATATTGTCAAGGTACATCAAGAAACTGCTACGCAAAAGTGCATTATCATTTTTTTTGCTTGTTATTTGTTATTTGTTTTTTGTTTCCAACATTCTTTTCTTTTCTATACCATTCGGTCTGACATGTGGAATAGGCTGCGCATATAAACAAGGACAATGCGCAATGTGTGGAGTCACAATTCTCGATACATCAAAATACAAAATGTCCGCCAAATGAAAAACTATATAGCTTCAAGGCAATGAGATTTGCATTTGTTCTATCACATTTTCAACCCAGCAGTTGCTAAACAATTCGGAAATCTGAATTACACCTTTCAGTCTTTGTGCTTGCATGCTTTTTGCACAATGAAAAAATACCTGTACTCCAAGCGGACGAAATTATGGAGACATGTTTGATCCAACATATCAACTACAAATCTGCACCATAGTTTTATTATTTTTTATATTTATTTTTACTTTCTGTGGCAGGGAATAAATAATAATATTACGCCTACCGTGAATTATTAGTTCGTTTAAACTATCGATATAATCCTTCATACTGGGACGCGCATTGGGTTCACATACTTCACTGTCCCATATACATCAATTTTCACAGCTCTGTCATGGGTATTGCTCTTGAATTGAGCAGGGTGGATGGGTTGAAATAGTAGGTACATGCTTTTGACGAAGGATACTCATCCACCATCCTGATGGTCGTATATCGGCCATGTTCATACCTACTGCGATCTTTTATACGAGATTCCGCCACTCTTCTCGTGCTTCTGATTAGCATGACTAACTTTTGAACAACATGATAGGACAAGCATCATCCATTGTTTAGAGAGATAACATTGATGGTGTTTACAACGCAGATAGGAAATGCATGTTGTTTGTTCTATCATAGAAAACGATAAATGGCTGTTGAATGATTTGTTTTCGTATAGATATGATTTGATAAGTCCAAATGCTTAGCAACTTCGTAGTGTGTTCCCATCAATCCCTTCCTTAAGCTTCTGGCAGGCTTAGTTTGCCTTAATTATCTCCGCACATTCTGTGCGATATTATGGATAATTGAAGACTATTCCATTACTTTAACTTGTTGTGAAGTGAGAACATGACGATAGCTTACACCCATTATCTGCTTTTGCGTTGGCGTATTCTACTCACTTTTTTTTTTTTTTTTTTTTTTTTTTTGCGAGCTCTGAGCTTGTCAACAATGGCTAAGATGCTATCCATTTTCTGGCTCAGTACAAAATCAAAATACGCTTCAGTATCTTGGGCAAGCCCCGCTGTATCGGACTCTAAGATAACAGTCTCAACTTGCTCCTAGTTTACAACTTAGGTTCTATAACCCGCCCTCTTCTATCGGTTATGATCATGTTACTAAGGTCCTTAATAGCCTCCTGTTTATTATTGGCCTCTTGGTACACCTCCTCGTCAAACATTTCTTCTTGTGCGCGAGTTATATCACTTTGTATAAAATTCTTCCATCCACAGTAAAAGGAATTTTGGAGAAGATTTGTTGATGTGCCCCTGAAGATCGTGCTCGTATTGTAGGGTAAGATACATTCAAGTTCGATACATGGAAATCGTGGATGATCATCCCCTAATTTAAGCTCTCGAGGGAGCAACCGCATGCCACTAAAGGCGCCTTACGAGTTGTGGTTACTTCCAAAAGTAAAGACATACCAACGTTGGCCATTGAAGCATTGCCCATTGCCCATTGCCCTGTTTAAGCTTTCGACGTTAATAAAACTTGACTGAATGGAGTTAAATTCGATCACAACGCTGCTACGTTATTCATTCTTCCTATTCCACAAGACCACTTGTTTCAACACTTCGTCCTGCAATTTTATTCGACATGTCTTCTCCTTCACAAGGTCTTCGTCACCATCGTCCCTTGTCCTCTGTTCAGCTTAGGCAGGTTCAAAAGACATTCTCCTAAGTGGTTCTCGAAAATTATGAAAGCTTGAGGAATGATATACAGCTCGTGCGCAAGAATATCGCTGAGCTGTCGACATGAGGACAAGAAGGTGCTGAATTTCCAACTCGAAATGTATCACATCTCCAAAGAATCGGGATTCAGCCATAGAGTTCGTGCGGAGTTCCCAGCCGAATCCAGAGCTGAAAAGACTTCGACCTATTCGCAAGGATGTTTGTTATTTATTATCTTACGTAGAGACAGGCTTTTTGATACGCCATAGTTCCTAACCACTGAGATCATTTTGTATTTATGGCTGCGATCCCTAGAATAGAGTGAGAATAAGCTTATCTTTTTTTTATTTTTATTTTATTTTAAAGGAGTGAGAGTAAGCTCTTACTGCCAGAGAAAATGATATCCAATTAAAGATTACTAAAGATGTCATGTAAAAACATTACTTGTAAAATGTTTCTATTTGCTTTATCTTTTATTGCCAACTGTACAGGATGATATGCAATGAATTAAGAAAAAGTACTGTATGTACGAAGGAAAGAACAAAATACAAGATATTTTAAAGGGGAGGAGAGGAGACTCGAAATGTCTATGAAAAAAAAGGAAGATGTAAAAAAAATACTTGGCAGGGTATTTAGTCGACCTCCTCGATAGTGGGCTCGGAGGCACCCTCGCTGGGGAAGCCGCCAGGAGCAGCGCCGGCGCCGCCCATAGGGGGAACACCACCAGCGCCGCCATAGAGCTTCATCATGATGGGGTTGGAGACCTCCTCGAGATGCTTCTGCTTAGCCTCGAATTCCTCCTTCTCAGCCTCCTGGTTAGAATCCAACCATGAGATGACCTCATCGCAGGCCTCAGTGAGCTTCTTCTTATCGGCCTCATCAAGCTTGCCTCCGACCTTCTCGTCACTCAAAGAGTTCTTGATGTTGAAGGCAAAGGACTCGAGTCCGTTCTTGGCTTGGATGCGAGCAGTGGCAGCCTCATCCTCAGCCTTGTACTTCTCAGCCTCAGCAACCATGCGCTCGATATCCTCCTTGGAAAGGCGACCCTTGTCGTTGGTGATGGTAATCTTGTTGGCACGGCCAGTCGACTTCTCGACAGCAGAGACGTTCAAAATACCGTTGGCATCGACATCAAAGACGACCTCAATTTGAGGAACACCACGAGGAGCAGGTGGGATACCAGTGAGCTCGAACTTGCCGAGCATGTTGTTGTCCTTGGTGCGAGCACGCTCACCTTCATAGACCTGAATCAAGACACCGGGCTGATTATCGGCATAGGTAGAGAAGGTCTCGGACTTCTTGGTGGGGACGGTGGTGTTACGCTTGATAAGAGCAGTCATGACACCTCCTGCAGTCTCAATACCAAGGGAGAGAGGGGCGACATCGAGCAAGAGAAGGTCTTGGGTCTTTTCAGAGGTATCGCCAGTCAAGATAGCAGCCTGGACGGCAGCACCATAGGCAACAGCCTCATCAGGGTTGATGGACTTGTTGGGCTCCTTGCCGTTGAAGAAGTCAGAGACCATCTTCTGGATCTTGGGGATACGGGTGGAACCACCGACAAGGACGATCTCGTCGACAGAACCCTTGTCGATCTTGGAATCACGGAGAACCTTCTCGACAGGCTCCATAGTGTTGCGGAAGAGATCCTGGTTGAGCTCCTCAAAACGAGCACGAGTCAAGGAAGTGTAGAAGTCAATACCTTCGAAGAGGGAGTCAATCTCAATAGAGGTCTGAGCAGAGGAAGAGAGAGAGCGCTTAGCACGCTCGCAAGCAGTGCGGAGACGACGAAGAGCACGAGGGTTGGAAGAAAGATCCTTCTTGTGCTTGCGCTTGAACTCCTGAACGAAGTGGTTGACGAGGCGGTTGTCGAAATCCTCTCCTCCCAAGTGAGTGTCACCAGCGGTGGCCTTGACCTCGAAGATACCATCTTCAATGGTGAGGAGTGACACATCGAAAGTACCACCACCAAGATCGAAAATGAGGACGTTCTTCTCTCCGGCGGTCTTCTTATCCAAACCGTAGGCGATGGCGGCGGCAGTGGGCTCATTAATGATACGAAGGATGTTCATACCAGCGATGGCACCAGCATCCTTGGTGGCCTGACGCTGAGAGTCATTGAAGTAAGCGGGGACAGTAACAACAGCGTTGGTGACAGCGGTACCGAGATAAGACTCTGCGGTCTCACGCATCTTGGACAAAACCATAGAGGAAATCTCCTCAGGGGTGAAGGTCTTGGTCTCGCCCTTGAATTCAACCTGGATGTAAGGCTTAGTGCCCCTATCGACGACCTTGAAGGGCCAGTGCTTCATATCAGACTGAACATCCTTGTCATCGAAACGGCGACCGATAAGGCGCTTGGCATCGAAAACAGTGTTGATGGGGTTCATGGCGACCTGGTTCTTAGCAGCATCACCGATGAGACGCTCGCTATCGGTGAAGGCTACATATGAGGGAGTGGTGCGGTTACCCTGATCGTTGGCGATAATTTCGACACGGTCGTTTTGCCAGACGGCAACGCAAGAGTAGGTAGTACCGAGATCGATACCGACAGCTATAGAAATCAATCAAGTGGATGATGAAGATAGTAGTCAGTCATCAGTTCTTCAACTTCCTGTGTGAAAGCCATGTCGTCCCTCGCTCCAGTGTTTTGAATAAAAAATAATAACAGTAGGGATGATGCCATACACGTGATGAAAAAAGAAGCCAATAGAACAAATAAATAAAAAAATGTCATGATTCGCCCTTCTAAGCGCCAGTGTACGAATTCTCGTCTCCTGATGATGATCGGGAGAAGTAAATTCATTTACCACAGCAACATCTATGTTGCTTGCTGTTATCCAGAATTGCTGCTGGCGAACATATGCCATATAGAACTAGGCTGATTCTTTTATATTAGGTTAAATCCCAAATCCTCTGTTCCTCTCTCTCGTGAATGTTGAAGATCGAGTCGCATGGAACCGATAGTCAATGAGAGTGCACAGACGTAAGGACTGATCAAGATGCAGAACGGCTTTCGACACAAAAGACCGTCGATGGATCAAGAGCATCATCTGACTGTAGCATAGATCGATGGTGCACGGTTAACCGTACAATTGATCGCAAGCAGCAAGCAAAAAAAGGGGAGGTTGGGAGTGATAAAAAAAGGGGAAGCGGGTCGATCCGTTTTATGACACAGCCAAGGTAGCAAAAAAGGACTTCCCATGCAAAGTATCGAAACAAAAAAAATGATTTTCAAAGGGAATGAACAACCGATGAGGAAGAAATGTGGGAGTCGTTGATCTTACCTTTTCCTTCAGACATTATGAAATAGTGTGTATGTGAGATGAGAATGGAGTGAAGATGAGAAGAAGAAAAAAAAAAGGTGAAAGACAGTTGTATTTTATAAGACAGATGCTGGTGCTTGCTCTGACTAGCATTTCTTCCTTTTCGTTCTACCGCGTTCTATGACCTTCGCCAATCTTCTCGCTATTTGATACGCGTGCGGGGCTCTGTTGTGTAGTCTGAGATTTCATTCTGCATAGTCACGTACAAAGGCGCCATGCGTACGTGTGAATGAGATAATCCACCAAATATTGATCTACTTTTTGCTCTCATTTTCTGGCAGGATCCAGAAAAGACTTGGAGGAAAGTCCTAATCTACTCCAAGAGAGGACGAGAAGGGGCGCAGATTAGGCAACAAATAGCAAAATCAAACGATTATTCCTTTTGCTTATCCTGTGGCACACAAACATATCACTGCAAAGATTCGCAAGCACAATTCATGCACATGTTCAAAGCACAAAGCACAATTCTAGGACGGTTTTCATCCTAGAAAAGTAATTGTTTCAAGTACGAAAAGCAACACAAAAGTTGCCCCCTACCAAACGTGATCTTGATAACTGTTTTGTACCTGCATCTGCCTGGCCAATTTAATAGGAGCGGCAGCGCTTTGTCTGTGCGCAACTGCATTTTCTGACGTAATGATGTCCTTTATTTTAATGATAAAGGTGAAATATTTTCACTGCTTGGACTGTTTCTTGATCAAAGAAAAACAGATGTTCATTATTTTCAAGAGAAACTTCCTCAATCTTGATACCAGTACATTCTTGCTCTAGATTGGTGAAAGCGGAGAATATGTTTAGGTCAGGCAGTAAATAATAGTTCTGCCAAAACATCAAGCACTTCAAAAGCCGCTTTACAGCCATGTAATTACTTACTGATCCGATCGAAAAAGTCAACAAACGTCTGAGGGTTTCTGATAGCAGACGACATGTATGCGGAAACACCCCTTATGAGAATCACCTTGAGTAATGATACCAGGGGGACTATATTTGTTGGATCATACGTCTACGCAGAAAGGTGTAAGGAAAAAAGATTAGTATCATAGACAAATAAAATCAACATTCAAAATGCAGCAATGTCTAAAGGTGTCTCATGTGTCACATCCTACCAGGTCAGACATAATTAAAACCTCAGCTTCTAAAGCAGCGACCTGTTGTTCTGTAAAACTTTCCCAGTCCAAAAGACTTGCTGTTGTCGGACAAGGCATATTGTCTTGGGTGTGAAAACAGGTCTAAATCAGTGACAACTCATACAAAAAGAACCACTTTAAAAGATAGTATCTCATAAGTTCATAAGGGCTTACTATATCCGATGTTCTGGCTGGCCATGGCTAATACTTCAGTGTTTCCGTCTGTCAAAACAACCTTTCTCGCCCCAAGCATAGCACAGGAGATGCCGAGAAAACCGACACCACAACCAATGTCAACTACATTCTTGCCAGCAAGAAGACCTACATTGGACATTTTTAGTTACTTCGCACTAGCAAATAGCATGATGGCCATCCTTAAAGGCGAAATGAATCTATTACCCGTATGGGCGATTAAGTATTCCGCCAACCAAAAACTGCGTAAAAATAAAAAAATAAAAAAAAAATAAAAAATAAAAAGTGTACATTAACAGCTATTAAAAAATAGCCAATGGAACAAGCACATCTATTAAGGAAGTTACATTTACCTCGCTTCCCTATGATAGTAAATAGCCCCAATAAAAAAAAAAAAAATAAAAATAAAAATAAAAAATAAAAAATAAAAAGATTAATAAAATCAAATAAGGATTCATCTAGCCATGAGAATAATTAATAATTGGTGCATTGTTTTATCCGACATTCCCATCCTTAACTATGTACCAAGTACGCAATCCAGTGGTGCCTGACGAAATGGTTGTCTGTTCCTCCATGACAGTGACAATCTTTTTGCACTCGTCATCCAAACAGTAAGACTTGAAGCAGGGTGTTAGTGGTGGACCGCCGTTCTCAGGCCTAACGTTATGAATAAATGTTTGAAGAATTTCTCTGTCAGTCGCAATCAATCGATGGCATCGGAGCGTTTGGTTTATTTAAGTCCGCAAATGAAATGCTTCTCTAAGGCAAGATATATTCGCTTTCCTTCTAGGGGCAGTTATCAATAGTTCTGTGAATATTTCTAATAAATCACTTGAAACCTCATGCTGGCCCTCTTGCTCGATCATACCAATTAATTTCTTGAGGAACGAGTATTGGTAGATTAGCGATGGTGGGTACTTCATAACGTTTTTATCATAAAATATCTATAATCAAGATAGGTAGAATGTTTCAGTCCTTGGGCTTCATTAGGGTATAGTGCATACCATCAAGGATGTCTGTAACCTCTGTGCGCTATCCGGACCTGGTTGAGAATAGCCTGTTGTATCTCAGGACTTGTGACAGAAAGTGATGGGGCTGCACCAGGCAAGGACCACTGGAACCGATGCAACGGACGCATCTGAAGAAGCTGTCTTTTGATCAACAATAGCAGATCTTGTGCTTGGTCTTTCATTTTTTTTAAAAAAAAAGAAAAAAAAAAATAGATACTGCCTGCTATTCTGTGTAATGTGTCACTGTAGCCGTGCTGTGTCCACGACTTATTTCTTTGAAATAGTTGAAATAGCTATTTGCTGGTAGACAAAAAAAGCATCTAATTTGTCAGATCTGGAGTAAATAGAATTATATTTGCACGTCACATTTGCTGTGTCAGCCACACACCATTCCTTTCCCCAAAGACCCAATTATCGACTAGACATGCATTTCATTCCTTTTTGAAAGTCCTGCTCCTAGTTCATTCATTTCCTTTTCCTTCCTTCTTCCTGTGAGCCTCATCTACGCATCTCATTTCGACTCTTTGTCAGTTCTGCTTCACCATAGTGTGTCCAGCACTCTAGAAAAAAAAAAAAAAAAAAAAAAAAAAAAAAAACAGGAGGGATTAAGTCGCATTGCCTCTCATATAGGCCATCATCTCACTCTTTTCTTTTTCATCGTCTTGGCGGCCAGCTGGCTTAGCTGTCGTCTCTCCTCTTTTGAACGACCATTCCTTCTTTTGAATTAAAAGTTTGGTCATGAGCGATCGACTACCAACTGTGCTATTCAGCAACAGTAACAATAAAAAGCAATATATTAAACGTAATATGGACAGAAAACGATTCGGTCTTCCAACGCTCTTCCTCGTTTGGCTTTGCATCACTCTCCTGTTTACCACAGTCAATGTCCATGCTGATGATGTTGCACCTCCTAACGGAGCACATGCTTTTGAAGACTTTGACACATATTTCGGTAAGCTCTTTTGATACTCTATCACAGATCTGTATCCTCACTCTTGAGATAAGACCATGATTTTTCTTCAAAATAAAAAAAATCATGGGTATAATAAAACTTGCAATATCGTCCCCGCATTTCATTTAATATACTTCAAATACTAAATTAAGAAAAAAAAATTGCTCATTCGTCCCACTCATACTTTATCTTTCTGCTCTCTCGCTTTCCGTTTCTTTGTCTTTTTTCTTTTCTCTCTTGATAATTCCTAATATCTTTATCTTTAGAGGAGACAAAATGTACAAAACACGGAGGTGAATGCTGTAGCGATAAAACATCAATTGACTGCCAAGGTTGGTTTTGTATCGAGGGAACATGCTCTGCTCTAAAATGCAACTATTGCTCTGAGGATCCATCATGGTTCTGTGGCTATGTCGAGGGTGTGGCCAAGAATGATGGTATGGCATGCAAGTACAAAGCGGTTCTTGATCAGACGTGTAATAATAAAACTATGCCCTGCATGGATGACTTGATCTGCTCAGCCAGCAATAATACCTGTCAGTTCACACCAGAACGCTGGATAGAGTACCAGGAAGAAGTCAAGGAAAGGCGCATCACGATGATTGGTATGATTGTGGTCTTGATCGGTATGTTCCTGGCCATGAGGCGAGTCCTCAAGAACGAGGAAAATAGGCGGAGACAGATCTGGGAGCCTGTAGACTCGAGTCCCGAGGCATCGATATTGCGGCGACTTGCAGAAGATACACAACGAAGAGTTGCTGGAGGCTGGGGCCAGATTAGTGATTCATTGGTCGAAGGTGGCAATGCTGCTAGTGCTGCGGTCGGTACAGCGTTTACAAGGATCAGAGACAATGTCAGGAACGTAACTAGTGGTCGCAATGGATCATTGCGACCAGAAGATTGTGATGATGATACATTAGAGATGCTACCGAATGGTCGACGTTTGCAGACGAGGAGAGAGTTGGAAGCGGATATGAGGGATTTTTTGCTTGAGGCTGATGATGATGATGAAGACGATCATAGGGCTTGGGATCGGTCACGAGACGATGATGGACTCTTAGCACAGCACCGTGGTGTTAACAATGCAGTATCCTCTAGACCTAGCACCTACACTGATAACACCATCTCACAAGTGTCAGGAGGCTTCCCAGATGAACCACCTGCTTATGATGAAGTCAGAACGCATGGCGTGAGGCAGCCCTCTCTCATTGCTGGGTTGGATAGGACCGACGGTTTGAGCGACTCAACATCTACTGGCCCAAGGATAGCGCCATCCTGAGAGGATAACATTCATCACTGTATTTACATCAGCTGCTAACGCTGCGCAGAGAAATGCATTACTTTACCATCAGTTGGTTCGTTGGCATCGCGTCGCGATATTCTTGTAGGAACATTGTACGACTATTAAAATTTACCCCTGAAAGCATGTAATCTAATGGAAGTTTTCATAAGCACATCATGGAAAAGTAATAGTCTTGGAATGGCGCAATAGAATGCGTAATAGGATAACAATTTAATTACGGAAATCTAAAGTAAAAAGAAGGGCAGAGATATTGTGCGCCTGTACAACTAGAAATACATAACCGAGAGCATGAAAATTACATTGTGGGCTCCGTGATTAATTCCCATGAATAAAAAAAAGGGAGAAAGAGGAAACAATAAATATATATACGATACGATTTTCAGATCTCTGATGCCAAAGAATCTGTCAAGCCTTGAATTTGGTTTGAGTCTTGAGCAAGGGCCTCACAAGCCCAACCAACAATAAAAATACCAGGAGGCCTATATCCAGTTTCCTTAACCGTCTGGACGATCGTTCCGACTGTGGCCTTGATGCATCTCTGGTCTTTGGCGCTTGCCCTTTCTACGATAGCGACGGGTAGATGCTCTGGATATCCTCCTAGCTCGACCAGATCCTGTACGAGTGCCTCCAGTCGATGCAAAGCCATCAAAAACACTGTTGTTCTATGCGCTACATAGGTTGGCATCTCTGGGATTGAATCATTTGATCCGGTTCCTGTGCAAACCAGAAACTGTGATGCAGTACCGCGATGTGTTAATGGGATATTGGCCAGCAAAGGTCCTGATATACTAGAGGATAGACCAGGGACAATCGTGGGTTCAAAGCCGAGTTGACGGAAAAACAGGAATTCTTCACCTCCTCGTCCGAAGATGAACGGATCTAATTAGAAATTAAAGTTTGAGTATGAGATTTAAAGTGGCTAAGATGATGGAGATCCATTTTTTACTGTTTACTAATAGACTAGAGAAATAAGAAACAAATAAATAAATAAACACATCCTTTTTGCTTGCTTACCTCCTTGCTTTAGTCTAACAACTCGTAGTCCTTGCCTCAAAGCCTGAGTGGCCCGCTCAAAGAGCTCCTGTTGACCCGAGGCTTGGCATCCTTTATCCTTGTTCGCAATGAAGAGAGGACATGAAACGAGAGTAAGGATCTCTTTTGAGACGAGTTTATCTGCAAGCACGATATCAGCCCATGTGGTGATGGCCTTGTATGCTGCCATCGTCAACAAATCTGGGTCTCCCGGACCAGCGCCGATGAGCTTAATCTCTCCTATACGTCGGCTGATATCATCACGCTGACTCGGCGCTTGTTCTAGTGTCTGCGTCTGTCGCTGATGTGGCTCGACGTAAGAATACCGAGGTGAAGCGGGAGGACTGTCGTAAGGATTAACCATGCTGTCTCTTTATATTAATATTGTTTTTTGATACTGCGTTTGTTGATCGATTTTGAAGTTAAAAGACAATATTGCCGCCTCTCGAGAACTTTGGTTTGGTTGTATGGTGAAGGATGTAAGAGCGAGGATATGAATTAGGTACTGAAGTTGATGGAGAAAAGAGGAAAAAAAAAAAAAAAAAAAAACCATGCGGCTTTTAAAGCTAAAGGAAAGAAATAAGGTTGGACATGGCACCATTTCTACTCATCACACCAATTTTCCGAACTTTACTGCTTCCCCTTGTTTCCTGAATGCCAAAGAGTGAGTGAGCAGATCAAAATGGTGTGATCGTGACAGCGTTTTGCATTTTTTTTTTTTTTCAAGCGTTACGCGCAGATCATTCGAAAATAGAGCCGCATAAAGACGCAAGGACCATCCCCATGCGTGAGGTAGAGCATGAATGAGACTAACATGCATTAAAAAGGTTAATCTGAACTGACCTCAGGCTCTGCACGGAAAGATGGCTAATTTTTCCTTCCCCTTCTTTTTCTCCTTGCTATTTCAGCAAATATCTTAAAGAGCTTTCAGCTGCGCTGCCTTGTTTGTTGATGACAGCCTATCTCAACCCCCTGAAATGGGGCGTCTTCTTGGTGTCGGCTTGCAAGGTGTCTCGCCTTTTCAGAATCTCTCCTGGTATTCAACGACTCTGCCTCGGACAGGATCAGAAAGCAAGGAAAAACAAATCTTTCATTAAGCATCCAACTGCAATCTCCCTTGATCTTTGTTTATCCGTGATTGAGAGAAATTCAAACCAACCCAACGATTCACTGCAGGAAATACAGCCACTGACATCTAACCATAATTTCAGTTGCATTGCAAGGTCCTTTTGTCAACGGTCTGATACAAAAATCGTAATATGGAATACTATTCATGTAGTCGGTATTTTAAGGTGCGACTTCCGACAAGGTTAAGAATAATTGCCCAAGAAGCCCTAGAAATGAGATAGTGCTGCTGTTCTGCAACATCCAGGTAGCTCATTTTTTGCCTAGAAATGCTTTGATGTTGTTTGCATAAGTGTAGATTAAAGTGTAAGTTGGTATATACAACTCAAAGATCCATCCAGATTTGGCATTGCAACCTTGAAAGCTGTATACTTGGATAAGATGATCTGTTTTATACAGTACAACACTCCGCCTTGGTCGTAAAGAACATGCGTGGCATTTAATAGGATACTTCTGACCCCGATTGTATATGACATTTTATCGAATAGGATGGCTAAGAAATAGCTGGTATAGAATAACTCAAGTTCACTACCTTCGATAACCAGTAAAAGCTAGTAGAAATCATCTCCTGTATGTCAATAGTCATTTATTTATGCTCGGCTCCAGGACGAAATTAAATGTATAGCGTACGACACTTACCATATCTTTTTCGATGCTTGCTCGAACAATGGACGTAGGCCTGCACGTGACTCAAGATAATCAGTACACAGTCACGAGAGATATGATTAATATAAAGGTTGGGCGCATTTTTGCTCAGAATGCTGATATGGATCATCAAAACATCTTGAAATAATTCATTTTCAAATAATGCACACATCGTCCATATCTCTTATATCGATCTTTGTCAATACGCGCATTGAGCAGTCTGTAGACATATAAAAAGAGTGAAGAACCTTTCTCCCTCTCTCTCCCTTTTATGACTTCCCTGTCTTTACCTTTATTCACTTCTCTTCATTCTTGTTTCCCACTATCTGTTCACGAAGACATCTCTCATTTAAACTAGACTTTTTTTTGTACAAAACAGCATTCATTTTTGTTTTAATCTGCATCTTAGACCATCATCCAATCCTGTAATCACTTTGATCACTTTATCCTTTATATTTCTTTATCGACCCGTGTTCAAAAATATTTATAAAATTTACTCCACTCATTATGCCCCCAGCTGCCACTTCCGTTCTTCCTGCTCAGGAGCCCCCAACCACGGAAACTCACAATTCCGCTGTAGCACTCAAGGATCGGCTTTCAAGATGGAAGACTCGTCTTGAAGCCTTGACGGAGATTCATTTGCCTACAGATTATCCTCGTCCGATTCCCTTACAGGTCGTTGAGGCAGTCCATTCCCTCCAACTCACGGAGCAGGCTTCACTCTCGTTGTTACAGGCTAGTATGGCAATTAGTCGTCCCACTGGATTCATCTCCACTGGAACCTCTGCAGCCCCCTCAGGAGTACAGTCAGGAGTGGCATCAGGAGCACAGACACCAGCATCATCGGCTGCATTGACTCATGCCTCGCCTTTTACAATCTTGCTCGCTGCATTTGCGATTTTGTTGCATCGTTATACTGGTGACGAAGATATGTCGATCGGATCCTCATCAGAGTCCCGCAATCCTGTTGTCCTTCGTCTTGGAGTCAGTCCTAATCAGACTTTCCGTGAAGTTGTCGAGCAGACACAACTTGTAAGCACTTTTTTTTTTTTCTCTCCTCCAAATCGCTACTCTCTTCTTTCGATGTGACAATCCTTTTTCTTACTTTTGTCAGTCGCAACCAATTAAATGATCAAAATTAATTTCACGTTGCATCTGTGTCTGACGATCTTTGTTTACAAAAATATAGACCGAGAAGGATGCAACAAACGACGAAGTTCCTTTCACCAGTCTGTTGGCCCATCTCTTCCCAAACACCGCAGATACTTTACATCAACAGCAACAACATCAACAACAGACAACGCCTTCTCTATTTCGTGTCCGCTTTTTTAACGAGCTTGATAGGCCTTCAGATCATGTCCTTAACTCTACCTCTGCAACCACAGATCTGACCATCACCGTGATTTCTCATGCCAGCTCCTCCTTGCGCTTTGGTCTCTTGCCAGATATCGAGCTCAAGGTTTCTTATAATCAAGTCCTCTTCTCCTCGAAGCGTATTCAACATATCTTGGATCAACTGGTTCAGGTGTTAAACATTGCAGGGCCTCGTCCCGATATCTTGGTCAGTGATATCGACATTGTCACCCCAACTTGCCGCGAGGTTCTCCCGAACCCATCTGCCGACTTGTATTGGTCGAGTTGGCCTGGAGCCATCCACGATATCTTTGCAAGGAACGCCAAGGCCTTCCCCAACCGTGAATGTGTGTTCGAACGCAGAGATGTGTTGGCTCAAGATGGATCGGGTAGAGTTCTAGGTCAGCAAAAGTATGTCTTTACGTTTGGACAGCTTCATGAGGCCTCCAATCTTGTCGCACATGCCTTGGTCAAAGGCGGCATTGAGCCAGAAGATGTCGTGATGGTGTATGCCTACCGTGGCGTGGACCTTGTCATCGCAGTTATGGCAGTTCTCAAGGCCGGCGCCACTTTCAGTGTTATTGGTAAGAACAGATTTTGTATTATGCTTATTAGAAATATTCACGTGGAGCTTAATCATGCCGTTAATTCAAAGTCATCCCCTCCCTGAATGAAAAAAATTAGATCCTGCATACCCTCCAACCCGCCAAAAGGTTTACCTCTCCGTCGCGCGGCCTCGCGGTCTTATCGTTCTTGCTCATGCAGGCATTTTGGATGCATCTGTTCGCTCCTACATTGAGGAAGGCGAGGATTTCCAGCTCAAGTGTGAGATTCCAGGTTTACAAATCACCAGCGATGGTCAGGTCTTAGGTGGTCAGACTAGCCAAGGGGTGGATGTCCTGGATGCTGTCAGGAGTCTGGCGGCTCAGGATGTTGGTGTCGTCGTAGGTCCTGACAGTATTGGAACACTCAGTTTCACTAGTGGAAGCACTGGTATTCCTAAAGGTAAAAATATATATTCTGTATTGAATTCATATGATATTATCCATTCAAGTGTCGTTTCTGATTTTTGTTATTAATACTTTTGCTGCGCCCCTTGTAGGTGTCCGCGGTCGTCACTTCTCATTGACACATTATTATACTTGGATGCAGCAAGAGTTTGGTCTCAGCAGTGAGGATCGTTTCACGATGCTCTCTGGTATTGCGCATGACCCAATCCAGCGTGATATTTTCACGCCTTTGTTTCTAGGTGCTCAATTGCACATCCCTACGACGGAGGACATTGGTATTCCTGGTCAACTTGCGGTTTGGATGCAGAACAGTGCAGTTACTGTCACACATTTGACTCCAGCAATGGGTCAGCTCTTGACTTCGCATGCCCAAAATCCTGTTCCCTCGCTCAAGAATGCGTTCTTTGTCGGCGACATCTTAACCAAACGTGATGTCCATCGCTTGCAAAAGATCGCAGCCAACTGCAGAACGATTAACATGTACGGCACAACCGAGACTCAGCGTGCAGTTTCGTACTACTCCATCCCCGCTATTGCGATCGAGCCCTTATTTCTCAGCTCAGAGAAAGATGTCATGCCTGCAGGACGGGGTATGTTGAATGTTCAGCTCTTGGTCATCAATCGTGTCAGCAGAAAACTCTGTGGTATCGGTGAAGTCGGGGAGATATATGTCCGTGCTGGAGGTCTTGCAGAAGGATATTTAAGATTAGAAGAAGCTACTCAGGAAAAATTCTTGGCTAACTGGCTTGGCGAAAACTTGGCTGCCCCCGGCGCTGAAGAGTCGAATGGCAAGCCCGAGTGGAATGGACATTGGAAGGGACGTCGTGACCGCCTTTACCGCACGGGCGACCTTGGTCGTTATAGACCTGATGGAAATGTGGAATGTTCTGGTCGTGCAGATGATCAGGTCAAGATTCGTGGCTTCCGTATCGAGCTTGGTGAGATTGATACTCATCTGTCTCAGCACCCCTTGGTTCGTGAAAATGTAACATTGGTCCGTCGTGACAAGAACGAGGAGCAGACCTTGGTCAGTTATTTCATCCCTGTAGCGCCTAGTGGAGACGAGATCTTCATGAGCAGTGCAGATGAAGGCGATGACAAAGATGGCGGTTCTGAACGCAAGAGACGTTACCGCCGCTTGATCCGTGATATTCGTGAGTGGCTCAAGGTTAAATTACCTGCTTATAGTGTCCCTAGTGTGTTTGTGCCTCTGACCAGAATGCCTCTGACCCCCAATGGCAAGGTCGACAAGAATGCACTCCCCTTCCCAGATACCCCACAGTTTAATTTCAATAGCAGCACCTCCGGTCCAACTTCTTCAGCTGATGCATCCTCGGCTCCATCAAATGCCCCAGCCATGAATCCCACTCAGCTGGCAATTCACAACATCTGGAAACAACTTTTGCCCTCGACTCCAACTTATATTCCTCTAACCGAGAACTTCTTTGATATTGGTGGCCATTCCATTTTGGCGACGAGATTGATTTTCGAAGTCCGTCGTGTCTGCTGCGTAGATGTCCCATTGAACTTGGTCTTCCGTGAACCCACGATCGGAGGTATGGCCAAGGAGGTCGCTCGTGTCAGTTTGGATACTTTGCAGATCGATGTAGATCAGCCTCAGGATGAGGATAATAACAATACGGCTGAGGAGGAAGAGAAGGAGTTTGACTACAGTGGCGATCTTGAGGCCCTCCTCACGACCGAGATTCAGGATGCTTACCTTCGTGTCGAACGCCCTGATCCTGTCAACTACCAGACCTTCTTCTTAACAGGCGCCACTGGATTCTTGGGAGCTTTCATCCTCAGGAACTTGCTAACTCAACATCCAACTTCTCGAGTGATATGCTTGGTTCGTGCTTCGACCTCTGAAAAAGCCATGGACCGTGTCCGATCGTGTGGATTGGCACATTTGATCTGGGATGAGGCCTGGGTGGAATCAGGTCGTCTCTCTGTGGTAATGGGTGACTTGAGTCAGGATCAATTTGGACTGTCAAACGAGGACTGGGACAAGTGCTGTCGTCAGGTGGATGTAATTGTGCACAACGGGGCACTCGTTCATTGGGTCTACCCTTATCCCAAGCTTCGTGCCGCCAATGTCTTGGGAACTTTGCAAGGCCTTAAGATGGCGTCGACTCATCACACTAAATCCTTCCACTTTGTTTCCTCGACTTCTGTCCTTGATACAGCCCACTATACTGAACTCTCAGACGTCCGCGCGGATAGTGATCGCCGTGGCGTTTATGAATCTGATGATCTCGAAGGTGCTCGCTACGGTCTCCGTAGCGGTTATGGTCAGTCCAAGTGGGTAGCAGAGAAGCTGATCATGGCCGCGAATGCGAAGGGTCTTCCAGTGACAATTATTCGCCCTGGTTACGTCCTGGGCCACACTCGAACTGGCGTCACGAACACAGATGACTTTATATGGCGTCTGATCAAGGGCTGTATTGAGCTCGGCCAGGTGCCTAACATCAATAACGCTGTGAACCTCTGTCCTGTCGACTATGTGGCTCAGTGTGTGACCTCAGTCGCTACCACTGCTGGCTCAGAACAAGAGATGGTCTACCATGTCACTCACCCGATTGCTCCACCTTTCCGCTTCAACGATTTCTTCCAGCTCCTTATCAAGTTTGGTTACGATGTTCAGATGACAGAGTATATTGCCTGGCGCACAGCTTTAATGGAGTACACTCTCAAGAGTCAAGACAGTGCCCTTTATCCTCTATTACACTTGGTTATGGATGATTTGCCAACATCCACAAAGTCGCCTGAGTTGGATGACTCTCATACTCAGAAGATAGTGATCCAAAATAGCGCCAACAATGGTAGTGAATTCAGTACAACGCCCAGAATGGATACTGAGCAAATTGGAATCTACCTGGCATACATGATTAAGGTCGGCTTTTTGGATAGACCCACACGCTCAGGTGATGAGACCTTAGCTCTGCCTGAGATCAAGGAGGATGTCCGTATTATTGAACGTAGCCGCGCTTAAAAAAAGAAAATGGATAGAAAGACAACATCAACATAATACTGTACAACAATTTTCATAATATCAGAATATGCATATTATTGTGATAATTGGTGATACCATTTTTCTTTATTATTGTCATTGCTGTGGGATGAGGAAGAGAGATCGTCAATAAACAGAAAAAAAAACTTTTTTTGTTCTTAAAATTGGTTATTTTTTAACATTTTTTTTGGAACATTTCTTTGTAAATAATACAGAAAGAGTAAAAAAAAAAAAAAAAAAGCATTTTTTTCAGTCAGCCATTTCGGACAGCTCCATGTCACGCGCCAATGTCTGCGGGCCATAATGAGGTCCTGCTCCTAGACTGATTCGACTTGCTCGACCACTATTGACTTTGGATGGCGTGTTTGGCAAGCTACGGCTACTACTTGCACCAATTAGAGGAGTACCCTTTCCGAACCCAAAAGGGCTCTGTGTACCATGATGGTTTAAACCAAAGTATCCAGGTGACATTGTGGGCGAAAACTGGCTCACAGCTAGACCATTTAGGCCAGGGCTTTGATTGTTGTTGATATCGCGCTCCAAAAGCTCTTTCTTACGAGTGCTAACAGAAGAGCCATGTGACAAGCGAACGCCAGCGGAGCGTCGTCGACGATGATTAGGTTTTTGTAGAATCGTGCCACTCGATGTCATTCCGATAGGGCCTGCCATAGGGGACATGGACGATTGATGATAAGACTGAGACATGGGGTTGTTTGCAACTGTACTTCCACCCATCTCAACGCTTTCATATCCAAACAACACTCCATGTTGAGAAACAGGCCTTGATAGGGAGGGCTGCTGTCGGTTCAAAGTATATGTGGACGATGGAGGTCGAGCCAAGCCTGACGACATCAATATTGCAGCCGTGGTATCAGATCGTCGTCGATGAGAAGGCATCAATGAGCGCTGTTGAGTCGATGCCTGTTGCAGTTGCTGCTGTGGGACGGGCGTAGGAATGTTAAAAAGTTTTCGTAAACCCGCGGAGCGACGTTCCATGACAGGACGGTTTTCACTGCTGTTATTAGCGACGGCCATAATACTGGTCTCCAAGCGGCGATGAAGCCCACTAATGCTACCGCTATGGCTTCCATGACTACTTCGAGTGCCACTTCCACTCACACTCCTCTTGTCACTACGGCGTAAAACCTGCTGCTGCTGCGACTTGGGGCGAGCCTCCTGTAAACCAGATGATAAGATGCCACGAGCATCTCCGGCTGCAGATGCAAGCATTCTAGGTGATTGAAGTTTCCTTTGAGATATTTCATTGACTTCATCTCTCCATGTCCTGACGGCATATTGCTTGTCGGGCGAACCATCGTAATATATATCTGCATCATCACACTCAAGATTGTCTTCGTTTCCGTTCTGTTCCTGGCCCTGCTGATCATAAGGAGCAATGTTAAACACTACGGGTTTGTCTGCAAAGCTGGGTTTCTTGTTCAAGCGTTTAAGTGGCCTGTCTGTGGTATATTGTTGCTGTTGTTGTTGTTGCTGAGAAAGCGCAGCGTTTGAGCTCAATCTGTTAGAATCTCCAGAACGTGAGGGATTTAATGACTGCTTTGAAGGTTGGATGGGCCCTTTTGGAGATGGCGAGACCACCTGATATCCTGGTCGAGATTGCAAACGGCGAGGTTGTTGATGAGCTGCCGAGCCTGAGAGTCGACGGGGAAGAGAGCGGTGTTGATGCTGACTATTCAGACTTCCGCTCTCCACACTACTGCCTGGCCTCTTGCTATGATCTGTGATGTCTTCAGGGTCTCGTTCATCACGATCATAATCGTCGTCACCATTATCAACGCCATCACCATTTAATTGTTCCAGTTGCATATGGCTTCGGAGCCAATCCACATCTTGTTGTTGCTGGTTGTCGATGAGTTCGTCTTGTGGGTAGTACTCTAAATACTCCTCTTCAAATTCAAACTCCTCATCTTCATCCTCTCGACGATTATTGGTCAGATAGTCTCGTCCATAACTATTCAACATGTCACTCAGCACAACCGGGACACGCGCTCGCTCCTTTTCCTGAACAGCCCCACCATCGAACCACTCCAAGCGTTTGCAGGACTTGAGAATGGCTGATCGATAAACAGACCGCTTGATATACATAGCATCCGGAAGCGCTCGTCGGAAACCAACATCACGTCGTCGCCAATCTAGTTCTGTCTCCGAATTTTGGTTTGTCCTGTACGTGTCCTGGTACTTGGATCCTTGTCGGATCGACATGGCTGGGTACATGTTAGATGTCAGAGGATTGTGTCTCAGGTCGAGCGTGACCAAAGAGCGCATCCGTTTGAGAAGCGACAGGACATCACTGAAGCTCTTTAGGTTATTACCCACAAAAATCAACCGCCTCAGACGGTGCAATCCATCCAATGCAGAAATTGAATCCAATCCATTATAGCTCAGGTTCAAACCACGCAAATTAGGAAACAAACTTGCAAAGTCCAAGGGCAACTCCGAAAGACATCCCGCACAGATCTCAAGATATTCGAGACGATAGAAGCCAATCTCAAAGTCTAGGGCATAGACAGGGTTGCCTGAAAGGTATAGCTTGCGACTGTTTGCAAATTCAGTCATGTCGATTGCAATACCCTCACCCTCTTGATCTCGAGCTGAAAAGTTTTCTAAACGGGTCAACTTTTGACAATTCTCCAAATACTGCAATCGGTTGTCATCTAGGTATAAAGTACGCAGACCTGGGAATGGCATGGCATCGAACCTGACTAGCTTGTTTTCAGACAGACGCAAGATTCGTAGGCGACGCAACGGTTGCAGCAGACTGATATCCTCGATGGAGTTGTGAGCTGTCATTATAAATAATAATATTCAATTAAGTACTTTTTTCTACACGTTGATCATAGAACTATATTTATATAATGTATCAAAAAAAAAAAAAAAAAAAAAAAAATATGAACATACCGAGGTTAGCATGAATAAGCCCTGCCAAAGACTCTAAGTTCTCTAGTTGCTCAATTCTATTATGCGAAGCATTTAAATACTCCAAACGTTGCCTGGCAAATAGAATAATAAAGGGCATTAGAAGGTTGGACACTTGCAATAAATAAAAAGTCAACTTGTAAGCATATCAGCATAAAATGATAGAGTCTATCGCACTTACAATTTGCTCCATCGAAAGTCAAGGCTTGTCAAGCAATTGTGGGATACGTCCAGTCGTATCAGACCATCCATCTGCTGCAAAGCGGATAGATTACGGATGCTGTTGCCTTCAGCAATCAGTTCCCTCAGGTGTATCAGACCCGACAACCCTGTCAAGTCTTCAATAGCATTACGAGAGATATCCAGGTACTGCAGATTACTCAGATGTCCGAAATTGGTCAGATTATCTAATAGATTGGATCGCACTTGTAGAGTCTTGACGGTTTTTGGGATTCCTGTCAGATGTAAGACCTGATTATCATTTAGGATCAATACCTCCAGATTGGGAACTAGATGATTGAGTGTGATCGTACTTTCCACCTCTCGCTTCGTCAAGTCTAAGGACTTCACCTGGTCCCATTCATCCCAAGGGTGAAGACCGGTCAGGAAGCGGATCAAATGACCCTGCGCATGACTGAACGAAGACTGCTCAGGCAACATGTTTGACGCGTTGTGCGAGATACTCGTATTAGCTCCGAGGCGTGATGTGTCAGCATTTGAAACTGCGTCGAGTTGATTTTCCCATTTGAGCGAGTTTCCACCCCTTTGTTTTGGCTTGGAAGGCAGAGAGACCGCTGACAAGTGGTCATCCATGTTTTCGTCATTTACATGCATGCGCTCATTCAAACCGAGACCAATCAAGAGAGCCGTATCCTCACCCTTGTCAACACTCTTTAAATCAATCGACACATCTAATAATCAAAACATGAGTACAGGGACGATTAGTTCTAAAAAAAAAAAAAAAAAAAAAAAATCCTCGCACGATAGTCATCCTGCCGTATTGATTGATCTCTTTAGCTTACCAAGTTCAGCCAAGCTCTTGAACGCGTTTTCCGTGGCTCGTGATCCAGCCAAGGAGCCTAAGTCATCCAGGTCTTCATCTAAATGATCGTCGTCATCATCTTCTTTATGCGAAGGAGAGGTGCTTTGGAAAGTAACTTCGCGCTTTTGTCGTGAAAGTCGGTTTGCTTCACGATTTGTACTCTTCAGTTGCTCATGAACCCTACTGATGCCAGAATCCGCTGCGAACACTTGATCCGAGTTCTTGCGTTCAGATGGGGGGGTATTTCTGAGCGAGAAATTTGTTGCGGATTGAAGGTCCGTGCCATTAGCAAGAACTTCAACAAAGGAACTTGTTCGCTTGCTTTGATCTTTGCTGACATGCTGTCTTGTCCAAGCGGGGTCTAGCTCAGTCTTTGAACGTCTGTGCGCATCTGAAGTGCTTGTAACATAATCACTAGGGCGTGGTGTCGCATTTCTTTCCTCAGATTGAGACTGAATTGAATCGATCTGTTGAGTAGAGGATGAGAGTGAGTTGGTATTGACGTTATGTGGCAAAATCCTTGATGAGTCCTGCTTGATTGTGCTCTCGGGCTCTTTCAAAAAGAGTTGATCAACGACAGCGGACTTGAGTGCCACAAAAACATTGGCAAGCCCATGCTTGTTCATGCCTTCCAACTGAGCCTGGAATCCTGCAGAGCCTAAAGTTGATCCTGAAAGACTATCTCTGTAGGCACTGTCACGAGACGTTGTACTGCCACGGTCGCCAGTCTCATTATCTCTCGAACTCTGTGTCTAAAAATGACTTTTGTCAGCAAATCTTCATGTCGCGCTCATACAAAAAAAAAAAAAAAAAAAAAAAAAAAAAATCAAATTACATACTTGTGACCTGTGACGGGAACCAGATGACAAGCGCGACGACCTGGAAGTAATGGGTATATTGGTATATCTGCGGGTAGGAAGGACAACAGCCCTGCTTCGTAAAGATCCATTCCTTGCAGCCATCTCATTTGCTCCAGCTGAAGGAATATTGCTCCGGTCATCACTCGGATCCAGTTTCATGGCTGTTTTGACAACTCTTAGCCGCTGTTGCCTGAACGCCTCTTGATTCTTTTGGTAAACATTACTGTTAGTAGATGAGTCCGTCGCTGGGTCACAAACCTCACCAACGGTGATCTTTATAGAATCTTTGGCAGGTGATAGCTCTGCAAGACGTTGCCTGGCCTGTTGGAATTTAGATGAACGAGTGGGATCGAATGACTCTTCACCCTTGTTGACCAGATCAATGATGTCGCCCAGACTCACAGACGAATTTGTGTCTGCTTCACTAGCATGTCCATTCATATGGTGGTTCACGTGCTTCATCGTCTGCGGTTGAGGAGCCACTTTTGGTACATTTTGGCCCCTCGACTGCTCCATCAATACGTGTTCGTCTACTAAGTTGGTAAAAATCGTGTCATGTTTGGAGTCTCTCCAAGGATATTTGTTTTTATCATCCCTATGAGACATTGGAGGGCTCTTTCGGATATGAGTGCTAAGAAATGAGCCGCTACTGTAGTCATCGGATTCTTCATCCACATCATTGCTACCATTCACTGTTCCTTCTAATGTGTGTCGCAATTGGACCTGAGAGAAACCATTGCTGCCCATGTGATCATAACCATGGGATAAGTCTACTTTGGTTTTACGTTGCCCAGTGCTGTTAGAATGTAAGTTATTGGTTGTGTTGGTGTTTAAATGCTCATTATTATTTTTGTTATCATTTTGGTCATTAAGTCGGGAATTGGGGGTTGGCGTCGGCGTAGCAGTACTGAGGTTGTTTTGTTGAGGGCTGAATGGATGTCTCTGATCATCATCGAGATCATCCAGACCCCAGCTACCATCCATGTCATCTGGGGGGGTTTCGTCCGAGAGCAGTTTCATGGGACCGATATTCATGTGTTTATCAGATAGATGGGACTGCCTTCTTTCCAAGCGAGCCAACCTTTCTTTGTCATCAGTCTCGTCCTCAACGTTTATCCATGTGTCCTTGATCTCCTGTGATGCCCAAGTAGGCTCGTGCTTCCTATCGCTCACAAGCGCTGCAGCTATTGTTGAAAAATTAAGAGGATAATGCGGGTTGTAAACAAAAAAAGGGGAGAAGTGTGTCAATATTTGATGAACCTCTCCTTTTTCATGTTAAAAAATCGGACAAGACGCAAGAGTGACAGTAGCAAGCATAATATGGAAAATCAGACAAACAACATCACATCTAGTGAAACGAAAACAACGATAACTAGAAACTGTGGAAGAAAAAAAAAAAACTTGATGACCACATGAACCCAAACTGACCTTCCTCTTGCTGATTATATCGATCTTTTTTGCTCAAGAAATGCAACTGCTCTCCCAGCTGATGCTGTTGACGCTGCATTTTAAAGAGCTCCTGTTGTTGCCGTCGAAGGACCTGCAATTGCTGATTCCTCTGCTGCTTTGTGGACATGGTTGATGACAAGTTTGCAGAAGAAAGAGTTGATAAAGATGGCGATAGGCGTCTCTCTGGAGCCATCACTGGGTGGATGACAGTGGAAGAGGATGAAGAGGTTGCTTCAGGTGCTGCGGCTCGCAACATACTGTGTAGCCTGTATAGCGTTAGTGTTCACACACACACTCAGGATGAGCAGTGATCGTGCGTACGTCCACCGTGCCTAAATGACAGGATATACCGGAAATGTTGGATGCAACTGGCAAATTGATGTATTGAAATCACGGATCTATTGGAGAGGTAGAAGAGACAGAGAATCGATGGAAAAGTAGGATCAGAGAAAAGCAAAAACAAAATAAGGTCAGTATAAAACAATGTGATGACAAAGAAAGATTGGATTTTTTTTTTTTTTTTTTTTTTTGGAGAGGGGGATATGCTGTGTTTTAATATTAAGTCATCTTGTTGTGTACACACATGATGTGGTAGTATAACAGGCAAAGAAAAAGAAGTCGACTGTGGTGGCAAAGCGCAAGTGGTTTGATGCATAATCATCAAATTGTAAGTCGTCATAGACGCATAAAGATTAACGACAACGGAATAAAGGCAATTACAAAAAAATGAAATAAAAAAAGGGCTGCGCCTGCAGGCGAGGGTTAATCCAATCTTAGGAGGATAGGATAGCTGCAGATGAGAGGAGAAGAGAGAAGGAGAGAGGAAGGAGTGCAGTAATAAAGATATTCTTTAATAATAATAGCAACCAGGTTGTGGTTAGAACACAAAACTAAAATCAGGACGACAAACGGATGAGCAAATGGGACGAATGAAAGGTGATCGGACGCTGATGGAACGAGAAGTGGGAAAAACAGTTGAGCATCAGAACTAATCCTTTATTTTTTCCTTTGGTGAGGAACTGTGATGACAAGAGAGTGCTTTGCTTCTTATTTTGTAATGTGCGCTTATGTTCTCATAAATCGATCAAGCACATGATCTTTTCATGAAGCCAATCAGATTCAATTTAGAATAGACGACAATTTAGAGGATGGAATAGAGGACAATTGAACATGTTGATTACTTGTTGTAAATGATTTTAGGACATCAGTTCCTTGTCGGATGTTATTCCCGATTCCAACTGAGGACACACGTTGGAATGATGTGAGTGACAAGAGGTGGAATTAAAATAAGAGAAAAATAAAAGAGGGGAAGTGAGAGAGTGAGAAAGAGAATGTGTTGGAAGCACAGATAAGAGGGACTGATGTTGGGTGAGAAGTGGAAGGTGGGACAGAGGAGAGAAGGATACCAAAGGTCGGAGATGCTTACAGCAACAAAATCAACGGATGAGTGGGTAATAAATAGAGTAATGGATAATGAACAATGAGATGATGATGATTGTTTAAAATAGAAGCTTATTACTGATTGTTCCTGTCCCTGTTCCTGTTCCTAGCTGTTCCTGAGGTTGCTCCGCTAGTCGGTGGTCTCTCCTGTGCTTTGCCAAGAGGGGCGAATGCGAATTGGCGAAGCAGATTGAGAAAAGAAAGAGGATCGACGACAAAAGAGCAAAGGCAGAGATAGTGGCACTGAACACACAGAGTCGGCGAAGCAAAGAACAAGAGAGGAAAGAAGGTTAATGAAAAGAAAAAAGAAGAATGAGTGAGAGAGAGGAGAGAAAGAGAGACAAGGGTGCAATTAAGAAGAACAAAGGCATATCAGATGTCATACATGAGAGAGGGAATGAGACTAAGTAAAAGGTCAATGTGAAAAGTGGCTCATTATCTTCGTAGATGTGTGTGTTTATTTAAAAAATTGTGAGAGCCTCCCATCACTTACATGTGTATACTTTGAATTGAGTATATTTCAATCTAATGGGCCTCATAGGTCTATTAGCTGAGGTCATTGCTCGGGCCAAGCACATGAATTATTTTTATTCATCGATCTTTTTATTGCTTTGGCGCAATGGTTTTTTATTTGACACATAGTCCACATATTTGTGGATACTTAGATTAAACAATCCCCATTCGTTGATTATGTTTCAAATCCATCTTTGTCCCTGACATCCTTATTTAGTGGGTGCCCTCCCCCTTCATCCTTTCTTTCTTTCTTTCTTTCTTTCTTTCTTTCTTTGACATCCTTCGATATCCCTCCAATATTTTCCTCCTTCTTCTTCATTCATTTAAATTCACTTAAAACAAAACCTCATCAGCTCATCAAGTCCATTCCCTATTTTCAGTTCCAACTTCAATGTTTTCTTGTTTGTTTGCTCTCACTTTCCTGTTACTAGTGCCATTTTTTCCCCTTTGAATCTTACCACAATATCACATCACACGTTACATGAACTTCCAACATGAAGGTTGTACAACAATTGCTGTAACATGATCAAAGGATTCATCTTCATGGAATATGTGGCGAAACTATAATTTGCTTTATTATCAAGGGGCTATGGCAGCGTCTTTTTCCATTATTGTCACCGTAACGCCTCTATTCCTTCGCCATCCATGGCATAGTCACGTTACCTCCAGATAATGTAGTCGGTAAAGATGAAGGCGGTGTGCCTGGAACAAGGGTCTTGGGGTGCACAATCGGACTTTTCTCGTTGAGAGGCGCCTCGAGATGGACTCTTTTCCGATCAGGGCGTATAGATCGCAGTTCTTCAAAGAATTTGGCTCTCCGTCCTTGATGCTTGTACGATGGGGAAAGTGCTGCTGTAGGTCGACGACGATGTAAGCCAAGAGACGGCGACCGTGGCAAGTGCTCATCTAGCCATGTGTCCTCATCATCACTACCGCTGCCTCCTGCCGCCCGGGACCTTTTGCCCGGTGATCCCATCAAATCAGCCTCGAACCATGAACTGCCACGAATTTGAGACGCAAAATTACGGCCCTCTTGAATCTGAACGCGCCTTGATGGTGTTGATGGCACGATAAGACTACTATTCAGAGACTGATTGTACTCAGTACCAAAAACCTGCTGAGATGCATACCGACGAAGTTGAGTTCTTCCTGTCGGAGTCGATGGTGTTCTGGGTCCTTCTGCCATGCTACCTAACCCTTCACCCCCTAGGGGTGTAGTGGGTACGATTGTTTCAATGGGCAGTGATGCTGTGGATCCATACAATCCTGAGAGAGAGGATCCACGGCTTTTGAGTGGTACTCGATTTTGGGCTGCTAACATAGATGGGCTCTTGAGAATATCATCATTGATACTGCTACTGCTAACATTAACACTAGAGCTGTTAGGCATATTTACACTTTTTATGGCACCCCAAGTTGTAGTACCATTGCCAGGAAGATATTTCCCAAGTGCACCCAAGTCATCGTCATCGTTATTGTAGTCTCCTCCCCCTTCCACATTTCTTCCTTTCGTTTCAGATGCAAGGAAAGGGTTTGTTTCAATTGCATCAGCCTTTGAAAGAGGTCGCTGCCTTCGAAATAGCTAAAAAGAATCATATGATTGTCCAAGTTAGGTACCTTCGTATTGAATACTTGCTGCTGCAGATGGTTAAATAGAAGCATTTGCTAGACAATGTAACTACCTTAAGTACTTCCTCACTCTCTTTATCATGGTAAAACTTCTTCAGTTTGAGCCTCGCTATTTTTGGTGGCGCATCTTCATCTTCGACTAGAATACATAAAAATATATAATTAAAATAAATAAATAGCAATCACTAATACTACAAAGCTCATTAGCTTTAATTGACTTACGATCATCCATGGAGCTCATAGTCTTTGCTCGCAATAGTGCAGCAGCTGGCTTTATCGAGGTTGCGTTGGGTTTTGCTGCAGCTGCGGAAGGAGCTGAATTGGTGGATAAGGTTGTAGCAACGCCCTGCACAGACCCTCGTGTCATAACTACCTGACGATTTCTAAAGATTGAACTATTCAGTACATTCTTGGAGGTATTGTCAGACGTTGGTTGTCGACTCATAGGAAAACCATATTTCGGTGTAACAGTGTCAGTTTCAGCCGAAGCACTACTCTTGCTTGTAGAAGGCGCACTACTATCATCTTCTAACACTAATGACGAAAGGTCCAAAGGAGTTGGTTTCTGAAGAATACCCATGGATATTGATCTCTGGATCCCAGTGCGTCTTGCGCTACGAGACGACTTGGGGGAGGTTAACAGACTTTTTTCGACTCCACATTTGACCGAAAGCTTTTGGACGATTTTGGGTAATGACAATTCATAATATCGTGAAATGACCCGGACAAAGAATTTTTTGGCAGAGTCCATGTCTTTACTCCTTGGTGTTTGAGGACTCATTAGCCCAGGAGTGGGCTGATCTTCTAAGCTGGCAGCAATGCAGAGCTCATCCATGAAGAGATTGAGAGCCTTTGATGCGCCTGGATCTTTCTTGAAAGGCCTGTTTTCCTCAAGATCATACTTGTTAATCAAGAGAAGGATATGTAGATTCTGTACAACTTGAATCTGAGTACTAAAGTAAATTATAAAAGATCAGTCAGTGGACTTTCATAAACAAAAAATATCAGCCACCCATATCGATTTTAAAAACGGCTTTCAATAAAACTTACTCTTTAGTTTTCAGTTTCTTCAAACTCAGACGCACGTTTGCGTCCTTAACATTCTTCATAACATGGGCCTTCCACGCGTCCAAATGAGGCCTTTCGTCCTCAAGAATCACATAGTTGTCTTGTGATTTTGAATCAGTAAATTTACCAATGTTAAGCTCCTTTGCAATTTGCCTATATTTTGATCCCATCCTCGACGGCCAAATCCTGAGAAATTCAATGATAAATGCTATCAATTTTTGCTATAAAATAAATAAATAAATAAATAAAAGGCGTCAGCAGGATGAGAGGTCCAGCAGCTAAAAATAATCCTTTGGGTTTTTTATGATCTATTACATACCTGTGCCTCCTTTAACGGAACTAATTGCTTGGCGGCAAGCGCTGTAATCTCTTTACTTGCAGCATTTAATCTTTTAACATAGTCGGTTACAGTCTAATGCGAAAAAAGATAGGTATATACTCGTTAACATCACTTCTTATGATCATGATAGGTGGCTTTAAGCAAAAGATACACCACAGCGTTTTAATGCTTTACCCAGTACCTCATCATTATATAAGTATTTGATGTATGTTTTTCGGATTCCCAAGCATAGATCATCAATGGTTTCCACTTGCTCTATCTCAAGAGACGTTTCGTTAATATCTGCAACCATTTCGCCTGGAAGTGGCCTCGATACAGGACACCTATTATTGAAAAACGATGTCATTCAGCGCCTACACTTATTAATATGCAAAATTGTGAAGACAGCGAAAAAAAAAAAAAAAAAAAAAAAAAAAAAAAAACCTTGGTTCTATGGCACCCTCTTGAGCTATTGGTTGCAATTTGAAACACTTCATAATACAAGAAGGCATACTATCCAGTTGATACGCTGATCCTGACTTGACTCGCTTCTCTTCTACTCCGATAAAAGCTCCAAGGTTGCTCCACGATTTCTCCAGCATGGCCATGCTAAAAGGTTGGCCTCGTTTCCTTTGGCCTTGTGCAGTTGGTTGGAGCTCAGTTAAAAAGCCATTATCGCCCTGTAGAACCTCCACGAGGCCACTTCCTGGTACAGTCGCATGCAATAAAGCAAAGAAGGTGTATTTATGAGATTCATTATTATTTCCATCCGTATCCGATCTATCTTGCCCTGATACTTCACCGTTGCTCCCTGATCCTTCTTGAGTCAAAGATTGAAAAGTAATTCGAAGAAGAAGTACGTCATTCTTGGCCCGTAGCGACTTGAGCAGGTAGGATCCATGTTCGCAGGGGCCACTATTGCTATTTCCGGGAAAGCATATCATTGTACTTGCAATCTTGATTGAATGCAGTTTGCTGTTTAATACCCGACTTGCGAATCGTTTGACAACATGTAAAGACTTTATTGGACCAGTCATGGGTGTGGATCCACTGTCCATAGTGCTAGTGGGTAGCGGTGAAGCAATATCGAGCACGCAGACGACTAAAAATAAGCGAGTGTAAATGAGACCTCAGGTTAAGAACTACAGAATCTTCGGGTGTGACATGATGCCTACAAAAATTTAGCGTTCAAAAAGAAAAAAGAAAAAAGAAAAAAGAAAAAAAAAATTACATTGAGACGACTCAGAACAAAGTAGATCACCAGACCACACTATATTAACAGGATGGACACTCTTTAGAGGCACAATATCGGAAGCTGAAGGAAGAGCTTGCCAATTATCCTTTGACATCTTGACACCCAGGCCAGGATGGATGTGAAGCGACCGAAAAGCTTGGAATATTGTAGCAAAAGAGTAAATATCTCGGCCAAGAAGAGACTGACAGAGAATATGTTGTGGAATAATGTGTCCACCAAAGGCTGTCATGATTAGCTCCAGAGTCGATCGAATAAGTGCTACTGCTGATAACTTTGTACTGGCCTAAGTAGATGTAATAGAGTATATGAGTCAACTACAATCTCACTTGATGTTTTGCTGCACAATCAAGACACTTAATTTACCTTTGTAAGATCCTCAGAATGACCCTTATTACTGGTGTCAATCCAGCTCAGACTAGTGTGCTGATCCAAGAACCGATCCCAAAGGCCCTGTTCAAAAAACGCTTCCTTCACTCCGTTGAGTACATCCAGAATGTCACTCCGTCGTGGGCCTATCGTACTAAAATCCTTTTGCGGCTGACGCTTGCCTTCCAAGAAAAACACTATATCTGTCCAACTCTGTGGTAGGGGTGAAAGAACGTAGATGTAGTTTCGGATATTGATAGGTGGGAAATGTTTTTGTACCGATTGAGAGCGCAGAAAAGTAGCTGTAGGTTTCATTGGGGACTGATAGGACGCAATATCGAGCCCAAAATCCGCCAATGAATGGACAAGTTGTCGACGCAAATTATAGCATGGTGATACACTTCTATCACTTCCTGGCCCAGATCCAGTTCCAAATCCCCCTTTTCCTGACGAACTAGCTACTAATAATTCAGATGCAATTATTCTACGAAATTCCTCGACGCAGTTATCGACACTATTCATGCTCAAGCTTTGGAGCATCCTATTTGAAGTTAAGCCAATATCCTGGTGCAAGCGAGAGTTGAAGAACTGGAAAGTCCATTGGAAGTTAGCATCCATATTGCACTGAAAGTAGAGGAGGATCCTGATAAGTGAGCGTCTTAGAAACATGACTGCCCGCTTGGTCTGAAGTTCGTCAATACTTGGTGGCATATGAGTGTCGATGATGAGCACAACATTAAGTGGTGCTTTCACATGAGAAGTGACATGTGAGCGTGATGCCAAAGAGAGCATTATGGACGCTGAATTGCGAATGTAAACCCACAATTCGTTCCGTTCGTCCTTAGTCGACCAGTCCTTTGGATGTTTGAAGAATGTGTCACCAACCCTTTTCGTTTTGGTGGCAACGTTTCAAAATACCCAAAGGAAGGGATCACAGCCACTGATTCCCCCCTTAACCCCGTCCATCAACAACAATGAATGTCAAAAGCAAGTGGAGGTTTGATCATCACTTCCTTCTTCCTTCCGCTATTGAATCAAACCTCGAAAAAGAAAAAAATAAAAAAAGATCACCACATCTTGCCATCAATCCACAAATGGATCAGATTAAGTCGCGTTCGAATGGATTATCCGACCCGTATAAGCAACCGCCAATGCTAAGGTTTCGCTCCTTCCATGATCGACACTTTTCAGATGCTCAGCGACAAACTTTTTTCGCGGGTATTGCCAGTGCACCCATGGCCTGGTCTAGTCAGAACTCGTACAATGGATACGAATATAAATATGGGGCAGTTCCTACAGCATATGACACTATGACTGACTTCTCGTCCTATCAAGAGCTCATTCATGAGCACGAGAACGTTGAGAAAGAAGAAAAAGAGTCCTTTGACTCACTTGATGAAGAACAGGTTCAGAATACAAGTCTTGATGCTAAGTCAGATAACAATGACTTTCAAGCATCTCCATTAAGCAAGGAAGCAATTGAGATCTTTGAGTTTTCGCGACGGTTTCGGCAAGAAAAGGCCGCAGCCGCTCTGTTAGAGCAAGAGCGACTGAAAAAACGTAGAAAAAAACGAAGAAAACTCACCAAGCTTGGATTTGCAATTGATGAGGGTGACAGTGGGGCGGAATCAGATATCAACATTAACAATACAAGTGATCATGGCCCAGCCGAATTAGAGCAGCAAGGTGGCGGTAATTCCAAAGAAGTCGATGATTCTGATGATGACAGCGATAGCAACGACTCTGATGATGGGCACGATAGTGTCTATGAGGAGCCATCGCCTATGGATAATTCTTTTATAAACTCGAAAAGCCATCGGACTGAAAAGCTCCGTGAACGTCTTTATGGACAATGTCCGGAAATATGGACAATTGAAATGCTTGAGCGATTGGTCAATCGGTCGTACATAGATAGTCTTGGGCCACAGATATCCCCCATTGCTACTGGTACATCAAGAGAGATCAAGAGACAGCGATCAAAGAGCGACAACAGTCAACCAATAGATCGACAGAAACAAGTTGTTTACTGGCCTAGCATGCCTTTGCGATGCTGATTGTAAGTAAGAAACAAAGCTATGCCTTTTTTTTTTATTTTTATTTCTCTGTGGTAATATATACTAGCAAGAAAATGGAATCCTCCAAACAAATTCTTCACAATGATGATCCTTCATCATCCTTGTTCTTGACTAAGAGTACTGTTGTGCCTTGGAAGGAAGATAAAGCGTTGATATGGCCAAAAATATCACTTGCTGAGTGAGGATTTGTTGGAATTCTGCTTCCGAATATGCAAATATTTTTAATATTTTGTTAGTTGTATTTTGTATTAATCAACTGTTTCCTTTCTTTTTTTATGGTTAACTGACAGCCGAAATATTTCGATATGCCAATGTTGGAATTGATTGTAAAACAAAAGAAGGATACAACAGACGAAACATTTTTGCATCTCTGAACTTCATTCTATGGGGCTGATTAGTAGGACCTACCAGAATGGACCTGCACAAGGTGGTTCTGCGTGTAAAATCCAAAATAGGGTAATTTCCAGAAAGATTAGTGGCACAAATTATTTAGTCATATATTTTATTCGGGTGAAATCGTTGTTTCCTTCCCAAACATTTCCTTGCTTTCATTCGAAACATTACACCTCTCATTCTTACCGTTAAACAACCATAATGAGCGCTGAAAGCGCAAAACCGCCACCTCTTTTGGATCCATTTGGAAATGAAGTGTGTTTGCTCTTTTTCAAGCATGGCAAATGTCGTTATAAGAAAAAGTGCAAAATGAGCCACATTCTTCCAGATAAGAGTAAGCCTTATGTGAAAGATACATATCTTTCCTCTTTCTTTATTTCAAGCCTATGGAGCAATCCCTTTTTGTGTATAGAAACATAATAAATCTAACAATAAAAAATAAAAATAAAAATGAAATCTCCTTCTGGCTTCTCTATTTTTTAGATGCTTCCTTTATGACAAAGATGGAGAACATTATGGTTGATCAACCCGCTGTAGTGACTGAACCAAAGATAGCATTTTCGATCCAGAAATCAGTCCCCTATGGAAGATCGATAGGGCCAAAGTCAATCTCCACAAAATCTCCTACTCAAGGAGTGAGACGAGTATCCACTCAGGGATACCAAACGACGACTAATATGCAGCCACAGTTCGTCACTAATGTTGACATTAACAAGGAGTCGCAAGATATAAGCATGGCAGCTACAACTATCGGAACTACCGATACTGTAGGTACAACCGCTACTACTACTACTACTACTACTACTACTACTACTACTACTACGACTGATATCCATAAAACATTAGGAAGTGATCAAACATCATTATCCATTCAACAACAAGGAAAGCAAACAAAAAAATCAAAACCGAGACGGTCAGTCAAACCTACGTCGAAATGTTTACTTGAATCACTCTTCAGGACCGCCATATCTTTTGCAGAAACCAATAAAGATCGGTATTCAGAAAATCCATTTGTAATTGGGCCACGACCGCAGACCACGAGGCACCTTCAATCATCACTATCTCGAGAAGAGAAAACTAAGGCTAAATCAGCATCTAAGAAAGCAAGAGCAAAAGCAAAATCTGGATCTGGATCCAAATCCATAGCAACTGTCCGTCCGACAACATCACCGTCATCACTGTCTTTAGTAGAGCCATACTCTACAAACGAATCTGAGGTCCTTGATGAAAAAGTTGAACAATGGTACATCACCAATAAGGCACATATGGAACTTCATCAGGGAAATAACAGTAATTCATCATCGTCGCCATCATTATCATCCAGGCGACGGCTGATGGTCCTTACAAAGCCTACGACAGCGCGACAGAAAAGTCAACTCAAAGCGATGCGTAAACATCATTGGGAATGTCAAGTAGAAATTGAGCACAATCTGAAAAGAAATATCCCTACAGCATTCTCTCTCAGGATAGTCCGTTCGCGGATTGATTGGGAGAAGATTGCGCCATATATTACACTTATGATTCAGGCGGTAGGCATTTTTATCAAAGAGAGAAGCATTACGATATCTAGAAATTGGAGAAGTATAAATCCTCTTGCAGATCTGATCTTCACTATGATTCACTATACATTTCTTTTTTCTTTTTTTTAAAAATTTAAAAAAAAAAAAAAAAAAAAAACTTAGGCATTTGATATGGATATCGAGCACATCCATTTACCGATTATTGGAACAACTCTGTGCACATTATTGGAACATCGAGAACTCAGTGGGCTGGCCTGTGAAGAACTTCTTGTTTCATGGGGACTAACGGAGATCAACGCTCGAAGATTTACAAGCCACCTCTGGGAGGTTTTAGTTGCAGCCGCCGGAGAAGCGACCGTACGTGAGGGCGGAAAAGGAGTGGGTTTCCGGGTACGTCAATTAGAACAGAAAGAAGATTTTATAAAAATAAGTTCTAAACTCCAGGTATTGAATAAAGCACCCACGTAAGAAATAAAACTTGTATATGTATACTAAGCAATAAGTGCTATAAATTACATGTTGATATTTATCAACTTCTGTCAAGATAGCGATCAGGCATTTGGATTACATAATGTTTCTTTAATTACTTATTATATTATTCAAATATATTTTAGAAAACTATTGTACAATGTGTATCTACTATAAATTGGTTATAGACAAAAGAAGAGCTGAGTAGAAGGTTAAGAGAGTAGAGAAGAAGCGTATTGAAGTAAAAGACAGGATAGGCGTTTTTTTAACGAGCAAGCAATGGTTTGTCCAAACCCAGAGCCTGCGTAAAGCTTGATCGGCGACGTTCACGTTGCTCGATAGGGGGAGGGATGGGTAGGCCATCAGCATTATGAGTAATTCCCTTCTTAAGCTGCTCCTCTCTTAGTTTGTCTACAAACAAGGCCTGGGCACGGACGACATCTGCATAGTCGCCCTTAATCTCGGATGATCTGCGTCGAGAATACTTGAATTCATCGCGCTGATCATTATCGTCGAAGCTGCTACGTGAGGATGTGGGGGAACGAGCTTGAGAAGCTGAACGGGAGCGAAGACGCTCTGCAAATGCACGTAGTGAGGAGCGACGACTCTTGGCTGAATCGGATGTTAAGGACTTGGTCAGAGGAATAACCGATGATGTACGGCGGCCACGAGTGTCCTCGTCATGTGAGAGCTGAATGGAAGGCGTCATAGTGTTGTTAACAGTCTGGTTCATACTATTTTGATTGAAGGGGCGTTCTTGGTTGACTTTGGGAAAGCTTGTTTTTTTTTTTTAGAGTGGTCTTGGTATAATGATAAAAAAGAAAAAAGAAAAAAGAAAGAAAACAGGAAGTATTTATACTTTTTTATTTCGACCGCCCCGATTCCCGAAAGTCCAAAAAGGTACTGGTCATCTTATTCAAAAGCCAACCAAATATTCTAAAAATAAGTTAAGCATCGACCGCAGCAAACAATTTTTGACAGCCAAGTGAACACTCCGGAATAAGCTAGAAAAAAAAAGATTTCAAATTGCCTGCTTTGTAAGGAAATCGAAACTTAAAACAGTCAACTGACATCTGACATCATCTGAACTTTCTAGCCAATCTCCGTTCGGAGACCAAAATTGACTATTTGACCAAATAGGGAAAAAAGAAAATACGGGAAACTGGCTGTGTTAGGCTGTTTAGTATCCGAATCTTTCTCCTCGGAAACTATTGTCGTAAAGACTAGTAGGCTGCCGTACAGGTGGAAGGCTGATTTGGCGTAAGTGTTTGTGCGCATATTCATATGATCGATACATGAGCAATACATGTATATACATATCGATGTGCAGATAAAGGGCCTTTAGAATTTGGACACGTTATGCTACTCTTTCAGCTTGCTGCGGCTGGTTGACACGGGCATAAAAAGCTAAACTACAAAGTTAATCCAATCTAGACTAAGAACAAGAGGCTGGTGGCGACTCTTTTTTTTTTTTTTTTTTTTTTTTTTTTTCAAATAAAAACTTATCCTGTCCAAATATGGCTAATATACTCATCGCCACAACTCCTGGCACATCTTTCAACATTTAAACAGGTGATTATAGTATATAATAACAAAAATGCAATTCGATTTATTAGAAAGAAAAAATGACTAGTGCAATAAAAACAATGGCTCAAATGGTATCTTGGGTGTGCAATGTAAGCTGAGCATTATTAATTAGAGAGAAGAAGGAATAAAATAAAAAGCTTTTGCTTTAGAAGGCCAACAAGGGTTTGTCGAATCCCAAAATGTGAGTGATACTTGAGCGTCTGCTGCCGTTGCGTGAGGGAGGAATAGGAATACCATCGGCATTGTGGGTGACACCGTTCTTCTCCTGCTCTGCTCTCAACTTCTCCATGAACTCGCTCTGTGCACGAACAACGTCCGCATAAGGAGAGCTGTCATTATCCAAGGAGTTTCTGCCGGATCGTGAACCGGATTTTGAGGATTTACGAGACGATGTAGACTTGACAGAGAAGGCAGAGGCTTGAGTGGAAGTACGGCTCATGGAGAGGTCATCAGCGCCACGCTGACGGGAGCTGGAACGAGAACGAATACGTTCCGCAAAAGCTGTCAATGAGTTACGATAGCTTTTCTTGGTCTTGGCCTCTGTAGAAATTGAATCAACAACAATTTCTTCTTCAATGAGGGGTGTCACAGAGTGATCACGTCCGCGACGGTCAGGTTCTTCAGCAAAGGCAACAACTGGAACAGGGGAAGTTGCCTGAATCTCAGAGTTGGTGTTGGCAATTGAAGCAGACATAGTTGTGGTTGTTGTTGTTGTAGAAATAGTTGATTGGTTGGTTGGTTAGTTGGTTGGCTGTTTTAGCTATAAAGCTGTTGTGGAAGTTGTTTCTTGATTGAGTATGTGATGATGAAAGGAAAAAGAAAAAAAAAAAAAAAAAAAAAAAAAAGGGATAGAGTAGTCATGGTTTTATACTTTTTTTTTTTTTTTCCTCCAATATGAGTTTCTGGATAGCTCTCCACAACTTGAATGTATAAAATGGGTTTGTTTCTTGTGATGGTCGCATGATGCATATGTGCATTGCTACCCGAAACTCAGCTCATAGCTCAGCTCAGCCAAGGAATATATTGGAAAAATAGAGCCCTTTTTAGACCCTATTTGGTCCCTACTTGCCCCATTGTGCTATTGCCCGTGCCTGTCAAACAATACCGAAATACGGACCGAGAACTGAGTTTGAAATGGGTATTGGGACGTGCTTATTGAAAGTCTAAATAGCTTTAACATGGGTTACCTATTTGAGTCGACTGCCTTTCGGATGGGGTTCTGGCCTGACACAACAAAAAAAAAAATTTGAGCTTCCCGATTCAGACCCATGACTAATATACCGTACACCATCATAAGAACAAAGACCATCTTCACCCCCTAAAATCAAAAACCTTCGGAACTCAAAGACCCGCCACTCATAAACGGTCTTGATATATTTAGTTCATCGTTACCCACTATATATAATCGTTGTCAAAGACCAAAATCTGTTGTTTATTAGCATGTTAGAGATCGTCCTCCAATATCTGACCTTTTTACGCGAGCGTCATGGATACCCCTACCCACATGATATTCTTGCTCCTACCCTTCTAGAAGGCACTTAACGGAATACATGAATATTGTTCGGCATGCTCTGTTCAGTAGTATATATATTGGTGCTCTTTTTTTTTCTTTTTATTTTTGACATGCGGAGTATTTTGAAAAGACTCTTTGGCTTGCAGCAAAACTGCGGCAAGCCATTCCTGTTGTTACACATTGATTTTCCTTTTTTCTACTTGCAATAAAACGTTTTTCACCTATTGGTCCATTCTCTATCCGAAAAGATCTACAAAAAAAACACTTGTCACTAAAAGTGGACTAAGAATGGGCCATTCAACCATGTTTATAACGAAGGAGGGGCGTCTGGACAGCTTGTGCCAAATCCATCAAACTCAACCTGATGGACATTGTTGTCTATTGGTGCATTGTATCGTGTTTCATTTTTTCTTTTTCCCAAGTTCTTGTTATTATTATATTGTGATTATTCTGTTATCCTTGGTCTAGTCCTGTGTCTCATGAAAAAAGAAGTGTAGTTCCTTAACAAACGTCGATGAGGATTCAAAGTGTAACAAGCACATGTTCTGGCAGTATAACAGCGTGAAAAGAACAAGATCAAAACAAAAAATCATGTTCTGTGGTACCAATGTTCATGTATGCAATGTATAAATGTATGCAAACAACATCCAACGCCAAAGTATGTTAATTGAAAAAGGGTCTAAAAACTATTGAGATTTTTGTTTATCGAGTTATGGAGATACATTGAAATTAGTCATCGTGAGCAGCAAAGCCTTTCAATTCTTTTTTGTCCATTATATCCGTAGAATGAAGCGACGGAGAATGCAGAATGGTAGAAAGAATATGTCTGCTTTGTCCACGTTTTTCAGCTTTCTTCTTTTTTTTTTTTTTTTTTTCGGCGACTCAATTCAGAAAGTTGTGTTACTGAGTGTAAAAAAATTGGAAAGGTCATAGCACAATAGGCAATGCCCAAGTATTTCTTCACACTCTCCCTTTCCCCCCTTTTTTTTTTTTTTTTTTTTTTTTTTTTTTTTGGAAAAGAGATACTGCCCCAAGAGAACTTTACTGTCATGAAGACATTCATGCATGACAAAAAAAAAAAAAAAAAAAAGAAGCTTTACCGGGGGAAGTGTTAGAACCATGACCATGTCAACTTTGTTTCTTTCGTACCTAGTCAGTTAACCAACTGAAAAGAGAGAAAAAAGAAAAAAAATACATGGTCTTGAAGTGCTCGAGTGTGCAATACTATCTACTAATGATTCATATTAGATGAAGAAGCCCAGATGATGCCTTTGTTCTCCTTGCTCGATGTATTGTGTGGAATGTTGTGGATTCTATAGAAGATCACATGCAAACTAAAACACATTCAGTCCAAGAGCAGCTTCAGTGAACGAGATGTTCTCGTTTTTTCTTTCTGCTTTGCCCATGGGCTCATGCCATACTCATCAACTCCTTATATCTTACTGGTTCATATCAAGGATGCATGCATGTTTAGATGCATGTCTGAAAAAAAAAAAAAAAAAAAAAGAAACGCGTGTATGTACCAACTATTTTTTTTTTGTCCACCTCGTGTCTGTTCATACAACAATCTATGACATGAGCATGCAATCAAAATATACGATTTTTTATTCTGATAGATTGTCATAGTGGCGTGAACCACACCAGCTTTCTTTATTACGTGAGTATGAATAACTAAACAGCAAAGAAAAGTAAGGGGAACAGAGAAAAGGAGGGAAGGGATACAGGTAATAAGATACAACGAGTACACAAATGAGGTATAGAGAGAAAATGGGACGCTCGAACCCTGGGCGATCGGATTTCAAGTTTAGAATCAAACCTCAACTTCAATGGAGGTTTATTTTATCGTGACAGTAGGGGTTTGTCCATTCCCAGTAAATGTGTCACGCTGGAGCGACGACGCTCTACAGGTGGAGGAATAGGCAAGCCATCGATATTCTTCTTGATGTTTTTTCGTAATTGTTCTTCTCTCAGCCTCTCCATGTACAAGGCTTGAGCTTTTGCAACATCTGCATAGGCTCCCATGAAATCAGATGAACGACGACCAGAATATTTGAACACAAAATCGTCACCACCGTACGACTTGCGTTTATCTTTTGTAACTTGTTCATCGTCTATGCTTTGGTTTCGAGACCGAGAATGTGAAGAGGTACGGAGGCGTTCTGTCAGGTTCGACCAAGAACTGCGACGGTTATCGGGTCTGGAACTTGATCCTCTCATGGTATCAGTCGTCCATGATTTGAATAGAGGAATACTTCGGAGTATGCGTGGACTTGAGGCTCCCGAGGAGGAGGATTCGTTTTCATCCTCGGCGTGGGCAGGTACTGGATTACGATTACCATCTTCAGAAGTGGATGCAAAGTGAATAGACGAGGGACGAGGCAAAGCTCCTGATGAGGCTGGTCGAGTCATGATGACAGGTATTAATGGCAATGAATGACAAATGAGAGTAAGAGATGTTCTTGTTGTTGGTTGCTGTCTGTCTGTCTGTCTGTCTGCAGCTATATTTTTTGTTGTTTGGAGGAGATGGAAGGAAAGAAAGGGATGAGCTCCACCGATGGTCAACCTTTTTATTCATGTCATCGACCTTTTTTTTTTTTTTTTTTTTTAAAAAAAAATTATTCATTTTAGCGTGTCAGCGCGCGTAAAAAAAGAAAAACAAAGCAAGGGAGAGAGTGTTGCTCGAGCACATCATGGGTGAAGTTGGAAGGAGGATGGACAAGCGAGACAAGGCAAAGGGTCAAGGACCAAGAAGGACATGCATGCATGCATGCACACTGTATTAAGCCTACATTTTGCTGCAAGCTAAAAAAGCTTACATGCATCAACCTTTTTTGGTTGCTTTGCCTTTGTTTATACCCTTACACTCTACCTAAACCAAGATTTTATTTAAAAAAAGTCTTTTCTAGTCGTCTCGGAATTCCGTTGTTCCAGCACGTATGACCAGCGTGTGTTGTGATAGGACCAAAAGACCAATTTCGTTGCTTAGAACGTGTTCGAAACAAATTTATTTCCAATATCCCCTCTCTCTCTCCTTCTAGCCTTGTATTTCCAAACAAACAGAACATTTACACACCCACACACTCTTTCTTTTCGATACCGTATGACTTTAATATGATCCAGTCCAGGGTCCTTGGACTGGACTGGGTGGTGTATGGATCCACCCAAACATGCAACCTGAGCAATAGTTTAAAAAAAGTACATGTACATGCCTTTGTACATAGTATTTATATTTGCATATAGATATATATAAATATTAATATTAATTTTAATATACATATGCCCTTTATATATTCATACGATACAAACATGGACACGTATGTACAAGAATAAATATATATATATATATATAATACATGTTATCGATGGATAGCAACGGTTCTTCAGCTGAAAATAAGAATACATGTATATAATACGCCTTCAGTGACATCGAAAACAAAAAGAAATTCTCCGTCAGGGCAAAACATTGCAAACATTCGTATACAAACAATCATAAAAGTATACATTTACAATCCAACCTTCAACCCTTCGACCCTTTAACACTTCCAGCTCTCGTGACCATCTTGTATATTTTAAAATTCTAAGGAGTTTGGTCTTTCTTTTTTCCTGTCAACTCTATATCCAGATATATTCAGGACATCGCTTCAATCATAGAAAAGAACTACATGTACTTGAACTGTACATGACAAGGCAGGAAAAAAAAAGAGCCCTTCATTCTTTAAACGATATATAACAAGATAGGGTTATGTCAGAAGGAAACAAAAAAAAAGAGAGAGAGACCTTCGTCTTTTTCCCTTTGCTTCTAGCCCTTCTTCCAGCTTTTAGTTGAAGATCATAGCGATCATAGCGTAAAAAATAAAAAATTTCTCTTTTCCAAAAAAACCTTATTTGCTGTGGCGTTCTACGCCACTCGTGTCATGTGTTTGCACAATTGCCCTAGGGGTTTTTTTGAGGTGTGGGAAAGCTTCTTTGTTCTCCAATCTAATATTGACACTTCCTCTCATGAGGCCCTCCATGCAATCCCTGGTAAGCGAATCATCTAGCTCAATGACACAGTCTACTTGCATTTCCATTCGTTCATCTTATATAAGAAGGCTCACTATTTCTCCCTTTATTTCGTCTCCCTTTTTTATTATTATTATTATTATTTTTTATTTTTAAATAAAAGCGTTCTTGGACGCGTCTTATTCGGTAAAGCTTTTTTTTGTTTTATCTTTTTTTTTTTATTTTATTTTTATTTGATACTTTCTCTAAATTTACATCCAACTCCACACATGGTCTGACACAAAAAGCCTCCAATTCGATTCATTTTAGGTTCATTGGCAAGGATGGTAAGGTCTATACTGGAGAACCACAGGGACCATTAACTTGGCCAAAGTTGATTGCAGCCTCTGGTTCCAAACCATCATTGGACAATGTCAATCATGCTGACAATCTGTCAGCCAAAGTCATCAAGGGCGACATCTTCTCATCTGCTTCAGAGGTTTCAGATACGGTCGTTCCTGTAGCGAAGCTGCTTTCACCCCTGGCATATGTACCTATTTTCCGATGTATTGGCCTCAATTATGCAAAACATGCAGAGGAGACCAAACTCCCGATCCCCAAATTCCCCGTGTTGTTTATGAAACCCTCCATGGCCCTTCAGGATCCCTTCAAACCTATAGTTGTTCCCAAAATTGCAGAGAATAATCAGGCTGACTTTGAATGTGAGCTTGCAGTCGTCATTGGAAAGCCTTGCAAGGATGTCAAGGAGAATGAGGCATTGGATTATGTCCTTGGTAAACTAAAAAAGTCACGACAGAAACTAGGGGGAAAAAAAAAAAGGCAAATATTGATGTATTGACCAAAGTAACTTCTTTAATATAGGATACACGGTTGCTAATGACGTTAGTACACGCAAATGGCAAGGTACCAAACTTGGATCTAGCCAATGGTGCTTCAGCAAATCCTTTGACACCTTTGCGCCCCTTGGGCCATCCTTGGTTTGTCCAAGTCTGATCAAGGATCCTAATCAACTTCGTATCAAAACCACATTGAATGGAAAAGTGATGCAGGACTCTAATACCTCGGACATGATCTTCAATGTTCCTTATTTGGTGAGTTTTTTTTTTTTTTTTTTTTTTTTCTTTTAAACTTCAAAAGAATTAGGGTCTGGCGACTATTATTGGCTTAACTATAAGTGAATTAAACATGTCTTACCCTTTTTTTTTTTTTTTAAAAAAAAAAAAAAAAAAAAAAAAAAAAAAAACGACAGATCTCATTTTTGAGTCAGTCAACTACGTTGATGCCTGGAGATGTAATTTTGACAGGAACGCCTGAAGGTGTTGGTTTTAAACGTGACCCACCAGTGTATCTTCAACATGGAGACCATGTTGTATGTGAGGTTGAAAATATTGGCGAGTTACATAACAATGTCGTTTATGAAAGCAAGCAGCATCAATGATCACAACTGTAATAAAAATAGATTACAATTCCTCCCCATTAGCATACTAGTGTACAGTATGCACTTCATTTTAAATGGCACCATGAGGCGCAGAAAATTGAGTCTTGGACAAAAATTAAATCATCCTGCTGTATTGCTATTTATTTATTTATTTTTTTCAATCCTGAGGAGAGGATAATGCTTTATGAGAGAAGAGAGTGATGGCGTTTGTCGATCCGCATTTATAAAATTCCAAAGGAAGAACATTTCCCCGTAGAAAAAATGATCCGTGGGAAACCCTTTTTTTTTTTTTTTTTTAAATGAGCATCTTGTTGGGGCCGCCCACGCGTGTTACTGGCTGACTTTCAGTATCAACAACATTAGGGTTGACAGGACCAGGGATCTTAATGCCGTCAGCGTTGTGAGTGATGCCCTCTTTTTGTTGCTTGTCTCCCAATTGTTCCATATATTCCAACTGAGATTGCAGTGCTGTAGCATAGGGTCCAGTGATCTCTGAAGACTTTCGGCGCGACCACTTGTACTCTCTATCTTGAGGAGGATTCAACTTGCTTTTATCGCCGTGTTCACCCTCATCCTCTTCAGGAATCCTAGTACGGCTAGCACTACGACTGACACTGCGGCTACCAGCACGATCCATGCTTGGTTCTCTGCTACGAGTGCGTGAGGAGTCTCTTGACAAAACTGCGATGATGGAACGACGACGTCCCTCACGAGGAGGGTTCACAGGTGGGGGGATAGGGATACCATCGACATTGTGAGTAACACCACTCCTAGCTTGTTCCTCACGCAACTTTTCCATGTAGTCTGTCTGTGCTCGAAGGACATTTGCATATTCTCCACGCATATCAGTCGACTTGCGACGGGAATATACATATTCCTTGTCCTCGTCCTCCTCAGGGACAGAGCCATCGATCAGTGGGCGCTGACGAGAACGAGAGCGGGAGCGGGAACGAAGACGCTCTACAACAGAACGAGAACGAGAGCGAGAGCGGGAGCGAAGACGGTCCACGAAAGCTGAGATGGAGTTGCGTCTGCTATGAGGCTTTTCATTGTTGTCGTTGCTGTCGGTGTTGTGATCAGCCTTGTGGGTGTCGTTATTGATGGGGTGGACACTCTGAGTACGACCACGCTGCTCATCCTGAGCATCAATTTGGATAGCGGGTGAGGACATTGTTCGTTAGTGAATGAGGGAAATATAAAATATATAATAAAAATGTACAAGAGGGAAGGAGAGGAAGGAAAAAATAATAATAATAATAATAATAATAAAAGGTGGGAAAGTACTTGAAAAATATGATTCCTCAGGAACAAGTCTTGTTGCTTTTATGTTGTTTTAGTTGTTGAAAGCCTAGCCCGGTTCCATCTTTTACCAAGCAATGAACACATTTGTTTGGATCTTTGATTGTGCAACCCCACTATAAAAAAGACGTGTGCAAATAAACAGCTGAACCAACGGTTAGTTACAAACGGGTTTTGTGTGTTGGTTGGTTTGCAGCTGACTGCAGATGATATCGATGTCACTGTCTCTATTCCGTTTGGCCATTGTACCTTCCGAATCTAAAAAAAATGGATTGCCTCTTTTGGGTCGTGTGCGCAAATTTTTTTTTGAGAAATTCCAGACACATCACACAATGCAATTTGATTTGTTCATCAGCCTGATCAGGCCGTTGCTTGATTTTTTTTTATTCATCTTGTCACTCGTCTAAAGCACTTTTGCCTTTCCGTATCCATCCCAAGGAGGCAGTGCCCGAAAACAAGGCACCTGTTGTTTTTGCAGATCCTGCTACACCAACATTAGGTGACTCTTGAGCCTGGGATGACGATAATGATGACGATGACGATAATAATGACGTATTTGGCGTGCTTGACAGACTTAATGGCGAGTCTGTGTCCTTAATCAAACATCCATCTCCATGGTCCAATACTTTTCTATGCAAAAGGTGGCTTACATCCTTCTTCGCGTCATCGCCCTCAGTCTTTAAAGACTCTGGCATGACCGAGTGGGACCCTACCTCCACTAGAGACCTTGTCGCATCAATATCAAGATGTCTTGACGGGTCAGTGTCAATACTTTTTGACGAAGTTGGCGTAGAAAAGTTATCTTCAGGCGCAGCGGTAGACCGATTAGAGCCTAAAGCATCCATAGTGGACCCTCCTCCTAGCTGGGCCTCATCCATCTGTCCTCTTAGCTCACGAGCTTCCATAGCAGAATGCTGCACTCTCTTTTCCCAATCACTAAATCGATTTCTTATCCCACTAGGAGCATATATTTTCATATACCCTATAATTGTATCAAACCATTGTGATTGCAGCTTCTGTAGTTTGTCCATCCATAGCGCAAGGCGTCTATGGGATACAGGAAGCTTAGTATCGAGATACGCGATTCTATTGAAGAACGCGTCTGTAAAGTCTCTCATCTCTACCAACTTGCCTACCATCCCCTCTAGGTGATAGACTGATCGCTGAGTAGCATGTTCCTTCTCACGTACTTCATCCAGCAAAACACGGCGTTCGTTCAATATTTCATTTGCTTCACATTCAATAGCCTGAAACTCCTTTGTCTGTTCTTCTAGAACAGCCATCAGCGTCTTAAGCTGAGTTGAGAGTTCATTCTCCATTGTCTATCAGCAACAACAAAAAAAGAAAAAAGAAAAAGAAAAAGAAAGCGATTGTGGTAATGGAAGTATTATAAGTCGTCTTGCTCTTCGGAGAAAAAAGGAGTATACTGTACACAGCAGGTGACAGGGTCCACCTCTTTCGGTTATCAAGTTTATTTTACCTGCATCCTGCCATGGAGTGATTTTAGATTTTCTTCTTTTTCCTTCAAGAGTTGGTATGAATAATAGCTTTGGGTATCGCATTCTATCACAAGGCTTTGTAGTCACCAAGTAGTGGAGTAAAGAGGGGGATCATGTTTAGTATAGACGCTATACAAAAGACAAGACAAGCACCAGGAGTTTTTCTAGAATAGACAATTCACCTTCGAAGCGGAGATACGACAACCTCTTTGCTATCTAAACTGGAGTAGGACTGTGATCGTTTCCTGTGCGCTGGATGCCTGACAAGCTTCCTACGAGGTCCACAACTGACCCCAGGGATTGCGCCAGTGCTCTTAGCAGCAATCGTTCGGCACCCCAAAAGTCGCTCCTGACCGCCTAGAGCTGTTAATGATCGTGATCTCTTTCTTGAAGAGCCAGAGTTGGAGTGGTCGTTTCTTCTCTCCAGATAAAATGCAGTGATTTCAGGCGGTCCCGGTGGTTCAGGTTTCTGCGAGAATAATAAAGCCAAAGTATCGAGTGAAGGAATAGCGGCTACAGGTTTGGACTGAGGTGCTGCTTCTGCGGTAAATGTTGCTGGCGTCTCTTCTTCAGATCCTTGGAAGTTGACAGTTGATGAAGCAACCGTTGTAGACGGCTGTACCTCGTCAGATTCCTCTCCATCATTTCGCTCGTCATCTGATTTTAAAACTGAAGCTAACATAGAGAAAGAGTATAGGGAGTTCAGTCCAGTTCTGCTCAGTTCGGTTTTTGAATATTTTTGATAGCGGCAACTTGCCACCATTTAGCCGTTATTATTATTCCTGACTTACGCTCGAGTAGTGCTGAAGTGACAAGCATCTCTTCAGTCATTGTTCCATCCCTTATGTTTAGCACAGGTGTTGGTTTCCCTTTAGGCAATAGCAGAGATTGCCTATTCTTTGCACTAGATATGATTGATGGACAAGAAGTGTAAGGAAATGTTTTGTCAAAGCATCTTTCCTTGCTCCAACATCTAAACCAAGTCATCTTACCCTGTTATACTCTTCAGAGACTGCGATGCATTCTTCGTCTCTCGAGTCTAAGTGGTAGTCAAATTTGATCCATTAGCTTAAACATTATCTATTTTTTGGAGGAAAAAAAAAAAAAAAAAAAAAAAAAAAGGCTCGACAAACAGCTCTATTCTTTTGATCTTAATAGCACAAGTTCCCTTACAGTCTTTGCTAGGCCCCGGACCAAACTCTTGCCCAATTCTTTGCCTCCAGTTAACCAGTCGCCATTCACCAATGCGTCTGCCATATCCGGTTTATGCTTAGGTTTGCCTCTCCAGACCTGCTTTAGAGAGTCCATATGAATGTGCTTTGCAAACACTTCCAGGTCTGTTGTTTCACCCTCAGGATTCACTGCTGTCATTCCTGAAAAGTCCTCAATCTTGGATTTGAGCACCTTGTGGACCTTTAGGCCTTGCGGATTAAATGATGATTGATACGCTGCTGTGATAGCTTCTACTGTCTTCAAGTCAAGATAGCGTGCCTTCAGATCTGGTTTCTTGGCCTACATGTTTTACAATAAGCCCCACCTCTACCAAGTTAGTCGCGCAAGTTAATGATAGTGACCCCAGATCATTCTCGGCTTGACCATATCTGTTTGCTTTTACCTGAAATGTCTTGACAGCGCTGAGGAATGCCTCTGGTTCTGCAAACGGATCTTTTGGTACCTACGATGAGAATTACAAAAAGTATTGTTCATTCAGTACTAAGATTAAGAATAACATAGCTCACTTATTATCCTCCTCTCTGATATATATGTCCTTACGTTGTTTACGAGATGTTGTAATTTGCTTCGAACATTAAGCAGCTCACTAAACATTCCTGCCAATACACTTGGATCCAATGCATTATTATCAGGAGAGAATTTCTAATAATGATTCGATCAATTCTCACTTTTGTGTTAGGTCTGTTGCATGGTTAAGATATAAAAAAAAATAAAAATAAAAATAAAAAAAAAAGAATGATTAAAAGAAAATTTACCTGAAACTTGGAGCTAAGGAATATCTTGTAAAATGTGTCCAGACCTCTTTCGGTTGCGTCGCATAAAAGGCCGTCGACATCCTTAATATTAAAAAGTCCAAAAATATATAAACAGTTCTGAACCAGAGTCACCAGCTTAATGACGGTCTCTTCAAAATCAGTTGAATCCGAAATCTTGTAAAGCTGGTTGAATTTTTCCCGTTGAGCGCCACTATACATGGATAAATAAATGTATATCATTGTTTAAAATCCAGAAATGAACGTTATTGTCGTCTCAATGGCTCCCATACCTTCTATATCTTACAATTGCGACAAAAAGATATTCTTTTTTTTTTTTTTTTTTTTTTTTTTGTGTGTGTACACGTTGTCCAAAATATCCATTTATCTTTATGAGTATGATGGGTATTATTACCTTGGTGACTTTGAAGTAAGTGCACTGCGTCCGCTACATCCCATTCTCCGAAGATTGAGGTTCAAATAAAACCGCGGCTGATACAAATCAAAGTCTCCTTGGTGTGGCACCAAGACTATGTTGAGTGATGAGGCAAATAAACTGAGATTTGTAACAAACAGTTGTCCGTGTGGTGTCTAAAAATGAGATCCAAGGAATAGAAAAAAGAAAAAAAAAAAAAAAAGTTGTTTATAATATAGCAAATAAGAATAAGGGAGAGATTGAGTAGGATGGTATCATTGCAGTTGAGACCGATACTAATAATAAAAAAAATAAAATAAATAAAGGGCATCACTTACGTCCTTGGGTCTTGATTTCTCTTCCCTTAGCTCTTCAAACACTTTTTCTAATCGCGGACATGATACATCTGGATGTTCAATTGTGATCGCCACGACCTGAATCTATTTTTGTGCATGTTTGAGCAGACAAGCAAAAAAAAAAAAAAAAAAAAAAGTTGTTGGACAAAATCATAGGAAATATAGCTCCTTCATTTTTGGGACAGCGATCGCTTTTTTTATTTGTCCATGGTATATTTCTTTTATTTATACCTTGTGAACTGGATCGCCTGTGAACGACACTGCCGTGGCAACTTCACGATTCCGTTCAATAGCCCTATAATATCGGATAGATAAACAAAATAGCATGTTCGTTTCGAAGCTCTCTAAATCCAGATCGATTTTATCAACAATTTGCGACGTCGCAGTTTAGGATAGCTGATTTTTTTTTTTTTTTTACCATTGCTCTACAAGATATATTTGATAACCTTCCAACTTGTACTCTCTGTTATCGATACGGATGCCTTCTACATTTTTACAAATGTCAAGGATGCGTCCCTTTTCACAAAAGACATATTGTCCTGGAATCAGAGACATTTGTATTTTTTATAAGATGTGGAATTGAACTTGTTGTATTGGTGAGCACCTGGTGGAAAAGTCAGAGAAGAATTCTAAAGTAATGAAATGTATGCTAATGAGTGAGAGTAATTGAGTAGAGGAGATAAAAAAAAAAAAAAAAAAAAAAAAGAGTTGCTGTCTAGGAAGAGCGAGTGAATGTCAGAGTGAGGACAAGTGTGAATGAGAATAAGGGTAAGAGTAAGAGTAAGAGTAAGAGAGTAAGGAAATCAGAGAATGAGGGATGTGGCCAAGCATTGACGTTTAGCATGCAAGGCATCACATTCCTTCTTTGGACAATTGATTGTGAAATAACCCTCAGGAGTTCCTGCCCGATGTGATCAAGCAAAATCTAATTGCACAGCTCTTGTTCAAATTGTTTAATATGGTAAATACTCAGTAAGTACAGATGTATGCATAAAATACGTGGAATGAAAATAAAGTCCTCTGAAAGACCTCCAGCTTGGCGAGCTTGGCGAGCTTGAGTATCTTGGCCACTATGTAGATGGTTATCGACCATTGACCATGGCAACTGATACCCCTTCAAACTGAATGTTCCACAATTTTCTGCCTTCTCAAAATTAAAACTGGACTGCGTTTGAGTTAAACCTAATGATTCAATGGTTATCTCAGGGTTCAAAGCGATCGGATCTCATGGCAAAAGGACATTCATTTCTTCATTCACTTGTTGGCCACTTTATTATTTTCTTTTTTTTTTTTTATTAAAAAGAAATCATAAAAATAACCATGCATAGAATCACAAGCTCAAAAGCTATACATGGTATCCATAGCTCAGCAAGCATCCTACATGGATCCAGGTCTAGGCTTTTCTCACAGTCGCGTACAGTTGTAGTGACACGAGCACCACTTTCAACAAGATCCTTTTGTTCATGCTCATATATTGCTTGCGCCCAAGACAGCGGGCTGCCTCCAAATAATAGTACAAATGAAGGCGACGTGCCTGTAGACGGCTGGGAAAGGACTATCGATGGACTGCCTGATTATACTGCAGAGCCACGCGGTCGTGCCAAAGGTGTCGAATGGAAATTGCGTGCCAAGGTGATTTTTTTTTCCTCCTCCTCCTTACTGCCTTGACAGATGTTTGAATTAGGTAACGCTCAATTGTATTAATAAATTATACTTGTATATCTATCAGGGAAGAAACTTTGTTGATTTTTGTAGGATCAAAGTCTCTGGAGGCCAAGGAGGTGATGGATGTGTCTCGTTTCATCGCGAAAAGTTTGTGGCCTTCGGCCAACCTAATGGTGGTAATGGTGGCCGTGGTGGTAACGTAATCTTTGAGGCATCATCCAATGAAACCTCACTCCAACATATCCCTCATACTGCTGCAGCACCTCGGGGCGTCCATGGCAAAGGTTCTCTCATGCACGGACATGCAGGCAAGGACTTAATCATCAAGATCCCTATGGGCACCATCATCCGTGAAGTGCCTTCTCCCGAAAAAGAAAAAACCCCAGGTGAAGAAGAAGAGGATGATCCATTTCACAAGTCTTTACAGCTAGGAGAATTGGAGGCAAAGGAGCGAGAAATGTCAAAACGCTGGGTCTTGTACCCTCGTATGACCAATTCCTTGACGACATTGCCGGAGGGAAAGGTTAATTATTTTGAGGAGGCCCAGGCATGGGTCGCAGAGGAAGATAGGATTGTCGAGGCTAGGAGAGCAGCCATGAACAAGAAGCCATTGCTACTAGATGTCAATGAGCATACAGAGGATGGAACAACATTTTTGGTAGCAAGAGGTGGTGGAGGCGGATATGGAAACCCACATTTCCTAACAACGCAGAACAGGGCGCCCAAGTATGCAACAAGAGGGCGTGAAGGCCAGACCAGGTGGCTCACACTGGAATTGAAGACTATTGCAGATGCAGGCCTAGTTGGGCTGCCCAACGCTGGCAAATCTACGTTCTTGCAGGCGGTCTCAAATGCGCACCCAGCTATTGCGCCATACCCCTTCACGACGTTAAATCCCTATATTGGTACGGTAGATTATCCAGATTCCTATCAGGTTAAAGTGGCGGACATTCCAGGATTGATCCGAGGCGCACACCGAAATATCGGATTAGGGCACTCATTTTTGAGACATGTAGAGCGAAGCAAAGTACTGGTGTATGTGATTGACATTGCAGCCGAGTTTGGTGTCAAGCGGCAGGTCAAAGGAGTCGATGATTGGAGTCCTGAGGAGGAATATCAAGAAAATGATTCTGAGCTTGAAAACAAGGAGGAATTACCAACACAGGACCAGCAGCATTCAAAGAGTGATTCAGAATATAGCCAACCATTTGAAGATTGGAAGACACTTTTGGCTGAGCTGGAAGCGTATCAGCCTGGTTTAACGCGAAGACCTTCCATGATCATTGCTAACAAGGCGGATGTGACAGAAGTCGCACCCAAGAATTTCCAGCTATTCGAGAAGCTGGTTCAGGAAGAATGGGTCAAGAGGCGTGCAGCTGCCAGCTCTTCATCATCGTCGCCATCCGCAGACTTTGATATAAAGATCGTCCCTGTGTCCGCCAAATATAAGAAGAACATTGTCAAGGTTACATCGATTTTGCGAGAGATTGTTGAAGCTGAAAAGGCCAAAGAGGATGCTGCATTCAAGCGCAAAGAACAGAGGGAACAGCAGGAAGAAGAAGAAGCGTCAGTCCTCAAAGCAACGCGACGCAATATTCTCCATAACCCTCACAAGTCTGAGGAATAAAAATTAAATATCTTTCCCATGTTCCTTTGTTGCAGTGGCTTTTTGAAAGAAACCGAATATCTCAATCACTCTAGTCACCAAACTACGCAGATTGCCACCAACCTTTTAGCCTCTGTGAACAATAAATGGAGTACTTGCGCAATTTGCCTTCAAAGACAAACGCATTCTCAGCTGCCAATTATGAGAGGGTGCGAATGAACGGCCAGGGTGAGAGTAAACCTTTTTTTACAACAGTTGACCAAACACCACATCAGGGTAACACATGCATGCGTTATTAATCGAAAAAAGAGGTGGGAATGAAAAGTAAAAGGTTCTAACAAAGGCTAGTGTTCTCTCTTAATAGTATTACCAAGTAGCGATGAGAACCTCATTCTTGCAGCTATACGCCACAAGAAGCAGGTGAGTTTCTTACTTCAGCACTTTGCTTTATTACAACACATTTAAAATATATCAAATACAGGCAGGTAGAGACCAGTCCATGTAGCTTTTTCAATCTACTCAATTTCTCTCTCTCTCTCTCTCACTTTTTTTTTTTTTTTTTTTTTTTTTTTTCAGGTCCCAACGATAAATGCGGAAGAAACCCCAAAGAGAGCACCAACTCCAGAAACAGGGGCAGGGGCAGGAGCAGGGGCAGGAGCAGGAACAGGACTGGATGTTCAAAGCACCCCACAGCCTCCTCGACTCTTCAAGAGGCCTAGAATTGCTCTATCCAATGCTGCAGCTGCGGCAGCGACGACGACAACACCAACATCTGTGCAATCTTCTGTTTCATCGTCATCACGCCCATCAGCTTAGAGGTCTGAGACGATAGCCAACAATTGCTATCAATTGGAAGAGGATGTCATTCAGGAGATATATCCACCGTTTAAGCTGCTTGTGCCTCCAACAAGAAGTTACAGTCTGTCTTTTTGCAGAATTTTGGACTCGGGACATATTTAAATATTATTACTATTATTATTATTACTATTGTAATAGCACTGTTCATTCATACAGATTATATGAGAAATAGCGGAGGAGCATAGCAAGGAAGTCACTGTAGAGGCGTGATATGATACCAGAGCTGGTTGGTAAATAAAGCGATTTTCACCAGGAAACTTTCACACTTGGTGGTGTGATATGCACATTAGGGTACACGAAACACCAGTGGCACAAGTTCACTAGGTGAAAAATCTGGGCGTAAAAAAAGTTCAATTTTATGTATCAATATCTTTAAAAGTGTAGAGTTCTACATCCGTACGTGTTTTTGGGTCTCATGGTTCAGTGACATCTGTATAAAAAAACCGTCATCCCTCAATCGTCTGTCTCCAGCTTTGTAACTAAACCAATGCCATCAGGACTATTGTACTCATAAGATCCTATGAAGATGTTAAAGGCCAATCATAATAGCTAGAGTGCCTGTCAAACTTACACATGTTCGTAGGGAGAAAGCTGGCTAGACTCCAAAAGTGGTGAGCGTCAAGCATAACTTGCATTATCGGCTGAAGGTACTGGAGGAAAGCCTATTCTTGTCGTTAGAAAGCAAAGCCTCGTCTTAGTTTTAATAGACGCTTCTGCGGCCAAACCTGTAGTTGTGAGGAGATACGAAAATATACATGCCTCGATGCTGGCATTTCAACAGGCATCTCTTGTCTGCTGCTCCACTCGCTCCAATTTAATCATACTCCATGTGTGCGACTAAATACATGACTATGCTCAAAAATTCACCTATAAAAACGAAGTCTTTTTTGCTAGACCTGCGTCTCCAGCTTTATCATTCTTTTACCCTTTAGCACTTCACTCTATTCATTTGAAAACAATTTCATTATGCCCATATCTGCAAGGCGATTCCTCTCTGCCGTATTGAACCCTCAGGCACATATCCCTAGTGCAGTCGGCCTTGGCAACCAATCTTTACATCCTCCAGATACACAACAAGGAACCATTGCTGCTTCTATCTCTACCAGCATCACTTTTTCTGTTATCATTGTTCCTGTGGTCGATGCCCTGGGCAACGATATTGCTGTACCAATGGGTTTATTGTTTTATATTATGGAGACCGACATTATTGAGTTTATAGATGACTAGGTCTAATAGTAGTGCCGGTTAGCCTTTTGATGAGGGAAAGAGCAATTCCTGCAACCCTGTCAATTTGAGCCTGTATATAACAATCCTTCCTAGACAATCCAACCATGTCACGTCTCGAGCTTGCATTTCTAGTTTAAACCTCAAAAAAAAAAAAAAAAAAAAAAAAAATTGACAATTACACAGAAAATGGAAATCCCCGTATATCAGTAAAGCTTCAATCATATACATCTCTCAGATCGCTTCGAGCAATCGAAGCGCATCGTGAATTTCCATAGGACCTATCAGTGAAACTAGACACTGTCATTGCCAATGCCGCTATGACTGCATTACGGTTACTATACAGCTACCATAGCAATTAGTTCAACTGCTACTACAGCCATCGTACCCTCACTGTGACCGAACAGTGAGCCTTCGGCTTATAAGCACAAAGTTATGGCAGCCATAGCATATACCGGACCATTGTTTTTGGTTTATAGAACTACAGGATTTTTCCGGTAACCATATCAACTCATTCTAACCGCTTATCATGATCAGCACGCTGATTCTGAGAACCTCCATTTTGTTCGCACAATAATTGGGTATTAAATATATTGCACAATGTCAACACCCATGAGGTGAGTAAAAGCAGAACCGTGTCATGTTTGTCTACAGCTGTTCTCGACAGCAAAAGGCTTCCAGTCGTCAATATCGGCAAAACCAGAACTGATATTATCACACTGGCACGGGTTATTAGAGAGTAAAAATAAAACAAGTTTTTTTTACGTTTTACTTTTGTATCCCTTACCCCTTTTCTTACTTCATCGCTGTTTTTCTAGAGCAAGGCAAGAAAGAAGGAAAGGTGCTCATGAAACGCCGCCTTTAATTCTACCTTCATTTCGTTCTCTGCAGCAGTTGCAGTAGCTCCATTATTTCTCTGTTTTGTTCTTCTACTGCGGTCTGATGCTCCTGGAAATCACGTCGCATCACCTCCAGCTGCTGGCTCAAATCCTCTTTACCTGTATATGTCGAGGTCTCTATCCCAGCTGTAGACATTGTTGTAGTCGAGGACCCTGTCATCTCAGCTCTTTCTATCGCATTTTTAAACCGAAGCTCGCGCTTGGACATTGATGGAAGAAGTGATGCTCTGCTTGTATGACTCGCGTCGCTTGCATTGCTACCTGCTATACTGGTTCTCATACTGGCTGCTATGGTGGCTGGTATGTCGGTTGCCTTTTTAGTCACCATCTCGATTGCCATGGAAGTTGGCATAGTTGACAAGACTATGTTGTCTCCAAAATGCTTTTTATAATAATCCTCCACTTCTTGCTGGTTGGCAATGTAATAGATCTCTCTTGGGAACCAACCACAGGTGCTTCGAAGGCCTAGGTTAAAAAAATAATAATAAAAATAAGAAAAATTGCAGTTCCACGAACGAACAGTAATAAAAAAAAAAAAAAAAAAAAAAAAGCTCGGTATTGATACCTGGCGTATGATAAGTCATATTTTCCGCTCTCCCAACAAACTGGAATAGGTTTCTAAGCCACTGACTGTACCAGTTACTGTCTACTGCTGCGAATGCCGCGTTAATCAGTGCTAACGTTTGAAAGTTTCGATCAAACAAAGGAATGAAAAGATTAGCAAGTCTATAAAGATTTGGTTTTGATGTTTTACGCTTTCTTGATTTTTTTTTCTCTTTTTTTTTATAAACTTACCGATTAGTACATTGAGAATAAGGATAACTGTGGTGAAGAAGTAGAGAGCCATTATGATGTGAAAGGCAACATCATCGGATCCAAATTTGTCATTTACGGGGTCATATCGTCCACCCTTTCGACAAACCACAATAAATAAATAAAGTAAAATAAATAAATAAAATGAAATAAAGAGATCAACACCATGTTACTTACCATCATATCAATATCAATATAATATGTGCATAGATATATTACCATAAAAAAATACGTGGCCGAAAGGGCGCCTGGAAAATCACGAGGGAAATTTGCAGCATTTTTAGTCCTGTCTTCATCATCGATGGTCTTGGCCCACAACAAATGTAAGAACGTATGTGCAAACGCGAGTATGGACGCTGCAAAGATAATGAAGAACACCTTGATCATCCGCGCGACTCTCAGGATAATTGTCACCGTGCGACATACGCCTTGAATGACACGCAGTTCAAATAGCTAGGGTTTATAAATAATTAATATAAAAAAATAAAAATAAAAAATAAAAAAAACTGCTCAGTCGCGTTTTCTAACGAAGAAACCATAGTTTATATCCCACACAGCAAATGCGTACCATATGCCAGTAAACAGCCAAGATCGCAAAGCTGAACAACCTTGAGTTGCTACTATCCTCAGCGCGCTTCAATGTGGCCAACTGTACGATACTAGCGCTCAGCGGAAGCACAAAGACACAAATGTCAACAAGGTTGTATGCGGATTTGATGTATCGACGTGGATCTCTAAGGCACTGTATCATCTCAAGCCACAGAAACACCACCGCCATTGCCGCAATTCCTACTAATAAAACCTCTGTTCTTGAGGGCTTAGCATATACTTGCAAAAAACTGACCGTCAATACCATCACATAGTAGATACACTGGAAGAAGAAGCGTGTCAACCAGTATGAGCTCGCAAATTTGTTCCTATAGCGAGAGAGGAAATCAAATAAAGAAGACATTAGCTGTAGATGTGTTATCAGAAGATCTCTTTTTGAGAGAAATTTGAGAGAAAGTCCCATGCTCTCAGTGCCATACTATACCATTTATACTCTATAAGTGCTTCGATGGCAGGGTTATCAAAATACTCTGGGGCCAAGTCATGCATTCGGACATACTTGAAGCGCTTGGGCTTTGCCTTCCAGAGTGCGATCCATAAAAGCAATTTCCAAGTAGGAGTCGATTTCTCGTCTCTCCTTTGCAGTTTCCTTATCGGTGGACTCTCTATGTTCCAGAGCATATCAAACGAAGTAACATACACATCTGCCTTGAAGCTTCCGTTGTCTTGAACGCCCTCCTCCTGTCTCGTCTGATGCGATGGTAGGAATGGGTTGAGTTGGAACACAGGTTTTTTGCATTTGTAGATGGATAGACTATTTTGTGGGAAAAAGTAGTCGATCAACAATAACCGTTTGATTGTCAGTGGTCGGCATACTCTCGAGCGGTTTACTACAAAGTCGTGTCGTTTCACAGGGATAAATGCCATCTTGCGCATCGCCTCTAGTGCGATTTCAGGCTCATGTTTGATCATAGCTGGGATCGCCTCAATGACCAATGATAGATATCCAAGCTCTTTCTGTGATTTCGCCATCCAACAACAATAATCAATCACAATCCTTGCGGTCGAGGCGAGCTTTGGATGACCCTCGGCCTTTTTGATGATAAACGAAATAAGATTGACATTCTCGCCCAGTCGGCGTCTAGGGGCCCAAGTTGGTTGGTCCTTGTTAAAATACAAGAGTTCAATCAGGAACTGCTCGTATCCTTTTACATCAAATGCATCTATAATACTCCGGATTACACAATTGGTGTAATTGTGCGGGTCAGGGAGGCCGTTGATATGCTTGAGGACAAAGGACAGGATTTCTCGCCTATGGGACTGATCATCCGAAGCTCCATAGATTTGGATCAAGTATGGAATACTCTGTATACACGCCTCCAAATTCTCTTGACCCGTTAGTGCCTCAGGCGAGAAATTGAAGGTAGATGATGAGGCACTCGATTCATCTAGATCCCCTATATGGATTGTGTTCCTGTGTCGACAGACACTGACTCGCTGCTGTTTAAGCCAGTCTCCGAAGCCCTGTTGCCTGTGGTACGGGATTGAAATCATTGCTAAAAGCTCACAAACTGGATCCGAAGAGCTTTCTGGAGATTCTAGGAGTTTCCAAACCTGGATATAGAATTCCCCAATGACAATGTACCGTGTGTTGCATGGGAGAAAGAATGCCCTGTATGCTGGCTTAGTCACACCATAATGGTTTGCCTGCTGTATCGCCTTAAGCGTGCCATTATCGTCAAACATCCTCAAAGTGACTGTCTCGCAAAACTGGTAAGGTGTTGTTAGTGCTGTAACTTCGTGTTGCTCTAAGGCCATGGATTCGATTTCCAACGTGAATTTGGATCCTGACGGTGCAGTGCACTCCCTAAAGGTTTCTTGAAGTATATCGCGAGCCCGGCAGTCTACATCGCATGGCCCTAGCCTCCGCGAGGAGTCTTTCAATACACAAATATTCAATCCTGGTCCTTGCCTGTACACGATGAGGTCTTGAACAATCTCTTTAGGGTGATTATGGGTATGCCTTCTTAAAAGCCCTTTAGAAAAGCCATGAACAGTTCTTTTAAAACGGTCTCTAGAGCTCTCTATAGCATTGTTTATAGAAGAGACCGTGGTAGCCCTTCTAGGACCAGGAATAGGCATCCCCGACAAGCTCCGCACAGTCTCATAGTTGGAAGCATGAACAGTCTCCCCGGGCTGATCTTCAATAGCTTTCGTCGGGACTTGAACAACATATTTAGAGTGACCTTGAGCTGCCTCTAGGTTCTTTATATGCGCAATAGTTGATCGTCCATCTTTTGGAAATGGAAACCAAAGTCTTTGACCACCTTCCGTCAGGTGCCAAGGGTCCGTCAAAGTGGCAAAGTCAGAAGCTAAGCCCACTAAAAGTCGTCTTCCCCCACCCAGGAAGGAAAGGTTAGTCACTTCATTCTCAAACTTGGATGATCTGATGCTACCGTCCATATGAGTCATGTAGATCGACACATGCTTCCCGAATGCTGTCGCCAACATTGTTCCATCTGGTGATAACACCACCAAGTCCTCCTCTGGCGCAGAATCATCTCGATTAATATGCTGGAAGACTTGAGCCATCTTCAAGTCCAAGATCAGGATCTCTCTTGGCGTAACCCAAGCACATAGGTAGCCTTGAAGAGTATCAATCAACATTTTTGCGTGTTTCTTAGTCCTTGTAACGATCTCCTCCGGCGTCTCGGATCGACCCCATGGCACTGCTATGCCTGTTTCGCTGTCTTCTTTATACGATAGTTGGATACTGTGAAGTTGTGGCCAATCTCCATTCGCGATATATACAGCAACAGTAATGCCATAACTAATGACAAAGACCTCATCTTTACAATCTCTACCATGGCTCCCATCTGCATCCTGAATAACCAAATCGCTCAAGCGATGAAACTTGCCATATCCAGCGTATTGATTGAGCGAAGGGATTGTCTTTGAGAACTTTAAGCGGTCTCCAGGGCGTTCGTCGGCAGGGATGAACTTATCCGAATACTTGAACACTCTGAACGGCGGTACATCATTGAAGGCATCTTTGTCGAAGTCCCCTGATGGAAAGACCGCTAATTTGGAAGCATTATAAGAGATCGCAATTTCTAATGGCGGTGCAGCCCCGTTATTGCCCTGTTCGATATCAAAAGACGTTGTTCCGCAGGGAGTGGAGGCGATTTTAAAATTGGATGTGTCTTCCAACTTCCATAGATCTAAATAGGCTTTGTTCCTTGTGTAGGAAAGAGTCGCTAAATGAGTGCCACCACCGTTTATTTGCCATTTTTCGATAGTGGTTGTCAGAGAGATTGCATCTACGGATGAATAAATAAAGCACTACTTTTAAGTATATACATTTCGTGGGCCTTTAATATCTATTTAAAGCGGCTGGTGATCCATACCTTCGAGTAAAAGCATTGCAGGATAAACCTCAATCTGATGCACCTTAAGATATGTCTCACGGCCCTGCGGCCCAGTTAACCGTGCATTTGTTACGAGGGCGACTCTTTCTAAGGAGGCTTCGAGTTCCTCGATTTCGGGATTCATCTCGAATGGAGGCGTCTTGATTCTAATTAAATTTGAAGGCGGGTTCCTCTTTGTAGCTTGTTCGCTGAGGTCCTTGAGATCTTCGCTTGATACTATTATATGCGCAATACTGGTCTTCTATAATGTGTGTTAACATTGATTGTGCTAAAGCGAGGCTAGCATTTCATACTGATATTCACATCCTACATTAAACCATCACTTCGTTCGACTTACGTTTGTCTTCCACTTAAATCGCAGTGTTGGAAAGATATTTTGGTCATAATTGACAAGGGAGATCGTCCAGACGACAGAGTAATTTCCCCTCTCTATTCCAGTCGTATTGAATTTCCCTTTGATCTAGAGATTTTTTTTTTTTTTTTTTTTTTTCTGTCTATTATCTGTACTTCATACACTAGACATTTCTATTTTATTGCTCATGCTTCTTTCTTACTTACATTGAATTGTGGTTGACTCGTATCTACGCGGACAGAAGAATTACTTGAACCCGTACTGTAGTGTAGGCAAAAATACCAATTTGTGGTGATGAATGTCAGATTTGAAGTTATCACAAGAAGATGGATGTCATGTTGTCCCTACGTCTCTTTCTCTTACCCTGATCCAAAATTGTAGTCTAAAGAGCGACTCCTGAGAACTAAGTAGATTTAATTGAAATCGTACGTTTAGAATCTGATATTAAAATTAAGCGATCCGAACAACTGGAACTGATCCATTACCAGCATCGGTGTGGTCTCTTGGCAAGGACCGTGACTCCTGTGATTCAACAATGCCATTCGGTTCTTCATTCAATGGCATTTGATTCATTTGAATCGACATTCGAGAAGTAGTAGTAAGAAGTGCAGGAAAAAGGGTGAATATGTTTTTGATGTTCTTGTGGTAGTACAATTCACGAGAACAAAAAGGAAAAAAGAGGGTATAAAATATGGGGGGACGTCGATCACTCCAGTCCAGGGTACATGCCTGGGTAGACCAAGCCTCATCTAGATGCTTATAGCGTTGATCTCCTGCACTCCTGAATCAACCCAGAAAAAAAAACCCCCTCGCATGAACAATGGTCAGTTCAACCATGTTTTCTTATCTTCGCTCTTCCCGCGGCTATGTTCTATACTGCCTATATATCGGATGTTTTATGCATGGCGGCTGGCTCTTGCTGCTTCTACTTTTGCTCCTGTCCTTATTGGCTTTTGTCCAAAGTATTCTTGTTGCTATAAACACCAATCCACTTTATTCACCATATTCTGCGCTAAAGGTTTTGTGATGGTTGTTGATGTTGATGCTGGCTTCTTTGTTGGTGTCGTTGTTAATGTCGTTGCTAATGTTATTGTTGCTGAGGATGATGAGGATGAGGATGAGGATAGAGGAGAGCAGCTTTGTTAGATGTTGAGGTAGCAGTTAATAGAAGCATAATGTTCAATCTACTCCCTAGCCTACAAACCTGTACCCACAAAGAGTATCCAAAACAACTTCTAGTCAAGGCGAAGCAAAAAAAAAATTCATTGGAGAACGATCTTTTTTAAAAAAATGCTAACTACACAGAATGCCCATCGCTACATGCAGCAAGAAGCCGTCCGCATACATCTTTTCTCAAGCTACTCTCAGAAACCGAGACAGCCTCATGAATATTTTATGTCACCGAAGCTATCCAGATACCATCACTACTACTAGCAATGACGAAGACCCTCTAATATCCTAATCCGAATAAATAAATTTATTCACATACATGTGTAGTATAAATTCATACCACAGAGTTCTCTAATGAGATGTTGGTGTAGAATATATTTAGCGCTTGTCGCCTCGGATACAAGTCCTCCATGTTTATTATAAATATTTAGCAATAATAAAGAATTGATTGGCTAGGTCAGAAAGTTCTGTCCAATTGAAGTAATGCTAAATACTGCTCTACTGTATCATCTACAAGAAGAGCGCAATCCTCGGCAAATGGATGGCTTGGACAGCTCTCTTCGCATGGTAGATTTCACATTCCACGATGAGTCTCTTTTTCATCGATATTCGAACCATTACAAATGGGTATGGAGCTAACTCTAGCCAAAGCAGACCACTATCGATTTTTGACTCAACGCTGGGCTCAATCAGCACATTTATTCTAAAGACCTCCACCTTTATCATACATATATATAATATATTGGATATTAAAAAAAATACCTACATCAATGAGTTGACAAATCTTTGTTTATGCCAATGTCTTTCAACAACAAAACCCCTTCCAGACATCAAGGTTTGGCAAGAGCAGAATCAATAGCATTACATCGTCGCGGATCATCAGATCAAGTAATAGATTTTTTTTTTTTTTTTTTTTTTTTTTTTTCGAGTGCGTGGAAAGATGTGGAGAGCCGCCTCTGATTCTATCCCCACAGATCCCATCTATCTTTATTTATCATCATTAAAGCTATCATATCTTATGCTGTTGCTCCTGTTGCAGTTGCAGTTGCAGCAACTCCATCATAACTCTGAGCTGTCTTTCTAAAGCCAAATGACGTTGGTTCGCTTGGTCCTGGATAGCGTCTAGGCGTGACTGGAATTCACGTTGCATCATCCCCAGCTGCTGGCTCAGCTCCTTTTTATCCGCATATATCGAGGTGTTTATTGTGGTTGCAGGTGTTTTTTTAGTTGAGGACTCTGCCATCGCTCTTTCTACTGCCTTCTTAAATCGAAGCTCCTTCCTAGACATTGGTGAAGAGAGTGATGGTCCACTCGTATAGTTTGTATTGCTCCATGATATACTGGTCCTTATACCAGTTGCTGCCATGTCGGCTGCCTTGTTAGTTGCCATTTTGATTGCTATGTTGGTTGGCATAGTTGAGAATCCCACGCTGTCTCCGAAATACTTTTTATAATAATCCTCCACATCTTTCTGACTAGCAGTATAATAGATCTCCTTTGGAAACCAGTGGTAAGCACTTCGGAAACCTAGGTTAGGAAGGGGTTTTTTCTGTCACTTGTTAGTAAAAGAATTGTAGTTCCACGAAAGAAAAAAATAAAAATAAAAATAAAAATCCGCATTGATACCCGGCGTATGGTAAGACATGTTTTCTGCTCTCCAAACAAACAGGTATAAGTTTTTTAGCCATTGGCTGTGCCAGTCCTTATCTACCGTTGTAAATGCCATGTTAATCAATGCTAGATTAAGAAGTTTCGAACAAACAAAGGAATGAAAAGGTTAGCTAGTCTATAAAGATATGATTCTGATGTTTTACGTTTCCTTGATTTATTTTTCTCTTTTTTGTCGGCTTACCGATCAGTACATTGAGAATAAGGATAACTGTAGTAAAAAAGTAGAGAGCCATTATGATATGGAAGGTAAGATCATTGGACCCAAATTTGTCGCTTACGGGATCATATCGTCCACCCTTTGAATAATTCACGTTAAAAAAAAAAAAAAAAAAAAAAAAAGAGGTCAACACCATGTTAGTTGCTACCGTAATTTTGTGGAAACTGATGTTGCTGTGATATGTGTGTATGTTACCATAAAAAAATACGTGGCAGAAAGGGCGCCTAGGAAATCACGAGGGAAATTTGCGGCGTTTTCAGTCCGGTCTTCGCTGTCGATGGCCTTGGCCCACAATAAATGCAAGAACGTATGTGCAAATGCAAGTATGGACGCTGCAAAGATAATGAAGAACACCTTGATCTTTCGTGCGACTCGCAAAATAATTGTTACCGTATGACACACTCCTTGGATCACGCGTAATTCAAATAGCTAGCATTTGCAAATTGAACAAATATACAAAAAGGACTGCTCAATCGCGTTTCTAACGCAGGAATCAGACTTAATGTTCCACACAAAAGACTCTTACTATATGCCAGTAAACAGCCAAGATCGCAAAGCTGAACACTCTAGAGTTGCCATCGCCCTCGCCACGCACTAGTGTAACTAGCTGTACGATACTAGCGCTCAGCGGAAGTACATAGGCACAAATATCTACAATGTTGAATGCATTCTTGATGTATCGTCGAGGGCCTCCGAGACATTGTATCACCTCAAGCCATAAAAACATCACCGCCATTGCTACAATACAGATTAATAAAAACACTGTCGTTGAGGGCTCGGCATATACTTGTAAAAAGCTGGCCATCAATACCATCAGGTAATAGATACACTGAAAGAAAAAGCGTGCCAACCAGTAAGAGCTTGCAAATTTGTCCCTGCAGAAAAGGGAGGAAAAATAAGTGAAGAAGATAATAAAAATGATTGTATCGCCAAAGCGCCTCTTTTTGACAGAATGTTGAAAGAAAGTCAGTGTTCTCAACGCTATACTGTACCATTTATACTCTATAAGCGCTTTGATAGCAGGGTGATCAAAATACTCTAGGCCCAGAGCGTGAATCCTGACATATTGGAAGCTCCTAGGCTTGGCCTTCCAGTGCGCGATCCATAAAAGCATTTTCCAAGGAGACATCGACTGTCCGTCCATCCTTTGTATCCTCTTTATTGGCGGCGCCTCTATGTTCCAGAGCATATCAAATGAAGCAACATACACATCTGCCTTGAAGCTCTCGTTGTCCTGAACGCCCTCCTCCTGTCTCGTCTGATGTGATGGTAAGAACGGCTTGAGTTGAAATACAGGTTTTTTGCCCTTATAAATGGATAGAGGCGTTCTTTTTGGGAAAAAGCGGTCGATCAGCAGCAGCCGTTTGATTGTCAGTGGCCGACATACTTTCGAACGGTTTACTACAAAATTATGCCGCTTCACAGGGATAAATGCCATCTTGCGCATGGCCTCTAGTGCGACATCCGGCGCTTGCTGAACCATGACTGGGATCGCTTCAATGACCAATGATAGATATCCGGGCTCTTTCTGTGATTTCGCCATCCAGCAACAATAATCAATCACAATCCTTGCGGTCGAGGCGAGCTTTGGATGACCCTCGGCCTTTTTGATGATAAACGAAATAAGATTGACATTCTCGCCCAGTCGGCGCCTAGGGATCCAAGTCGGCCCATCCTTGTTAAAAAGCAAGAGCTCTTTCAAAAACTGCTCGCATTCTTTTACATCAAATGCATCTATAATACTTCGAATTACGCATTCAGTGTAATTGTGCGGATCAGGGAAGCCATTGATATGCTTGAGGACAAAAGACAGGATTTCCCTTTGATGGGACTGATCATCCGAAGCCCCATAAATTTGAATCAAGTATGGAATGCTCTGTATACATGCCTCCAAATTCTCCTGACCAGTCAGTGTCTCAGGCGAGTAATCGAAGGCACCAGCGATCGATGGTGAGGTCATCCATTCTTCTGGGTTTCCTATATGGATTGTGTTCCTGTGCCGACAAGTGCTAATTGGTTGGCATGGAAGCCAGCCCTCAAAGTTCTGCTGGCTACCATATGGAATTGATCTCATTGCTAAAAGCTCGCAAACTGAACGATTGGCATCTGGAAGCTTCCAAATCTGGATATAATGTTCTCCTACGACAATGTATCGTGTGTTGCATGGAAGAAAGAACGCTTTGAATGTTGATTCAGTCACCCCATAATGATTTGCCTGATGTATCACCTCAGGCGCGCCATCATCACCAGGTGTGCTCAAAATGATTGTCTCGCGATACTGATAACGTGTTGTTAATGCTGTTACTTCGAGCTGCTCCAAGACCATAGATTGGATTTCCAACATGAATTTGCGCCCTGACGGCCCAGTGCATTCCACAAAGTTCTCATTAAGCCTCTTTCCAGCTTGGCAGTGTGCATCACATGGTCCTATACTTTGTGAAGAGTCTTTCAATATACAAACATCCAATCCTGGCCCTTGTCTATAGGCGAGGAGATCCTGGACAGTCTCTTTACAAAGGCCTTGGGAAGACTTTTTGGAAAGGCCCTGAACATACTTTTCAAAAAGCCCTTGCATCTTCTTAGAAAGATCATCAACAGTTCTTTTGAAACGATCTTGGGCTTCTTTAGAAAGCCCTCGAGCAGTTTTTATGGAAGAAAACTTGGCAAGCTCTTTGGGATCAAGCGCAGCCTTCCCAGGCTGGCTTTTTGTTGCCTCTTTGGATAGATTCTCCACAATATCCTTGAAAAGTCTTTTAGAAGCCACTTTGGCAAGATCTCTAAGTTCCTTTTTAAGACCATCTTGGCTTTTTTTAAAACACTCCTGGATCTCTTTAGAGAGACCTTTAATAGTCTCTTTAAGGAGGCCTTGGGCCTCTTTAGGGAGCCCTTGGATTTCCTTAGAAAGCCCTTGAAAAACATCGATAGAAAGACCTTGGACGGCCCTACTCGAAGGATCTAGAGTGACACTTTTTAAAAAGCCTTGGATATCTCCAAATATATCCTGAATGGCGTCTGATTCGTTTCCTTGGGCGGTCTCCTCGAGAACTCCTTGAATGGCATCCTTTAAAAGGACATGGGCCACATTACGGACTTTGGTGTCTCCCTTAGTAAGGCCTTGTATCTCCTCGTGAAGAAAGCGAAGAACCTCCTGACAGGAAGCTTGCGAGCCTGAAGCTTCTTTAGGGCTATGACGAGTTTCAGCAGACCATTCAAATAGAGCTTTAACAGCTTTAGAAAGCCCCTCAAAAGCTTTGATTAGGCCCTGAGCAGCCTTTTTAGGATGTCCTTGGGCTGTCACTAACCCTTTCTTCCTAATATGCGCAACAGTCAATTTTCCAGTTTCTATACGTGGCAACCAAAGTCTCCGACCACTTTCTGTCGGGTGCCAAGGGCTCACCAAAATAGCAAAGCCAGAAATTAAGCCCACTAGAAGCTGTCTGCCCCCATCCAGGAAGGAAAGGTTAACGACATCCTCCTTAAACTCGGATGATCTGATGCTACCGTCCATATGAGTCATGTAGATCGACACATGCTTCCCGAATGCTGTCGCCAACATTGTTCCATCTGGTGATAACACCACCAAGTCCTCCTCTGGCGCAGAATCATCTCGATTAATATGCTGGAAGACTTGAGCCATCTTCAAGTCCAAGATCAGGATCTCTCTTGGCGTAACCCAAGCACATAGGCAGCCTTGAAGAGTATCAATCAACATTTTTGCGTGTTTCTTAGTCCTTGCAGCAATCTCTTCCACAGTCCCAAAGCGATTCCGTACGGCTGCTTCACCTGGTACAGGCTGTACGTTGTTTGATTCATATGATAATCGAATGCTGTGGAGTTGTTGCCAATTTCCATTCGCGATGTATACAGCAACAGTAATGCCATCACTAATGACAAAGACCTCATCTTTATAATCTCTTCCATGGCTCCCATCTGCATCCTGAAGATCCAAATCGCTCAAGCGATGAAACTTGCCATATCCAGCGTATCGATTGAGCGAAGGGATTGTCTTTGAGAGCTTTAAGCGGTCTCCAGTGCGTTCGTCAGCAGGGGTGAATTCATTCGAATACTTGAACACTTTGAACTCTGGTACAGCTTCGAAGGCACCTTTGTCGAAATCCCCTGACGGAAAGACCGCTAACTTAGAGGCATCATAAGAAGTCGCAATGTCCAATGACGGCGCAATCCCATTTTCTGCCCCGTGTTATTGGAATATGCCTTGTTGCGCAGGGAGTGGAGGCACTTTTAAGGCTAAAATCAGATGTATCCTCCAACTCCCATAAATCTAAATGAGCCTCGGTTTCTGTATAGGAAAGTGTTGTTATATGAGTACCGCCGCCGTTTATCTGCCACCGTTCGATAGCGGCAGTTCGAGGAGTTCCACTTGGCTCAGACAGCTCTTTATAGGGTAACTTGATTGACTGAGTTATTGGTTCCTTTAAAGAGATAGCATCTGAGGGTGAAGGATCAAATAAAGTGAATAGTACAGGGATGTTAAATATTTATACTCTTTTACCAGTGCCTTTATACCTTTAATCCACCCAAGCAGCTAGTGGTCACACACCTTTGACCCAAATCGTTGCAGGGTAGACCTCAATTTGATGTAAATCAAAATAGATCTCTTCACTTTGCCACTCAGATAATAATAATATCTTGAGTTCCTCTCTGGGATTGATATAGAATGAAGGCGTCCGGATTTTAACCAAATTTCGAGCTGGGTCCTTCTTTGAAGCTTGCTCTTTGAGCTCCTCGAGCTCTTCGCAAGGTGCTATTATATGAGTGATAACTGTACTCTATAATGCAGATTAGTGTTGATTGTGCGAAAGAGTGTCTGGTATTGTCCATTCTATATTGCCCTTGCACTCAAATATGACTTTCTTTGACTTACATTTGTCCCCCACATTAACGTCAGTGCTGGATAGTTATTAAGATCATTACTTTTAATAGAGATCGTCCATACTGCATAGTAATTTCCCTTTTCCATCTCAGTCGTATCGAAAGATGCTCTGACCTGGATGCATTTATTATTTTTATTTTTCAGAAACTTTTATTTTTATTCTCATTTTTTTTGCTAACATTACGTTCTTACTTACAGTGGATGCAATCATGGGTACAGAAGGTTTACTTGGAACCACATTGTAATGCAGGTAAAAAAAATCAAATTAGGTTTGATATTATTAAAACGCAATAGTAATAACATGGGATGTTATAGCTCCTATGTCTCTTTCTCTTACGCAGTTGATTCATTTGATGCAAGTTTGAAGCATATCGCGCCACCAGACAATTCAAAGAATCCTCTGAGGACTAGCAAATTTGATTGGAAATAAAACGTACATTAAACGTACATTTAGTTGACGAATTAGACATAAAGTTAAGCTGTCCAAACAACCGGAACTGATTCAAAAGAGAAAATTTCTCTCCTCCATTACCAGCACCAGCATTGTCTCTTGGCAAGGAATGAGACTGCTGTGATTCAACAATGTCATTTGGTTCTTCATTCAATGGCATTTGATTCATACGAGTCGACATTCGAGAAGTAGTAGTAAGAAATGTAGGAATAGGGGTGAATATGTTTTTGATGTTCTTGTGGTAGTACAATTCGCAAGAACAAAAAAATGAGAGGATGTCAATCACCCCAGTCCAGGGTACACGTCTAGGGGCATAGATGGGTAGACCAAGCCTCATCTAGATGCTTATGGCATCGGACCTCAAACGCAACCAGACTTGATCCCGCCTCCTGCACCCCTGAATCAATCCAGAAAAAAAAAAAAAATAAAAATAAAAATAAAAATAAAAATAAAGAAAGAAAGTTTGCATGAACAGTGTTCAATCCGATCGTGTTTTCTTATCTTTACCCTTCCCACGACTATGTTCTATACTATCCCTCGGATGCTTCATGTTTCTTGGTGGTTGGTTCTTCTGCTGCGATGATGAGGGCTCTTGCTGATTCTGCTTCTGTCTCTGTCCTTTTTGATTTTTGTCCTTGCCACTCTCATTGCCGTTATTGGAGGCAGCAGGCTTTGGTGTTTTGACTACAATAGGCATGGTTGTCTTCAAGGACTTGATGTTTGTTGAAATAAATACCAACTCGTTTTTCGTCGTACTATCCTCCGCTCGTACTTTTGTACTGACTGTTGATGCTGATGCTGATGCTGATGCTGTTGCTAATGTCGTTGCTGATGTAATTGCTGAGGATGAGGAGGGAACAGCCTTTTTAAGTGCTGAGGTAGCAGTTGATCGGATTGGGATCTTGGGTAACCATGGCACTGATATAGGGTCTACCATTCTTTCTAGAATCATCAGCAAATCCTCCACATCTTTAGATCCTGCTGGTGCTCGGATGGCCAATGCACCAACTGCTGCCATACCTAATGCTTCACTCAACCTCTTCTCCGAGCCCTTCAGGAATGGGAATACCCTCACGCCTGGAAGCATGGCAACTAATGGCCCTAAATGGGTGTAAAGGTGAGCAGGAACAAGATCGCCTTTGCAAATAAAGACTGCACTCGGTGGTAGATAACCTTTCGAGTCCTGAATAGATCGTTCTAGTGTCCTTGTCACTGCGTTGATGCCAATGATAGTCCATTCCAAGATAGCAGGTGGCGCTAGTTGTGCTAGTGATGGCTCCGCTGATGTGCTGGCGGAAGTAGTAGGAAGGGAGGTACCTGTACATGGATCATGATCTGTGGTTGCCAAAGCTGGATTTGGTTTTAATGATATACCAGTGTCATTGTCATCTGAAGGTATTTTGGTTGACAATTTGCTTTTTTTTTTCTTTTTACTCTCTTTGTTTACTGATGATGATGAACTCTTTCTGCGTTGAATATCATGGTATTCGCGGATAGTCTTCATCAGACTAAAAATAAAGAAAATGAAAAAAAAAAAAAAAAAAAAAAAAAAAAATGTAAAAGACATTAGGACATTGTCAATTGCGTAGTAACATAATCCTGATCTAAGAAAAATAGTCCTTTTTGTTTACTCAACATCAAATACATACTCACAAAGAACATCCAAAACAATCGCGTTGTTTTCCGTTGTTACTTCTGGCCTAGTAACGAATATGTGGACCGTTGGTGAGCAATTGAACTCCATCTGTATGCATTAAACACAGGACAGTCTCCCTTATTAGCTGTATATTGACATATGGACACATACCATGGGATGCTAAATGGCGTATCGAGTACATTTTTGTAAACGGTCCTTGTCTTTTTAGCCTCAGTGCGTATGCCTCCTGTATGCACAGCAGCTGTCTTGTTGCCCTTTGCTTGCTGCTGCTTCTGATTCATTGACATTGTAATGGTGCCTATGCCCTATTCTATTATTTCCTCTTCTGAATGAATCTAAAGTAGCCTATCCTGCTCTTCTGCCCTTTTTTATATTGAACCGTAGTTTGCGAACGATGGTTATGAAGAGATTTCGCTTTCAACTTTAAAAAAAAAAAAAAAAAAAGGTAGGTATTTATTGCATTTGCAAAGCCACTGAGCACTCTATTCACAAGTCGCTTTCTTTAATGTTCTAAATGTTCTATGCATTTTTTTGTTGCAACAGAACCATTCCAACACCTTGACAATCTCGTTTTATCAGCAGAACATGACCCAACCAAACCCGATTGTAAGGACAAGAAGGAAATAATAATAATATTAAAAAAGCTACGAAAAACAAGTGACAGGAAATTGGAAGAGTGTCGTTTCTCACCAGGCTGATTTTCATATGAATATATCTCACATAGGTTTTCTTTGATGTATCTATCGGTGGACGACCAGCTGGTCGTATGAAGATGGAACTTTTTGCAGACGTTGTACCGAAAACTGCAGAGAACTTTAGGTAATGTGTGAGTAAACAAGTACAGAGGAGGAAGCCTTTTGTCTCTCTCTCTCTCTCTTTAAACTTGCAACATGCCATTGACTTTACTTCTCTCTTTGTATCTTTGATCTCTATTTAGACAATTGTGTACAGGAGAATACAAAAAGAATGGAGTTCCGCAGGGATATAAGAATTGCACATTTCACAGAGTCATTAAGGATTTTATGATCCAGGGAGGTGACTTTATCAAGGTGAGAGATGAGGACATTCTCTGTGAACGAAACCTGATAAGGCTTGACAATACAGAGAGACTACTCAGGCATTAGCTCTCAGCAATGGTGTAGAGATAGAGAGACGGCACTTACTGATTAATGTTGTATATACTTGACAGGGTGATGGCACAGGATCAATGAGTATTTATGGAGACAAGTTCCCGGATGAGAACTTTACGCTAAAACATACAGAGGCAGGATTGTTGTCCATGGCTAATAGCGGCCCTAATACGAACGGATGTCAGGTAACACTTTGTCTTTTTTTTTTTTTTTTTTTTTTTTTTTACCCACTCTTCACTGTATGCTTCAACATTAAAAACTCACTACAAGTACTATCATTCTTATTTATTTATTTTTTGACAGTTCTTTATCACGTCGACAAAAACAGATTTCTTGGACGGACGGCATGTGGTTTTTGGAAAATTGATTGATGGACTATTGACACTTCGCAAGATTGAGAATGTACAGACAGGACCTAATAATAAGCCAAAGCTACAAGTCGTCATCACAGAATGTGGCGAGTATTAGTTGTATATATATATAAATTATTTATATAATATTCAAAAAATCATAAATATAACATAGAAACCATTTTATATCCTTTGAAGGAACTGAGAGACTGGATCAAAAGACTTCATATGGATACATAAACATATAACGTCCTAACCTTTAAAATTTAAATTAATTGGAGATTATATACGATGTTTTATTTCACTTAAATGATGCTGTACATGTACCCGATGTTTTTCTTGACCCCTCGACAACTTGCATCAAAATGCTGCTGCAGTATGTGGGAATAAGGAAGAGGGAGGAGGTCAAACCTATATTCAATGGAGGAACTTTTTGTAGGCCTCAATCAACTTCTCTCTAGGGTAAGAAGCCTTGGCGACAGAGGGTCTCTTGGTGACAGCATCCTTCCATTCGAAGAAACGCTTGAATTGAGGGTAATCCTCCAGGGTGACTTCCTTGTTGCCGTTATCGTAAGCGCCCAAGAGAATGAAACGGCTCATGAAAGGCCCAAGAGCCAAATCAGCAAACGTGAACTTGTCACCAAGGAAAAAAGGACCATTGCCATCCTCCTCCCTGCGGTAAACGTTCTCCAAAAGTCTGTTGAACTTCTCAAGCTCGACAATGAACTCCTCGCGGTGTTTTGCAGCCTGTTCACGGTCCAAGACGAAAGCAGCCTTATGAAAAGCGGGGTGAGTGCGGTTGCCCCAGTGATGGATCAAATAGCGAGTCTGAGCACGTTGCAAGGGGTCCGTGGGAAAGAGACTGCATTCCAATAAAAAAATAAAAAATAAAAAGAAAATCATTAGAACGGTCAATTATTTTTTTTTTCCCATGAAAATAAAAAAAAAAAAATCGTTTAACTGAGTAGTGTGTTGCAAAGGGAAAAAAGAATAATGTCATGTGAGACTTACCCAGCTCCTGGATGGAGATCTGACAAATACTCAGCAACGAGTAAACTCTCAAGGATGACGTGTTTATCGTCCACCTTCAAAGCAGGGACCTGTCCATAGGGATTAATCTCCTTGAGATACCAGTCAGGACGAGGGACATTCAAGTCAATGGGAACGATTTCAAGTTGAGCACCGGTCTCTTCAGCAGCGATAACAGCGCGTGCAGCGTAAGGGCAGGCAACTGAGTTGTAGAGAACGAGTTTTGGACCGGTCATGATTTACTGATTTTTGTTGGTCTTCACTGGCCTTGTCTTTGTTGAAAAGGAAATGTGGATGCTGAGAAAAGAAGCGGGCAAAAGTTTAGAAGTTTAGAATGAAGAAGAAGAAAAGAAGAATAAAAAAAACGGCCAACGCATTCGGCCTTTATACCCCATTCCACTTCTTTGAATTACCACATCATTGGCCAATAGGAATGAGGTGCTTGTAATATGTATATGAACATCTACATACACACACCATCGAAGCTGGATAGTGTGGAGCAAATTGCGACCAAAAGCGTGGCACATCATTCGCTCTTTTTTTTTTTTCTAGTCCACAAAATACAGTACGTACATAATCTAGTCAAGCATTACTAATCAGTGGCGTTTGGACCTCTGTACCCATTTTATGACCCTGATCTTGAAGTGACATCCAAGCATACACTACACAGATCACATCTTTGCACGTCTTTCTTTCTTTCTTTCTTTTTTTTTCTTTTGTGGCATGTAAACATTTGTTTTCATTTCTTGTATATTTCCTCTGCAGCAGCAACAGGTGCCTAATTCCGTTTTAAAAGAGCTGTCTTACTCATCAACACGCCGCTGTTAATATTTGCCTAGGAATAAGAAAAACCCAGCTCGTTACTCATTTACATTTACTTACTTATTGTCTTTTCGCAGCACCAATGGAGGGAGACCACGATTCTAAGAGAATCCTACATGACCATTGAACCTGTCAACAGTTGAAGATGCGCAGTGTGATGCGAGTATCTATTGCTTCCATTCTTCTATAGTTCGCATAATTGGACGCGCCGTTGTTGACCTGCATAGAAAATGAACGGGAATTTGATACCACTTTATAAAAAAAAAAAAAAAAAAAAAAAAATTCCTAGTATACTTTGATAACTTTCTCTCTGCCCGTCTTCCCGTTTGAAAAGCCTACCAAGTTAGACTTAATGATTACCTTGTCAAAGTCACACTCTTTGAAGTAATTCTGGGGGAGCAAATTCAGTAAGATGTACATACAATGCGCTGTTGCCGTTTATTGTATTAAAAATGAAAAAGGAGACAACAGCAACAGAGTGAGGAGAGTAGAAAATTGCTCTGCTCTATGATCTTACCTGACCCTATAATCAAGACCAAGGAGAGCCATGGGTGATGATATCTTTGCGGGCAAATAAAAGTAAAAGAGACACGTTTGTTCATGTAGAGAATGCAGCACATATCGAGGGCGAAGGGCAAGTGGGCTTGAGACAATTGGGCTTGAGGGCTTGAGGGCTTTAGGCAATTGGCCAGGGCAAGGTATATAGTCTGCCTCTGATCACAAAAAAAAAAAAAAAATCATCATCTCATCCGTTCCTTTATAAAAAAGACTTTCATTCCTTCAGTTTCATTCATCTTTTTTTTCTTTTTTTTTTTTTTTGCACTTCAATTCAGGAAAGGAAGAAAGAAAGAGGAAAGAATGTCTGTTGTCCCAAAAAAGGAGTACACACTCCTATGGTGGACTAAATGGTTCGATCAAGACCGATACGAGGATGTTATCGTTGACAACTGTGGACTCCCGTACACGTGTAGGAACACCTTAGATCGTTCCAAATACAAGGATGCCAGGCTCATCCTCTTCCACGACTGGCATCCCAATGATCTTCCTCCAAGAAAAGATGTAGATAACAATAGCAAAGCATGGGTACGCAACTCTGGTAAGGCGTTCTCTTCTTCCTTTTTCTTTCTTCTTCTTGATATGGTAAACATTCTCTGATCTTGACAAATGCTCTTTTTCGTTTTTTTTTTTTTTTTTTTTTTTTTAAAATAAAAAAAAGCCGAGAAACCCGAGACATATGCCTACCAACAGTACTACATTTCATTATTCAGTTACAAGTTCACGTATCACTTCTCCTCAGACTTTGTCATGACTTACTTCACAGCCGGAACTACTAAACCCAATTCCTTCATCAACCTCGTCTCCCGTCCACCCTTGAGAACAATCGAACAAAAAAATCGATATCGTCAATCTGGGTTTCATCCAGCAGATCGTCGTCCTCTAGCTCCTGTCGCTTGGATCGTCAGCAATTGTAAAGCCTCTAATGGTCGTCATCTCATGGTCAAACAACTTCTCAAATACATCGACATCGATATCTACGGTCGTTGTATCTCCAATCGACCTTGGCCCAAGAAAATGCTCGACAATAATTCACAGATCGATATGCCGGATGAAGAATTAGTAGGGCATTACAAATTCTATCTAGCGATCGAGAACAGCAACTGCGAGGATTATGTGACCGAAAAACTGGAGCGGACTTTTGGTGCTGGAGCTGTCCCTGTGGTAGACGGACCGGATGATTACTCAAGATTCATGCCCTCTCCAAGATCATTGATCCGCTATGATGATCATGGATCCCCAAGGAAGTTGGCTCAGTTCTTGAAATATCTGGACCAGAACGATACTGCCTATCAAGAGTATTTGACCTATAGAACCCCTCGATCACCAAACAACACAGACGCACAGGGGAATGTCTTGATCCAATCTCCTGAAACCTTTAACCAAGATTACAGAGAACGTCTGTCCCCTTGGTTTGTCGACAACTGGGATCTGGATAGAACAGGACTTTTCAACAAGACGACAGAGTGGCTCAGTACAGATGGACCTACGAGGACCACCCGGGCAAAATATGGCATGCAATGGGGCCCAGATCTGGACGGTGGCATGTGTGCAGCCTGCAGAGTTGCTCATGAGCTAACAGAAGGGTCCCGGACTCTCAGCCCAAGCAATCGACTCACCATCGATCAAACCTGCAAGTTCCGCAAATTTTACTATACAAGCTGGATCATCTCTTTTTATCCTTACTTGACCTTGTTGATACTGTGTTCAGTCCTTGCATTATTATTCCTGCTGTTGACAAAGACTGGACGAGCGATAATCTTCTATTTAATCAGGAAAATTTGGACGTTGTTGATAATGGTCAGAGAACGTCTTACAAAGACGAAACGATCAGAGTATCACGAATTTTCTATGGAAGACCGAAGATAGAAAACATAATTTTTTTTTTTTTTTTTTTTTTTTTTTTGAAAATGTACAAAAACAAGTCTAGAACATAGAATCATAATATTCACATCTAAATAGCTTGCATATATCATATTGATGTGTGTCTTTTATTTTTTATTTATTTTTTATTTTTTTTTTCTACATATTACTTTTATTATTTTACCTTTATTTTATCAAATCTAATGTTTGTGCAAGCTCATTGAGATTGGAGTAGACAATGATGATGATAATGAAGAAGAAGAAGAGCCCCGTCCAAATTCATTCACAAGGCCTAAATACCACTTCACGGCCCAATCACGCTTTGTCTGATCCACAGAAGGTCCTCCTACCACATCCAAGATGCACTTCAGTAGCGCCTTCCGACTCACTGGGCTCTGTTCCTTGCTCAACAACTCTCGGATCTTATCACCCAATGTCTGAACAAAAACTAGGTTGAGACTTGAAAGTTGATCGAACAGTGCCAACAGAATTTGTCCACGTTCCTTTTGAAGCTCTAAGGATGCAATCGATGCAGTTGTTTTTGTGACAGAAGATGAGGATGAGTAAGAAGAAGAAGAGGTGGCTGGTGGTACTGCACTCGATAGTGGGGGAGGAGAGGGTGTTGGGGTATTAAGGGATGGGAGTTGAGTTGCAGAGTCTTGGGGGCTTAAATCCTGGTACACCTCTGTCGCGACCTGGACCAATGCCTTTTCACTATCGCGCTCCTGTTGCTCCTTTGCCAAAGCTGCCACTGCCTTTTCCTGCTCATTTTGGGATAATTCTTGAGCTTTGATATCGGCCTCTATCACTGTATCGTACTGCTGTATCTTCTCCAGTAATTTCTCCACGCACAACCAAGCTAGAGCATCCTCCGTCTCAGATAAGGATTTGATCATGGTCGTAAACGCAGCTCTCAACTGATCAATGTTAATTTGATCCGGGAAATGCTGCAACAACAAGTTAGAGTAATAAGGAGCCAATTGTTTTGCAATCGTCTTGTTGGTCAAAAAGACAGACATGATGACTGAGTGTGCAGATTCAAAAAGATCCCGTTGATCGTTCTTAAGCAAGTAAGGATACACCATCGGCAAGAGCTCATGCTCCAAAAACGGCTCTTCAATTGCAATCATGATTCGTTCCAACAGATTCATGTAGAACAATGTCCGACTCTCCATCACCGGATCATAGAGCCCTAGCTCTGCACGGGGCTTCATACGCTTGAGGGTTTTGTTGAGCAAGACATGATGGTTGCTAGACTCGCCGTCCTTATCAGTATCCTGTAATGTAGCCGCAATTCCCTCAGAAGTGACCATACGTGTGAGGATTGAAGTGATAAGCTCTTCATAAACCTGAAAGCTGCCTGGACCCAGTTTGTAGGTGATGAAGAACAAGTGAGCATAGCTGTCCAGGATCAGGAAATCGAATTGTGAGGTTAGGCCTACTAGAATTGTATAGGTAGAGTAACAAAAAAATGCGTTTCAGTAAATTAAAATAGCTATGTCATTGCTCTGCTTTTGCTATTGCTTTTTTTTTTTTTTTTTTTTTTTTTTTTTTTTTTTCCCTTTTTTACCTGTTGCATTTTCCCACTTCTCATTGATGGATCCAAAGATCATGGTATATGCGAAGAGCACGGTCTTGAAAACCTGGAAGAGCATCGCCATTGATTTGCTTGTCTCGGGATCAGGTTCTGGCCTCGGTTCAGACTTTTGCTGCTGGCCTTCGATAACAAAAGAGTCGTAACTGGATAGACTACATCTCGACCAATCAACATGGATGTTGATTGCGAACGAATGCATTCTCTCCAGTAAATGCTCGATTTTACCCCAATCATCCATTGTTTCAATCAATGTAGCTATTGTTCTAGCAATCCTGCCTATCTCTGTGAATAAAGGACCTTTTGTCGTCGTCGTCAACAGCTGGTGGGTCATTCCATTCAGCTTTAGGCGATTTGGTTGTGGCTGTTGCTGTTGCGCTATCTCATATGCTATAGTCCTGAAAATTTCAGTAATAGGGATGACTCCTTTTTGCTCGTTCTGTTGAAGTACATAGTCTAGCAAAAGGTCCGCCAACAAGGAACTATCAAGCGCTTCCAATTTACAGGCAGGCAAGTTGGGGATGGTCTGAGAAGTGGCAAAGACAAGGCAGGCTTGGATCCTTGATGACAACACCGAGGCATTCGAGATAGCAATATTATCCTCAGGACTACTGATGGTTCCTTTCAGCTCTTCAGTAATGACCCTGAGACTAGTCACAAACAAATCCTGAATAAGTGCCAAGCTGTCGGCATCCACCCTGGGAGGATCATCTTCTGCATGTTGAATAGCGCGACTAATCCAATATCCAGTTTCAAGCAAAAAAAAGGGAAGGAAAAAAGGGGGGGGGGGGGGGGGAATAAAATAAGCATAATGACTCAACAGCTCAATTCATTTTGCTCAGATTGATCTTGACCCGTAAAGAACAAAGAAATCATTGAAAATCCAAAGGAAATCAAACTTACAGAATACCTGCAACGGCCAGTAGGCTAGGGATGGTGGCGTTATTTGAAGTATCTTGTAGTGCCTGGATTAATGCCTCAAACCAAGTTACTCCCTTTAACTGAACAGCCTTCTTTGGTTTACTCTTCTTCTTCTTTCTCTTCTTGTCCTTATCGCCTTCATCATCCTTGACGGTAACAAGGCCAGCCTTATGCGTCACCACAAATTGAAACAACCTCAGAACCTGGAACAACTCATCAATATTACTCACAACTGATGATACCGATAAAATCTTAGCTGTAGATAGTGTCGGTGCTGCACTTGAAGAGGCTCCATAAAAATCCTGCAAGAATGCTGTGATCAATTCCTTGATCGGCTCTGGGCTCTCGTTCAAAACATTGGACCTCAACACAGTTGCCAGACTAGCCTGAATGCCCTCCATATCTGTGTCCTGTGCGCTCACACGTCCTAGCTTGAGTCCTGCAACTAATCCATCCATAATTTTGGGTTCCATCAATCCAGACCACTTATCCAGTCCCATGGCCAAACCTGAGAAACAAGTACCGAACATTCCTTTGGATTCCTCAATACCCGAGATAAAGAAGGAAGGAATGGACAGAACCTGGATCATGATTTCAATTAATTCCTGTCCCAGAACATTCACATCTGCGCCGGAGCCCGTCTTGCGCATCCAAAAAGACCATAAAGTAGTAATTGCTACCAGCCCTTGGACTTGAATCGGGATCCGGACCTTGT